CGTTTGGCAACGGAAGATGGGTCAGCGCAAGGTTCCTACGGCTGCCGTACACGATGGGATAATAGTCCATGACGTGATGTATGCGTTCTTCTACATGACGCGTGATCATTTACCAATATGCTCTGGGCGTATATCGAAGTCAGCATGTGCCTGAGGACCCGTAGCCATTATGGAGAGAGTCTTCGCGCGAGTGTGAGACATGGAAGTGGTGATGCATGAACCGAGCTTTTTCCCGGATGGTTCGCGTGACGGCCTTTGATCTCCAACCGTGTAGATCCCGGGCTAATTCTGTCCCATTGTCAGATACCCCATGAACGACGTTGCCACAACCCCATCTACCCCCTCGAGCTCTTCGCATAGAGTATCCAAACAGCGACAGCGCTCCTCTCACTCTCAGTACGCACGTTCCGCTACCATCGGCGTCGTCCTCGACACCGACCAGCCCGGCCAGAATCAGTACAAATGCAACGCACCGACGTGCTTCAACAAGACCTTCGGGCGGCTGGCAGAACTCAAGCGCCATCATAAATGCAAGCACGCAGTTGCTGGGCGCAGACCGCAGTTCTGGTGCCCCGTGGAGGGATGTGTGAGGAGCAAGACTGGGCAGGGAGGCGCGTTCCCAAGGAAGGACAAGATGGTGGATCATCTTTCGAAGGTGCATGCGAGTGTTGTGCAGGGATGAGGACGTTTCGAGACTAGCATGTATTGGGGTGGATAAGACTGGGAGCGGCGAGCTGTGTACACCTTTTGCAAGGAGGGAAGTGGTGGGACTACTCATACCGAGACACAATCAAACCGCCGGTCGGAGAAAATAACCGCGCGATATGCTCGAATCACACGACTTCTCATTCGCGTGATGTACAGAACTCTCCTCCTTATAACAAGGAAGACGTTGAAGTCTCACATGCAACCGTAGCGTGAGATTCGGTGGCGAGTAACGAGTCCACGCCGCGAAAGCTGTAGAATGTGTTAAAAGACATTCGATTCTTTGGGTTGATCCGAATACATTGAAATGTGTCGTGGGTAGTCTAAAGATTTGATTGAAGGAGCAACTATTTCAGAGTAGACAAGAAAGAAGATGTTCATGCCAGGTCACGTGATCTATGCCCAGATAGATTGGAATACACCTCTCCCCATCCCACGTGTTACTATGTTCCTTCCACAACGTAAAGTCCTTCTACCACCGTTTGCACAGCCAGCGTTACATGTGCTCATATTTTTACAAGGACATTCAATCTCACCAAGGAAAAATTGTGTACATTCTCAGCAAGCGGTAGAGGTATCTATCTAGGCCCAAGCCCATGCCCCAGACGCCAATATCCCCAGAAGGTGAGTGGAAAGATGCGACGCCGAGACCAATCCATCGCTATGCAAATCAATCTGAACGACAATGTTGGCAGAAAACATAGGAAAAAAAAAGATAGCCAAAAAAAAAAAAAGCTACGAGTTATGCGTGGCGATGCTCTGGAAAGACTAGATGCCGATGCGAATGAGTCCAAAAGAGTCTTTGGCAGCCCTGTGAGGTATGAACTGCCAACTCCAGCGCAGCGACGTCCATCTAAGAGGACTTGTATTTCTGTCCTCAAAATTAGCACACATCCTCAACACACCACTTCTCAGAAAACTTACATCTTCAATCTTTCTCCGACTCCCCTGGTCCAGCGCATTGCCCACACCGAGTAGTGCATTGCTAACCGCCTTCGTCGCGCCCACAGCCGGCCGAAGAATAACAGTAGGCGCATGCCTAGCCAATGCTCTCGCCATGCCGACTCCACTCCCCTCTTCCATGATCTCCGACGGGATCGCAATGACAGCGTCTCGCGCGGTCAGGAGATCGCGCTCGAGATGCTTCGCAGCGGATCGCAGGCCCGCACGTACGCCGATGGGTTGATTGGCGTAGTGCGACACCGCGCGTGGTTCGTCGGACGACGAGTCTGGGTCTTCGCCGTCCCAGGATGCGGGTTCCTGGGGCGCGAGGAACGCTTCCGCGCCTTCGAGGAGGTTCTGAGTGCCAATTGCGACTTTGGCACCAAGACGGGCGACTTCGGATGTTGTGTTCTTTGCGAATGCATACACGCCTTTTTGTAAGCTGCGGACGATACGGCCGTCCTTACGGTACTCACGCATCGGGACTACGACAAGGTCGCGCATGCCTGAGCCAACGTTGACGAGGGGGCGCACGGCTGCGAGACCGGAGAGGACGCCGGGAAGTTGGTTGCGCTTGACGTCGGGCATCCAGACGTCGTTGAGTGTGTTGTGCAGCTTGTCGAAAGATGTGATGCCGTAGACAATGGCGTGGCGGAGGGTGATGTCGGATCCGTCGAGAATCAGAAAGTTCATGAATTCAGTAGTATGACCGGAGCGGATGCCACGATAGTCGACCCGTTTGGGCTTGTAATCAAGCTTTAGAGTTACAGCTTTCACTTCAAGGCGCTGGATAAAGGGCTGGTCGCCGGCTGGAGCAGCACTGGGGGCGGAGTCATCCTTGAATTCGAAGAAGCGCGTGATGAAGTCGAGTGCATCTTGGTCGACGTGAAGGCGCAAGGGTAGGACCGTGACTTTGATAACCAGCTCCGAGGCAGCTAGTTCTGTGACTGGCTTCACCGTGACAAGATCAAGATTGATCATGGGCTTGTTCATCTCCCTTGCACTCGGGTCAATCAAACACGTAAGAAATTTCCTCCAGGTCGATGATGGTACATGGTCGAATATTTCCAAGTCTCTGACCCGTACATCAATCGAGTTGACAGTCTCGCCGCTGTTAGGAGGGAACACAATGAGATCCACAGCGACACCCATCAGTGAGAAGGCGACCTTTTTGTGCTTGCTGCGCTCAAGCTTGAGGCGACGCTTAGGTTTGGTTGTGCTGCGTGGGCGCGCAGTGGCACCTGTAGATCGTGTATTTGTCGATGTCGCATAGCTTCCAGTCTCGCTGGCGAGATCGTCAATGTCATGGTTGATTCGGCGTGCGAGCGCACCCTTCTCATCCTTGACCGGAACCCCAATCCATACAGAGTTGAACAGAAAGTCTTCCTCGACAAAATCATCATCTTCTTCATCCTCTAGAGCTTTCTGACGACGCTCCTCAGCACGGGCCTCGACGTCATCGACGGCCTGGGTAATGATGCCTCGAGTTCGTGGCCAGTCATAGCCATCGTAGAGATTCCAGATAATGTTAACATCTCTTACGCGAACCTTGAGCGGTGCTTCGGGCTGCTTGAACTCATTTGAGAGGTGATACTGATTCTTCGCCGAATCCCATTTGCGAGCTTTGCCCTTACCATCCTCTTCAGACTGCTGGAAGTAGTTGTCATTGAAGTCGAAATCTGACTCCGTCTCAGTGACCTCATACTTCTCCTGGAAGCTCTCCAGAAGTGCTCTATCGCCGCGTTGACGTGTGATGGGTGGAGTCGCTAGGGCACCAAGATCATCTTCGCCAAGTAAGCTATCTCCCATCTCCTCGTCCGTCGGCAAAGATTGTGAGTTGTACATGCTTCCCACAAACTCAAGATTTGTAGGTACTTCGTCATCAACCAGATCTGCATTGCTCATGAAGTCATCGTCTTCAATCTCGGTTTGAGCAGAGATGGCATCGCCTGTGAAAGACTCCATCATCTCTTGTAAGGGTACAACAGTGCGATACTGCTCTGCTGTTGACGGGGGAGTGGGTGGCTGGAGACCATTCAAGATGGCTGCGAGAGTTTGTGTCGAATCTGCGCATGATTCCAAGACGAAGAGCTCATTCTTGAATTCAACATCCACCAGTTGAGGCTGATCTTTGCCGTCCCCAGCTATGTTGACAAGCACCTTTGCAGCTGAGATAGAACTCAGGGACACGTAACCCAGCTCTCGAAGCTCGTGTAGATGGCGGTTCATCAAAGCCGCGACAGCTGGCGATGGAGGTACATAGTCCTCTTCAAGACGCGCTACATCATCGATGGCATGTATTGAGGCTTTGCGAAGCTCCAACGTCACACAGTAATTGTCCTTCGCCTGCTTTCCTGCGATATGGGCATCCGTCAGGACAAACAAAGCCTTTGATGCGATCTTGCGAGGATTCAGGCCAACTGCGCAATTGCGCATGAGTAGATCGACCTGCAATGGCTTCGCCGCCGGTATTGTGGGTGGACTAGCTTGGGTCGATTGCCGACTAAGGGTCTTTGGCGACGATGTACCAGTGATAGTCGCCACACTTGCAGCGATTCCAAGTGCAATATCGTCAACGGTACCGTCCTCAGAGATCCCAAGTGCCGCCATGAGTGTCGAGACCCGATACTCAGCACAAACATTGAAGAGCTTTGCTTTGATCATAGGCTCCATCTCGTCTCCGACCATCCTAATCATTATGGCGGGTAGATGTTCTTGTTGTTGTGACTTTACAACCTCGTGCAGCAATGTCTCTTCTCCCCGACAGATTTTGGCCTTGCCCACTTCCGCTGCTAACAGGGCCGGTACACCGACATGAGCGACTGAAGAGCTAGTAAGAGAGATGGAAACATCACCGAGTTGCTCGTTGATAGCTATAGCTGCATCGACTTGTTGCACAGTGACAAGACTGAGCAGTCCCGGTCGATCGTCGTCCGGAAGGTACTTGGTGACCTTTGACAGCCGGGCGACCTCTAAACCCAGAGCCTCAAAGCTCTTCATCTGTTCGAGATCCGACACCCGAACGCCAACACCACTCACTTCGATTCGAAGGACGGAGCCTTTTCGACGCTGGCGCAGGAGCGTATCAATGAGAATGTCATCGTTATTTTCATATGGATCCTTGCTTGGCGTGATCATGGATATCAGCCGGGCAAGGTCTGCTTCCTCCGGCGCAAAGAGGAAATTGACTGTAGTGCCTCGGACGTCCACAAGCAGTGGCGCACCAGTTTGGGCCAAGTTCAAGTATGGACCTGATAGATGAATTTCCGACACCTTTAAACGAACATTGCCTTCTCGCATAGCTATCCGAACGGATGTTGTCTGAAGCTTCACTGCGCAGGTTCTGCCTTTAAGTGTGAAAGCTACTTCTCCAAGTTGTACTTGGGTCTTTGGAGCTTTGGATGGCGCTACAGCTTCCTGTGGAGCAGATGGTGCACTGTCGCCAAAGTGCACACCACGAGCTCGAGGTTGTGTTGGCGACATGACGGGACTGTCGACAGTAGCGTTCGCAGAGCTAATGGAACTGCTCAACTCCAACACTCCGCTGAAACCACCAAAAGAGCTGAGCGCGTCATCAATCTTCTGAAGGTCAAGCAAGACACGCACAGGACGAGTCACGACTGTGATGCGCTTATCTTTGCCCTGTTCGTAGTCGATCTCGATATCATTACTAAGCTGCTCCGAAACATTGCTGACGGAGCGCCTAGAACGTGCTTTTGAAGACTGAAAAGCTAAAATATCATGGTCCAAGGATGCCAACACGAATTGACCAACCTGAAGCCTTGTTCTTGACTCTTTAGAGCGGTTCTGAGTGATGATGCGAACGTTCTCGCAGCTCGTCCTGATGATGGCGTCGAGCGGAGCGTGCGCAAGTACACGACTTGCAGCATCTCCTGCCATGGCTGACTCGGACAAGATGTTCTCAAGCCAAGAGATACCAATACGCTGTACAACGACATTCAAGCCGTTGGTAGAATCCTTGGTGATTTCGTCCGGGATTTCGGGCTTGGTGTTCATTGGTGTTTCGCCAGTAAGAGCGGCAAGAACTCGGCTGAACATTCTGTACATGATGCGGCCGGTCGATAAGTCCATATGGCCAGCTACTATGCCAACTTCGACACTTACTGACGAAGGTGAGGTTGGCTTGTTGGCAGTTCGTTCTGTTTGTTCGCCTTTTGTAGTGACGCGTCTTCGGCTTGAAGCCTCGAGCGACGGCTTGCGTCGATGCGAAGAGGATTGTGCGTAGTTGGAGAAGGATCCCGGCATCTCTGCAAAGATCGAGTCTTCGCCGAGACTAGGTGATTTGAAGTCCATGCTGGAGTCTTCCATGACAGACTCAGATGCCACGTCGCTTTCTTGACTGTCCAAGCCCAAAGGAAACCACACAGTAACTAGGTCGACCGTCAAAAACAGCTTCGCTTGCTTGTGAATGCCTCCATGCATAGTCGGAGTCTGGGCCCTATCAACTTGCACCGGGTGTGCTTGACCAAGAGGGGTTGCAGGACGAGGCGTTTCGCAACCCTCTTCTGGTTCGGGAAATGGTGCCAGTATGCTGCCGGCAATCATATCCTCAGGCACTGAACCAGATGCGACTGACCCCGTGCTCTGGCTGGAACCCGATGACGAGTCCCATCCTCCGGGAATATGGCCTGCATGCGCTGTGTCTGCTTGCGCTGCGCTCAGAGCACTCATGTACATGCTTTCTGCCTCGTCATGGCTGAACAATTGTGATTCGGCCAGATCCCTGGATCGGCGATTGAGAGGATAGCGGAGAAGAGTCGGTATCATGCGAGCGGATCTCAGGCTCGAGCGCCATGTGTTCCTGTGCAGCTGCCAAGTTATCAGTAAGGGGCTGTAGGTGTTCCGAGGTTCGCGAGGACGATTGCGAGGCTGGTTGCGAATCCACTGGGCTTGGTGGGCGAAGTGATCGCCCGAGAGCAGAAACAGATGGCAAGTCTGACGTTGACAGGTCGTTTGGATGGCGGAATGATCGTCCAAGCGCGGAGACGGTGGGCAGTTCTGATTTCGACAACTCGCTCGGTGGACGGAATGATTGGCCAAGCGCGGAAACAGTCGGCAGGCCTGCTATTGACGTTTCGCTCGCAGGTATTGAAGCTTGCAGTACTTCAGAGCGGCCAGTCTCATCTGTAGGAGACTGTTCATCGAAAACGTCCTCGAATCTAGAATTCAGCATATCATGCTGTAGTGCATAGTCAAGCATGCCGTCATCATCGTAGAGAATACTGCTGCCCCCCAAGTCTCGAATTGGGAGGGATTGTCGCGAATGAGATGGTGAATATTCATCGAGAGCCTCATGTAGGCCATCGTCGGAGAAGGCATCTGCAAAGCGATCATCGTCAACTGTATGGACTGAGGAAGTCAGTTGGGGTTGTTCTGGTGAGCTTGGCACTGCAGAAGCGCTGCGTTGCTCGCGAAAGCTTGCAACAGAGGCTTGTATCGATGGCACATAAGAGTCGTGTGGACTTGTTGACTCGCCGTTGTGTTGAGAATCTGGTACAGCATCAGCTTCAAGTGCCGCCTCCAGTACATGGTCATCAGACGACGGCTCGCTTGGGGCTTTATGGCCAGTAGACAGCTCTGAACGCGCCAGGACCGGTGAAGGGATTTGCGACATCTTTGACATGGACTCAAAGTCTTCTGCGTCTGATACCAGACGAGCGCATATGCTTTCTATCCGCATCCTGCGTTTGCCAAGATTGGCGTCTGAGGCTAGAGGTGACTCCGTAGAGCCTACTTCGACATGGGGATTTTGAGACGTGACCGAATCGATTGCAACGCGCTCTATGTGGAAGTTCAAGGATGCCGGTGAGCTTTGAGCTGAGCTTGACACATCAGATGCATCGGCCGAAAATTGGTCCTCCATTTCCACATCGATGTCGTTCACGACGATGCTGAGCCGGTCCAATGCAGTATTCAGGATGTTTCGCAAATAGCTCGGAAGCGCAAGAGGCGCTCCCATGCCGGCTGAACCGTCATCAGATTCGTCGTCGTTCGAGGCCATCGACTCTTGCATGTACTCAGGACGCGACTCCAGCTGTTGTTCAAGTTCCCGTATTTCCGCCGTAGGTTCCGCTCGCAGAAACGATTTGGCAAGCTCATCTACGGTGGGCACATGATCGTCGCCATCTGAAGAGGTATCGCTGACGTCGTCTCGGAATGGTGGAGGCGATGACAGCCGCTTCGAGCCCGAGGCTTGCGCTTTGGACTTTGAACTCACGGTTTCTCGTTCTTCCTCCACCAATCTAGCCTGCACTTGTATGCCATGCACTTCTATGGATATCTGGGGAACGCCGAAGTCGAGGACAAAGGTTACTCGGAGAAGCGAGGCTCGTGCTTTCGATAGATGGATCTCGGGTGGTAGTGTAAGGTGTAACAAGGCTACAAGTTTCTACACATGTCTTGTCAGCGCGCGCACTCCAAGAGCCACTTTTCTTCCTCCATACCTTGACGTGTAGCCCGACATCTCGAACCTCGAGCGTGGTTTTCTTCCCAACATCCACGCTGACGAAGTCGGCCGGATCCTTGTCGAGTATGTCAATTTGCCGCAGCCCATACAGGAGGAGCTTCTTGCCAATAGAGCTCGAAAGACCGGAGAAGAACGCCATGGTGGTTGGTGCGCTGGCGGTGCGGTGAGTTAGGTGCTCCAAGGTTGGCTTATGGGGTGGGCAGGTTGTGCGGCTACCGCTTTATGGAAAAGGGCTCCATGTGTGAAAGCTGAAGGGGTGATGGCCTTAGCAACGAAAGGGTGCGCAAGACGTGCTTCACTCTCTCCAACGGGGTGCAGTCACTTCGTGCACGGATTCGTTCGTCACTAGGCGGCAGTTGGGTGAGTTGTAGATAAGAAGAGGATATGCAAGCGTTTGTGGCGCGATAGAGCCTTGTGGCAAATGGCAGCGTTTTGACGTGTAGAGAGAGGTCACGAGAGATATCTAGGGCAAGTCGGGCGGTGCGTTGCTAGGTATCGAGCTCAGGCAGATGATGCGTGATGCGATGGCGCGCGCAGCAGGCCGCCGCTATCACCGACACGTTCCCCGCGCGTCTGATCAACCCCACTAAGCATGGGCCATCCTTGCAAGGGTGGGCTGTGACGATGCCGCATACAACGGCTTTATAGTTTTTGGCATTTCTGAGAGAGATGCAAAATGAGTTAGACAAAAAAACAAGACGTGTGATACAGCCGCGCTCCACTGCGGGAGTGCCGGATCCGGGAAGCCTGGAGAGCTCGACATGTGTAGGGCGCATTATGTCAGCACCCGCTAGTGCATTTGAGGAAGGAAGCGTCGGAAGGCACCGAAATCGACGTCTAAACAACAATTTGCACAATTTGTATATCTGTCCGTCTCAAGCTGCCCGTAGTGAGATTTGCATTGCGAAAACATGGCGACAGAGAGCGTTGAAGACATTGAGGCATGGGCGCAAGCCGAGGGCGTCCCCAGCGCAACCGACCCATTCATCCAAAAGTACCTATCTGGAAGAGATGCATTGGTCGAACAGGAGAAGAAACAACGGAGTGGTCCTGGTTGATTCCATGAAGAAGGTACAGACCAAAAATGAGTCTAACTTTGCGTAGACTACCTCTTTCGGCAGAATCTCTCACCAATGGCCCAGGAAGCATGCGCCATAGTCTCCCAGATACGGTTCGAAGAGCAGCAAACCCTATGGACGAAGGAGTACGAGGACAGTCTTCTCACCGAGCATGTTGATGTATTCCCCGGTATGATGTTTTCTCTCGCCAAGGAGCGCATGGAAAAGAGCAAGCTTTGGAAAATCGTCCAAAAGATGCCGAAAGGCACATTACTGCACTGCCATCTCGAGGCTATGTTGGACCTCGACTGGGCACTTGAGGAAAGTTTCAACACCGAAGGCGTTTGCATTATTGCCGACGGGCCGATTATTACCGACCGAGAGAGGCGCAAGACTGGGTTCTCGTTTGTGTACTCGAAAGTTGCGAAAGAGGACGTCTCAATATGGAGCGAGAATTACACGGCAAATACTCCGGTCCCTATCAATGCAGCAGCTGCTGCATTCCCAGACAATGCCAAAGCCGGCTTCATCGAGTGGATCCGTAGCCGAGTCACCATTACTGCCTCAGAACATCTCTCCCACCACGAAGGACCCAACGAAGTATGGCGCAAATTCATGTCGTGCTTCCCGATCCTGGGGTCCATCATGTACTACGAGCCCATCTTCCGCAAATTCATCCGCAGGCTGTGCAAACAGCTACTGGATGATGGAGTATACTGGGTCGACATGCGCTCAGCGTTTTACACGCCATACCGAAGTGCGGGCAAAGAGAACTGGGATGAAGATTGGTTCAATATGCTCTTGCACATGGAAGAAGAAATCGAAGCTTTCAAGAAGACCGACGAGGGCAAAGATTTCTGGGGCGCGAGAATGATCTGGACCACAATCCGGCAATTCAACACGAAGCAAGTCGTTGAAAGTATGTACTTCACCTTATCCCTCCCCCCCTTGCAATCGTAAATGCTAATTTTCCCACCCAGGCATGAAACAATGCATAGAAATGAAAATCGAATTTCCAGACCTCATCGCCGGCTACGACCTAGTCGGCCAAGAAGACCTCGGCCGCCCCCTCTCTTCCCTCGCCCCCGAACTCTTCTGGTTCCGCAAAGCCTGCGCCCAAGCCGGCGTCGACATCCCCTTCTTCTTCCACGCCGGCGAGACACTCGGCGACGGCGACTCGGTCGACGAGAACCTCGTCGACGCCATCCTCCTCGGCACACGGCGCATCGGCCACGGCTACAGTCTGTACAAACACCCGCTGCTAATCGACATGGTCAAGGAGAAGAAGATCCTCGTCGAAAGCTGCCCGGTTTCAAACGAGGTGCTCAGGCTGTGTGGCAGTATCATGAGCCACACCCTCCCCGCGCTTCTCGCCCGCGGCGTCCCGTGCTCGCTGTGCAACGACGACCCCACCATCCTCGGCCAGGGCGCAACCGGCATGTCCCACGACTTCTGGCAAGCGCTACAAGGCTGGGAAAACCTCGGTCTGGAGGGCTTGGGCAGTCTGGCGGAGAACAGCGTGCGCTGGGCGAGTTTCGACGATTTGGGCGCGAAGGAGTGGGTGCAGGATATCAAGGATGGGAGTATGGGCAAGGGACAGAGGGCGCAGCGGTTGAAGGAGTGGATGAAGAAGTGGGAGGGGTATTGTGCGTGGATTGTCGAGGAGTTTGGGGTTGATGAGAATTTGGAGCCCGAGGAGTAATGGGTTGGGTTAGGATGGATGGTTGGGCGACTCAACATAGATTGGGAGAGTGAGGAGATTCAACACCTCAGCTGCTGAAACAAAAATTTCACTCATATACGAGCTGTCACACCACTATTACCGCGTCACCAAACCGGCTTGTCTTCTCTGGGGTGATGTCTCAAAGCTCAAAGAGTGACATTGAGTCTAATTTCATATTTCTCATTGGTCTATATAGACTGTATAAGCTACAGATCGTAATTTCTCTCGGTAATCATATTCATAACACAGCACGCATGAACCCATTGTCCCCCGCTACACCCACAATATTACTCAGTTTGCTTTGATAACAACCGCCACCTTAGCCTTCTTGCTGCCAGGAACATCATCGTCGATGACCATTGTGTTTTGTCGGATCTCGTCGTCGTCGTCGCTCAAGCTGACAATGTACGGTCGTTTCTTCCTAGAGCCAGCACTAGACGATCCAGTTCTGACGGCGTTGTCGCTGGTACTGAGCTCGTCGACAGCTTCCGTCGGGAATATACTGAGTGCTGTCCCGGGAGCCATAAAACGGCGAAGATCTTTTCCGGATGGAGTTGCTGTCGGCTTCGTGGCGGCACTTGCTTTAGCGTGATCGATGATCTTGATGTTCTTGCGCAAAGCTCGTATGTCGCGTTCCTGGTCATGTTTGGTAACTTCGAGACCATTGATAGTCTGCAGTCCGAGGGCATCGGCACGATTGTCACCCCAGTACCAAGAGCTACCGGACTCAATGCGGTGGTCGTGTTGGCGAGCAAAAGCGCGAGCCTCCAGAATGCCTTCACGCCCGGCATCTAGAGTTGGTCGGTCATCAGGGTCAGAGTTGAGCCAGAACGAAACCGCGTCCTGCTCGTAGAGACGACCAGCGACGCGCCAAAGTGGTAGAACGAGCTCCTTGGATGCAGGATGCAGCGGATACCATTCTCCATAGGCCGCTCCTGCTCGTGGAGGCTCTGTATTGTCTTCTGAGAGATGCTCTTTGTTAATTGACGAGGGATCGCTGCTGTACGCCGAACCATATATAAGAACTTCGGAGTTGTAAGGACGACCGCCATCGTAATCGTTGCTCGATGCTAAATCCAGCCCTGATAGCCTAAGGCGAATAGTCTTAATAACCATTACCTCCGTACAGCGAGCCTGGGATTTTGATGCATTCGGCAACAGGCGTATAGTGTCACCGATAGTGAAGACCTCAGAACCAAAGTGGATACCGTAGCAGTAGATGAATGCTTCAGGCCAGGACCCGCGAAATCGATATTGGCCAAAAAGGCTCATCGTGGAACTTACGGTAAGAGCATTAATGACCGTCACGTGCCATTCCTCCTGTGGTACTTGCTTCAGGAGCTCCCTCCAGAGGGCAAATGGGCGAACCTGACGCAGGGGGACATACTTGTGTCTCTTTGAAAGAGACTTGTCTAGTGCATCAAGACTCGGCAATGGTTCAATGCGAACACCAGAATAGATGACGCTAGCTCCGGTATCGCTGCGGTGCAGATCGGCAATTGATGGCAATTCCGTTGTTGGCACTTCTCCAACCAGACCTGCCTGCCAGCGCGGCGGGCCTAGGAACACTTCGGCCTCTTCGTCGTACAGCTGGTACTCCCCAGTCTGTTCGTGTTGCATTACTTCAACACTAGCTGGCAAATCGCGAAGATAGAGCACGATCTCGCCGATTCGGGGCAACCACTGGTCTTGTTCCTTCAAATTTTGGAGGATACCAGGGAGGACCTCCTTCTCAGCTAGCCAGTCAGGGCTGAGGGGTTGCTCAATGATCTCGTCGATGTCAACATGCCGCCTGAGCTTGTCTATCAGGTTTCGATATATGTCCGGAGTGCCCTCATCGTCGACGTGACTACTATTCACCCCAGCACCGACCAGCTTTGGTCTGCCTTTCGCCTGTACTGCGAGTGCTGGAGGACGCTGGAATGCTGCCAGAGTCGACGAACCGATCGCAGGCAGAGCTCGAACTGGCATGGATGATGAAAATGATGGATTCGAAACTTTAGGCGTCCGCGGTCGGGATGAGGCAGGATTCGAGCTTCCTGATCGAACACTGTTTGACGAGCTCCCTGGTAAGATCCCAGCGCTGCCAGCGCAAACAGTACAGGGGCAGCCTATACTGCTTCCGTTGTTGTCCATCAGGTGTCGAAAATGCGGGTAGAACCTATTTGGCGAGTCAAACACCTTATGGCTAGGGTGCCCGTATAGGTACTTGTCGATATGACTGGGCTTGCCTGGACGAGGTCTCTGCCACATGGTGTATCCATTTGGTAGAGCCTCGAGGATGTATTTCACGCCGAGCTGAGCTTCGCCTCGGTCTTCCATCCATTGCTGCGCTGTCTTTTCTAGGTATAGCTTTGGAGGGTTGACCTGAGTGTGGTTGCCTTGCTTCGGCACGTGCAGTGCGTCGCCGTCGCTGCAACCTGGGCGCAGGTGGACGACGCGGCGACCCTGCGACATAGCGTACGGGGGAGAGTGACTGGAAGAATTGACCCACGGAGTTGATCGAAGGGCAGCGACTTACGCTATGATGGTGACAACAGCGTAAATTTCCGGGGAAGTATATACGGTAGAACAGGCGTGTGCGTGCAGGCCGTGAAATTTGTGTGAGGAAGAGAGTTGACCTTTGTGGGCGGGGCAATGGAAGGGCGATTGCTGCTTCAATTGCGCGCCGAAATATTCACATATCACGCGGCAAGAGCGTTTGGGAGGGGAAGAAGTCGCTCAGCATGCGATGTGTGACGCAGAAAAACGGTGTGTCAACGCGTGGAGAGCAGCAGGTGTTATTTGAGACGCGTGGCAAGGCATTTGTGCGAGCCAGAATTCGCGTCTCGCGTTTCTCGCAGTAAGACTCATCGCAAGCGCGTAGAGCATGTGAAAGTGAAGGTAAAGTGCACGCGCTGTCATGTGAGTGAGAGTGTCGAGTCGGGCTTGGCAAGCGCGACTTGCCGAACACTTCGTGCACACCACCACTTGACCCAACGAGAAAAAGTTCGGGTAGTCTGGATATTCTCGAAAACCCTCTCACAGCTGGATGAGAATACATAAGAGTGTCGTGTATTTTCAGCCTCTCTTATCGACCTACAAGCGTGCTCCTGGAACTATTAGATCATGTCGTGCAGGTGCAGAGCAGACACGAGTTTTGCACCTCTCGAGATGGCGACTGTACTCGGCCCTGTATATTTGTATGTTGAAAACCTTCCGGCACTTCGCGGCTTGCAAAAAGCGTCTTCGAGTTATACAGCCTAAGCTTTCTCACATCCTCATGGCGTTCACGGTCCAGACACGGGCGCACGAATTATTGCAATACGCGACACAAACGGCACGATCGTAACCACGTCGCTCCTTGAATTACAAAGTATCATTACAAAAATTGTATCCATCCAGTTTCATACTCTACCATATATCTAACTTCCATGTCCAGCAGAACTTCCGTATGCCCATCAAAACTCCCGCTAAATGTTTACAAAAGAAGGGGAAAACGAAACAAACGCACGGCTAACCACCGATCCTCGCTGGGGTCCAGTTCTTGTACAGACAACTGCACAGTGTGCCTGCGTCCTGGGCTGCCAGTCTGTCGACTTGCTCGCCAGACTTCTTCTTGCATGAAGGGACGTTCTCGCCGCCGGCTACGGTTTGTTCGACGCGTACAGCTGCAGCGTTGTTAGTACATGCTCAAAATATAGTTGTGTGGTGTAAACTCACCGAAAGGCCAAGCTGGGTTCCCCGTGTTGCCCACGGCGATTGTGTCTTTCGGGTACGTCCTCGCCATCTTCGTGTACAAGCTGCCCTGGATATTCGTCGCGCCATAGTCGCATTCAAAATCACCTCTCTGGTCGCCAATACTACCTGTCATGCTGACAGACTTCGCCCGGCTGATCTGAAACCGGTATCGTTCCGTGTCTTTACCTGCATCCAACAGCTCTAAATTCTCGTTCTGGAACATGGTACCGAAGGTCGGGTCCTGTCCCTTGGACGAAATCTTGTAAGAGCCGGGTGAGCCGCTGATCTGCCAGTTCAGAATTGCAAGCGCTTTTTGAGGGTCGGAGTAGTAATCTGTAGATGGCGGGCAGTTCCACGTGGCGTTATTGGCGGTGCAGCCGGATTGCACAGTATCAAGGAAGGTTATGAGAGAATAGGTGCCGAGGGGGAAGCCGGATGGGACGGCGGAAGCTGCGATTGCGTCTGAAGGCTTGGACGGTTTGTCGGGTTCACCGCCGCCGCTGGTTGGAGTTGCATGATTGCCTGCGGGCTGTGCGCTGCCCGATGTCAAGGAAGGCGGGGCACTGTCAGTGTGTTAGTACTACTGGGACGCATGCATCGAGATTGAATCCTACCTCTCCGATGACTTCTTCTTCAGCCCAAATGCCAGGCCAACTGCTAGCGCAATGATGAGTGCAAGCAGCATCGCGCCAGCAATCACCAGCTTCTTCCGACTCCATCGTGAAAAGATCCCTCCGCTCTTCCTGTGCTGGACGTGGCCAAACTTCTCCGAGTCCTTGTCGCTCCACACATTGACACTCAAAGCACTGCCGTTGGGTGTTGTCTTGGCCTCTAGGCTCTCTCTTGGTGTGCTCAGCTTGCCGCCCGTTAACACAGACACGACGCCCAGCCGACTCGATTCTCGCTTCGACGTCCTGTGCGCAGGATGGACGTGGCTAATGTGCTGGTGTTCTGGGTCATTGCAGTATGTGCTCGTGGTGGTGACGTTTATCTTCGCACCCTTCTTTGCGGCAGGCGACTTGGAGCGTCGGGCATTCGTCGACTCGAGGATAAGGGAGAGGCGCTGACCGGCAGGCGTTGAGATGCGTTTCGCAGGGCGTTCGTCGTCGTCACCGAGAGGTTCGTGAGCGCTCGTCCGGTTGGAGCGAAAGACATCCATGATGGTGAAGGGCTCGACGGCAGACGGCAGATGGCGTAATGTTTTACCCTCCCAGGGTGTTTCTGTCAATGCGTGTGTTTATGCGTGTATTTGTACGTGTGATTCGCTTTCATGCCCAGGGTGGTCTTCGGTCGGGATAGTCGTGAGGGTTGGGCAAGGGGTCACACGAAGCCGCCGTGGATTGCCTCAAGGATGGGCAATAGGCAATTGATATCGACGGACGTCGTTGGATGGAGAGACGATCGGCCGCCTTCAGAAGAAGGAGAACGATCGACATCCCGGAATAGCCTCCTCATCAAGCGAAAGCTTGAGGCGTTGAAATGGGTAGCGTCCTGCCACTTGTGGACGGGAGCACATTGCGCTAAGCTTCATCACACGCTAGAGGCCGATAGCAGTGTTTATGAAAGCTGAAAGGAGCCTAGGTTGCCGGCCAAGGAGGTCATGGCTCGTGGCGGGTAAGTTGTTGACCTTGTCGATGCGTCGAGGCGAGTACTCAGAAACTGAAGCATGTTGCGATACTGAGAGGAGAAGCTGTGGATTCCATGATGCGATTGCAAACCTTCTGACTGTTCATCTGAAGCACGCGTCGCGACAAGCGTGGTGTTGTTGGCGCATTTAGTGCGCTTCATCAATGTCAATAAATCTAGCCCGAGGCTTGTTTAGGGGGCCTCGCGTGTTCCTGCATCTGTGCAGGGATCAGGCCACTCTCGCAGCGCGTCGTCACATGCCGGAACAACCCGCACCTTGGAACGTCCATCGTCGCTCGCACCCAGCTGTTATCTACGACACGTTCCACATGCCGATCATCCAAGCAACTGACTGAGGATGAGCTCCGCGTTCTGAAGAGTTACTCGGCGTCGACAGGCCACAATACCAAGCCCAGCAGTACTCGCTGTATACGACAATGAGGGCACCACGCATCGGCAAAATACTTGCCGGCCTTTCCCAACAAGGAGTGATGAAGAGGTAGCCTATGTATATTCAAAGACTTCTATAGGATCAGGTAGAGTATCTTGTAGCTGTGTATAAATTTAGGCTCCCCTAAGTTCATGACAAGAATATCTCCAAATACGAAGCTCCGAATGAGACAATTGACAACGTGCAAGGGCTGCCAAGCAACTCGAGGTGAAGCTCGATTTATTATGCTGCGCTTGAGTAGGATGTAGCGGCCATTTTCCTAGTAAAAACAGCGACAATCTAGAATATAGAAGGACTGTCAAGTGTTGCAACGATATGCGCACTATATTATAGACGTTTACCGGCGGTGGCTCGATTTGTCGAGCGCAGCCACGTGCAACACACCTCTTTGTCTGGGTGACAACATCTAGAGATGAGAATGTTTTTGTGGGCGCGGAAATGTTGGTGGCGGCGCGCACACGATGTGTGGCGTGCAAATGGGCCATGGTTGGATTTGATATTTTCCACCCATGACGGTGCGCGTGGGAGTAATGCTGGCAACTAGGCCGGCGGCAGCAGGTCGTCTTGCTTTGAAGGCGTGCGGCGTGATTCTTTGTAAATCGCCGCGCCCGTTCTCAGTACCTATGTCGATAAACGCGCGAGGCCTCGGCATCTAACAGCTCACTTTCCTTATAGTACTCAAGCCAGTGATCTCGAGTCGGCGCGATTGATAGCAGCAGGCGCTGGAAAGGTAGAACGGGGACCGCACGCGCTGGCGCCCGCCGATTCAAGAAGCCACCATCGCACTCACACCTCGTTCGGCTCTTTCAGTATCCCGCTTATTTAGCCAAGTGCACGCCATGCCCGAGATCCGAACATGAGAAATCTACGGGGCTCATGCCAGTTTACAGTCCTTTTTCTTTTACGCATGAGTGGCGGAAAAAGTGTTAAGCACCTTTCACTTCTGCCTTTTATCGACCTTCATCTCACACGCGGGCGCCTTGGCAAAGCCGCGCTAGTGCGTTTGGCCGCACTCTGCACGCGTCACAATGCGGTCATCGCGATCCAGCTCATGTCACTTCACAAGTCGCCATGGACTCTGAATGGAGGCGAAGCGCAGACTGAGTGTTGGAGTAGATTATTTCCACCCAGTGGAAGTTTCATTCGTTACTCGTTAATACAATGCTTCGCTTTTAGATACAGTAATGACAAAAGTTTGGAGCGACAATACAATGGAGGAAAAAAGCAATGAGGAATGCAAAGGAAGACCTGCTTGTAGTGGACCAGTGCGGCAACGATGCGCCCGGGTTGGCAACGCCCAACAAGGTACATGTGGCACCCTGAGTACCTTCGCAGGCCGGATTTTGGTCCAAAGCATACAAAACAGGCAGTGAGAATATACAGGCCAGTTTATCACACATGCTGGGTGATCTCTAGAAACCGAGACCAGGGCGGTTGACAAGGACGTAGGTCGTTGTAGGACGCGCGGTGCCAGACACGGTGGTGAACCCTGTGATAGTGCTTGTGAAACCCAGTAAACCCCCGGTTTGAGACGAAGTTGAGAACGGCGTAGGCACAATGACCTCGATGACACTTGCACCGGACACGACAGTGGTCACCGTCAAGGGTGCAGCAGTAGGAACCGTTCCTGATGTTACCGTAATAGTAGGCAGCACTGTATGTATGCCTACAAGCACATATGTTGACGCAACGCCTCCGACTGTTGTTGTTGCTAGACTCGTGTAATCTGCGGGGCCGACGAATGTAGTGGTCACTCTCGAAAGCGGCGACGTAGGCAAAATGATCTCTGCGAATGTCGTACCGGCCGATATTATCGTTGTAGTAGACAAGACGCTGCCAGATGTAATGGTGCGGGTAGCTAACGGGGTCGCCACACCGACAACGACATATGTCGTAGGGACGACGCCAAGAAGTCCCAAGTTAATATTTGATGGTAGTGGTACTCGTGTAGCCAATAGATCCGATGAACGTGGTGAAGCTTGTTGAGAGCACTGGAGGCGGTGTTGGCACAACGACTTGAACGACGGTGAATGTGCTCTCTCCAACCCCCAAAATTCCTCCGGTGGCTGTAACGAACGTCGTTGTGAGTGCGACAGAACCCCTTGTTATGGTTGAAGTAGTCGGTGGGTTGCAGAAAGGAAGCACGTTGTTCAAACAGCTGATCACGTTGGACGTGATCGTAGAGTTGAGGACGCCATTGGCAAAACAATTGCCCGCAAACGTGTCTCCGAAGTAGCCCAGGGCGGATTGACAGACGCCTCCAAGATACCCACGGCTAGGGTCACACGCCGAGGGTATGGATTGTACGCAGCGTTGACACAATGGCAAGTGGTTATTCAGACATCCCAAGAAGTCGGTGCCAGTAAATATGTTGAGCAAGGAACTTGTGAAGCAAACGGCGGCATTAGTTGTTCCATAAAGCCCAAGTGCAAGCTGACAAGTGGCTGTGTCTACGGTGCCGAGCACGCTGCCGAGCAGGTTGTTTTGGTTCGATGGTTGACACGAGGACGGTAAACCTGTGAGACAAGCTCTTGTTGTAGGAGTTGCGCCACACCCGGAAACCGATACCGTGGCTATCAATGACGACGGTGCAGCCGCAGCTGATGATGGGCAAATAACGACACTGTCACTCAAGCACCTAAACACGTTGGACCCAGTGAGTGTAGTAAGCGTAGAACTGACGGCGAAACAGAGTGAAGCAATACCCTGGTCCAAAGTCACCGAGCGCTGTCTGACAGGTCCGAAGTAGTGGTTGATGATGGTGTCAAGGACGCTGGTGGTCCCGTTTGAGGATTCTTGCAGGAGTCTTGGAAGGGCTGGTAGACAGTTGGCGCAACTAGGCACTCTGGACTGGATACAATTGTAGACGTTTGCGCCTGTCAGACTCTGCACGAGGCTACCCGTGAAGCAGCCTATGGCGTTAGTTGTACCATAAATACCAAGGGCCGTTTGACAAGCTGCGAGGTCAGCCTGACTAAGGATAGCGGCCGACGAGACCAGAGCTGGAAAATGATTCACAAGGCCGGAGGATAGGTCCGCAGAACTTGCACCATCATACGTGGCGCCTTGGACGCCGTCAAAGATTGGTCGGAACGACGTCTGAAACTACTGACACCCTTGGTGGCTGGTACGGAGACTGTTTGGGAGGACACAACAACAACACTCGGAGCTGCGGAAGAAAGGGAGGATGGCAGGCTCGTTGGCGTGACTGGGATACTGACAGGCGTGTTTGGGATTGGAAGCAGTACTACAACGGTACCCGTTTGGCCGAGCGAGGTTGGCGTCGCAGCAGTCGTTCGCACAGCTGTGGTGATACCGACGGTATACGACGTAATAGTTGTGAAAGGTTGGGGAACTTCTACCAAAACTGTACCGGTCTGTCCTACGGCGGTCGGAATACCCTGAGTTAAGGTAATGATTCCGGTTGCCCCAAGGTCAGGGTTCAAGGACGTGATTGTGACAAAGGGACGTGGAATCTCAATGATTATTGTCCCTGTCTGGCCTGGTCCTGATGGTATCGCTGCAGTTGACGTAATAGTGGCAGTAGCACCACTGACTGGGTTGAAAGAGGTAACGGTAGTGAACAACGAAGGGACTTGGACTATGATGGTTCCAAACTGGCCCGGTGCGGTTGGAACTGCGGCTGTCGATGTGATAGGAATAGAGGCACCGCTAACCGGATTAAGTTGAGTGATGGTAGTGAATTGCGCAGGGACCTGCACTCACAACAGTGCCGACTTGGCCTCGGTGCGGTTGGAATCGCGGCTGTCGATGTGATAGGAATAGAAGCCACCGCTAACCGGGATTTAAGTTGAGTGATGGTAGTGAAAAGCGCAGGGACCTGCACCATCAACAGTGCCGACTTGGCCTGGTGCGGTTGGAAATTCGCGGCTGTGGATGTGGCGGGAGCAGTAAATCCGCTGGCAGAGTTGAGCTGGGTGACGGTGGTGTACTGCGGAAGTACCTGGACCACAACAGTGCCAATATCGCCGGCGTTAGTCGGCAAGGCAATGGTCGTGGTGATTGGAGAAGAAGCGCCGGGAGTAAGATTGAGTGATGTGAGCGTGGTAAAACGCGCGGGAACCTCTATCACTACAGTGCCTGTCTGATTGACGGCAGTGGGCGATGCTAAAGTCCGCGTGGTAGCTGCAGAGATGCCAAGTGCAGTATTGACGGATGTAACAGTGGTGAATTGAGGCGGCAGGAGAACCAACACGATACCTGTCTCACTGATTGCCGTTGGAGAAGTGAGCGTTGCCAGTGGTGGGAAGCGAAGGCGCCAGGGGTCGTATTGAGCGAGGTGATAGTGGTAAATAGAGGCGGTAATCCGACCAACACTGTGCCCGTCTGCCCGATTGCTGTGGGCGGCGAAATTGTGGCAGTGACCGGAAGCGAGGCACCGGGTATTGTGTTCAGGGTTGTAATCGTCGTAAACTGCGGCGGAATTTGTACTACCACTGTTCCAGTTTGTCCGACAGACGATGGCAGCGCAATAGTTGACGTGACGAATGGAGGAGCACCTGCAGTGTTGAGAGATGTGATAGTGGTAAAACAACTCGGGCACTGCGATTATTACTGTGCCAGTTTGACCAACAGCTGTCGGGGTAGCGACTGTTCTAGTGGACTGATGATTGTGCCGTCCGCAGGAAGAAGCGAAGTGACAGTGGTGAACTCAGGAGGTATCTGCAAGACTATCGTAACCTGTACTCGGCCTAACGGCAGTCGGCGCAGAAACAGTCTGACGTAACGATTGCCGAGGGCCCCAATGGTGTTGAGCGAAGTAAGCGTGATGAATTGCTGAGGTATCTGGACAAGCACAGTCCCTGTTTGACCTGGGATAGTTGGTGTTGCAAGAATTGATGTGACCGTCCCTGAAGCTCCAGGTGTGTTCAATGAAGTGAGCGTAGTAAATTGCTGCGGGATCTGGACCAGGATGGTTCCGATTTGCCCTGGAACAGAAGGCGCCGCGAGAGTCGATGTGATTGTCCTTGAAACTCCAGGCGTATTGAACGAAGTGAGCGTGGTGAACAGCTGAGGCACTTCAACGAGTACTGTGCCAGTTTGGCCTGGAAGTGTGGGTACTGCCACAGTCGAAGTGCATTGTGTCCGAGCCATTGGGATTGAAAGCCGTCACTGTTGTGAATAGTGGAGGCAATTCGACGAGGATTGTGCCCGTTTGCCCAGCGAGGCTAGGTGTGGCAATTGTCGATGTGACGGGGCCTGAGATTCCTGTTACCAGCGAAGTGAGGGTGGTAAACAGCAGAGGAACCTGTATGACCACAGTCCCTGTCTGCCCGGGGAGGCTAGGCGTAGTGATCGTCGATGTGATGGGTGCTGAAATTCCAGGAACAAGCGAAGTGAGCGTGGTGAGAAACGCGGGCACCTCGACGACCACGATCCCTGTCTGTCCGATGGCGGTGGGTGTAGCGATAGTTATGGTCGTCGTATTTGATATGCCTGGAACAAGGGAAGTGAGTGTAGTGAATAGCTCAGGCACCTCGACAACCACAGTTCCCGTTTGTCCAATAGCCGTTGGTGTTGCAATGGTTATAGTACTTGGGCTTGGGATTCCCGTAACGCGAGATGTGAGCGTGGTGAAAACTTCAGGCACCTGAACAAATACAGTCCCCGTTTGGCCAAGAAGCGTCGGGGATGCTGTACGGACGGAGGTGGTTTGTGCCATTGTAGAGTGAGCTAAATCGTTGTAAATATTTCTGGTACGCGAAACAATGACAGTGCCAATTTGGCCGATCGCAGTGGGGCGTGGCAATGGGTCTCTGTTGTACTAGCTCCGCCAGTCGTGTCGAGAGAAGTTACGGTAGTGTACTGTTTGGGGAACTTGCGACCAGCACTGTTCCCTATTTGGCTGAATTGCACTTGGTCTCGCAAGCGTGGCTGTTGAGAGGACCGAGTTATTTGCCGGTGCGAGTGTGGAGATGGTCGTAAACTGAGCAGGTACCTGCACAACAATTGTGCCCGTCTCACCAGCCAAAGTTGGGAAAGCGATTGTTGTCGTGGAGGTCGTCAAACCGTCATAGAGCTCGCTGATTGTTTGAAATTGACGCGGGAACAGGACAAGTACAGTTCCAATCTCGCCAATGCGGCTTGGGGTTGCAGTAATCGTCGAAGCGGTTGAGCCTGCAAAGATCGAGGTAATGGTTGTGAAAGACTGGGGCACCTGCACGATGACAGTGCCAAATTCGTTGACGGCACTGGGAATTGCAACAGTTGCGGTCGTCAAGGCCGAACCAGGGTATAATGAGCTGAGTGTGGTGAAGCGAGCTGGAACTTGAACAATTACAGTGCCAGTTTGATCAGTTCCGTTTGGCAGGGCAATAGTTGCAGTGTTTAATACAGAGCCGCCATACAGAGTGGTGATGGGTTGTGAAGAATTGGGGAACCTCTACAAGAACGGTGCCAGTTTGACCAGGGCTGCTAGGGGTTGCAATTGTTGAAGTGATAGGAATGGAGCCCCCATAAAGCGAGGTGACCGTTGTGTATTGAGCTGGCACATCGACAAACACCGTACCGATTTCTCCAGGTAGACTTGGCGTGGCAACTGTCCGAGTGATTGGAACAGACCCAGCGTAGAGCGAGCTGATCGTTGTAAATTGGGTGGGCAATTGCACTAACACGGTGCCGGTGGCTCCAGGGGTGCTGGGTGTTGCAAGCGTCGCAGTCGTGGGTGTGAGGCCAGTGTAGAACGAGGTAAGGGTCGTGAAGAACTGGGGCACCTGCACGAGTATGGTACCCGTCTCTCCAGCAGCACTTGGGGTAGCGAGTGTAGACGTAGTGGGAACAAGCCCAGAGTAGAACGAAGTAATCGTCGTGAACGCTCGAGGAACTTGTACGAGCACTGTGCCAGTCTCCCCAGGAGCGCTTGGCGTGGCAAGTGTTGAAGTAGTGAATACGGCTCCAGTGTAAAATGAGGTAAGCGTAGTGAAGGCTTGAGGTACTTGCACGAGCACGGTACCAGTTTCTCCCGGGGATACTCGGAGTGGCGAGTGTTGACGTTGTAGAGGCAAGTCCGGGAGTAAAAGGAGGTAATGGTTGTGAAAGGCCCGGGGCACTTGCACGAGCACAGTACCTGGTCTGCCCCTGGAAGGCTGGGCGATAGCGATCGTTTCGAATGGCTGTAGTCAGTCCTGTGTAGAAGAACGAAGTGACCGTAAACAAACCTGCTCCGGCAATTGCACAATAATTGTACCAGTCTCTCCAGGACGAGTCGGTGTGGCCACCGTTCTTGTGAGAATTGCAGAGCCGTTGTACGGATTGACGATTGTAGTAAATTGCTGGGGCAGCTCTACGAGCACGGTGCCTGTTTGTCCTGGTAGACTTGGGGTGGCGATTGTTGCTGTGACGGCGGAGGATCCAGTATATAGCGATGTGAGCGTTGTAAAGACAAGTGGGACCTGAGGCACCTGTACGATGACAGTACCCGTCTGGCCTCGTATACTTGGTAGAGCAGCTGTAGAAGTTACGACTGCTGTTCCGGAATACGTCGATGTAATCGTCGTAAACTCGAATGATGGTTGCTGCGGAACTTGCACGATAATTGTACCTGTTTGGCCTGGAAGGCTTGGGACTGCTGCGGTGGACGTCAACACCGCTGTACCAGAATAGGTCGAGGTAATTGTCGTAAAATCGTACGGCAGCTGTTCTGGCACTTGCACGATAATTGTTCCCGTTTGACCTGGTAGACTTGGGATAGCCACCGTAGAGGTGAGCACTGCAGTCCCAGAATATCTTGATGTGACAGTCGTAAATTCGTACGGCAGTTGCGGAACCTGGACCACGATTGTTCCTGTTTGCCCTGGCAGGCTTGGAATGGCCGCAGTGGATGTCACCACCGCTGTCCCAGAATACGTCGATGTGAATGTGACAAATTCGTACGGCAGTTGCGGTACCTGAACCACAACTGTTCCAGTTTGCCCTGGCAGGCTTGGAATGGCCGCAGTGGATGTAAGAGTCAATGTGCCAGAATATGTAGAGGTGATAGTTGTGAAATTGAACGGCAACTGGGGTACCTGGATAATGATAGTCCCCGTCTGCCCTGGTGACGTTGGAATAGCTACAGTTGAGGTGAGGGTCAAGGTGCCAGAATAGGTCGAAGTAATCGTCGTGTAATCAAAAGCAGAAGGTAACTGGGGCACCTGGATAATGACGATTCCCGTTTGACCCGATGCGGTGGGAGTAACAGCAGTTGAAGTGACAATCGCGGTTCCAGAGTACGTCGAAGTAATCGTCGTGTATTCGAAAGCAGACGCCGCTTGAGGCACCAATACGACAACTGTTCCGGTTTGCCCTGGTAGGATTGGAGTAGCAGCTGTAGACGTGAGAGTAGTTGAGCCAGAGTATGTTGAAGTAATCGTTGCGATAGGACGGCAGCTGTTGGGGCACCTGTACCAAAACAGTGCCTATCTGGCCAGGCAAACTCGGGTTCGCAATGGTAGCAGTGGTGAGAACGGAGCCAAGGTACGTGGTAGTAATCGTCACAAATAGCAGAGTTGGCTGGGGTATCTGAATCAAGACAGTGCCTGTTTGGCCGATAGTTGAGGGAGTTGCAATGACAGACGTGGCGGTCGTGGATCCATTATAGGTCTCCGTGACTGTGGTAAAGGCCAACGGCTGCTGCGGTATCTGCACTAATACAGTGCCTGTTTGGCCAGCAAGAGATGGAGTAGCAATGGTCAATGTAGCGGATATTAGCCCACTGTACGTTTCCGTGATTGTTGTAAAGGCAAGTGATGGCTGCGGTACTTGAATGAGTACAGTGCCGGTTTGTCCAGCAAGAGATGGGGTGGCAAGAACGGATGTAGCGGTTGTTGAACCATTATACGTTTCTGTGATGGTGGTGAATGCGAATGTTTGCTGCGGTACCTGTACGACTACAGTACCAGTCTCACCTGGGAGGCTGGGCGTGGCCAATGTCCGTGTGGCGGTTATGGGGCCAGCATAAGTCTCTGTAATCGTCGTGAAAGCAGGTGCTTGTGGCACTTGCACTATCACGGTACCAATATCGCTAGGTAGCGTTGGCGTCGCTATCGTCGCGGTCCTGGTAGTGGAGCCAGGATAAGTTGAAGTCAAAGTAGTGAACAAGGGCGTATTTGCCAACGTCTGAGGCACCTGGACCACCACGGTGCCAATATCACCAGGCAGCGTCGGTCTATCTATCGTAATGGTGGCGATTATAGAGCCAGAGTAAGTAGAAGTCAGGGTGGTAAAGGAGAGCGCAGTTTCCAACGTCAAAGGCACCTGCACAAGTACGGTGCCAACTTGTCCGGACAATGTCGGCGTAGCAATTGTCGCTGTTGTGATCACGGAGCCTGAGTAAGCTGAGGTCAACGTAGTATAAGAGAGCACGTTTTCCAACGTCGAAGGTACTTGCACAAGCACAGTGCCCACTTCTCCAGTGTAACGAAGGCGTAGCAATGGTTGAGGTTGTAATCGTCGATCCAGAGTAGGTTGATGTCAGAGTGGTGAACAGACGCGTCTGAGGCACCTGCACAATTACAGTGCCAATTTGACCGGGGAGGGATGGCGTTGCAGTTGTTAAAGAAATGACTGATCCAGAGTACGTGGAGGTAATTGTGGTGAACGAAGGAGTTTGTCCAAGGGTCTGCGGCACTAACACGACCACAGTACCAAGCTGACCAGAAAGAGGCAGTGCTTCAGTAATGGTAGCTATGGTCAATCCAGGGTACGTAGAGGTGATTGTGGTGAATGATAGCGCTTCTGCAAGGGACTGCGGCACCTGCACAATTACAGTTCCGATTTGGCCAGATAGCGAAGGGGCTGCAGTGGTTGTGGCGACGACTGATCCAGAGTACGTTGAGGTAATCGTGGTGAAAGACAGAGCTTCTGCGAGAGATTGAGGCACCTGTACAATTACAGTGCCAACTTGGCCGGGCAGGGTAGGGACTGCCACGGTAGACGTGGAAGTAGTCGAACCAAAGTACGTTGCAGTAATGGTTGTGAAGGACAAAGCGTTGCTAAATGTTTCAGGCACTTGCACAACTACGGTACCAATCTGGCCGGACAGGGTAGGCACTGCCACTGTAGATGTGGCGACAGTTGAGCCAGAATATCTCGAGGTAACTGTCGTGAAGGACAGAGAGCTATCGGCGACTGATTGAGGCAACTGTACGACTACAGTCCCAATTTGACCGGGCAGGGTCGGGACTGCCACGGTAGACGTGGCAATGGTTGTGCCTGAGTACGCCTCGGTGATCGTCGTGTATTGCAACGCGTCAGCAAGCGACAGCGACTGCGGTACTTGCACAAGTACGGTGCCAATCTGGCCAGAAACTGTGGGAACAGCCAAGGTGGATGTAGCGATGCTTGTGCCTGAGTAGGCCTCGGTGATAGTAGTGTATTCCAACGCATCGGCAACCGTCTGAGGGATTTGTACGATGACAGTGCCGATCTGCCCGGGAAGGCTAGGCACCGCCGCTGTTGAGGTAGCTATACTTGTTCCGGAATAGAAAGATGTGATCGTAGTGTACACGGGTACATTCGCGAGCGACTGGGGAATCTGAACAATAACAGTACCAATCTGTCCAGGAGTGCTAGGCACCGCCGCCGTCGAAGTGGCAATATTCGTCCCAGAATAGAAAGATGTGATCGTCGTGTACTGAGGTACATTCGAGAGAGATTGAGGGATCTGCACGATGACGGTACCGAGTTGTCCTGGAAGGCTGGGAATGGCTGCAGTTGATGTCGCTACGCTCGTCCCAGAATAGAACGATGTAATTGTGGTGAACCCAAGAGCCGCGTTGCAAGCGTCTGCGGAACTTGGATGATGACCGTACCGACCTGCCCTGGGAGACTAGGTATCGCTGCCGTCGAAGTGGCTACAATCGTTCCTGGGTATAGAGATGGTAATCGTGGTAAATGCAAGACCTGGCAGCAAGAGTCTGCCGGGGATCTGAACGATGACAGTACCGATCTGTCCCGGAAGACTAGGTAATGCAGCCGTCGAGGTTGATATACTTGTTCCGGGAATAGAATGAAGTTATCGTGGTGTACTGAAGCGCCTGTGGGACTTGAACAACAACAGTGCCGGTTTGACCAGCAAGGCTCGGGGTGAACAGGGTCGAGGTGGCCACCAACGAGCCAGAATACAGGCTGGTGATAGTTGTGTAAACCACTGCCTCGGGCACCTGTACGACTATTGTACCGATTTGTCCTGAAAGGCTGGGTTGTATCGTAGCAGTAGTCAAAGTAGATCCAGCGTTAGGTAGAAGTCACTGTGGTAAACTGCTGAGTCTGAAGTTCTCCGACGAAGACCGTACCGGTTTGACCCCGGCAGACTTGGGAACAATGTTCTTGTTGTCGCAGACGAACCAGTGTATGGAGTGGTGATTGTGGTGAACCTAAGACTGTCTGGTATCTGAATAAATGACAGTACCCGTCTCTCCGGGACGAGTTAGGTGTTATCGTAGAGGTAGTCAAAGTCGATCCTGCATATGTAGAGGTGAGTGTGGTAAACTGCAGCGCTTGTGGTACCTGCACTATCACCGTACCGATTTGCCCTGGAAGACTAGGACTGAATAGTGTTGCCGTAGTCAAGATTGTTCCAGTGTAAGGCTCAGTGATGGTGATGAATTCCAGTGCCTCGGGTATCTGAACGATAATCGTACCAGTTTGTCCAGGGAGAGAAGGAGAAAAGGCTGTCGAGGTCGCGATGGTCGACCCTGCGTACAGAGAGGTGATGGTAACGAATGGGCGAGTATCCGGGATCTGCACCACGATTGTACCCGTCTGGCCAGGCAGAGAGGGAGAGAAAGCTGTTGAGGTGGCAATACTTGAGCCTGCGTAAAGAGAGGTGACTGTGACAAATGGGCGGGTCTCTGGAATCTGCACCACGATAGTACCAGTCTGGCCGGGGAGGCTAGGTGTGAAAATAGTCGATGTTGCAATCGTCGAACCAGAGTAGAACGAAGTAACAGTAGCGAAAAGCTGCTGTGGCACATCAACAATGATGGTGCCGATTTGGCTAAGATTCGGCAAAGCAACTGTCGTTGTGCTCGGTATAGATCCACTGTATGTTCTCGTAAGGGTTGTAAACTCGAATCCTTCGGGGATGTCAACAATGACGGTGCCGACCTGGCTCAGAGTAGGAAGAGCGACAGTTGTCGTGCTGGGTGTGATTCCAGCATATGTCCTTGTGATCGTAGTAAAGGCAGGCTGTTGGGGAACATCAACAATAACGGTGCCAAGCTGGCCAAGTGTGGGAAGAGCGACAGTTGTCGTGCTGAGCGTAGATCCGGCATAGGTCCTTGAGATAGTTGTGAAATCAGGCTGCTGGGGGACATCAACAATGACAGTCCCGACCTGGCCAAGTGTAGGAGTAGCTACTGTTGTCGTACTTGGTGTAGATCCGGCATATGTTCTGGTGAAAGTGGTGTAACCAAGCTGCTGTGGTACGTCCACGACGATGGTGCCAATCTGGCCAAGAGTTGGGGTGGCCAGCGTAGAAGTAACAGGAGTGGAGCCAGCATATGTCCTAGTGATAGTCGTAAACTGTGCCGCACTTGGAATCTCAATGAGAACAGTCCCAGGCTGCCCCAGAGTCGGCGTAGCGATCGTTGCCGTAACAGTCGCTGAGCCCGAGTAGAACGATGTGATCGTAGTAAAGCCACTGGCTTCCGGAACCTGAACAACAATAGTACCGATTTGGCCTGGTAGACTCGGAATAGCAGCTGTTGATGTAGCAACGACCGACCCAGTGTAGGTTGAAGTGATAGTCGTAAATGCTGTCGAGGTGGGAACCTCAACAACTACAGTACCTGGCCGGCTTAGGGCAGGTGAAGCGATTGTTGTCGTGCGTGTTGTTGAGCCTGAGTAGAATGATGTTGCCGTGTTCAAGTATAGGCTTAATGGAACCTGGACAAGGACTGTACCAGTTTGGCCAGGCAGACTTGGCGTAGCAACGGTCGATGTGGTAGCTTCATCTCCGTCGTAGATCGCAGTGATGGTGATGATGGCGAACCGGTCCCGAGGGACTCGCACGAGCACAGTACCCTCAAGCTCAAGTGTTGGGGCTGCAATGATCGCAGTTGTGGTGACCGAGCCCTCGTAGAAAGAGGTGAGAGTAGTGAAGCCTGTGGATTGTGATGGAATCTGCACAACCACAGTTCCAGGCTGCCCGGCAGTTGGAACAGCGACAGTCGCCGTAGTTGTTGCTGAGCCAGAATAGAACGAGATGACTGTAGTAAATTGGATAGCATTTGGAGTACTTTGGGCGGCGGTGCTGAGCGTCGGCGCAGCGATAGTGGAAGGTATTTCGACTAGCACAGTGCCTAGTTGTCCTGAAGAAGGCAAAGCAAGAGTTGCTGTCAGAGTGGCTGAACCAGGGTAGAACGAAGTAAGAGTTGTGTATGACGCTGGAATGGAAGCGCCGCTTGCCAATGTTGCGGCATTAGAGGGAATCTCCACCAGTACAGTGCCAAGCTGTCCTAGAGACGGTAGAGCAAGAGTGGATGTCAAAGTAGCTGAGCCAGAATAGAAGGAAGTAAGAGTTGTGTACGACAACCGGCTTGAGGTGCTGCTGCCGGATGGCGTTGCAACGCTGTAAGGTACTTCAACAAGGACAGTCCCAAGCCCCCCGAGGAGGCCAGGAGAGGCAATTGTCCTTGTAATTGCTACTGATCCAGAATATAAGGTCGTGATAGTGGTGTAACCATTTGGAAGCCCAACGCTAGACAGCCCTGGTAGGATATTGCTAGTAGGCAACGATACCGCGATTGGCAGTGAGACGCTGATAGGCACCGACGCAGAAACTCCTGTAGGCAGTAAAGTGTTGGAAGGCAAAGATATCGTGGGCAGGGACAGCCCTGTCAATATTGATGACCCTGTAGGCAGAACGATTCCGGTCGGTCCTGAAACTTCCAATGGAAGCGATACCGATGGCAGCGATACGAATGGTAGTGAGATCGATGGCACAGAAAACGATTGCAGCGAGACGCTTGATGCCACAGAGACTTCTGTGGGCTGTGATAGACCTAGAGGAAGCGAGAAGAGAGATGATTGGGGAATACCTGTGGGCAATACGATACCCGTGGGTAGCGAAAAGTCAGAGGGCAGGGAAAGGTTTGCAGGCAAGGAACTGGGCAACGTGACGTCTGACAGAAGTGAACTCAGTGCAGACGCACCAGTTGGCAGAGAGGTGATGCCTGCACTAATCTCCGACAAAAGTGAGCTCAAGGCTGCTGCATCAGACGGCAGAATTTCTGATGGAAGTAACGAAGCAGTGGCGTTGGGTTCCGACAGCAATGAGCTTAGAGCGGATACACCAGTTGGGAGGAACGTGTAGCTTGTACCAAGCCTGGAAATGAGAGAACTCAGTTGGGCTAAGTCCGATGGCAAAGGTTCGGATGGCTGCGACGTAATACCGATGTTGATGCTCGAAGGTAAAATTCCGGATGGTAGCGATGTTATATTTGCATCAGCTTCTGAGATGAGCGAGCTGAGCGCTGAAGCACCAGATGGTAGAGATACAGGTGAAATAGATGAAATTGCTCCAATTCCGGAAAGCAGCGAGCTCAGTGCGGATACATCTGAGGGCAGACCGGTGATCGCAGGTGCGCTGATATCGGACAACAGTGCGCTAGGTGCCGAGGCTCCAGTAGGGAGTGGCGTGATTACGGGAAGACTGGCTTCCGAGAGAAGAGAGCTCAGTATACCTGACGGCAAATCTCCAATGACAGATACACTGGCTTGTGACAGTGCCGAGCTCAACAAGTCTGATGGCAGCGACACGCTAATCTCTGGCAAAAAGGAGCTTAATGCTGAAATTTCAGTCGGAAGCGAGGTAATGGTAGGAAGACTGACCGCCGAGAGGAGAGAGCTAAGGGCGCCAGATGGCAAACCTCCAATATTGGATACACTAGCCCGTGAAAGTATAGAACTAAGCAGATCTGATGGTAGTGATACACTGATCTCAGGCGGTGTGGAGGTTAGTGTAGAAACTCCGATGGGCAGCGAAGTGATAGCAGGAAGACTGGCTACTGAAAGGATAGAGCTTAAGATACCGGATGGAAGATCGCGGATGGCAGAGACACTGGCATCTGAGAGAATAGAGCTGAGCACGTCCGACGGTAGAGGTATGCTGATTTCGGGTACGATGGTGCTGAGACTTGGTGCACCAGTCGGTGGTCCAGTGATTACAGGAAGACTGAGACCCGAGAGAATTGAGCTCAGGACACCAGACGGTAGATCACTAACCGCGGACACACTGGCGCCGGCGAGAATGGAACTGAGCACATTTGACGGAAGAGCTGTGCCAATGTCCGAGATTATAGAACTGATGGCAGCTGCGTTCGTAGGCAATGCAGTGAGGGTGGAGAGACCGATGTCCGACGTGATAGAACTGAGAATACCGGACGGTAGATCGCTTATCGCTGGCACACTGGCACCGGAGATGACGGAGCTCAGAAGATCTGATGGAATACCAGAAAAGATTGAGCTGATGTCGGGTGTGCTGATTGGCAATGATGTGACCGCAGGGGGGGTGACACCTGACAGGATAGAGCTGAGTATTCCGGACGGAAGATCGCTTATTGCTGTTACACTGGCCTCGGCGAAGATCGAGCTCAACAAATTCGACGGGATACTTGATAGGACAGGGCTCAATGTCAGTGTGCCAGTGGGCAATGGATTTATCGTAGCCAGGCTGAGATCTGAAAGGATGGAACTCAAAGCACCGGAAGGCAAGTCGCTAATTGCTGGCACACTGGCCTCAGAGAGGATTGAGCTTAATACACCAGATGGTAGCGCCGTACCAAGCTCCGAGAGAAGCGAGCTAAGATCACCACCAGTCGGCAAGCTGGGGCTTACGGGGGAGCTGGTGATCACAGGTATGTTGATTGTTGAAAGCAGTGAACTGAGAAGGCCAGATGGCAGGTTGCTGAGTGTCGGTACACTAGCTTCGGAGAGAATGGAGCTAAGCACGCCTGATGGCAGTGCTGTAACAAGATCAGATAAGATGGAGCTGAGGGCGACTCCGGTCGGTAAGCCTGTGGCCACGGGCAGACTTCCATCGGACAAAAGTGAGCTCAGAACGTCTGAAGGTGATAAAATGGAGCTTATATCGATGCCAGTCGGTAAGCCAGTGATAGCGGGTAAGCTTGCACCGGAAAGAATTGAGCTTAAAACGTCCGAAGGCAGTGCTGTAGCGATACCCGACCAATATAGAACTTTCAACTCCAGAGGGCAAGGCTGTAGCTAGAGACACACCTACACCCGACAGGACCGAGCTCAAGATGTTCGATGGCAATGCTGTAGCGGCAGGAAGGCTTATACCCGACAGAATCGAGCTCAAGAGGTCTGAAGGCAGTATTGTAGCAGTCGCTGACAAGACGGCGCTTTCGGCCCCTGTCGGTAAGCTTGGAGCGACAGGCAGGCCTGACAAGATTGAGCTCAGGGTATCTGAAGGTAAAGCTGTTGCGATGGCTGATAAAATGGAGCTTTCGAGTCCTGTCGGGAGATTTGTAGCCGCAGGTAAGCTGGCGCCCGAAAGAATTGAGCTGAGAACATCTGAAGGCAAAGCGGTTGCAAGTCCCGATAGGATAGAGCTTATATCAACAATAGTCGAGAGACCGGTAGCAACAGGCAGGCTTAGGTCGGATAGAACAGAACTCAACACACCTGATGGCAGAGCTGTGTCGATTCCCGATAAAACAGAGCTCAAAGCAGCATCCACTGGCACGCTGGTGATTACAGGAAGGCTTACGGGAGACAAAATCGAGCTAAGAACACCTGATGGCAAAGCCGTTCCGATCTGCGACAGCACTGAGCTCAACTCGACCTCAGTCGGCACACTAGTAACGACAGGAAGGTTTATGGTGGATAATATCGAGCTGAGAACTCCTGACGGCAAAGCTGTTCCAATCTCCGACAGAACTGAGCTCAAATCGACAACGGTCGGCACGCTGGTTGCAGCGGGCAAGTTCGCGTCTGACAAGATCGAGCTCAAAAGGCCCGATGGCAGAGCTGTAGCAATTTCAGATAGGACGGAGCTGATGTCAACACTGGGTTTGGAAGTAGAAACTACTGGTTGTGTCGCGACCGAGAGTAAGGAGCTGAGCAGGCCAGAAGGTAGGTCCTCGATCACGGACACACTCGATGGCAGAGTTATGCTGAGTTGCGAGAGAATCGAGCTGGTATCAACACTGACCGACACTCTAGTAACGACAGGCAGGGTCGCGGCCGAAAGCAAGGAACTGAGCACTCCAGAGGGTAAATCTTCGATTACAGATACACCCGATGGTAGAGTCACGCTGAGCTCCGAGAGAACAGAACTCAAAGCAGCAGCGCCGCTGGGAAGACTGGTCACCACGGGTCGGCTTACGTCGGGAAGCGGGGAGTTGATTGCAGACAGACCCGTTGGCAAAATAATGCTGAGTTCCGAGAGAATTGAGCTGAGAGCTGCGCCACTTGGAAGACTGGTCACTATGGGTAGACTTGCGCCAGAAAGCAGGGAACTTAGTAAGCCAGAAGGCAAGTCGCTGGCCGCCGATGCACCCGCTGGAAGAGTAATGCTGAGATCTGCGAGGATAGAGCTGAGAGCGGTACCAGTTGGAAGATCGGTCACAGCGGGCAGGCTGGGCGAGCTGACTCCTGGAAGGAGCGAGCTCAGAATATCTGATGGCAGATTGCTTGTTGCCGAAGCACCGACTGGTAGCGTGATACTGAGATCTGATAAAATGGAGCTAAGGGCGGCATCAGTAGGAATGGGAAGACTGGTTACTGTGGGCAAGCTGGCTGCTGAAAGAATGGAGCTTAGAATGTCCGATGGTAGAAGCGAATTGAGACCGTCTGATGGTAGACTGCCTATTGCAGAGATGCCCGATGGAAGCGTGATGCTAAGACCTGACAAGATGGAGCTCAGCGCATTACCAGGTGGGTAATCCGGTAAGTGCAGGCAAACTGGCTACCGGAAGCAGTGAGCTGATAGCATCCGAAGGGAGAAGCGAGCTAGGTACGGCTGATGGCAGAAGCGAAGCACCCGGTGGCAGAAGCGAGCTCAAGACATCTGATGGTAGACCGCTTATCGTAGGAACGCCGGATGGGACGGTTATGCTAAGCTCTGCGAGGATGGAGCTCAAAGCAATATTAGTCAATGACTCGGTGATCACGGGTAAGCTGGCACCCGAGAAAAGCGAACTCAACACGTTGGATGGGAGCTTTCCCAGATCGGAAATTCCAGACGGAAGAGTTATACTGATTCCTGAGAGTAGCGAGCTGAGTGCACCACCAGTTGGTAAGCCTGTGATGATGGGCAAGCTAGCGTCCGCTACGATGGAACTCAAATCGGCTGTTGGAAGACCAGAAACGCCAGAAGGAACTGCCGCGCTTAGCTCCGAAAAGAGCGAGCTCAGTACAATGCCAGTTGTTGGCAAGCTTGAGGGTATTGGCAAGTTCGCATCAGATAGAATAGGGCTGAGAATGCCCGAGGGCAGGCCGCTTAAGCCAGAAACACCAGGCGGAAGTGTTACACTTATGCTTGAAAGCAGGGAACTAAGTGCTTCACCAATCGGTAAGCTTGTGATAGCTGGCAAGCTGACACCAGGAAGGCTTGATCCCAAAATGCCGGACGGCAGGCCGCTTATTGCCAAAGTACTGGATGGAAGCGCTGCACTAATCTCCGCAAGTAGTGAACTAAGCTCAGATGCCACGGTTGGCACTGCGGTAATCACAGGAACGCTAAACCCAGATGGAAGGGAGGTGATGTCTGCATTGATCTGCGAGAGCAAAGAGCTGAGATCGGGAACGTTGGTCGATAGAACATCAGATGGTAAAGCTGCGCTGATTCGCGAAAGCAGTGAGCTGAGCTCAGACGCGCCAGTAGGCACTGCAGTAACTGCTGGGACACTGACTCCAGATGGAAGGGAGGTAATGCCTGCGTTAATTTGTGAGATCAGCGAACTCAGATCGGGAATGCTAGTCGGTAGAACGTCAGAGGGCAAAGCTGCACTGATCTGCGAAAGAAGCGAGTTGAGCTCAGACGCGCCGGTCGGCAGTGCGGTAATCGCTGGGACGCTGACCCCAGGTGAGAGGGAAGTGACACCTGCGTTAATCTGTGATAGCAACGAGCTCAAGTCAGGAACACCGGTCGACAAAGCGACAGAGGGCAAAGCTGCACTCAGTTCTGAAAGTAGAGAGCTAAGCCCAGACGCATCAGTTGGCAGCGCAGTGACTGCAGGTAAAACGCTTCTGGTTGGAATCGTGATACCTACATTAATCTCTGACAGTATAGAGCTCAGATTAGGAACACTGGCCGATGGGGCTGACGGTAAAGCTGCACTCAGTTCTGAAAGCAGCGATCCGAGCTCGGATGCACCGGTTGGCAACGCAGTGATGGCAGGCAAACTTTTTGCAGATGGATTTGTGATACCTGCATTGATCTCTGATAGCAGTGAGCTTACATCGAGGACACCGGTCGATAAGCTAGATGGTAGAACTGCACTCAGTTCTGAAATAAGCGAACCGAGCTCGGATGGCAATGCAGTGATAGCAGGTACAGTATTTGTGGCTGGAATAGTGACACCTGCGTTGATTTCCGACAATAGCGAGCTCAAATCAGGTACAATGGTTGATAGGCCAGACGGCAAAGCTGTACCCAGTTGCGAAAGTAGCGAACTCAGCGCCGATACGCCAGTTGGTAGCGCGGTGACCAAGGAAGGGCTGAGTCCAGATGGCGCTGAGGTAATTCCCGCGTTTATCTCTGAAAGCAGGGAGCTAATTGCAGGAACGACGGCTGATAAAACGCTAGATGGTGAGTCGCTGACCACACTAACACCAGTTGGAAGAGCTGCACTGATCCCTGAGAGTAATGAGCTGAGCTCAGATACATCACTCGGCAATGCTGTTACTTCAGGCAAACCGATTCCTGCCGGGATTGATGTAACTCCTGCGTTAATTTCGGAGAGGAGGGAGCTGATGGCGGAGACTCCAGACGGCAAGACGCCCGATGGTAAATCACTAATGGCGGAAATACCGGACGGTAGACCCACGCTGACGCCGGAGAGCAAGGAGCTGAGTGCAGGAAGGCCGGTTGTTGGAACCACAGTTGGTATACCACTGATGGAGGCATCAGACGGAAGAGCAGCGCCGATTTCCGAAAGCAAAGAACTAAGCGCAGAGATACCAGATGTCGGAAGAGCAGATGGCAAAACACTGATAGAGGCATCAGACGGAATCGCAGCGCCAATGTCTGAGAGCAGAGAGCTGAGCGCAGAAATGGCAGACGTTGGGAGCACAGTTGGTAGTCCGCTAATGGCGGATAAGCCAGACGGAAGAGCAGCACTAAGTTCTGAAAGTAGAGAGCTGAGCACTGGAATACCAGATGTCGGGAGGACAGGAGGTAAACTGCTAAATGTGGAGACACCAGATGGAAGGACAGCACCAATTCCCGAAAGTATGGAGCTGAGCGCAGCAATTTCGGATGTTGGAAGAGCAGTCGGCACGCCGCTGATGGAGGAAACACCAGATGGAAGTGCAACACCAATTTCGGACAGTACGGAACTTAGCGCAGTAATGTCAGATGTCGGAAGAACGGTTGGAATGCCGCTAACGCCGGACGCGGCTGATGGCAGAATTGAACTTAATTCTGCGAGTAGCGAACTGAGAGCAGAAACACCAGTCGTGGGGAGAACAGTTGGGACGCCACTGACACTGGACGGTAGAATTGCACTGATGCCCGAGAGAATTGAGCTGAGATCAGGGATGCTAGCTGTCGGTAAAATAGACGGCAGGTCACCAACACCAGATGGGCCAGACGGCAGAGCAGCACTAATCTGTGAGAGCAAGGAGCTGATGGCAGGAACACCTGTTACTGGGCTACCAGAAGGCAAACCATTAATGCCAGAAACATCGGGCGGCAAAGCTGCACTGATCTCAGAAATCACTGAATTGAGGCCAGAAACAACGCTCGAGAGCGCGGTAGGCAGAGCTGGTGAAGACGTGATGCCTGCATTTAAATCCGAGAGCAACGAGCTGACCACTGAAACGCCAGTCGGCAATACAGCACCTGATGGAAGGCCGGTGAGGCTAACACCAAGCTCCGACAATAACGAGCTAAGTGCAGAAGGCAGTGTACCATCTGTAGGCAGGGGAAGTCCTGTCGGTAGGTCTGAACGCAGGGGGTTGCTCAATGGCAGCGAGGCACCTACCGAGATGCCCACGGATAGCGAAACTCCAACTGGTGGTATCGAGGCGGAGGTGAAACCTGGAGACAGAGAGAAGTCGCTCGGTAAGCTCAGGCCAGATTGCAGCGGTATACTGGCAGGTAGCGATAAGCTAGTTGAAAATTGATTTCCAGTCGTTGGCAATGAAACGTCTGAAAATGGAAGTGAGACATCCAAGATAGAAGATATATCCGAGGCGAGGGAAATGTCTGAAGCGAGTGTACCCGAAACGAGTGAGCTGTCTGAAGGGAGGGAGAGGCATGGATGGTATAGAGATTTCCGCAAGGTATCGAAACGCCTGAAGGTAGAGAGGTAATGCTGCCGACCTGGCCGGGAACAAGCACAAGAATTGTAGTTATGGCGTTGGGATCCAACGAGTTCGGATTTGGAAGCGTTTGTGTGGTCAAAACCGCGCCGACGTTACTCTGAGTCTGGGTCAGGGTGACGAATCTCCGAGTCAGTGTATTCGTTATTGTGGAATAGGCTGTGACGATTGTGCTGAGCAATGTGGGCGCGTTGTTGACTGTGATGGGAACGTTGTATGGTAGCGGGGTGATCGTGGTGTTTGTGGTAATCGACGTGATCACCTCAACCGGCTGCCCGAAGACTGTTGGCTGAGGCTCGTATTCGACCGTATACTGCGTGGGACATGAAGGCTGTATTTGTTGCGGCTCCTGTCTTGCGAAAAACCTGGGTTTCCATGCAGAGGCTGCCAGCGGCAGCGTTTGCACGACGAGACCAACTGACCCCTTCATGACGGCAAAGATAATACTTGGCAGTCGTAGAGTAGGTTGGACTCACTTTGGGCGCGAGGTACCTCTCCAATATCATAATTGAGCATCGCCATGTCCCGCTCACTATATTGCTTGGTAAAAACGGTACACATTCCGGGTGCACGGCTGTGAGGGCAAAGGGGCAAAGGGTATAAGTCGTGCATTTCTGATCAAGCACGACTGTGTGGGGAAGCTTGTCAGGGTTCACGGAATGGAATGGGATTCAATGCTTCTTCAAAACTGCGATGGATGAAGCCAACTGTGAACTCTTTAGACGCACTGGTAGAATCTGTTACCTAGTGATAAGCAGACGCGCATGATACTTCGACTCGCTCTCACCCCAAAGCGCGAATTTGTTGTGCACATGCTGACCTAGTGATGGAAAATTTGATGATAGTGTGAAGGGAAGGGACAACCGTGGCGTGTTCTGGGGGAAACTTGGCGTGCTCTTAGCTCGTACACTTTCGGCCTAGCCGCCGATCCGCCCAGCCAGCAACTTCAATACATAAGCAGAGCAGACTTCGCGGCACTTCTCTGAGCTTCCCCAACCCTGAACTGCGTGTGCTCCCCTATTCCCAACAGTTGCCATACGAACAGCTTCGCCACCGAGGGTGTGCCACGATACGACCGAACATACCCGAAGCCAGGGACCACATGTAACCTACGAACCGTCACACATCACCCAGAACCTCTCCTCGCCTGCCCGGCCATTCTGAAGAGTCCGATAGTCCTTTAGCGCTGCGTGGCAAAGGGTCGAGGTCGTAAGCTGCGGTGCATACCACGCGTAATCTCTGTACACATAGCACGGAGTTGTTCGCAAGCAAGGTCATGGAATGTCCCCATCAGCATCTAATTGCTTCACTGTGCACTGCCAAAGGATAGAGACTTTTGGTACTTAAATCTGTCGCTGCTCGTAAATCTGTTGGCCGCCCACCCTCTTCAGCTTGTATCATTAAATCACTCGCTCTCATACAATTTGGCTCCCCTCAAGTCCTTCCACGTCTCGCGTCACTTAGACGCTCGTCCTTCTCGACAGTCCTCAAAAAATCAATTCAACAATACGAAACATCAATTCGGTAAGGTTGGTACATTATGCGTTTACTAAATTATCTAGTATACAACATGCCGGACGGTGCGTGGCTGTCCGGGTCTGCGCCTCCAGGTGGGTCTCAAGGTTTGTCAAGGCGCGCATCGCCCGGGACAGCCACCATTGCGACCGTCACCGTTTCCGTGAACGCAGGTAAGTCCATGGCCGAAGTGACTCCATCCATCGTGAAACGCCAAAATCCACTGGCTTGTACTACAACCATCACGGTAAGTCCGACGACAACGGTATATTCCATCAACAGTTTGACGTCTACCTATACGGGCCCGGCTTCCAGCGCTACTCCTTCTCCGGTACGTCAACCTCTCCTTTCTCTATGCTCAACTGTGCTCAGTGGATTTGTGGGGGATAATGTGTTCTTGGAGATTGTGCGTTGCGTTGCGCTACCACCGCAGCCACCACGTGCGATTTCAAGGACAGGCCCAATCACGATTAGCTATACATGTAACGACCTTGATCAAGATTAACCGATGCTTTATCTTTCCCTCTTCTCTGACCATTGACTTGGTGTGTACTGTACCATTTGTATCTTGCTACAACTCTCCCATTTCGGGTAGAAACTATGGCTGTTAAATGTGAAGTTTTTCTCCGATATCACACTTCCGAGGAAGATCTTTTTTGACCACTGTTTATATTCTTGCAAACGCATATGTATATGCACATCTTGGGCAAATGTTCACTACAGGCCTTTCTACCCTTGACGATCTTTGTTCGAAATCCATCGCATCTCTTCCTTGCCTAAACTAAATCTCATGACACAAGTGCCTTTGTCCTGCTCATGGCAAACCTCCATGCGGCGCTACAACCACCGCATGCGGCTGCATGCAACAAAGACATCACAGTCACAAAGCAATACAGTCCGATTGCCAAAACTGCCGTGCTATCATGATTTACCACATCTCATAAATTCAAACCTAGATCGAATACTTACTTTCGCCATCTATCCATCATCATGGGCCTGCTAGCCAAACTTTCCGAAACACTGGGCTTCGCGGCCAGTCCTCCAGTACCCTCCGGGAGCAGGAAGCGCAAAGATCGCGACGATAGTAGCGAAGAAGAACGGAGTTTCCAAGCAAAGCGCAGGCGTTATAGTGATGGCGACTATCTCAGCTCACCCTACGATGCTCCCCCGTCTGCTCCTGTGGTAAGGCCATCTGAATTGAAGTCCTTCCCCGGTCCAGTGCAAAAACTTCGAGAAGCATCATTCGCGCATTCGTTATTAGAAGGTGGTCGTAGCCCTAGAATCCGCAGTGTTGCTCACCCCAGAAAGAGTCTGCCCACAAAAGAACAAGTCGCGTACCCGGAAATCGCTGCAACACCTATCAAAGCAACTACACCGTCCAAGGTCGGCACGATCCGCTTGAATGCGATTGCTGCAGAGCCATGGGCGACGCATGGTATGTCGAATGAAGAGAAGTGGGTTTCTAAGCCGAATAAACGCGCTTTCGAAATCGCAGCCAACTCTTCCGACCCCAAGAGGGCGGTTCGGCTTTCAGTCAAAGAGCCTGAATATGCGCTACGCGATATGGAGATTCGAGATGGATTATTCCAGCTCACGGATCTGCTGCAGGAGTTTGTAAAGGCTTACTTCAAGTTCAAAATCAGTGGCAAGCTTTCTCCAAGCTTCTTCGAGCAGTTTGAGCCGGAGACTGCCAAGGTCATTGGCTGCGTGGCATCTGGTGGGCCTGGTGGTGTTCAAGGGTGGCATGAGATGTTTACCGATCAACTGAAGAGAGAGATGCTAGTAATGGCGATTATGGGAAATGTGCTTGTGGAACAGGTCTTCCAGCACATCTTCTTCGGGGGGTTGCCGAAACACGTGGAGATCATGACGGAACTGCAGAAGACCCACAGAGATGAAGACGGTCAGTATCGTACATCGCAATCGCTCATCACGCACTAACACCGTCCAGGCTTCGACCGCAACAAAGTCTACGCACTGGGAGCGCGTACCTTCATGCACAGCCGGCTCTCCGATGGCATCGACCTCCCTGCCAACTTCGCAAACCACGTCAACCGCATCGTCGGCACCATCTATACCCACACCAAGCCCATCCTCGCCCTCAACCCTGCTTCACCAAAGCATGAGACTATCATCCCCGCGCTCCACACGATCGTCACACACGCCGGCATTCTCAGCCTGTCGATGCGCCTCGACCCACACACAGTCTACCACTTCGTCCCGGTCTTCAAAGAAGACGAGTTCACATCCGAACGCATGGAATGTCTCAACCATGTGCAAATGCAGCAGACTAACCCGCGCACACCGGATGATGCTGAGGGTCTTACCAGAGCTGAAACACAGCGTCGAGCAAATCTCTCACCCGCGGAGAAGAATCGCGCGCAAAACGACGATCCACTCACGCAAATCACAATCTTGGACGGCGTGACGGCGTACCGTCAAGGCGGGTGGGAAGCGCAGGACAGCACGCTTTCAAACGTCAAGTTCGAAAAGCAAGAGTTTGAAAACAGGGGTGTGCGGGTGAGGAAATTGACGGATGCGTTGGTGTATTGTCGCTGGGGAAGGGCGAGGCGGTTTAAGAGTGGGAAGGGGGACGATGTTGCTACGCAGCATGGGGATGCGTGGAAGGGCGGGTTTGTAGAGTTTGCGCGGGTCAAGGGGGTAGGGGATTGGATTGAGCACGAGAGGAAGATGGCGAAGGGAAAGGGAAAGGCGATGCAGGCTACGGAAGATGACTTGCAGGCAGCATTGGCTGAGGAAAGTGAGGTGTAGGACGTCGGTGTTTGGGGATGTAATGTTGGTATTTTGTTACTGGGGTATGTCATTTTGCAGCGTTGGTATCGATAATGTATGAAGACACTGATCCTTGATGAGGTGCCATATTGTTGTCACTAGGATCGTCATGCACTCATCGCCAGTGACATTCAATCCGAACGCAGTCATCGTGCATGCCTCCACCAACACATGAAATTAATATTTGCACACTGATTGTCTAGCCAAGTCCAGTTGGCGTCACGGTAGAATCCATACCAATCATCTCTCCTCTACATGAAAAACCTCAAGACGACAAAAGTCCCCTTCACATCTTCCCCCCTCCTCGTCTCCAAACACAGAAAAAAACTTTCAATCCAGACCACTAAACTCCTCGAATCCACCAATCCACAACCTAGCCATCTTACCAGACCCTTCAATTCCCAGGGTCAATCATCCCGTCCCCCAGTCCCTGCAGCCAATAACACCGCCCCGCAACCAACTGCCGGGAAGTGGACCTCAATCGCGCACCCAATTTCCCAACAACACGCCCACGAAGCGGACAAAGTGGAGCAAATGAACCTAGGTAGTATTCATTACCCCATCACACACTTGCACACCGCTTGAATGTGCTTCTAGCCCGGCTTCTAGCGCCGGATGGATGTTGTGCATGAGGACGCTTGCCCTGTGGGTAGGCATCGGTTGAAGGGGAGAGAAGCTTGGAAGGATCCACCCAGAATCTCACGTGCGACTCACTCACACGCAGAGCCGCATCTACCTAGCCTAGCACGCGCACAAGCACATGTCCACCCACGCCTGCACGCGCACAAGCCCAGACCATCCATTTCTCACGATAGCCCCAGCCAGTAGTCGTAAAATGCATCTGCCGCACGCACTTGCACTTGCTGTTCAATAGCGTACATTGTCCCTCCCGCCGCCCAATAGCTGGATTCTCACACGCATCGGCATAAACCGGCCACACTACCGACTGCGCACCGCGCTATCTCCGCAAACAGCAGTTCGGACGCAACGCACGCATGCGGCTCTGCTGGCCCGCCACAATGCAGGGGTAATCGTCGCAGGGCGTTGTGGCGCATGATTTACGCACGGTAGAATACATGGATCTGCTCTCACGTGCGACGTGCGACGGAGGAACGGGTCCGGAGGGCGAGACGGACGGGTGGCGAATTCGAGGCGAAATGTACCGCGGGATGAAAAGTTTGGTCCAACGTTGGGAGACGGTTTGCGGATGAGTAGAATTTCGATCAAGTATGCTTATGGGAAGTCGAGACGAGGTTTAGTTGCTGTTTTGGCCGTGGTTCCTGGGTGGTAGTGTGACTTGCCCCGCCAGTACCATAGGAATGCTAGGACCATCAAAAGGAATGTTAGATGGCTGACCCGACAGAATGGTAAGGAGCGTTGTTGCGGAGTAGCGAGCTGCCATGAACGTTACGCGAACAATGATTACGCGGGGGAAAGTGGTCTGATAATCATTTTGAACAGTGTGTAATTACTCGCTCGGACTTATCAATCTCTTCAAACACTAAGAGGAGATGCCTCAGATCTATCTATCAATTCCACCTCGGGAGAAACCAGGGTACATTTGAGAAAGCGAGCTGCCAAAGCATGAAACTCTGATCTTGAAAACTTTTTGGAACGCCGGAAAAAGAGAGGCCCAGGTCTAGTGATTGCGTGAGTCGGACAAAAACAACCAGGGGGATATCGAGAAGGAAATCGACAGGGAAAAGGTGGCCATTGGAACACCATTCTAATGCACATCAACATGGTCATACCAATCCTAGATTGGGTCAAGGAGATGTACCTCGAAAGAGATGTATAGGACAGGAAGCGAAACGTATGTGATACGAACGACATCTTATCCAAGAGACCAAGATCGTGTTCTCCGTGACGGACGTGAAGTAATGAATCCATCGCAAGAACGCCGGTTGTGATGCAGGAGAGATGTTGTAGGCTAATCGTAACTTTTAAGCGCCAATGACATCGAGCCATTGGACAGCTAACGCAGCAATTTTGGAAGTGAAGAGTCAGGTCACTGCTGACTTCGGAAAATGGGTATTATGACGGAGACAATCCAGAAACTCGTTCGATAGAAGTGAAGGACGCGACACATTTAGAGCGGTTCTAAAACATTGTCGAAGGGTCGATGCCCATGCCCGCACCTGCAACATTTGCGTTCTGCATGTTCTGCAGGTTCTGCAAGTTGCCGGTCAGGCCAAGCTTCTGGAGAGCAAGCTCGGGGTTGCAGTGAGGAGCATGCGAGCGATGGTACTTGAGACCGTTGAGGTTCTTGTATCGCTTACCGCAGACCTCGCAGCGATATGGCTTCTCCTTCTCCATGCCAACAGTGCCGGGGTAGGGAATAGAGGTAAGCGGATCCACAATGGAGAAGGAGCCGTCGTCGTTCTCCTTGAGTTGCTGGTTCTGGTGACCGTGCTGCTTATGATACTTGAGGCCATTCTGGTTCTTGTAGGCCTTCTCACATCCAATGACTGGGCATCTGAATGGCTTGACCTCCTCAGGGAATGGGAACTGTGGTATGCTTGCGCCATTGATGATCTGCTGCTCACGAAGTCGCCTTGCAAACTCGCTCTGGTCGTTGCCGCCAAGCTGGTAGTTCTTCAATGCCGCCTGCAGCTGAGCCTGGCTCAAACCCCCACCCTGCTTGCTGAAGAGGCGCTTGCCGGGCTGGTCAATGGTGCCGTTGTTGTTGTCGAAACCGTTCATAGAAAAGTTGGCGTTGTTGAAGTTCATATTCATGTTCATGTTCATGCCCATGTCGCCCATGCCCATCATTGGGTTGAAGCCCGCAAAGTCCATATCCAGCTCAGCGGGTGTGCCGGGATGCGAAGATTCGGGTGATGTGAGGCTGTGCGTCATGGGCATCGTGCCAAGCGTTGGAGTGTTGACAGATGACACTGTCGGGTTGTTTTGTAGGTTGAACTGCTGCGAGGCTGAGGGTGTGGATGGCGTCGATGTCCGCAGGCCCTGGTGGTTCTGCATCGTGTTTGCCAGGTTGACATTCAATTGTGGCAATTGGTTCTGGCCCTGGTTGAAGGCGGTGTTCTGCACGGGGTACTGGGTTGGAGCCTCCTCAATAGGAGCGAGATTGTCGAAGCTGATGTCGTCCATGTCCATATCCATTCCGTCCAGCGTGTCCATGTCCTGAACGGTCGACAGATTTGACCGGCTCACAGAGCCTACGCGCTGGCGGTTGCCGCTCATCGAATTTGAGCGGGGCTGGAAGCCAAGCTGGGTGTTCATGGCGGGTTCACCTTGGGTCTGGCTCGGGGCTATGGAGGTGGCGGGAGCGCCGGATGTGGACTGGAAGCCGTTCTGTGCTGGCTGCGAAGGGCGTGGTGCGGGGGCATTCGCATGTGTCTCTTCGAAGTGCTGGAGCAAGTCGTGCAGCGAAGCGAGAGTGAGGCCACAGCAGGTGAAGTCCTTCATGAAGTTGGCCTCCATACTGTGGGCAGATACGACGAGGAGTGGAACGACGGCGACTATCGGCTAGCGAAGGGTGCGGGCGAAGTGGCGGCCATCATGATGCTGTTGGGAGAATTAGCAATCTTGCCGTAACGATGTGCAGGGGATTGCATTGGCAATACTTACTCATCACGGATCCATGATCCCACCGAGACGCCGCCCCAGCTCATGCCGCCGGCAAAGCTGCCCATCTGGTTGGACTCGCGTCGTGGGCGGTCCTTCATGGAGATGGGGCGCGCGCCGCTGCCGTAGAACGACGAGCCGAGCATGCTGATGGAGGGGTTGCGCTCGCCCAGGCCCGGGCGCTGGAACTCGAAGCCATTCGGATTCAGCTGGTTGGGCGTGGAGCTGGTGTCGCGATTGGCCTCACCGGCCTCGCGCAGAGCCGACGTCAGGTTAGACGTCTGGTTCTGGGGCGAGTTGGAGCCATAGCGCGGGGGCGTCTGGATGTCGATAGGCGAAGCGGTTTGTGCCATGGTGCGCGCCACGCTGTGCTGCTGCGGGCTGTCTGGGAACAGCGGAATGCTGCAGTCGCCCGTGTCCTCGAACAGGAGCTCGGTCTCGGGCAATTGGCTGGCCACAAGCTCGTGCGGCTTGCGGTGCCAGGAATACGGGGCGTTCGCACTTGCGTCTGGCTTGGAAACGTCCGAAATGCGGCGAGGCGGGCTGCTGCACGGGGGTGGTGATGGGAGTGCTCGCTGCGGTGGATTCGCGCGGCGAGTGGGAGAGGGGAGGCGGCGAAGTCTCGTGGGAATCCAGCTTCACGGTGGTGTTGGTGGTGGGCGGCGGCGGCGGCGGGCTGGCACTTATTTAAAGTGGGATGGCGACTCGAGCGTTGGGTGTCGGAACCGGGGCTCGTTCCAAGTGACGGACGGCTCCAAGGTGCGTGCGGCAGTATGTGGCGCGGGTAGGAGACCACAGGACTGATCAATACGCAGAGAGTGGAGTCGAGTACTTGGTAAAGATGCTCAGTTAGGTCTTGCTGGCACTGGCTATGCTCGTGGCGGAATATTACACGGTCGCTCTCCGGGGGCGCGGCGGGCTATAAGTTCGCTCGAGGGCGGTGACGAGGACTATGGACGGGCGGTAGATTTCCTTAGCACGCTTGAGCACGCTTGCGGTGAATCCCTGACGCTCTGGAGACTGGGGCGCCAATGGACGGAAGGCGCTACTGTGCTTCGTGCGTCGCCGGCAGCAAGATGCAAGTCTGACGATGGAGCCGTGGCCTGTGGAGTGATCAACGGCGACGTGAAGGATTGGCGAGGGGTGCAGCGGAATGTCTCAGGACACAGAATACAGGAAGTCAGGGCCTTTGGACGTCACTCGGCGAGATGCAACCACGGCCTTTATGAGACATGCCATGCTACTGCTGTGTTTATTACACACCCCGGAGATTCCGACCGAGGCAGGGCAGCCTGCACGGCCACACGATGCCGAGTTGGAGTGCTACCGGTACTAGAGACGCTGGTCTTGGCCCCAGGGCTTCCGCTGGCCTACCAGACCCGGCCTGCTCTACATGGCGTCTCCCAGCAACACGCCGGGGCATTCGATGAATCTGTGCGACTCTTCGCGCCTTCGAGAAGCCCTGACTCTGGAGACAAGTTGCCCCCTTCCACGTGGCGTCGACGTTTGCCGTCGCTTCGCCGTGCCTGTTCTCCAGATGGCTAGTCCCGAGGAAAACCCGACGCATTGCAGTATGACACTATGTTCCGCATCGTCGCCCACATGGCGACCGCTCACAGACCCTCACAGACCCTCACAGACCCTCTCCCGTTTCGCCAAACAGTTAAGAACCCGTGGACGCTCTTCGGTCTGGGTACCGCCGTCAACCGCTTTACACGCCTGCACACGACGTCACCAGTGACTGGTGGGCATACATACCCTGCTGAGATCTGGCGAGGTCTGGCTGATCGCACTTGCCTCGCATCTCGCCCACCATCGGACTCGACAACATAACGATTCACGACAGCACCATGGCCCAGCGAGCCCCATAGCTGCCCGTCTCATCAACGATCCCGCGCCCAGCGCCAACTGCCACTGTTTCGCATTCACGACTTTAGACCTGCAGTCCGGTCACATCGGCAGCATGCAGCTGGGATAGGGCGGCTTTCTGCTCGAGTGCCTAACCTGTTCGAGCCTGCGGTGAACGGCCTCTTACACATGCAGTCAGCAAAGACAGCCGCCGCTAGGCCATTAGCCTGCAACGACCAACGCTGAATGCGTGCGTCACAGCAAGCCCATGCACTGCGAAGACTCCGCAGGGCAATTTCTATATTGGCCCAGTCTTATAGCTGCCAATCTGGACCGCACATTACCGCCTGGACAAGCTGCCAGGGCGCATCGACATATCTACGGTTCCGACATGCCACGGAACAAAAGCGACGGACTCGGCACCCTGTCATCCTACCCCAGTAGTGCAAGGCCCGAATTGCTCAGCAGTATAAGGTTCCGTCAGCGGTGGCCTGTCCAGTGAGCGCGTCCTTCGCGACGAGCCGAAGATGCAGCCTGCAGCGTGCATCCAACACATCTAGCTCCACAGCAAATCTCCAGCTGCTACCCCACGCCCAATGTGTAACCCTCTGCCCAAGACTCGAGTCGTGGTCCATGCACGGGTCAAGCCTCATCTCCTTCAGCCTGCATTCTGCATCTCGTGACCACATGCCGACCACCGGAACATCCCAACCTGGCTGGCAAGCAAGCAAAACCCTGCGAGAACCATGCCGAGCCGCGGCGTTTGGCTCATTCATGCCTAAAAGGCCGTTTCATTGGACCCTGCAGCAGCTCTTTCCCACGCTCTGACCCGACTGGGAGCTTTTCCTCACCACGCACGCAGTTGCAGTAGGAGTTCATTGACGTGGAACGGGTAGATCTCTGACAGACTGACACGGCTGCTTCTCAACGCATGTCGACCGCTGTCGCTTCATGCATCGAATCGCATCGCATCGATATCGGAACCACAGATCTACAGATAACTGTTCCATCTACAGTCGTCATCCTGAGCTGGTAGCTTGTAAGAGCGGAACGCAATGGAGCGGAAGCCTTCGCGTTCAACCGATTACACAGTGATTGGCGCGACGCCAGTCCAATGCGGCAGGCACTCTCGGACACAATTCCGACGGTGGGCGTCACTGTCGTCCTACCATTCGCCTATTCGTGGCTTTTTGACATCCTTTCGTCCAACGTGTCGCAACGCACGTAACTAGGTGTATCGTTGTTGCGCTTCATATTCCCCTCAGTGTTCTTGTTGCTCCTTCACCCTAGCGACGCATCGTTCATGGTGCATTTACCAGAGGTCCGCACCAGCCAATATTCTTTTAGCGGGCCCATTCCGCCAAGCCCTATCCTCGGAGCAGGTCTAGCGAGCTGGAGCATTTCTGCCTGCTGAACATCACTGCATTCCCGCTTGGACAGCAGTACCAATTGTGGCTAGCATCATCGATGCCAGGACCGTCAAAAGATTTCATGGCGATATCTCCAGCTATAGTCCATGCTGGTGGGCCTACGTTCGTCTTGCCTTCATCGCGTCGTATGCCTCACGCATGCATGCTTTAGCGTAAGATCGTGGTGGTCAGGTGTTCTCGCTTCCCTCGCATGTCAAACTCACTGTGGGCCTTGACGAGCGGTGAAGGATGAAAGAACTCCCAGGGCGGTCCTCATTTACCATTTTCTTGCAGGGCTATTGCGCATTCAAGGGATGTTCAGTATGGATTGACAGTGTCACAGCGATCCTCCAGACAGGTCTCGACCACAGCACTGCCTTGTGGTACCTCAATGGCGGACACTTATGCGAGCATTGAACAACACCTGCGGATTACACTAAAGTATTAGTTTACATACAGTGCCTCGCATTCCGGGATTGGTCTTGGAGGATCTTGAGCCCGCACACCATCTCGTTCCGTTTCCGTCACTAACACGCAAGTCACATCAGAACAAGTAGCTAGGCTCATGCCGGTCACAATAAGACGGCAACGTCGCGCCGCTGAGCTAATGCAAGATGTCAACAATTCGTGGCTCAAGTTTGAGTCCCCTCCTAGTGGTGGCTTGAACCGTATGCGAATTCGTCCTCACAGTCGTAGTAAATCTTATCCTTCGGTAATTCGATCGCACTCGCTTCCACGCTCCATGCAAGACTCCACGGAAGTATCCTAGCGAAACCTTCAAGCCACCCATCGGTCCGACTGTTAGTCCCTGGTGACGGCTCGAGACGTGACTGCAACAGTGCACCGTTCCCTGGTCAGCTTCCGGGAATGTTACCTTCTGGACGCACGGAATACTGGAAGAAGTGTTCCGGACTGAATTGCTCGTCATGGCGATTACGAGCACGCCGGTTTACGAGTAAGGCACGGGTAAGCACGCCAGTATCGGGCCTTCTCTATCAATAACGCGTCACAAGCGATCGACACCAGTGACGTCGAGGCGGTATCGACGACACAATCACGTCTACGGAACAGCGGTCCCGCGTTCGGTGCTTCGAGACGAGACCCTCGTTATTGTATCGTCGGGAATCGGAACTGCTTATTTAGTGTCGCCGTTAGAGAGATCGACGGAGGACATTGGAGACGACCACGCCAACTTGCAGCCGAGCAAACGCCATACTGACCATTTCCGGAATCAAGGCCTGATAGAATCAACGAATGGCATTGCTGAAGGTGTTTCTCGTGCGCACCATGATATCAGGAATTTGGATAGCCCAAGGCGTCCTCCCAATTATGCAAGACATCACGCCAAGTCAACGGTTTCATGATTCTCTGGCTCGGAACCGGACCCAATGCTATCAAATAAAGAATTACGTTAGACTGAACACATACAGCTGACGTCTCCCCGAACGACTCTCGCCGACTGCGCACTCACAATCAGTGTCTTATTGCTATGCCTGCTAAATTTCGAAGGTTATTGGCCAACACAATAAGCTTCGTGGCTCTGTACAGAAAAACGCAAGGAGCCATAGGATGACGTTTTTAGCTACGAACCACGCTTGAACTCTTGTCCATCAACCAGCCGCCGGTTCACCCAAGCTGACTTTATTGACCCTTCATCATGCTGTTCGCCGTGTCTGAGCCTTGCTATCATTGAAGGTGTTTATACTACTGAATGTAGGCTAGATCAGACAAGTCACAGACATCCTTCTAATGATCTGTTTCTCAATTCAATTCCGATGCCTTCCCAAAATACGATCGCGAGATGGGGCATGGGTCTTCACGCCAGCCCACACAATTCGTCGCAGCGTTTTAAGGCGACTCGGATGACAACACTCAGATATTTGAGCTCGGATGTGATCGAGAGAAAGCGATTGTAGTCGTCGAGTGGCGACTTTTACTACCAGACATGCCCGTCCTCAAGCTAAAATAGTGATTAGCGGGGTAGCGCAGCACCACATTGGCCACTACATCGCACCAGCCTAAAGACTTTCAAGCATATTTTAAGATCTATACAACTTGAGTATCACATCGAATTTTTGTATGTTTGAACGACTTTGTGAATTGCAGAGATGCAACAGCTGTTCATGTACCCTGTCATTTATGACATCACGCGACTCCTCCTTGCAATGCTTGGAGAACACCACATGCTTCCTCGGTAAAGTTGTCTTTCGCATTACGTAGCCGATAAAGAGAGAGAGCTTTCGTGTTCTAACACCGGGCTGCAGTCGTCTTCTCCAGACTTCTTGGTTAAAGCAATCATCAGGATCACTCTTGTCGTTTGGTGCCTTGACGCGTTGTCGGAGCAAATTTGCAGTGTTCTGAGCGCGCAAAAGCTCTAGATCTATTGCCACAGTCATTCCTCACGCACCATCTTACAGAACATTTCGAACGACAAGTGTCATGTCGCTACAGCCTGAACCAGAGACGCATCCGGTGTCGCGCGCCAAAGCACCGTGGGCGATGAAAGCTGAGAGCTATCTGCTATTCCTCAAACTCAAGGAATTGCCCCAGGGCGTATATGATGAACTTGAGGAAGTATGGGCAGGCGATGAGTTTGGCAAATTCAAGGGAGGACTCGGTGCGGTAGTGATTGTTCGGTATAGTGATACTCCAGCTGGTACGTTTTTCCATTTTCTTTTCCCACAAAGTGTCTCTCGAGTCAATCCATCCCCAATCTCGAACACATGTTGTGAACTTTAAGCATACTCATCACCCCACCCAGGCCCCTACGACGAACTCATCCTTGTCCCCGGTAACTTCACCATCCCCCCACCTTCTTCCGGCCCTCCCAAAATCGCCAAAAGGTCCCTGCGCATCGCACGTATATACGTCTCCCAGCGCACCACCACCTACAACGGCCGCCTCAACTGGAACATCCCCAAACACCTCGCGCGCTTCTCCTTCTCCGCGCCGCCCGCAACCAACACCTCTTTACCCCAGACTCTAGACGTCCGCGTGTTCCCACCCAATTCAACCGATGGTGATGGCACGAAGCCATTTTTCTCGTGCACGCTCACACCCTGGCGCTGGGTGCCCGCGATTCCGGTAAACATGGCGTATGTCCCGATGAGTATGGTGCTCACGCAGCCGCCGTGTCCGCAGGCGGCGGGGCAGCGGGCTGCTGTTGAGTCGGAGATGCTGCTGGAGAGTCCGATTAACCCTAATGACATTAGCGAGAAGAATGAGGAAGCGGTGCTGGTGGGGACGGAGCGGTGGTGTGCGACGGAGTTGGGGGCGAGGAGCTGGGCGAGGGGATGTTGGGTTGAGACGCATGCGGGTGAGGAGGTCGAGGAGGGGAAGTGGTGGCCTAAGGGAGTGAGGACTTGGGGTGTTGGGGGCTGGTTGGAAGATGGGGTTTTTGAGTTCCCGGAGGCGGTGGAGTGGAAGTTGTAGATGGCGGCTTTGAGGGGGCGATGAGGTGTGGTTATGAGTTTGTATCAGCGCGTTTATAATGGCTGTCAAGAAATTGAACACTAAGCAACGCGCTAGTTTTCATTGTTGTCAATATTGTCCAAGTTGCCGTGTTCTTGTCGTTGTGTTCATTGTTGTCAATATTGCCCAAGTTGCTATGTTCTTGTCGGTATCGTAACAAGGGTGGTGTTCATGATAACTTTCACTGTTACCTTGCACTACTCACGCGCATGCCCACGAGACCTTGCCGAACAATTGCCGGCACATTATTTCGGAGAACAAAGCCTCACGTCGTTGATAATACTGAACAATACCAACCTCTCTCAACCACAGCATCTAGACGATCAATACACAGCTACAAGTCATCTCTATCAATTGCTGATACTCTGCCTCAGAACTCCTAGTCTACCATCACATCTACCACCACCACAATCACGATCACCAACATGATGCGATCTGCACTCCCATACAACTTTCGCTGGACAGCTAGGCTCCTCCGCCGCGACATTCACAATCTCAAGGCCAAGGCCATCTCCAAGATCAAGACCCACCTTACGCGCCTCTCCAAGTCCGCCGCTGAGGCCATTGACATCTCCATGGTCTCGTCCGTCGCCAGAGCCAGCATTGATCCAGAGGACCCACCCTCTATCAAGAGTACAGCATCAACGACGGCTGATGTAATAGGTACCTCCCACATCCTTCCATTGTCATCAGTTAGCATATCCGCGCAGCACCCCAGCACCCTCCATGAGCTCCTCGAGAGTCAGCTCAACACCTTGTGGTCATTACGAGACCACAACATGTCTGAGAAAGAGCGCTGGCAATTCCGTGGTAGTTGGCTGGTGTTGTGGAATGCCATCCAAGCATGTTCCTCGAACCCCGGCTACGGCATCTTCGATGGGTTGAAGAAGGATGAGACGGCTCTCCTTCTTCAGCTCATCGAGCTCTGTGCTGCGAAGGCATCGAAGAATGCGCAGCGCGTGAGTGGGATGCCGGCGACCCCGTATATGGCAAAGAGGGATCATGTGCGCTTTGATTCTGTCTTCAGCAAAGCTGCTTCAAGTGGAGGCGGCGCGCCTATGCCAACCACCTCACAACTATGGCATAGCATCTTGGAGGGTGCCACTGATGATACCAAGACGAACGGTGTCGCGGAAGCACTCCTCAAGTTCATCTGGCCCGAGGAGAATCCCGTCGAGATTCTCGACGCGATTGGAGATCCGGCCAAGGTGTTTCGAGGCGGCGACGAACTCCGTCTTCGACTTCGAGACCTTCTCTTCCCATCATACACCACCATATCAGCTCCGCGCATGTAGACTTCCACAGTCTCTCCATCAATGTTGTCGTGCTTTACGGCGTTCTTACCGACGGAGAAGTTTTGTTATGTAAGTCGTCTTAGGGTCAGCCAATCAGCGCACGACCCCGGAAAACGCGAAAACCCCGTCCTCCTCGGCAGCGGCCGCGACCGCCTCGAATCTATTTAACCCCGCCGTTATCCCACATGTTTTCTGCTTTTTTTCATACCGCTCGCGGATTTCGATTGTTGCTCTACACTGATCGGGGACGACTGTTGTTGGTACTGCTCTTCTGCCGCCTGCCCGTTCTGTCGTCATAGATTGCATGGAACCCTAAAAATTGTTCAACGAACGCGATTCTGGGGTTTGCCGTCGAGACATCTCTTATCTCACCACTGGGCTTGAAAGCAGCGCTCATACTGCGCGAAACCATCCTAAAAACCCTTTACGCCGATTTCAGTTCGAGACTCGCATGCACAGCGAAGACAAAGGCAGCACGCCAGGACCAATTGAACGCAACGAACTCACTAGAGTCAATACCTACCCCCACGCAGAGTTTACCATACCACCCGCGGACACTCTCTCACCATGCCGAAGTGCCCAAACTCAAACCGCCGCTGCCCGGGGCTCGGAGAAAGGGACGGAGAATCCAAGAAGCGCCACTGCAACTGGAGATGAAGAAAGCAAATCCTCAACCTCGCACAATGATGACGAGGTTACTTATCCTGAAGGAGGCTTAGGTGCCTGGCTCGTGGTTCTGGGATCGTTTATGGGCCTTGTTGCGGCGCTGGGAATGATGAATACCGTGGGTATCTACCATGCGTACATTGCCGAACACCAGCTTGCTGGCTACAGCGAGAGTTCAATCAGTTGGATCTTCTCCATGTATGTGTTCTTGTCGTTCTTCTGCGGCTTGCAGATCGGACCTGTCTTCGATGCACACGGCCCGAAGTGGCTTGTCCTTGCTGGCAGTGTCCTGTTGTGCGCTTCAAACTTTTTGCTCGGCAGCTGCACAAAGTATTGGCACTTCTTCCTCGTCTTCGGAGTGCTGGGAGGACTGGGTACGTCGCTCATCTTCACCCCTGCGTTGGCTTCTATCAGCCACTTCTTCCTTGAGAAGCGTGGGAATGCCACGGGCATTGCTGCGGCAGGCGGCTCCTTTGGTGGTGTGATCTTCCCTCTTGCTTTGCAGCAATTGTTTCCATCCGTTGGGTTTGCCTGGGCTTCGCGCGTCATCGGATTCATCGATGTCTTCTGCTGCATCGTCATGTGCCTATGCATCAAATCGCGGCTCCCACCCAAGGCCGGCCAGTCGGTTCTACCAGATTTTCGCATTTTCCGCGATAAGTCATACCTGCTCCTCACGGTGGGTATCTTCGCAATGGAATGGGCGTTGTTTATCCCAATCACATACCTCTCGACTTTCGCGACATCGACTGGCGCTCTCGACCCTGCATTCGCGTACCAGCTGATCGCCATCTTCAACGCCGGAAGCTGTATCGGGCGCTGGGTGCCAGGCTTCCTAGCCGACAAACTGGGTCGATTCAACAGCATGATCGCCACCCTCGCTATCTGCTCAGCTACGTCACTGACATTCTGGCTGCCAGCCTCGCTCATCACGCCTACCACATCCGCCGAAGCAACGACCATCAAAGCACTCTCAATCGTGTATGCCGTGATTTTCGGCTTCGCTTCCGGATCCAACATCTCGCTGACGCCGGTTTGCGTTGGCCAGCTCTGCGACACGAGTCAGTATGGGCGTTATTACGCTACATGCTACACGGTCGTGTCATTTTCCACGCTGACGGGCATCCCGATTGCGGGCGCCTTGATTCAGGCGACTGGTGGACATTACTGGGGCGTGGTTGTTTGGACCATATTGTGCTATGTCTTGGCGTCGGGATGCTTTGTGTGGTCGCGCGCATTGCAGGTTGGGTGGAAGCTGGGCGTCAAGTTTTGAGCGAGCTTCTGCATCGTACAGTTGAGCTAATCCTTATGGATGGACTTGCACGAGATTTGCGCGCTGTACGACGTCTTTAGCGTGGAGGCGTTCTCGAATTGGGAAAGCGTGCTGTGAGAAGATAGCAGGAGGGGCAAGATGTGTGAAGTCATCGTTGGAGAGAGCCAGGAAAACCCGGAGAAAAGGGATGTTTTGTTTTTTCATCGATTTCCATCGCGTCCTATACACGATTCGTCCACACTCGCTTATATCCGCCATGTCACTCCTTTACTGTAGTCATTCGAAGATGCAAGTCGCCACACCACAAGTAGCTACTTGCATCTCAGTCCACGCAAAATACACTTTATCGTCATGCCACATTGGCTTCGCCCCTGATCCTATACCAACCATAGATTATCGTGCACTGGCCGATCTCCCGCCACGCCGGTCGGCCCCTGACCCTAGCGCCCTCTTCTCCCGCGCCTAAACCATCACCGCGAACCAAACAGCGACTTGTTCATTTCCACAACGACGACAGAATCGTGTTGAAGCCTTGAATCATGTCGGAATGTCGTCGTGCCGCTGGTACCTGTCAGACTCTCCTGAGCCAATAGACATGTGCGAGGGTGTCGGCAAGTGCTGTGTCCGACTGCAGAGTTTCGTTTGATAGGACTGGATGAGTGATGGGTGGACAGTGACAGCGAATACGCGCATGGAGATGTTGCACGTCGCTGCAGGATCGCGTCCGCCATGGGCGCCACTAGGCACGCTTTAGGATCGAGCTGAGCGTTTCGAGATGCAGAGTTGGCGCGATTGGGTTCGAGTGTTAGTGCCATGGAGCGGTATTGGAAAGAAGTTCCAACTACGTTTTTGGTGTAGTGGATGCCTTGTTTCTTGGTACAGTGGGCCTTGATTTCGTAGGTTCCCGCGTCTACTTTGGTATGGTAATTTCCTGACATTTGACTAGTTGGTAGTTTACTTTGCTATTGTGTCCCAAAGACCCACGGGTTTATTTGAGTTGCTTTTTGGCCTTGTTGGTTCTTGCCTTGTATTTCTTCCATTCATCACATCCGATATGAGGCTTGGGGCTGACACATGAACATGTTATCTACATCTTGCAATTGTCTAGGTCGAGCTTCCAATGAAATGGAGGCGCCAATCCCTGTCCAGCATGCTGGCAACTTTGAGGTGGAGAAGATACAACCAAAGGGTTTGAAGCGAAAAAGCTCCAAACTGCAGACTCATGTGGAGGTTTTGAGATGTAGATTGGGGAAATCGGCGGTCACGACAGAGGCAGGCAGGACCTTCGAACCCTCGAAAGATTGGACGCCAATATACTACGCGGTCTATCATCGACGAGAAGCAGCTCTAACACACTTCCTGCGAAATGGAGGCTCGCCGGACGATGTCACTGGATCGGGTCAGCCACCGCTGTGTGTGGCAGTCGTAAATGGACATATTGATGTCGTCAGAATTTTGCTGGAGTACGGAGCAAATGTGGATGCTACTACGAGAGATTCTGGAGAGACGGCACTGCACCTGGCGATCAAGAACAACCATACTGAACTTATCGACTTGCTTCTCGAAGCCGGACCCCAACTCGAAGCACATACGACTGAAACGAACGAGACGCCTCTTCACTACGCTGCATCAAAATCTGGATCGTTGGCTACTATTGTGGCACTGCTCAAACTTGGAGCAAAATACGACACCAAGAATTCCAAGGACCAAAGCCCAGCAGAATCAGCGCTGCTAGCAAACAACATCCAGGGAGCTGTCGCGATCATCAATGCCGCGCATGGGAGGCGCCACAGATTGGTCAAGGAGAAGGAGATGTTATTGAAGCACGTTGAGCGAAGCCAAAACCGCTTCAGCATAGGGAACGAACTGATCGCGGATATCTTTTCAGCAGCATGCGATCCGGACTCGACAGTACTTGTCGAAAGTATCAAGAGAGATGACGCTAGCTTGGTAGAGATGTTTCTGAGCAAGGGAGCTGATCCGGACCGAGTGACCGCAAGAGGAGAAAGACCCATCTTTATTGCGCTGGAGTGTGCTGGAGCGCCAGTCGTTCAAGCATTGGTCAAGCATAATGCAGATGTACAAGTCCGAGATGCGACAGGTCTTTCAGTCTTACAGGCTGCATTTGAGGGGTCAATGGCACAGGATAAAGACAGCATATGCGCGATCTTTGAGTGTCTGCTTTCCAAAGGAGCCAATGCAATGGACACATACATCGACGGCAAGAATCTACTTCATCGTGCTGTGTCACCAGGTTTCGGCTACGCAAAGGCAGCACACCTATTCCTTAAATCCGGCATTAAGGTCAACTCTCAAGACGGCGACGGAAACACGGCTTTGCATCTCGCAACACACAGCAAGTCATGTATGGAACTCTTGTTGAAGAATCGCGCAAATTCACATATAGTGAACCGCGAAGGTCTTACACCATTACTTCACGCTATCAGCCAAGCCAGGAAAGGAGATGAACCGGATCTGGAAGTACTGATCAAAGCATCTAGTATGCACAAACTGGACAGCAAAGGTCGGAGTGCTCTACATCTCGCTGCTTCCAATGGCCTCGAGAAGAATGTCCGCGCCCTCCTTCGAGCACGAGCCGACACTTCCACTGTCGACTCGGAAAAACATACACCTTTGCTTCTTGCAGCAAATAACCACCAGTGGCACATCGTGCCTACACTCACAATACCACCAAGTATCAACTCTTGGGATGAGCAGGGAATGACTGCACTACACCACATCGCCTCGAGCTCACCCAGACTACCATCGACTTGGTCAGATGTTGCGGCAGCTGCAGTACCCTTCTGTGAGCGAGGTGTTAGCAGGAGCATGCGGGATCGTTCTGGCGCTACACCATTAATTGTAGCAATCAAGACACTTCCTGAGGATGGCCTGCCCATCATTGAGACCTTGCTTATGAAGTCAGCGGACGAACGCGCCAGTTGGAATTGCATCGGCCACGAAGATCATGACAGACGCGATGCGCTTTACTACGCTATCACGATGCGAAGGCCACTATTTGTCGACGTATTGCTGAAGAACGGTGCAGCGGTGTCGTTCATGGACTGGGTGCCTATAAGAGGAGCCTTAAACTTGTCAGTAGACACTGATAAGCAGATCTCAAGTCTCATTGCGCAACATGAGTGGTCACGCCGCGCCGGTATACTTCGAACTCAGCAAGTTGTTCCGGAGCAAAAGAACCAGAGGTCTCTTTTCACAGAGATGTTCCCGACCAAGGACCTTGCCATCATAATTTCGATGGGTTTAGATCCAAACGCACTACCGAAATCCAGTCTGGGGTCTTCAATGCTCTGGGCAGTCCTTCGACAAGTGCCGCTTCAACCTTCACTACCGCCGGCCTATCTGTTTGACACGATCAAACTCGTTCTTGAGCATAGTGCTGATCCCAACGCTGGAACTACGAGAGCTGGTCGATGCACACCTTCTCCTCAATCGTCTTCGCAAGATCTGCCCCTGTCGATGCATATGCTGACATTCTTAATGGAAGAGTGTCCTACGGTGGATGCGGAACTCATCACACTTTTGCTGAACAAGGGTACGGAGCTATCTCTCGCTTCACCGTTCTACGATGGCAGATATCCGCTTCACTCAGCGGCGAAAGCGAATCGAATCGACCTCGTGGATAAATTCTTGCTCCAGAGAGCAGACGTAAATTGTGCCGATTTGGAAGACCGCACTCCACTGTTCATCGCAGCTAAGCAAGGCTTCTCGGACATTGTAAACGCACTTATCAGCCGGCACGCGAACGTCAATCTGCAAGACAAAAACGGCGATACGGTGCTGCACATGGCGGCTTGTGGAGGCAGCAAGACGGTTGTAGCGGCCTTGCTCCGCGCTGGTGCCAAAGCTAACCTCAAGAACACCAAAAATCAAACACCTCTCGCATGTGTCTCTGAGGATCAATTCAAAGAGAAAGACAAGATTGTGTACATGCTCAAGGACGCCGAGCAAAAAGAGAAGGTAGTTGAGGAGCAGACCCGTAAAATGAACGCGCAGAGTGCCGCTCAAGAGGCGAAGATGAAACAGCAAATAGAGCAGGACGAGAAGAACAGACAACAAAGACAGCGGGAAGAACAGGAACGCAAGGCCAAAGAGAGCGAAGTGAGCGTCCAAGAACTAAGTCAAGTTGAGGCGCCTCCACAAGTCTCACAACCAACGCTCAAGAAAAGGCCATCCATGCTATCAAAATTCCGCAGCTCAACTTTCCTAGCGGGGCGATCGAAGCCTCAATCTCCCTCACCTCGTATTCCCGTCAGTATGCCGAAACTCGAAGTTAGCATTCGCGTTACTACACCACCTGCGTCGAAGCACCTTGATATCGCCTCTCAAAACCCTGCCGCGTCAATCACCACCCCATCAATTGTTACAGCACCACACACCCCTGCGGATACATCGAAACGCGCACCGAATTTCCGCATAGACAGCGGGTCTTGGCAGAAGCGTGTGAGTGATGCTGAGCAGCCGCTTCCCGTCCTTGATCGCACTAAGGCTGTTCTGAACGGCAAGACTGGTGACAAAAGGAACAGTAGCGCAGCTGAGCTTGCGGATTGGTTGGCGTTGAGTAAGATGATGGACGGATTGTAATTTTCCTTTCTACATATATGCATAGCGTTGTCTTTTTTCCTAGCTTGTCGGTAAATTTCTCATCTATCTTCATTTTGCATTGCGGGCTGGAAGCATATACGTGGATCGGTTGGGATTGCGTGAAAGTACGCACATGGCCCGCAGACTTTTCCTTTGTACTTCGATGGTCATCTTGGCATATACGAGGCTGGCACGGGACTGGACATTATACCCGATAATTATGATGATAATACATAGAGCAGTCTATAATATTGTAGCATCAGTTGAAATTCTGTGGCACAGCGAGACTTGCTCACTAAACGTCGGGATATATGAGGCAGCCATTGAGCATATCAATCTAATATTCCAAAAGATTTACGAAGCCAAAAAACACAACAAAATGCGAAACGCTACCACCGAAAAATAAGATCGGTACCTGAAGACAGCTCTCATAATGTTACCCGCATGGATACCACTTCGAACTTTGCTTCCGTTGATGGAGACATCCGGAGCGATAACCTGTGGTAGCCGGTTCAGTACAAACTGTCCATACTTGGCCTGATTGTCACCCAGTCAGTCCAAAAACTCATCTTCCTTGATTCCATGCAATCCCGGCATCTGTCGAAGGACATATCGAGCAAATTGCCGAATACTACCGCCAGAGGAGCCCTCGTATAGCGCACCATATGCAGCTTGATACAAGGCAGACTTGGCTGTGTATTTGCCATCGCTATCGGCACCAGTAGCAGCAATCATTGCTTTTGGGTAGATTTCACGATAGGACTCTAGGGACCTGAAACGATGCATCGCTGTGCGAATGGAGTAGTGTGGAAACCAGTCAGTGGTGACGAAGATGGGAAGGGACGGAAAGCCAATGCAGTGAGGTGCTGCTGTACTGCAGCGCTCCTAGTAAATTGACCCAGTCACTTCGCCAGTTTAGGAATCGTCATTGATTTAGGTTATATACGCCTTCAAACACGTTGGTATATCGGCATTCCATAGGATCATCGGAGCCTAGAAGTCGTTGGGCGAAGACGGACGGGGATCCCAAAGCGTTTTAGCAGCTCTAGATTAGAGGTGCTAAAACGCTTTGGGAAACAGACAACCCTGGTATGCACGAGATGAGCCAGTTGCCGCTGCCTCAACTGCGTTGAGATCCAACAATCAGTCAACTTCCTCAAGATGGGCAAATTGATGGCGGGCATTCTGGACCTGCGGGCCGAGTACGGTCCCAACTTTGTCGGTGTCTTCAACCCTCTCATCAACAACATCAAGACTATGAAGGTTGGACGATCAACTCACCATTGTCCTATCTGCGCGGTAAGTTGGTGTTAAACTACACCGACTCTGCTTTGCATGATACAATGTCATTTTTATACTGACCAAACCATTACAGAAGCCAATCAAGCGGAAGTGCTACCAGAAGCTACATCTGGGTAATGCCAACAATCCACTTATCTTGTAATCACATTTACTGAGAACCAAATAGCCTTCTGCGAGGTGTGCGGCGATCGTTTCTCTACCTGGTCCCGAGTCGGCTGCGCGAGGCATCCTCATGCCCAAGGCCACAACCTCAAGTTCAAGGGCACGCGCGACGGATGGCCCGAGGAGCGAATCCAGGGGTTCCAGAACAAATACAAAGAGACAGAAGTCGATAAAAAAGTCATCGAGGATGAAGAAGAAGTGGTACAAGAGGAAGAGACGGATACCTTCGTCCCGCCTTTCACCGGCATCGTCCCAGATCCCGAATACGCCAACCCTCAAGGTCTCACACCAACTTTACCCGCTCAGCAGTGGCGCGATCACCACGAGGTGATTCAACCCGCTTCGAAGGGCAAGCCCAGCCAGCACCTCGGCAAGAAGGCGAAGGAGCACAAGCAGTCGCGCGCAGCTCTGAATCGGGCTATGAAGCACAAGGCCGGGTTAGAGTTGGAGGCTGAGCGACAGGCTTAGGCTGCATCAAAGGCTGAAGCTCAGAAGCTGGCCGCTGATGAGAAGAATACCAAGAATGCCGGCAAGGGAAAGACGCGTCGTAAATTTTGATGGCGTGGCTTTCGGTCAAGTTGCTCGCTGGCTGCATTTGCGACTCTGTCGGAGTATGCAAATCGTTCACGACCAAATCTATGCTCAACATTCTTACACTCGCTCATCTAAGCGTGTTGCGCATTTGCCATTCTTAACTGGCTCTATGCCAGTTTTTATTAAGGGACGACTGCTGCCCATACCAGTGTAGAGATTATGTTACCACAAACTTCACAAAAATTCCTATTCTCCATAAATGACCATGAATGATGAGAATACTGTGTGATAGTTACAGTGGAGGATTGAATTAACTTTCAAGAGATCGCTTCATAAAGTTGGTTTCTCTTCTGGATTTTGTTTCCATTCGGAACCACCTGGGCGGTACAGTGCACATCAGCTGAACACGATATTTTTGAATAATAATCAGATTCAAGTTGTGAGAAATTATGGCCTTTCCAGGATGGCGTGCCATTGTTTGGAGACTCTGTAGTCGAACATAGCTATGGTGAAGAACTAAAGGGATCTACATGTGATCGACACATCAAGCGGTAAACACGCATGACAGCGACGCTACAGCGCACTACAAAAGCGAAAGCGAGACACCAATCTAGTCCAAAGATGGAAAGTGGTGCGTCTCGAATACCTCACGAGCGAAGAAACACGACAATATGCGCAGGCAGCTCTTCCATAATCCTCATGTCTTCATTACTATCCTATTAATACGGACTTAACACACTTGTCCAACTTTTCGCTAGTACTTGAACCCACCCGCCCTCTCCCTCCACAACCCATTAGGATCATACTGCATCTGCAACGCCTTCAACTGTTCATACTCCTTATAACTCTGCATAACCGCCTGATCGCCCGCGGCATCATTAAGGTAAAGCGGGCGATAAATATCCCTCCTCATGCCTGCCTCATCCAACCACAGCGGCACTTCCTGATCCAGCCAATCGGTCAGCTGCTTTGACAGGCTATACGCAACAGCGTCGTCTTCAGGCAGCGCCCACGAGCCCTGTATCTCGAGGATTACGAGGTCGGCGTCCGAGGCGGACAGGCCCATGGCGTTGCCGCCCTTGGCGGCGGATTGTGCCCCGATTGCGGCAGGGAAGGGCTGGAAATCGACGGAGAATTGCGAGGTTGGGTGCAGGAGGTTGGCGAAGGGTTTTATGATGGAGGACCATTTAGCTTGGATGTCTTGGTACATTTGGGGGCGGGTGGCGATGTAGGGGAGAGTGTAAGTCTGGTTGGGGTTAGTTGGGATTGGTGAGGGAGGTGGGGATACGAACGCGGAAGGAGCAGCGGGCTTGGAGGAGAGCGACTGGGGCGCCGTTTGCGCGGACCTATGTTGTGTTAGATCATACGAAAACAGCATTGGAGTGTGAGACTTACTAGCTCTGAGTACTTCTGGGTCCGGGGAAGACAGGTGAGGTTGGGGATCTTGAAGAAGTCGGCAAATGGGCCGGATTTCGGGGGTGTAGGACCGTCATAAAAGTAGTAGAGCAGCTTCAAAGATGTGCCATCAAGGAGCAAAAGGTCTGTGAAGATGACAGCAGCCTTGGGATCCTGAGCGCCGTTGGCGACGAAGTTGTGGAGCGCAGCATACAAAGCTTCGCTCTGATTCAGTGCGTAGACACACGATCCACCCCATATGTCGCCAATCGGAACAGTCTGGACTGTGAAAGTGGTCACAATGCCAAACTGACTGCCGCTTCCTCTCATAGCCTTCGCAAGTTCTGGTTGGGATTTGGCATCTATGTTAATGATAGAGCCATTGGCCATGACAGTCTCCCAGCCAATGATGTTGTCGGCCGCGAGACCATGCTGCGCACTGAGGAATGACAAGCCGCCTCCAAGTAGAAGACCACCCACGCCAACAATTCCTGATTGATGTCAGTGTTGGTATCACTTAGTCATAGCTGAGTATGTACATACCTAGACGTCCACCGAGCATTGTCACACCACTTGGTTCCAAGTCTCCGATAACATCGTTCCACTCGCCTCCAGGCTTTACATAAGCCACTCCCTTGGTTGCGTCGTATGTAGCACCCACCATGTCCGTCATTGTGATGAGTACGCCATCTTCGACGCCGTTGTGTCCAACGTTCGGATCATGGCCACCGCTTCTTGTAGCCATTTTGACAGTGGGGTACTTGAGCAGAATTTTGACGACAGCCGATACATCCTCAGCAGACACTGGCTGCACGATACATGCAGGATCAGTAGAGCGCTGTGTCATCGACCAATACTGCTGCTTCTCATATGCGTACTCGACCGCCAGAAGCCCGGTCGTTAACACTTTGCCAGGCAGTGCATTCTTGATTTCAGTGCATGCTTGTGTTGTAGCTTGGTCGGGAGCAGCGGTCGCTAGGGGAGCGCCCAATGCTAAAGCTACAAGTGCTCCGCGAAAGACTCTGTCCATGGTTCAATCTAAGGCTCAACTGCTTGAATGGACGAAAATTTGAAGGGAAAGAGGAAAACACAGTCAGACCGACCCTTGGCCGAAGATGGGAAATATAATACTTTTCCCTCTACTAGCATGACTGGGCACGCCGCTCATCACTTTCTCAAAGGGACTGTCCGTGTCGCGATAGTCTTAGTGGTAGTTTTGGCATAGTATGCACGGTGAACCGAGGCCTTCCTGTCGCCTGTCACAGATGCTGTGTAACCTCTGGTCTAAGGGAATAAGCCTTCGCCGGCGTTCCAGCAAGCCTGCCGAAAGCGAAAGCGGGCACAAATTGTCCAACCTTCGTATCCAGTACCGGCTATTCAACGGTGATTGGCATCCGCATGCTCGACAAAGGCAGTTTTGGCGAGGCTGGCTGCATTGATAAGAGAAGAAAAAAGCCATTGGGAGGCAGACCCTTGTGGTGGCTTGTGAAGGCATATCTGCCAGCAAATTGAAATGCAGTCAGTCTCCACAATTCAGGTCACGGTGCATCCGCAGCACGCGTGAATCCTCTCAGAATGCAGGATGCTATTGCAATTGCACCAAAAATAGCCTGTTGGCTTCAGAAATTTCAGCTGCGAAGTCGTGTTTGTACATAAGGGCCGAGAAGGACAGGCTTCGCCATCGGAATCAGGACATCAATCGTGCGATGCTCGCAGTACATGGTGAGGATGGCGACGGAACGCTTTGAAGCCGCTCACGAATACGAGTGTGGTTGTGCATCGCGTGAGGGTTGGGACGGACAAGGCGTACGTGCAGGCCCGCCATGTGGGATGACTGCGGAGGGCGCAAGCGGGAAGCGCTAGTCCCAAAAGGTTGGTGGAGTTTGGAAAGTGCGACCAGCGACTGTTGACGGTGGCCCGAGCGGCGTAAACAGAGCAGCAACACCATCGTCATCTCGCGCGCGTCTCCCACGCACGACGACGGCAAAAATGGAGGCGCACAACCTCAAGACGGCATCGGCATACATCAACAACTTGTTGTTAGCACGCGGGCTATTGCGCGATGGCAAAGCGATCGAGTTCGCGCACCCCTCTCGCGGCGCGGGCGGAAAGGAACAGACAATGGCGCATATCATCAACGTTGTGCACGATCTGATCCTGAAGCGCGATGTAAGTGTCTGGCTGCGCAATGTACATCCCATACTAAGACTTGGCAGCGCGATCAGGAGTATCGCGAGTCCATGGCAGAGACGCTGCGCACTCTTCGCTCCGAATCAACGCGCCAGACAATCGCCCTCGAAAAGCTTCAGACGCGCAATGAAGACCTCGCGCGCCAAGTTTCTCTGGCGCAGTCGCAAGAACGTTCCGCCCGCGCCGCCCTCCGAACCGCCGAGTCGTCCGCCCGCAGTCTTCGGGATGAAATGCTGCGATTGAAGACGACAGTCCAGCAGATCCGCACGAGCTGCGCAAACGACGTGCGAAAGCGCGATGTGCAGATCCAGAAGCTCAAAGGTCACCTGACCACGCAGCAGAGGGGCAACAAGACTGGCCTGGTGGGCGCGAGCATCACAATCAACCCTGGGAACATAGGCCTGGGTGGATCAACCAGCAGCATCCGAGATGACGCGCCCGATCTCGACGATCCTGGTTACAGCCTCAAGCAGGAGACGACCGAGTTCCTCACTCAACTCAGCCAGAGTCTGAGTGACGAGAATGACAACCTCATCGGCCTTGTCAGGAACACACTCATGACGTTGAAGGAGCTGCAGGGAATGCCAGAAAGTAATACCCGAGAGGACGCAGAGGGCCTATCGGTCATTGGCGAAGAGAACGAGAACACGCAGATGAGCATGTTCCAAGCATTACCGACCAACTACGAAACCCTCGCAAGCGACATGGACACTGTGTTGGACAATCTAAAGAACCTTCTCACAAATCCGAACTTCGTGGCCGTCGACGAGGTTGAGATGCGCGAAGAGGAGATACTCCGGTTGCGCGCTGGCTGGGAGAAGATGGAGGCCCGCCTACGTGAAGCCTTCATGTTGATGGACTCGTGGCGAAAGCGCATGACCAATGGTGATACTATCAATCTTGAGGAGCTGAAGATGGGCCTAGGCTTGGGAGTAGGACTGGAGTCTGTGGACCGGGAAGACATCTCTATGATCGATGAAGAGGAAGAGGAAGATGAGGCCAGCTCCGTTTTTGACGAGGAAACTGAAGAAGTGGACGAGCAGGCGACCCCTTCATCTCCCGCTCCTGACCATACCGTGGCTGAGAAGACCGGCACTACCGACATATTCAACTTGAAACTAGAGCCCAACAAGCCGACAGCGCTCAGGGAAACGAACGGTAACAAATCACCCATCAGGTCGCCACGCAAAGTCGCTTTCTCTGCGTCCATACCGAACACACCGTCACAATTGGAGGATGAGAACGCAGAAACTTCCGGTCTCGATCTCGTAGACGCCGACAGCCCTAGTGTCGCACAAGCAGCTACCAAGGGGACACGCTCGTCAGAACGTATCTCGCGATCAAGAGCTCAAGACGAGCCCATACCCAGACAAGTACGTTGCAAAAACATCGCGAATAGGAGGATCAAGGCTAACTCTATCTTCCAGACTCGAAAACGTCACTCCAGCCCACGGCCCCATCCAGATGAACCCTCGCCGAAGCTCACAGTACACGATAAGCTAGCACAAGCGGAGGCGGCTGCTGCTGCTGCCGCAGCCGCTGAGGGTCTGCAGACTTCGACCACCATGAACGAGATTAGTGAAGGCGCGGCAGAAGAGGGCAAGCAAAAGAAGCGTGCAGCGCGATCACCAACGAAGACAAAGATACAGGGACGGCCAAAGAGGAGAAAGAGCACGCTCACACCAGAAGAGTTGGAGAATCTGCTGGGCTGCTAGTCGCGCGATGTGGAGAAATGAATACAACTGTACAATTTCATGACATATAAGACAATGTCTTGTCACGACAGGTTGAAGCGACTCAGACTTGCTTCTTCCACAACCTTTCTCGGAGATAAAAACACAAGTTCATGCATCGCCTGGTGGAGACACCAAGTTCGATGAGGTGTGCCAATTGTTCGCCACGGTCCATCATCCGAAGCCATCCGCACTATCGCAGCACTTGACGTCAGAACACTGCTGAACATGAAGATGATGGTAATCACATGTAAAGTCGTGATAACAGAACAATTCCGCGACAAATCCACGAACCAACCGTGACCCAAGACACTCACCATGTCCAACCAACCCCATAACCCTCGCCCGGTCGCTTTCGTCTCTCCCATATCCGACACAGACGTCAAAGACGAAAAGAACAAGAAAGGTATCATAGCCATCTGCACCACCAGAGAATCAATTTTCTCAAATGCCATCGAGTAGATCACAACCCCATCCACCAAGCCGCGCATTATCTCAAAAATGCAGTCACGCTGGAATCCAAATCCGACGAGAAGAGGAGGGAAAGCGCGATCGCGGACCCGGCGCATGTGAACGATCATGGTGGGAAGGCGGCTGAGGCAGAGTTTTGGGATAAGCATGGCAAGGGAGGCATGGGACGTGAGCACGTAAGCGCGACGGATGAGTCTGTGGGCCATATCACGAATAAGAAGGAAGTTGGTGGGCCGGTTACTGGGACGTTGTTGTGAGGTGAGGTTTAGGGAAGGGGTGCTGAGTAATGCGATCATAAGGCGCAATGTGAGCGTAGATCGTACTTCTGATTGACATTTCTCTCTTACAAATACGGATTATTGCAGTAGATAAAGTTCTATGCTTTCCAATCCCTCTGCTGAATAATGTCGTTGTGCCCTTTGTGTCCAATGATAATGCGACACCTGACGTCAAGCGCGCACAAATCGGGCCCAAAGGGCGTGGTTTTTGAGCACCACCTAGTCAAGTCGAGTCAAGAAAAGTGACTTTCATCATTTCCAACGTGATGGTTGGGAGGCAACGAATGAACTTTCTACGATGTCTGGTGTTTGGTTGGGAGGGACCGAAAACTGTGAGATGAGATCACTGCCGTTTGCGGCTAACGTAGCATTGCATCTAGAATCACCAATGGTGTGGTAGAAAGATTGGGCATGAAGTACATATATCCCTTCAAGACATGCAGAAAGCCCTCTGAGCAAACATCATCTCGAAACCCTCATCTCCAATATACATCAAGTCCCGGCTTTCAAAGCACATCCAAACTTTTTTTTAAGCCACCTGGTTAGGTACTTTTCAAAAATGTCCTCACCAACCCCAATCCAACCCTTCCAATACCACCCTATCTCTTTCGTCTCCCCAATCAGCGACACAACACACACACAGACCTCCCCGCATACATCCCGCCTGCGCCGCCTCTCGACGTATCTCAAAAATGCAGTCACGCTTGAAGATACGGCGACGGCGTGGCGCCGCGAATCGGTCATTAGCGACCAGGGAAATATGCAGCAAGAGATCTCGCGGCGCAGCTCTACGAGCGAGCAGGAGAATAGCGCATTGTTGGCGTGGAGGAGGGGGAGTGAGGAGGGGTTTTGGAAGAAGTATGGGATGGAGGGGAGGAGGAAGAGTAGTGTGAATGGGGAGGGGGAGAGGGAGAGGAGGCTGAGTTTGGGGAGGGCGGGAGGGAAAGGGAAGTGGAGGAAGATGAGTTGGGTGGGAAGGGAATGAGTAGGAGGGAGGATGGTGAGGGTGAGGTAGAAAAGTTTTGCTTTTTGAAGTATTGATAGAGGATGAAGAATGATAAATGCAAACCGCTTCAGAGGGTCTCTGAGAATACAGGTTCAAGTCTTTGGGACTTTTGTGTGTTGTTGCTGAGCTCAGTGTTGTGGCAGGGGTTGCTAGCGAGAATGGTCGTTCAGACCACGCCCAGGGTGAGACGGCAGTTGCTCGAAAGAAACCATTGATTTTGGCAAACGCAAACACTCACACGTCCTCTAGTCTGATATGTAGCTCTTGTCAAGTGTGTTAATGATCTACTTTCGGGCCTACCCAATGTCGTTGATCATCGCACGCAAGCGAGCCTCCTGCTACTCGACCTACTCAACTCCTCTCCTCCGATTGAATGTGTTACTGATATCCATCAGTAGCAAGAAATTGCCTGTATTGACGAATAAGAAGCACTGCCAACGTTGAAGGGGTCAAAAGCAAAGACTGCACAACAAAGCATCAAAGGATACCCCTTATGGGCGCAATAATTTCTGCGGACCGTTACGCAACCTTCTGCGTCAGTTGGGCGCCACAGAATGGCCGTTGCGGCCAAAGAACGGATAGTACCGAGCTCTCAAAGGCTCATTGGCTAGAGGTACTACGTCAGCAATCATGCGTGAGTATGTGCAGGGTCAAGGCGCGTAGGTATGGGCGACTTGATCGTGCTTCGAAGGCTTGCATCTGTGTATCTTCGGCGATACAGGGGCTCAAGCAAGCTGATCGGACCTCAGTGAACAAGACTGTTCCTTGCAAAGATGCAACATGACGGTGCGAGCTCGGAGCTGCCATTGATACGTTTTCTAGTCCAAAAGCTAGGTGCAAGGCTCAAGTAGCACAGCATACTTGAGTGGTGCACACGTTTTCCTGTGTCTTCAAGGTCTTGGATGCTTCCACGCCAATATGCTGTGCTCACTGCTCATCGAAAACGACACAGCCTCAGGCTCTTGGTCAGAGTCAAGATCTTAGATGAATGGTGCTCTAACCGCTGTGCCTCAGCCATCCCGCCCGCTTCCGCCTTCGTCCCGCGATTCATCCCGCTTTGACAGCTCTCGATTGATATCCGTCCGAGGGTTCCTGCACATTGTCACGTTCATCTCCACATGGCCCATATCGTGATATCAGGTTCGACCGGTCAACTTAACCTGCATTGCTCGAGTTTGGTGGCCTGACGTTGTGGTTGGGTGCACGCGTCAGCCAGTAGTGTCTATTAACCGCCGACCATCCAAATCAGGGCATTTTGTGCTCAACATGACCGTCGCTGCATGCTGCGATTGGTGGAGACGTAAGATGGAGGCTGGGCGACGCACATATTGCCTGTAAATAGGACCTCATGCGGCAGGGAGGATGGCTGCAGACGTCCAGGTTGCGGCCTTGGAAAGCAAATTCTTCTGCATCGGTCTTTGCTGCTCGAAGTTAGCTCTCGATTTTGTGGCTGCAGTGTGACAGAAACCCACCTGCAATGCATACAGCGATCCATCACATGGCTTGTATCGTCGGGCGACGCGATTGGTCGAGTGTTTTCACTCGAGGCCTGTGCTTCGTGGATCACTTTGCCCCACTTGACCTCGCCAATCAGCAAGTAGCGCCCGGCTACCACCATTTGCTGCCATCCACTCCTGCAGCACCGTCAAGCGCTCAGCGTACATTCGATAGACTCGCTTCCCTGCGAACATGGCTGCACAAGCAATCAAATCGCTTCCGGGAGTAGCGAGACTTGTCCCGACGCCATGCCCAACCACCCCCGCTTGTCGCTCAGCGTGCGATGCGGTGCCATAGATAAGTAGGCCCCAGGCCTCACTCCATCTTGTTTCTTCAGCAAGCGTGTGAACTTTCAGAGCTGTTGTATTGTCGTTTTTTCTCCTCCCTTTTATCTTTTTACTCTTTCTAGGCCTGGTGCCATCTTAATCTACCCTTTTACCAACTAATCCAATTCTTCGTCGCCGGTCGACATACCCAACACAACGTTAATTTTCAGCTCTACTTGCTCGATACACAATCTTCATCACCAATCACTCGATAACCGAAAGAACTCGCATTCTTCACGAATCAACACAGCTTCTTCAGCATTACTTCGTCTATCCATTAGTTTGGCCAGGACGATTCGAAAGAACAACACTATCATAATTCAACTATCCAAGAAAGAATAATCAACACACTTCACAATGGCCGCTATCCAGCTTAACTTCACTCTCCGCACTTCCGCCAACTGCAAGACCGTCCATCTTCTCGGCTCATGGGACGAGCTACCAGGGCCAGCTCCCGCTCTCCAAGGACCAGAAGAAGTCCGGAGGATGGAACGGATGCTTCAAGTTCAACGGCGCCACACTCAAGCAGGGCCAGCGCTACTGGTACTACTACATCATTGACGGCTACCACGTCTCCCACGACCCAGCCAAGGACCACACCACCGAGCCCACCACTGGCCGCAAGCTGAACATCATCGACATCCCAGCCGCCAAGTCCTCATCCACCAGCTCCGACAAGAAGTCCCGCCGTGTGTCCACCGCCTCCGTCGCAAAGGGCCGTTCCCTCAGCCCAGAGCGCATCGTTGCCCCCAGGCCCCAGCGCCCCGGCCAGACCCGCCAGGTCATCAACACCCAGTACGACAAGACCACCCTCGAGGAGCTCAACCGCCGCTTCGCCAAGCAGTCTATCGAGGAGGACTCTGATGACTCCGAATACGACTCCGACGAGGGCTCCGACGTCCCATCCCTCACCTCCCGCTCCACCAACTCGAGCTCGCCCAGCAGTGTTAGCTCTGGTAGCAGCTGCTGCACATGCGAGCGCTTTGGCATCACCCGTGCTGGTGACCGTGTCAAGCTCGACTGCGGAAGGTGCGCGATGCGGATACTCTGATGACTCTTCCGACTGCTCTTCCGAGGACGAGTACGTCTACGAGGAGAAGACGACCCGCCGCCAGGGCGTCGTCATCCGCGCGCCTAGACGCTTCACCCAAGTGCCAAATCACCTGGACACCATTGTGTTTCACCCCGACTTTCGCATCTGTCCTTGCGATGCGACTGTTCACCATTCTTTCTGTGCATATTATGATAACGACCTTTTCACTTCTTTCTTACTTCGTTCTACAACTACTTCCACTCTCTGGATTATGAATTATTGCTGCTGGTATGGGAGCTGCTTGGGGGTTTACCCAGGGGAGGAATACAGCGAGACCCTCTTTTTGCGCTGGCTATGGACATCACAATCTGCCCGATGTCAACCATGCGACAAGGCACGCTTATGTAGAATAATCAAATGGATTCGCATGGCTCGTGCGCGACATGACCTAAATTATAGTCTTCTCTTGCAGTGACGTTTTGTTGTATGTGATGTGCGCGACAAGGACTAGCTGAGACTGTTGAGCGTGCGACCGCAGTGCCTCGCCGGAGGACAACAGTTCTGATTATCGGCTTCCTTCAAGTGCATCTCACCCAGTCCCGTCCCACCTCTTTGCATACTCCGTATGTGATATCTTCATAATTTTCCATCATGGTACGCGATCCGAAGAGGCAGAATCGAAGCACTTGAACAGATAGATCGACCTTTTCCTACTACTTATTTCTAGTAGATCATAGAGATTTATGTATCTGTCCTCAACACCACGCCATCGTTGCAGCGGTACCGATAAATAAGAGTGCTTTTGGTAACGCTGCTCGATGTGATCGGTTCCTGGCGAGTGGATGGGAGTGTTACCGCAACAAGGATCTGCCCTTGGTGTGCATAGCTGTAAAGACCACTGGGCCATGAAGTGCCACTGATGCGTTGACCAAAGTTAAAACGATAAGATGCTGGCTGAGTTTGTATTGCCTAGGCGATAGACTTGATTGATCTACTTTTCGGCTTTGACAAAACCTTAAGAACCAAGTTCGTTCAAGTCCGCTGTAACCTAAAGCCTAGATGTGTCACTGTGGATCAAAGAATTTGCATGTTCCTCAGTCGATTCTCGGCCATAGAGAGCGATTCTGTTCATCGATGTGGTCCATTTTTCCTAGAGTTTAAGGCATGTTAACGAAGATAACACGCGAAAAAAGTGACTTGCTCTCCAGTATGCATCTATTCGAAGCGTAGATCACTCGAGTGAGTAATTTGCCTGTACATTATTAGACGTTTGGTCTCGCGAACTCACTCCAGCACGGCAGCACTAGTGTGGAGTGCACCTGCGTGTTCTCATCCTCGAATTTGTGAAGTCAAAGTCTAAGCTTCGTTCCATCGTTCTTGTGAGTTGGACACCCTGAGAGTTTAGTTTGAAGTCGACGAGTGCTTGCTCGTTCCAGGAGACCATGCGCAAAACGGTTTGTCTTGGTCGCAGACTTTGGGGGGAAGCGTATGGACGACATTTAATGATGATCCAGATAATATTATGGGTCAGAAAACCCTAAAAGTTTATCTATTGTTGTCTCAGACTCTTTCAGGAAGACGTAATCGCGTGAAATCTGGTTGAGGATTTCTCTGTCGCCGCCGATTCGGAAGCCATCCGTGTTCTTCAGCTTGAGGGGCGACGTGAGCCGAGCTTTCGGTATTTTTACTATTGTAAAGCATCGCTAGTGGCGTCCCGGTAATCATTGATGGCTCCAAATTTAGACCCGAGGCCAGCGTTGGTGGTTTTGCGTTCCTTGGAGCTGAAGTCGGCATGCCTCGCCGTGATCTCACGGGAACTTTCCTGCAATTAGGGCAAGGCATCCGCTTCCTTTATCCCCACGGGGCCATTTACCTCGCAAGATGATAACATTTGTGTCAATCCAGGACCCAGCTCGCTAGCTGGGCGCTTAAGTGGTGAGCTCACGTAAGGCGAACCAAATGCCAAGCCAGTTTCCGCCTTGTCAATCTTAATACATGGAAACGACTGTTAGCACATCCTGTAGACTATTCTCGGATGTTTCCCGCAGTGGAGCATATGTTCGGGAAGACAGGCGGTTGCGAAGTCCCCGCTGCAGGGGCGGAACGTCGCGATCTTACACTGAGAATCACACGGGTTTTCCCTGCACCACGACCAACCCGCCGGTAACGAAGTAATGGGAACCAGGTAGTTGACCGAGTATTGAAAAATCTCCAAGGCTGACTAGAGTGGATAAACTGTGGCTTCATTGCGCTAGAATCAGGCGCTTCTAGAAAGTATGACCTACTGAAGTTTCATGTCCTTTGAGAGGATCGTGAAAGGGGACATGAGCTGTGCAAGGTACTCTTGATTATGCATATCCTGGCTTTGCACCCCAAAGGAGCAAGTAGGCGGAGGTAGGCGACGCGGCATAAGAAGTCTCGTTCACTACGATGACACCCCATATAGCTTACGCCAATCAGACGTTTGTATCGACGTTGATTGACCTGGAGACCAAGTCCAAGACCAACCAGGGTGGTCCCAGGCTTCAGATTGGTAGGAATATGCCAGACCCAGAACGCCATGTTGGAGCGGCCAAAAACCGGGGTTCTGGATCGCGCAATGCCGTTGCATTCTCAGTGCGATGGTGCTACACAGGTATGGGCAACTTGAAGGTTCGCCCGGCCCTTCGATGGAGGTCCAGACAGGGTTGCAAGACCTCGACGTGGCGTGTCCGCGTCTACGGAAACCGTAGCGGTGCATAGCATGTATAGAACAGACAGTTGCGCGAGATTGATGCAGCGAGATGGGAGAAGCAAAAGACCCTGCTAGTTTATGACTAGAGCATGAGAGATTTATACCATGATTCAACGAATTCCTCGTTTGAAAGAATTAGAATAGTTCTACGAGGCGTTTCAGAAAGCCAAGTCTTATTTTCACGTTGAAGTCGACGCATCCGTAGCTGAAAGACCTGTCTTAGTGCTGATAGTCAGCCAGACCAGTTAAGAGTTTCGTATGGGAAATACAGCTCGAGAAGATACTCAAGGCATCCCGACACCAAGTTGAGACGACCAATGCGAAGTGAAGTGCGCTGGATGCCTGAAGAACCGCTCCAAAATTGTGAACATTGTTCATCTAAAAATGGCGGACGGATACGAGATGACGAGCCCTGACGACGTTCGTAGACCTTGGAGACTAGTTGACATGTGGACAGCATGACTCTTCCGGCCGCATTCGCATCTGGGCATTGTGGGTCGGCAAGCGCGACAATACTGGACTGGCGACGGAAGCTACGGGCGACATGTAGGGATCAAGAGGCCACAACCGAACATCTTGCTCAAGAGATCGCGCCGTACCGGTTCCGATATCCCGAGGAATCCCAGAGGTGCTCACCGGCGAGAGCGGAGATGCCAGAAGCCTGCGCTGGCAAGCATTAAAGCCGCAGGAATGTAGCCTTCAGTCATAGTCATAGATGCATAACCTGGCGGTGGAGATGTTTGAACCGTGGTGACGGTTCTCACACCGACGATGTTGTATAGAGTTGAGGTAGGTTTTGAGGATGATGCAGAGGAAAGAGCGGTGTTGCGATGCGCTAGCGCTTAGCGCAAGAACTAGCACCTCCATCTCGCAGGAAACCAAGATGACGTTGCGTGGGTTCCTGCTTAGCGATACACTGCAAGGCTTCGACGCCGAGTACGTGGTCCGATTGTAATCATAGGATCGAGTTGGTGTGGGGTGCTATGGTGGAAGCTTGCGCGTGGGAAGCGGGAAATTGCCACTAGTGTCTAGTCAATGGCGTAGCTTACGAATTCATGGCTAGTATTTGTGCAAGGCAGAATCTCATTTAGACTCAAAACAGCTGAATGACATTGGCTCTCAAATCGACGTTACCCACACAGAGTTTAGAGAGATATCTAAGGATTGGTAGGGCAAGAGACATATACTCCAAATCCATGCTAAAGAAAATGTCCCAATCCCATCATAATCGTACATTCCAAAATCCGCTGATAGCTCGAGAGCGCCTAGTTTCCATGCGTGATATCCCTCATAAAATCCTTAAACCAAAGAAAATAAACGCCGTGCCCATGTGTGTACATTGCGATCTAACAGACCACGGTGAAGCCAGTGATGCTTTCAAAAGTACTCCTCCCACGAGTGGCCACCATTAAGACGTTGTTGATTTGGTCCTCGAATCGTGGGCCGTAGATGTAAAATGATCCAAACTCCTTCGCTGATAAAGATGGCATGTGAAGCTGTGTCGATGGCGTATAGGTGCAGCGATCTTAAAACGACGATGGAAATGTGCCACTTCCGTATCCAGAATCTGGCAACACACCGGCATTATAGGTGACCTCCGGCCGATGGCTACTGTGCATGCTACAGGCGTAGCCAACAAGGACCGTCTTCTCTTGCACTGCATGCCCACGCTGGCCATATACGGAGCATGGGTCGATGGAATGTTGGTGGTATAGGCATCGACAGACGGAGTATCTCTCGACAACTTGATAGCACATGTTGAGGGATATGCGGTGCGATATTGGCTGTGTGATGAGGGAAAGGACTAGAAATTCTGATCAAGTCGACAACCAGATAATGTAGAGTGATGAGAGCAATGTAAGATCGATACTTGAAGATATAAAGAGAATCCACACGAGCGAAGAGCTAGGATATATAGTAGAATGTGACAAGACGGAGAAGAGAGCATGGGCCAGCGTGGGTCACACACGGAAGGCATGCTTCGAGCATCTGCACGTCCGTTAGGCAACGGGAACCCGTGTGTCCATTTGGGATGCACAGTCAGCACGGGTGCTGCTAAGAGGGGACATTCAAGACCCAGCACAGCCATCATGAGATTTAGTCGACACATAGAGCAAGTGGTAAGAGAGTTGCCCGTAGCAGGGGTGGGGTGGCTCGCTTCTTGGAGGCTCTTCAGCTCTCGCCGATCATTCGTCCATTTTATCCATTGGTCGGGCCATGGGGCCAGGTGTGATGCCACGATTCCGTGAAGAGCTCAATAGTATGGTATGCGCCTTCGCCCACTGCAGCGCAGGCGCGCACGGGCGAAGAAGCGAATGGCGCGTCGCCCCTGTACTGCGGATGGGCGGGGTCTGGAAAAGATACAGGCTTTAGACATATCCTAGATGGGCATACTGAGCGTCCTCCATGAGGTATCACGATCTCTAGGCGACTTGATTGATCGGATCTGACGTCCTGAATCAGCCACAATCCTGATAATCATGGTCGGACTTGATGAGCGGTATGGAAGAGGTGTGGCTGCGAACGTTGATACGCAACGTGCCGTGGCAGCCCTCACCGTAGTCCATGCGCTGGACGAACGCCTCGGCAGCGGCTCTGGCGGGAAGTGGAAATGCTACATCTCAAGCAGGAATGGTGGCATGCAGCGCTGCATAGGCCGAAGGATTAGAAGTGTGGTGGTTCTTGGCCCGTGACCGCTGACCCATGCGAGACCTCCGGGGCTCTCGCTTAGTTCCCTGGTTTGGGATAGTCCGGTTTGGGGCAGTGCGATCGTATTCTTAGAGTTCTTCTTCACTTCTCAAACACCATAGAGTAACCATTAACGTCGCATAATCACTCATCAACTGAAGTGCGAATTTCCGAGGTCCTGGTCAAACTGCGGCTCATGTTGTTTGTACACTTACCGATGCCCGTGTCATTGGCTGCTCATTTCCCCGCCAGGGAATAAGGCTGACCAGCTGAGCGTTGCCTGCAAGTCTGCAAGCTGTCGCACATTGTGTGGAGAGAACGTGTACTTTTCTCTGGCCAGAAGGTCTGATTCGTCAACCCAGAGTTTGTCATCTCATATCTAAAAACGCCAGGCGGCAGGGTGTGGTGCCCACAGCATCGAACCACATTGCTGAAAAGCAGCTTCACCGCAACTGCAGATTGGATACGCTGGCCAACTATTCGAGTCTAATACCTTGCATTCGACTACAGCCTTTCTGGATTATGAAGAAGTCGGCGCTCCCCTGACACCGCCGCTCCGTGACTGGATGGCTTAGACCCGCTTACTGCGCCGTTGAATCACAAGCATGCAGCCCTATGCATCTCTCCCGGCTCTGGGTTCGCGTGGCGCCGGTAGCAGTGTCTCACACCGGCATTCTGGAGCAAGCTGCCTCTTGCGTTCAGCTCAGCCCTATGCCCCATAGTGTCAAGCATGATGTCGCAGATAGTCTGTTTTCCCTTGTGGGGATCGAGGCTTTGATTCAATCGGGAAGTTGGGCCCTGAATAGCCTCAATGTTTCGGGAAACGAGTTTTTACGCCCGTGGCAATCATCGGAATAGACCAGCCCCCACTGCGATACTATACAAAGGCACAAGTACGATCGTTCTGCAAGGCAGATTTCATCACGCGAAATATGGTTTTGGACCCATTCCCTGACTCCGCACTCGAAAATTGTTAGGTACTGCCATGACATGAACGGGTCTTGTCATGCTCGGCAGTCCCTAGGCTTCGGATCCGCGGCGCTCGGGGCAAGCAACAGCGCGTTTGATAAGAGAAATTATACTGCGTCCATGAATGACGGCATACGGTGTGTGCCTCTGGAGATCCAGTCTACACTGAGTCTGCAAGTAGATTCGGTTTCGGACCCAAGCGATTGTTCGAAGTGCCTCATGAGATCTCCAGCCTACCTACCTTGGGGAGACGCACCCGAGCGCGATTAGGAGGCATGATTCACAATGGCAAGGATTATCACAACACACACCGATTGTGTGGCTCAGGGCAAACAAAGTGTGAGGATCTCTGAACGATTGCTATCACATGCGCACTATAGTATGCCACATGACTATCAACTCTATAGGCACGGTACCGGTGAGGATGGACGTGGAAGCAACAGTCCGCAAACTTGTCTCGCGACCAACCAAGATAATGTCGGCATATGAATGGCACGGCCCGATGTCTCACATGGCGGTGAAGGTACACCCTAGTAACGCTGCATGCATTAAACGGTCAGCCCTACGACCACCGAAACCATGGCCTCGGAAAAGTGTGAGAGGCTACAAGACCCCACGTCTACTGCTCGCTCCTCCGAATTGTTTGACCGGCAATGCTTCGACACCTTACATCTGTATTGGCGCCGTCATGATCGGTACTAGGTTCAACCCGCAGCTGTTATTCCATCGGTGATTAATCGGCAGCTTACAGCCAAACTGCTTCAAGTCCGCTTAACATCTTTATCTCCTGGCGGACAACTTCATGGCACAGGCTTCTATGATCCTTGCCGTTGATAGGGCGGCCTCAATGCCCTGGAAATCACACGCAAGGCAGCTAGGCGTAGTCCAGGCCTACCCCACCTCTGTTGACGACACCATGTGTGTGTGGCCATGCTTCTGACTACCTAGTCTCTCATATGTAGTATCAGAGCAGCCCTTCTAACAGTACGACTAAGAGCTTGCACATCACTCCCAACCGATCAAAACACAAGAACTCGTCATCTGGCTGCCAGATCGAGCTGTTCAGTTGAGTCGCCAAGCAAACGTAATGAATAACAACACTCAAAAAAAAAGCAGAATATGATCGGATCAAACATGTCCAACGACCCGAAACTCAATTCCGTCCCACAGTCTCCAATACTGTATGTCAGATCCCGCGACCAATGAAATTGCAGTGCCAAACTTCTTCTATCTCAGACTCTCTGTCTTGTTCACCGGTAGCCAACTTCACCTCACGCTCCCGCCTTTCTCTTGGCATACAGAAAGTTCTCGACTTCAGCGACGCGGTGCTCTTGAACTGTGCCGCACGGCCAACAGACACACGACGTGGGTCCTTGTGCTTTTACGCCCGAGAAGAGAAGGACGAACCACACAATGGTACTTTCCATACGTGACTCGCCGCGGGTGAGACAACGGAGAAGACGGTGACAAAGGTCGGATTAACGAGAGGATGTCTGACAATCCGCACTGAATCAACAGATACCACGCTTGTCTCCTGACCTTGACAGCAGCAGAAAACTTACGCCATGGTTCAAACAAGTCGGGCGGAACAAAACAGGCTGAATACTTCGAACGCGTTCATCACATAGACTGGCTTGCGTGCAGTCACTGCCGGCAAGCAAAAGCATCAAAAACACTGCTCAACCATTGGCCGCATCCATTTCATGGTTTCATCCTTGACTAATGCAGACACATCTCTTCGTACATACGGCGTGATCTGCGCACCTTGAAAACAATCTCGTCAGGACATACCTTGTCTCGTCGATCAAGATAAAAGTGTAGGATGTATTCTCGCCGCGGATCTACTGACAGTAACTTGTTTTGGATTCCTGCGTAACCGCACAGTCGCTCTTCAATGGCTGAGTTGAACGTTGCTGAACATGTATGTATGCACTTTGTTCGAGCACGTCGTGCTACTCGTTTCCGCAAAGCGAAGTACCCCAAGCACCCGTTCGTGATCGTGAATTTAACTGGCGTCGAACTAGGACAAGCTTCGAATTCGTACCCGAGCGGCAAACTTCAGTGCAGACTCAACATCCACAAGTCAATACCGCACTCATAAGACTTACTACACGACAATAGATTCGAGACACATCACAAGCCATCAAGAGACACATCAGATTGTCAAAACCATTCATTCTGTCAGAAAAGTCTATTGCAAAATGCTAAACATCAAGCAGCGAGGGGGGTATCAGTATGTCCATCTCAAGCTGCCCCTTAACCTCCATCGGGGAAACAAACGCCAGTCGTGTATTACATGCATATCATAGTAATACAATCTCAGAAAGCGTGAAGTCGTGAACTAAGAGGGGAAAAAAGGTATTGTCGAAAAGCAACGCTTTACAACATGACACCATACAAGACTACAAGGCCCATGGCCCAGTAGCCAGTGTACTTGGCCATCGAGTGTGCAGCTGCTGAGTCGTCTTCTCCTCCTGCTGCCGTAGTGCCGTTGGGCAGTGTGCCGTTGAGGACGAGCGAGCGGGTGTTGTTAACATCTGAGACGGTGATCAAGCTCTTATTCAGCGCGGCATAGCTTCCGTTTCCGACAAGGTCGCTGATATACGCCGGGTCATCGTTCTCGTCGCATCCACACGGGCTAAATTCCTGACACAAGCACACAACGGGCAGCGTCTCGTTGGCGCCCTGCTCCTGCCTTGTCACCAGGTAGACCAGACTGCGGCGATCGTTGTCGTTATCGTTGTTGTTCGTGCGGTTGGCCGTGCGGTTGTAGAAGCGGTATGGGTTGTTGTAGTGATACGGGTACACGCTGTATAGCCATAGACCGGGCATGATGGCCAGCGCTGCACCGCCAACGAGTAGGGGCGCGGCGATCAGACCCTTGGGTGTGCGCGAACCAGCTGAGTACGGAACTGCTGCTCCGCCGCCGTAGTATGCGCCGCGACCGTATGCGGGCTTGGGTCCTGAGCCGGTGCTTGTGCGGCCGCCGGCCATCGAGCTGCCGGATGTGCGTCCTGATGAGCTGCTACCTCCGCCTGAACGGCCACCTCCTGATGATGAGCCGCCACCGCTGCTACCGCCGCCACGACCGCCTCCGCCTTTGCGACGCTCGAGCGTGTGCTCGGGAGCTACGACTTCAGCAGCGCGGGGCGCGTGGTTGGGCAAGATGTTGGCTGAGAGCGCGTCATTGCTGTCTGGTAATGAAGCGGCTGAGATGGTGTTTGTGGCGAGAGCAAGGTATGCGAGACCGGAGAGCAGTCGCACCATGGTGAAAGTTGAAAGTGTGCGACACGGGTCGGTATGTCTTGGGGATATGTATATAATATGACCAGTGGTCTGGAAATGAGAAGTGTACAAGCAAGAAGGATATGTTTGCCTGTAATAGTATTCGTTTGCTGGGTCGTGAATTGCAAGTTTGTGGAGATACAAGGGGAGGCAACGGGCGTCTTTAAGCTGGCGACCCGCGATTTACTAGCGGCAGGAAGCACTGCGTTCCGTCATTGAAAGATCCTTAGCCTGAGGCGAACATTCCTTAGCGCAACACAGCCTTGTGCTCTTGTAATGCACTGCCAAACTCCGGTCTAGCTAGGCGTGCATTTACTCTAAAGCCACCAATTATGTTAATGCGCGGTGCCTTTCACTGTGCAAAGTCTGGAAACGGACTCGTCAACCTTCACACCCTCGCCCTCGCTCTCTGGAAACACACTCATCGCCCGCAGTGCCAAGACACACACACAAACGGGCTTAGTGGCGTCCTCAAGCTGCGCGAACAAGCTCAGCGAATTGTGACCTCATACTGTCGATCTGCCGAGCTTCTAGAAACCCAATTGTGGCCAAACACGATCCTGTGATGGATGCCTGACAAACCAAATGCTGTGCTGGTCCGACTAACCGAGAAAAACTCGATGCTGCGCGGAGCGGAGTTGCGCTAGGATCGATGACTTGCGCCTGTGTTGGCCGTGATCGTGGAGACGCATTGGGCAGGTGAGGTGATAGCCAAGAGTGGCTGATACTGCCACTAAATTATGCTGATGGCTGGTCATTGTTGTACTCGCCACTGTGAACTTTGAATTTTAATTTTTGGACAATGCCGGAGAGGAAGGGTTGAGTTGTTGAAGCAGGATGCCATATTTGTATTTTGGTTTGTTGCTGTTTGCGGCGACAATGAGACAGGCTTGCGTCAAAGAAGTCCAAGGCCTGCCCAGTCGCAATTACATCGTGGGACGCCTTATACACCGCCAAGCACAAATCATCATAGCGAGACCGCCTTCGTGAGCTTGCTGTCATTGCGACGTGGTGTCATATGCCCAATTCATCCATTCATCCAAAATCGCCTATGCAGTCCGTAACGGGGACCAATAGATCAGCATTAGACGCTGAATCGCATAGTGTCTCGTGATCGTCCACAAGGTCACACCATATTCTGCTTGCAACGTGCGCCACCAGCAACAAAATCTCAGTGATAGGTCGGAGAATCGTAGATGCACAGTAGGGCTATGTCGTCCCTGAGGCAAAGAACTGGTGGCGCAGCCAGGCACGTGGTGATCCTGGGCCATCACAGCCCTGCAAACATGGCGATATGCCTTTCGGTCACCGCTACTGGCCTCCTTAGGGCTGGCAGCCGCAGCAACTTTAGGCTGGTAGTTCTCATCGGCCGGTGTCGCCTTGCTTTGCTGCGGGTCCTCCGCCATCTGAGACTGTCTGGACCTTCCTGTATTCTTCCTCGAGTGCTCGTTGCATCTCGAAGTCGGCTTGACGTTCGCGCTTCAGTCGCTGTTGCTCATAATCGCGAATGACACCGGCGTGCATGGCCTGGGAGGAGTGTCAGATATGAACATGTTCCGCGCTGGGGATTGTGCATACAGCTTTTTCGATCCTCTGTCCATAGTGAACAGCGGCGACAATGCCAATTGCACCTATACAGGTAGTCGCCAACGTGATTTGCGATGCTCGAGACATACTTCCAGGAGTAATGGTGAGGTGAAGTCAAGAAAATGTTAGTGTCATCGAGGGTATCGATGACTTTTGGCGGCAGCGGGAAGGAGCTTGGGCCCAGGTGCACCTGCCATGCCAAGTCCATGAGCTGCATCATGCCTCTCCGCAACTCACCTCCGCCATAACCTCAACCTCCGCCCGCCTTTCGATACCTCAAGATGGTAAGCTCACTGTAATCTGCAGAGCTCGCCGTTCAATGCTAATATACCTTTAGTCCGCCCAAAACTCCGCCGGTATCCAGACCCTGCTCGACGTAAGAACCACAGCCCACCAAGACCTCCGCCCAGCTCACACAGTACCCAGGCCGAGCGAGATGCACAGAAGATAGTCCAGCAAGGTGAATCAGAGTTCCAAACCATACTCCCCACCCGATACTAACCCTCAACCAGCAAGAGAATGTACCCAACCCCCAATCCCCCCAACCATACCACCCATCTAACCCCCCAAGACCGCACGAAGCGCGTAAAGGACGCGCGAAACGAGGCGCAGAAGGAGATCGAGGACTACAAGACCGAGAAGGAGAACGAGTACCAGAAATTCGAGAAGGAGGTATGAAGTAGCGGTCTGGTCTATTTGGGATCAAGCGGAGAGCTGACACACGTGCAGCACAGCTCGGGCAACCAGAAGGCCGAGGAGGACGCAAAGAAGGCGACCGACGTCAAGGTCAAGGAGATTGACGACATTGGCAAGAAGTCGGGCTCCAAGGTTGTGGACCAGTTGATTACGGCTGTCACGAATGCCAAGCCGGAGCCGCCGCGGAAGTAGAGAGTAAAAGGGGATGCGATGGATACATTACGCTTGTAGACCTGCACGGGAAACCGACACTGGCTAGCTGCCATCAACGGCTTTCGTTGCTAGAGGTCGCAAGATGTGGGTAATTGTGGATATGGGTGCCAGCCAGTTTATATCGGTCTGCGACTTTCGAATACAAGAGCAATAGACATTCAGCATTCTACACCTCGCCTCTCCTGCCATCGTCCATCAATGTGTGTTTTGCCTCCGATGAGAGTCGTTGGAGATCAACGATGGGCATCGCCGTAAGAGCTAACTTTACATCACATGAAAGAAGTTATGACGGCAATGTTTCTTGCCTTGGAAGAGTCACGCTGGAACGCAGTAAGCATCCCAAGAGTTATCTGCTGAATAGAAAAGATAGCAGAAGCTGGGGAAGGCTGGAGAGAATGGCATGTCACTACATAATCTCCAACTGATCTCCAATGACAAATTCCTTGCCGATTTGAGAGGTACCAGATGCATGAGAGATATAGCGAGATGAGGCTCAGATGATTCCGAAAAGAAAAAGAACAGGTGCATGAAAGATGCCATATATATTTCGCAGCTACGCCAAAACAACCAAGAAACCCCCAAATACCCGAAACAAGCTAATACATATGCCATATCCGAGCGCTTCCAATACCCAATAACATATTCAGCTTTTACCCTCTCTTCCAAATACTCGATTCTCACCCACACAATCCCCAACAGCATGTCCTCAAACCATGCCCTTCCCCACACTCGGCATCGACCGACACTCCCTGAGCACCGTCGTCTTCCTAAACATGCTCAGATCCGGTCTGTCCCGCTCACACGGCGGCTCCGGCCTGCGCGGCGGCACTCTGACTCGCTCCGGCAAAATGAAGTCCTCGTCGTGCGCCCTCGTGGGAACATGCGCCGGCGCCTGCGCAACAATACACGTCCGCGAACTAAACGGGTCCGCCGGTTGGTAGGCTTCGTACGGCGTGCCGATGGTCGAGCCGGACCAGTGTTTGGCGTGCCGATGGTGGGGCGGCGAGGACGTGGTGAGGCCGGTGAGGGGCGGAAGAATTAGGGCGCAGGAGAGCAGGATGGAGAGCGTGGATTGGATTTGGGAGAGGATTGTGTAGGGGGTGGATGTTAGGGTTGGGTCTGTGGGGGAGAAGAAGGGGCTGAGGTAGGCGAGGCGGATGGCGGAGGAGAGGATGAGTCTAGGGTGGTTAGTGAGGGTTTAGAAGAGAGAGAGTTTTTGGATGGGAGAAGGGGGAGTCGTACAGTACTCGGAGGGAGAGGATTGCTGTGGCGGTGGTTTTTTGGTGGGTTGTGAGGGGTTTGAGCCAGATCATGTGGGTTGAGAGGATGAGCAGGGTTAGGTCTATGGTGATGTCGATGGCTGTTGTGGTGATCCAGAAAGGGACCTGGGGGTTGTCAGTGTTTTTGTTTGTGTTGGGAGAATCAACTCACCATGGGTATGCATTTTCCTGTCCAGATCTCCCAAGGTCGAGGCATTTCGCACTCAAATATGATGCCAGTCAACACACCAAGCATCCATATCAAGACGACAACGCCAATTGTCATGATCCCAACTCTTTGAAGTGTGTTATTTGCCACTCGGTGCAGAAACATTAACAGGGAGCATTTCGATATGCTTAGGACTAGCACGAAGAGTATCGTGGAAGCGAAAATTCTGATCTGTATGTCTTCGAGTTGGCCCCAGCTGAGAAGACATCCCGTCTTCCCTAGGCCCGAGTCTACTGCTGTAGAAATGACTATCGTCACCCCCAAGCCGCACAGTGAAGCTGCTACGATGACGATGTCATCTGCGATCGAAAGACTTGGGGCATAATGCGATCGACATCGACATATGAGCCTGAATACCGTACACAATGCCTGACATCAAGTTAATGCCAGGGCTTGTAGGTATGTGATCGACTTACCAATAGAGACGCCAGAAACCAAGCTACCATTACCAGAACGGTCCCACGACTCTGGGAATTAATGAGCGCATGGGCATGATCTGCTGCCGAAGCACAATTTGACATGATTGAAAGCCCTCGCTTTGCGGAAATTACATTAAAATGAGCTTTGATAAAATGTATATTGCAATAGATCTTGATGAAGGAAGGACTAGTGCAAGAGGCCAGATAGCTTTACTATCGGGGCAAAAAGTTGCACATTCGTAATACTCCCTTCAAGCCTGAGGTCATCAGGTCTTCGCGCCCCTGCATTGACTTCGAGGGATGGCATTAGAACGATCCGGATGGCACCCGCGACAGGTTCACTCCCAAAGCAGCTACGGATAGCAGTAGAAGTGAGCTGGAGAAATGGCAAGGGCGAATCAGAGGACAAAATGGCCTGAAGAGGACTGAACTGATGCAAGTGCGTAGCACGCGTCCCTGACTCTAGACTTGATGCTTGTCGTAAAGCTGACTCTAGCTCCGGAGTGTTGGGATGCGAGCTCGTGCCACGGTGGTACAAGGAGGTGGTGCGAGGATGCGACACACCTCTATCATTTGGAACCCTGATTCCTCGGATGTGTACGTTTCATGCAGGATTCAGATGTCGACAAAACAGAAAGGGCTGTACCGGGCAGGCCTGGCGTGGTGCTCGTGGCTGTTATACCTCATTAATATTTTGAGGACGTCGTGTTCTTGCAGCTTAGTTTCTCCGCGCAACTGAAGGTGTCATATACGAGAATAAGAAGCAAAACTAGAAAACTGTCGGTGCACGATGAAGGCCAATGATTGTCTGTAGAGGGACAGGCCGTCGCATACGAAGCCCGGCGTTGGTGGCGGCTGGCTGCAACGAGAGTTTTTGCTCCGGCCAGTTGGTTTGTGGCTCAGCGCGATTGGTTGTCTTGTGCTTAGAATGCGAGCTGACGATACAAAAAGTATACATCAAGTTGCGTCGCTGGGTTGTTTGCGTAGAGTTGGTACAACGGCTGCAGTCACCGCACCGGTTGCTACTCCGTATTGAACCGTCACTGTGTTATCAAGGATACTGGCATACCTGAACGAGTAACATGTCTTGCGATAAGCCTGAATCTTTGCGAATATCGACCTGGCAACATGAACGGTGGTAGATCAGTCCTGGCTAGCAAAGGTTAGTCGACATATGCCACCGAGACAGAGCGAGCTCTACAGACTCGTACGATTCTGAAGTGCGTGTGAGCGGGGTCTCAAGGGGTGTGGTACAAGGCGATAGCATGGTTGTAAGTGAAGTGAAGTGGGGTGGTCGGACCAGCAAGGAGCGTGGCGGGTGAACGAGCGGAGCTTATCGATAGGGAGCGGGAAAATGTCCAGCATGCAGAAGTTCGCATGAACTCCCTCCACCCAGCCTACCAACTGATTGCGCAAACATGGTAAGTCTTCTGCTTACTGTATCTGAGATTACGTGAAATAGTATTGACCTGTCTAGGCTCCAATAAAGAAGCGTACAACAGCCCGCGCAAAGTCTGCGCGAGCAGTGCGTCCGGCAGCTACACTTCCCAAGCCAGAGTCGCTTGATGAGAGCGCATTTGCGTCTTCCAAGAAAGACAAGCAGAAAATCAAGCATTCCTCCTTCGTCTCCAAAATTGAAAAGTCCACCACCAAGTCCCAGAAGCGGCGGCGACCGAACAAGAAGCTTGTCGCCAATCTCGAGTCACTAGCAGATGCGCTCTCCGGTCTCGATGACGCAGGCGCCGACGGCAAGGTTGAGACAGGGCAGGCCAAGATACAGCGCAAGAGCTTGAAGAGCCGACCCGGCGCCATGAAGCGCAAAGAGAAGCTTGAGAAGATGGAGAAGGAGAGATTCAATCAGAACTTAGTGCAGTTGGCCAGCACCACATCAGGTGGAGCGACACAGGATCGATGGGCGGCGCTGAAGAGCCATGTGCAAAACAACATGGAGGTCAAGCCTGAGTTCAACAAGACCCAGAGCGCAACCTGAGCGAAGCCGTGATCTCAAGAACACATTATACAAAGGCAATGTCAGGCTGGTTGTCCTTGAATACTGTCTCCACTCAAGGCACTAACGCTCTTTCGAAGAGGCATGGCATGCGTTTGGACACTGGAGACATGCCTAGGCCTAGAACAAGAATTCACTGAGGCAGAAGATCTTCCGCGCCGTTTGGAACCCTGGCTCATCTGCGCATCCATGATCTTGGGATGTATGAAGCTGTAGTGAGCATGGGTCGCCGAGGGAAAATTCCACCGCGAATCGAGCCACCTCTCGTGAGCGCAATTACGGTGGACAGCATACACATGCAGGCCACCGCACTGATTTGGAGCCTACGCATAAATTCAATCGATCTACATTCAAAACATTCGTGGCACACGATGGGTGAACCGTCACATTGGGTGGTCCCTGCCGATCCGGCTGAAACTCGGCTCGTCCCTGTGACATCATATCTGCGAAAACAACATTACGCGCAGACTAACATCGCGCTTCCGCATTTTCCGATGCCAAAGAAGCTTTCGTACGATATGCATATTGCACTTAAGCACTGGAAGGCGTGTGTGCATTCTCCAACACGTAGCCATCTCTTCCTTCACACTATTTCCCGTGTTTGAGCTTGACGCGCTCTGACATTTTACCTCTCGTTGCATTGTACATAACTTCAGTTCTACGATACCCATGAATTTAAACCCTTAGATAGTCTCGACTTTCAGTATGTCTTTTCTGAAGCGACAGACAACCCGCGTCACGGGCACTGACCACGAGCGCGATGGCCGACGTAGCAGTGGCGTGGGCCAACACTCTACTGGGGAAGTTCCTCGCGCACGAAAACCCAGATCAAGACCGCCCGCGTCTTTGCGAGATCATTTGACGTTCCCACTATCGTCTCTACCTCCTGCTTCAGGCCCTTATTCTGTGGGATCTATGGAGATTGAAATCCCTGTCGAGAACCCGCGTACGATATCACACATAAAACGAAATGGGAGACACCTTCTGCAACTAGAGACTGTACTCTTCAACCTTTACTACCCTGCGGCATTTGGTAGTGGGACGGGCCCGGCTCCCGGTGGGGGCAAGGAATGGAGTCGTGAGACTTGGGTTCCCAGACCGAGAATGGAGACAGCCAAGGGATATTCCAAGTTTGGTGGCATACCTGAGTGGGCCGGAATCGCCTTCACTGCTCCAACAACGATGCTCACAAAGCTACGTGCTTATCGAAACACTCCCCCGGCGACACATTGGCCACCAGAGGGTAACTCGAAAAAGCGTGGCTATAAAGTAAAGAATGAACAAGGGCCACCTCCAGAAGGAATGGAAAGGGACCCTGTTTTCCCTTTGCTAATGTTCAGTCACGGCCTGGGAGGCTCCAAGACCGCATATAGCAGCTTGTGCACAGAGTTCGCCAGCTACGGTTTCGTAGTCTGTGCCGTGGAACACAGAGACGGGAGCGGAGCAAGGACGTTTGTCAATCACAGAAAGCGTGCGAACAAAGACAGCCATGGAGGTGCGAAGGTAGGGAAAGACGATTGCGAAAACGATCCAGCATGCGAGAAAGAGAAGGAGAAATGGCGAGCTTTGGACCACACCGACGAGGAGCTGAGGCAGGGATATCACCACGTCGTGAGTTGACTCTCAGGGTTGGGGAAATTGATAGCTCGTACTAATGCTTTCAGGACTACATCTTTCCGAAAAACAATCCCAAGGACACTGCCCCAAACAACGAACATGGTGTCGACCAAGAACTCCGAAATGCCCAAATCGAGCTGCGTCTTTGCGAGCTAGAAGAAGCATACCGCGTGTTGAAGATGATCTGTGTTGGTAAGGGCGATGAGGTTGCACGACAAAACCTCCGCTGTGAGGGTTACGTTGGTGGTAGCTCGAGAGGGCTGAAGGGTGTCGATTGGACACATTGGAAAGGACGCTTCCATGTCGAGTCATTTGTGGTTTCGGGACATTCATTCGGCGCGGCAACGGTAGTGGAAGTGCTTAGACATACGGAACGTTTCAAAAACGTACAGGCTGGCATCATCTACGACATCTGGGGGTAAGCATTGCAGCCTAAAATCACATTAGATACGACATGGACTAATGTTGAACAGAGCTCCAATTAGGCCACCTGCAGAAGACCCCAAACACCGCATTCACTTGCCCATACTTGGTATTAACTCTGAAGCATTTATGTACTGGCAGTCCAATTTTGACGCCGTGCATTCGCTCATGGAAGAAGCGAGCGAACATGGCTCACCCGCTTACTTACTGACTGTGCGAGGATCTGTACACATCTCTCAGTCCGATTTCTCGATCTTATACAGGCATATTGCTTCCTTCTTTCTGAAGGCCACTGTCCACCCAAATCGCGCCATTGATCTAAACATATCGTACGTTTATTCTCTTTGACTATTCGCTTATCATGGATTGCTAAAAACAATCTCACAGAGCTAGCCTCGAGTTCCTGCGGCTCGTAACGCCCGAATCGGGAGGAGGCAAAGCCATAATCAACCGCTGTCTTACCGACGAAAAGATTCTACAAACAGAACTGCTAGAGGAACTCCCGAACGAACACCGTCCGGACGATCAATGGATAGCCGCGAGATTACAAATAGACCACGAATTCAGGAAGCGAGTGTTTGCAGGCCTGCAGCGGAAGTTCAAAAGAAATTTCCAGGGTGGCATGGGCACGGGTTACACGACGTCAGATGAAGTGTGGTGCCACTTTAAGCCCACCAAGGAGCAGCTCGAGAAATGGGTCAATAAGGAGGGCCGCGGGGACAAACGGATCGATGAACAGTCAGCTGTAAAAGGCGATGTTGATATATTGAACGATTCTGATGGAGATAGGAGCAGAACCACTGCGCTGAGTGATGCTGATGAAGATGAACGAGTCGACGAAATCGAGGCCAAGACGGCTCCACAAAGCAGTAAGCATACTGTAAGCAGAAACCACGAGGATAGTACAAAAACTTCACAGGGCGAGAACAGCGACGATGCGGCAGATTCCGCACGTGCTTACATACCGGCTGAGGACAGGTCTTATAATGCGCCTCCAGACACATGGCTTGGCATGGTTCCTTCACTCAGAGACGGACCCCGCAGCTCGTAGGGCGCGTTTCATGTAGGCATGCGGGCCGCCATGTGGGCTTTCAGACGGGAAGTGGAGCGGAGGCTGAACAGAAGAAGCACTTTTGACCACTTACTTTCAATCTACCTTACGTAGTACTACGTACCTAAAGGCACCTAACATATCCTTTTCTAAATCCACATCTTATCCAAAATTGAAGCACGCTCCGATATACTCGATACATCTCATCATCATATTCGGCGTATTTACACAACCGTCAGCACGGAACAGGCAACATTATAACCTCCGATCACGTGAGAAGCGGACGCCGCTCCGGATCTACTTTTTAGTGTTTAGTGATCACTTCTGAGAGACCACAACCCGCCTGCCCCGCCTGCCCTACCATCGCAAGATATTCCCTTTCGAACCAACTAGAAATTAATTACATTTCCATCTCCGCACTTCCTTTCTCCTGCGATCTGTCCTGCGCACGGAAGAGCTCATGCACTCACCACAGTCTAGTCCCGAAACGGCTGATCGCGCGCTTGGTAAGCTCTAAAGCTGTCTGCGGGGGCGCTCCTGTGCAACGGTGGAACAAGGATCGACGTTGTGAATCCCTGCATATGCTGGAGCGGAGTCCTCTGGGCTTTTGTTTTTAGGATCTTGGGTTGCGTCGTTTGGGCTTCGTTTGTTCACTTATCTGTGATATCGTATCTTTGGCGTTTGAGGAAACTTCCTGTGAGCCTGGTGACTTACACTTTTTCGCCTGGGAAGCGTGCTTGGTCCTATTGTTTGTACGTTTGGTGACGAGAGATGACGAGCTCGGAATCGGAAGAGCAGGTGCCGTCGAGGAAGAGATCGAGGACGAGTGATGATGGCGGGAAGGAGGGGAAGAAGGCGAGGGGGAGGCCGAGAGTTGAACCTCAGGATGCGACTGCTGCGGATGTAAGTCGCTTCTTGTCAAATGTGGGCTGACGAGGATCCGAATGTCTCTTGTGTCTTTGAGGCGAGATGCAGATGTCCGAACGTTGGAAAACCTTCGATTAGATGAAAGCTGACATTACAACAGAGACGAAGGACGCAAATTCGCCTGGCGCAAAGAGCGTACCGCCTGAGGAAAGAAACGACGATCTCATCACTAAAATCTCAGAGCACGCAGCTTCATTTGATCATCGATCAGATGAGCAAGACGTTCCTGCGGCTGAAAGATGCAACACTCAAGGCGGGCTTGCTGCAGCTAAGCTCAAGCCTGACGAGTGAATTTAAGGATGCTACCGAGGCGTTCACAAATCTAGCGCAGACTGCTAGTGAAATCGAAGCTGGCGAGGATGAAATCGGTGATGGTGCCGAGCAGGCTGAACCAACTCGAATTGCGCAACGAGCGCAGGCTGATATCTCGTACGTGACTTTCTCGATTTTTCTTGCATAAGTGCAAGGTGCACTACCTCTAATGGAACGTTAGTCATACTATACACGGAATTGTGTATACTGATGAGCATAGGCGACCTGCCGAAGTACGAGACATCGGATGGGGTTATTCCACTACACCGGATAAAAGCACTCAGCATACACAGACGCAGACACCGCCCGAGAACTACTTCCAGAACGTCGGTGGAACACTTCCACAAGCACAGACTAGTAGCCTTGTACCACGACGACAATTCACGGTTGGAGAGATCTGGGATCAATCCAGAAATTCGACTCTACACTATCAACCCACAACCATAACCTCGCAGTCAACTAATGAACTTCCGTTTGGCATGGTCAATATGATACACGACGAGGACTCATATTCACCAGACCCTCAAATTTACCCCATCAGAATTCCAACGCCTGACGTAACACCGCCCATGACCCGCTTCTCAACACCACTTATCCAAATGCCTTCTCTGAGCAAAAAGACCATTGCCTCTATCTTCACCTACAGCCACGACGAAACAACCTTAGCCCGACGCCTCACACGCGCCACTTTAGAAAAGGGTTTCCATGTTCTCAGCAACAGCTCTGTCCCGCCTCACGCCCTGGAACACATCTTCAAGCTTTCTCTATCCTACCTCTCGCTCGAACAACTACATGCACGCTTCAAAGCGATGCTAGCCCGTAGCGTCAACGATGATCTCGATTTCTGGGAAACACCTTTCATTCATCTAGGTGGCGCGGGGACACATTATCCCCGCAAAGACGCCAACGGGCAATGTCATGCCCCTGAAGAACACCTGGTCGATACGGCAGATTGGGCCACTTGAGAAACGGATGGTGCGTATGGAAAGCGTGAGTGATGGAACACTGAAGTTCCTTCCAGATATGGATTTGACTGCATATGAGGGGGAGTGGTTCGATGCGCACGATGTTCAGAGGTATCTGGAAGATAAGTGGGCATGTCGAATGGATCCGAAGAGTTCGTTTGCGCAGTGTCTCATCGACGATGATGATGGTGAACAGGGCGGTGAAGTGGATAGGAGGAGCAGTCAGAGTAATACGACGCCAAGCTTGACGCACAGTGAGTCAAATGGATCGGTTGTGGGTGGTGAGTGCTCCATGGTTGTGTTCTACTCCGCGAATGTTACTGATGAAATGTGCATTTGCAGACACAATGACCCCGCCGTCGACGACACATGAGTATCCGAATCCCAATGCGTCATTTGGTCTCGACATGTCATTTGCTCAGCCATCATACCAATCGAATACTGCCGGCCTCGCCTTCAACCAGAATCTCGGCCTCAACCTCTCACCAGGGTACGACTACCAGTTTACTGATGCTAGCAGCTTCGGCGTCAATATGAACCTCGGGCTTGATATGATGAGCGAAGTCGAGGTGGTGCCCAGGCAGAAGAGGAAGAAGGTGGCGTGGGTGGAGATTACTAAGCTCATCGATGGTGAGTCTGGCCCTGCAATTGCACTTCATCTGAACATGAATCTAACGGCAGTTGCAGAGCTTATCCATAACAGCGTTTGTTTGGGACGGGCGCCAGGATTCAGGCGCAAAGCTGTTGACATGGCGATGAGGAAGGCTTTGGTGCCAGCATCGTAACGTTGAAAGCAGGTACCTCACAATATCCGGCGTTGGCAGTATATTGATGATCACGAGCGGGCATGATATTATGATTAAATGTAATACTACGGACACAGTTACCACAGAGAGCATGCGTGAAAGAACCGCTGAAGTCGCGATCGGTCGCGTCACGTGTACTAGCGCGGCGCTAGCGAGCTACCAGAGTCGATTGTCGCCTGGGCTGGGTCGACCAACGCCGAACCACCTACCTGCGTCCCCACGACCACAAGTTGAGGGCACCCCAGATTGTCGCACAAGACCCGCCGTCTGAATACCCGTATCCGTAGTCCATTGTCAGCGGCGCAAGAGCTTCTTTGAGCGCGCGCGCCCTTCTATCCGCAGCCTGGAGTGCTGGCGTCTATATCCATCCTCTGCACGCACGCGACAGTCGCAAAGTCGCTGCGCCGTACTTGGCCCTGTAGCAAGGCATACACTAGATAGTTGAAAGAGTCGAAGAGAAGCCGCCATGTCGAACACGATCGTGGTTAGTTGTCCCAGAGCGCTGCGCGAGCGGCGGCGGACGAGGTAAAGGCAAGCGCGCTGACAGCGACACCTAGGGCGCTGTGTACCAGCAGATCATCGACAAGGTGATTCAGGCCTCGCAGAATGACTTTGAGGAGTTCGGCGTGGACCAGACGACGCTCGACGAGATGAAGCAGGTACGTGACAGCTTGGTCGGCTATCCGGCTATCGCACCTTCCTTTTCTTCAGCCATGGCTGCAACGCGCAGTTGCTCCACGCTCTCAACGCTCTTCCACGTCTATTTTCTTTTCCTCGAATTATTCATCGATCGTTGCGCTGCGATGGACGATGGCGCGATGCAGCCTGGCTCTGGCGGTGATGGGCGGCCGAAAGCGGGGCTGAGTAGCCGGCTGGTTTCGCAGGTCGGGGGGCGCCTTGAGTATTTGGGTCACTTCTTATAGCCCCTGCCAGCTGCCATACCCCGCCAAGCCAAGCCCATGGCTGCCTAATGCGGCATAGCCTCGTCATCTGACAACTGTCTTCTCTTTTATGATCCTTTATATATCAGGAACCCGGACTGACATACTTTCAGGGCTGGCAAGACAAGTTGTCTGCTCTCAAGGTTGCGCAGTTCCCATGGGACCCCCAGCCTGAGCTGCCGCGACAGCCGCCTACAGTCCCGTCGAATGTCAAGACGGACAATGATATGCCGCCCGTGTCCGCGCCGCAAGACGCGTTGAATTTCCCTAATGTGCCTATCAAAGCTGAAGGAGGTGGTTACCAACAACCTCTTTCAAACTATCCCCAGGGCCAGACTGCCAATGGCGGTGGCTACACAGGAGGCTATGACCAGAACTTGGCCCAGCAGCGAGCGGCGTCTCTCGTGCAGCAGCGTGTGATGCAGCAGAATGGCATGCAGCAGCCTGTCATGAACTTTCCCAATGTAGGCCAGCAGCAGCAGATGCCTCATATGCCTATGCAGGGTCAGCAGGTCCAGCAGGGTCAGCGCATGATGGCACCTCAGCAGCAGCAGCAGCAGCAGCAGCAACAGCGTATGCCTCAACAAATCCCACAACAGCAACAGCATCAGCAGCATCAGCAGCAGCAACGTCCACCCCAACAGGGACAGGTCTACCAATCACAGGTCGACGGTTCTGGTGATGCGATGGCTGATTGGAATGCGCTCAAGGCAGCACGAGCTGCAGCTTTGCAAGACGAAGCAGGCCGTCTTGCAGCTGACCAATTTATGCGCGCTCGCATTGACGCTATGGCTATGCGTCAGGACAGCGGGTTGATGGTCCCACTCGACTCGATGCCGAAGGGCAAGAAGCGAAGGGCAGCAGTACGCGTTCTGCAGGCCGAAGATGCCGAGGCATCGCCGAGCGCCCCAGGCCCTGCCCGCTTCGATGGTGACGACGATGTAAAGGAAGAGGACCCTGATGATGCGATTAACTCTGACCTCGATGACCCCGAGGACGAGCTTAATGACGGGGACAACAGTGATGATGAGATGGTTGACTACATGCTGTGCACCTATGACAAGGTCCAGCGCGTCAAGAACAAGTGGAAGTGCACGCTCAAAGATGGCATCTTGACTACGAACAAGAAGGAGTGAGTACTGTGAAGTGACGAGATGGGCGAGTGCTGACTGTTAACAGGTACTTGTTCCACAAGGCCAATGGCGAATTCGAGTGGTAGATGTTGGAGCAAAAGCTACTTGAGTGGACATGGTCAGTCACCATGCCACACAAGGAAGTTCGAGATCAGTTCCTACTGTCCATTGCTTCCCTTCCATCCTACAAAAAACCTACAAAAAAGGCGTTTGGAACCGCCATCGCCATCGAGCATCCAATCGGCGAGATTGAGGCCAACAAGGGAACTGATATAATCACGAAACACGATTGGAGGCGCAAGTCACGATCGATTACGACCAAATTGCCGTTTTCCATGTCTTCGCAGAAAGCCCGGTGTATATTTCAAACAGGCGTTTGCACATGACAGCGTTCACGTGGGCTCCGTTCATCAAAAACTTTCAAAGTCTTTTGTCTCCTTGCTTCTAGTACTCTGCGTAACACTTTTCTTGGGGTCCCAGGGAAAAAGCACCGAGGACGGTATGAGACAAAGGGCTCTCGGTAAAAATCAGCAGGACAGATTGTACGTTTAGAAGAGTTGGAGTCTTTTTTTTTTTTTTTTTTTTTTTTTCTCCTTTTCCTTATGATTTGCAGACACGTGTTACAATCGAGATGAGACGGAACAAAGTGAGTTTAATCGTAAAACAGCGAGTTGGAAAAGACGTTATACAAAGACTTGCATGGAATTCCTTTACGTGACCTTGAAATCAGCCCATATCCTCATCCCCATTCATAAAAACCGTCTCATCATTAACCTCATCCCCCTCCGCACCCTCCTCCTCTCCATCCTCCTCAATCATGGGCACAACCACAAAATCGACAAAACTCAATTTCGCCGCCTCCCCCGCCGCGACAGCCGCCTCGACCTCGACCATGAACTGCAGACTCAACACGCCCTGCGAATCCATACGAATGCTAACTTTCTTCGCCACGCTCATCGCCCTTGCGGCCTTCTGCACCAGCGCAAACCGATAGCTCGAGCGGAGAACATCCTCGGGGTCGGAGAGTTGGAACGTCTCGAGGAGATTGGTGTGTTCGTCTTCGGGCCCGCCGAGCTGTGCGCGAATCGAGCGGGGCTGGTTATTAAACTCGACCCTCGCACTGCCCAGCGTGCCCGTCGCAGAGAGCGCGAAGAAGGGTTTGCCACCGACTTGCTTGGCATAAATGGTGAGTTTCTCCGGGCTTGTGGAGGAGAGTTCGGACAACGCGTCGTGCAGCCAGGAGCCGCGCATGATTGTTTTCAGCACGACGCTGCGCCGGTCGAAAGGGATTTCTTCGGCGTATTCAGGCTCGTAGGTGGAGAGGTCGCAGGTGGTGCGGATGGAGGCTTCGGTGAGGATGATGGAGAGGGGGGCGCCTTCGTGCGCATAGGATATACGGCAGAGGTTGTTCATGCCGAGGACGTTGTTGGAGAAGGCGGTGCTGGTGGGGTAGGGGTTGTCGCGCGCCCATGGCGGTTTCGAGGTGTTGGGGTCTGTGAGACCGAAGATTTGGAGAGTCTCGAGGAGCGCGGGGAGGGATATTTGGAAGTTGGGGGCGGTGGGCGATTCGGATTCTTCGTCTTCGCTGTCTGAGATTTCGGCGCGCTGACGTGTGGGAGCGTGAAAGTTGTAGGTGGTGAATAGAGACTTGTTGAGAAAGGTTGATGCTGATAGAGCGCGTTAGCATTCCAGCTTTTGTGGGACAAAGTGGTGGACATGTACCTTCCATGGAGCTGCCCTCGCTCACAGAAAACTTGAGACCTTCCTCGCTGATGGTGACGTGCGCTTTGTTGGAGGAGGCGATACAGCGAAGCAGTGAGAATAGCTGCCGTGCGGAGCTGGACACAGCGGTAAGTACCGGAGGCTCTTCGTCGTCCATGGTGCTAGATGAGAGTGTGTATATGCTAGGGAGAGAAAATGAGGAAAGAGGTAGATGTAGTGGTATTCGGTCTTGGTTATTTATTGGATTCCCAGACTATGCATACAGTATGCCCCCGAACGCCGAACGTGGAAAAGGAACTAGACGTAGACGCCGACTGCGCAAATCATGTAGACGGCGCCGAATCTGCGCGTGTTAGATGTGGTCGCGTCTGAGGCTTGTGAACACGTACCCGAATGCGACTGAAGCTGGCGCACCGAGAAGCGGGAGGTTGATGACGGAGCGGTCTATCGCATTGTGAGTGTGAAGTCTGAGGGGGTGAAGGTGTGTGCGCGCATACTGAGACTGAAGATGGTACCAAGGACGAGAGCTGCGCGTCGTTAGCAGAGCTCCACGATAGCTCGAGAACTACGGCTACGTACACAGGAACAGCAGCGTGAAGCCGACGGTGAACTGCGTGTTCTTTCCGATTCCGGGCTGGTATGGCGACGCTGCAGCAGCCTCCCAGACGTCTAGTAGTGGGCTCGACATGAGTATTTGGTGAGCAATTGGGCGTGAATGATGCTGCAACAGTTCGTCGAAGCTGCTTGGTGGCCTCTGTCGTGATGCGCGCTGATTGGCCTGTGCGCTGTCCGCGCGGAAGGCGCCACCTTCCCCGACATGCATGCTACACGCTATGTGGTGAGAGCGGGCGCGACTTTACGTCGAGAAGCTGGAGCACACAAACCATGGCGGGCGCAACTGACGATGGTAAGTCTGCATTTCCTCACATCATGCTGCTTCACAGTCTTCGCTATGCATTCCCGTGCGCAACATGTTGTCGGGCAAAGACATGCTGCGTCTGCGCCAGACGCTGGGCTACAAGACATCTCCCCCAACTTCACCCAGCGGCCCACCCGCGCCACTCTGGCACATAGAGGCTCCTTCACACTCACCTCCTTCGCCGACTCCTTCGTCCCCAGAAGTACCTCTCCAAGAGCTGCGAGCTAACCGCCAGGATTCGCCAGTTAAGCGCAAAGCGAACGACCCTCTCCAGGTCGGCTCCCCCAAGCGCGCAAAGCAAGAGAGCCCCGACTCACCCTCTGGCGTTGAGGATGCCCCGCCCGAACCGAAGAAGCGCGTAGTCCCCTTCCCCGAGAACCCGGCGGCAATCGAGGAGCGGGAAGGACACATCGAGTTCCGCGTCGTCAACAATGACGGACGGAGAGAGAGCACAATCATTCTCACGGGCCTGAAATGCATTTTCCAAAAACAGCTGCCCAAGATGCCCAAGGACTATATTGCGCGGCTTGTCTACGACCGGACGCATTTGAGCATAGCAATCGTCAAGAAGCCGCTCGAGGTTGTGGGGTAAGTCAACTCTCTGGGACGCTTGACGCCAGCCCCTCTAACTGTCCACAGTGGCATCACATACCGCCCCTTCGACAAGGGCCAATTCGCCGAAATCGTCTTCTGCGCCGTCTCCTCAGACCAACAAGTCAAGGGCTACGGCGCGCATCTCATGTCCCATCTCAAAGACTACGTCAAAGCCACCTCACAAGTCATGCACTTCCTCACCTACGCCGACAACTACGCCATCGGGTACTTTAAGAAACAAGGCTTCACCAAGGAAATCACCCTCGAGAAGTCGCGCTGGATGGGCTACATCAAAGACTACGAGGGCGGCACAATCATGCAGTGCAGCATGGTGCCCAAGATCCGCTACCTCGAGTCCCGCCGCATGCTCCTGAAACAAAAGGAGTGCGCAAACGCAAAAATTAGAGCAGTCAGCAAGAGCTACCAGGTCCATGCCCCGCCCCGCCCAATGGGCAAAGGGCGAAGTCAAAGCCATCGACCCCCTCACCATCACCGCCATCAAGAACTCAGGCTGGTCCCCCGTCATGGACGAACTCGCCCGCGCCCCGCGCCACGGACCAAACTACAACGCCCTGCTCCATCTCCTCAACGACATGCAAAACAACAGCAATGCATGGCCCTTCCAGCAACCCGTCAACAAAGACGAGGTCCTCGATTACTACGATGTGATTAAAGAGCCTATGGACCTTGCTACCATGGAAGAAAAACACGAAAAGGATTTATACCCCACCCCCGAGGAGTTCATACGCGATGCGAAGCTCATCTTTGATAATTGCCGCAAGTACAATAATGAGAGCACTCCGTATGCCAAGGCGGCGAATCGCCTCGAGAGGTATATGTGGCAGCGCATTAGGGAGATTCCCGAGTGGTCGGTGAGTTTTACAGATGACTAAAGTGTGGTGGATGATGGACTGACGGTTGCATAGCATCTTGAGAGCGAAATTACGGGCAAGTAAAATCGAATGGGTTTAAGTGGTTAGCTAGGGAAATGGGGGGGGGTTTTAGATGTTTTTTTTAGCGGCATCGGGTCGGTGTTGAGGTGTTGATGGGTATGATATGGAAAGGACTTTGTATACCCTTTTGTTCTGCGTGTGGTTTGGCATAAGATTAAAGACGGTCGCAGTTGTTTTTCATTGACTTTATTGTCATGTCGTGTTCTCATGCATTCCTTCCGCAGTCACAGCTGCGTGACTGAAATGTTGACATTCGTGGCTTTTGTACCTCTCACGTTCATATACGGTGTGTGACTAGATTAGTGACATGTGCGCAGCTTGCTGCATCATGTTTGCTGGTGACAGTCCAGCATCAGCGTGACCATGTTACAAGACACCATCATGAGGTAAGTTCTCTCTCCGCGCAAGCGCATAGCCATATCCAGCACGAATCAATCGCATCCCGACAGCAACATTTCAGGTCAGGCCCCATCCGCCGCGCCCGGGGTACATCACATGACACCACATGCGTCCCGCGATCCGAGCCCTCCAGCGGAGCAGCCCCATTCATATCCTATCCACCGCGGGGATTACGAGCTAGTTGCGTGCATTCAGGGTGGCCCTACCGGCGCACTCAACCGATGGGATCGATTAGCCCACAAGGTTTGTCGAGCTGCAATCACAAGAGGCGAGCCCCGCGACAAGGACCCGTGGTTAATCGACGGAAAAGCGCATGTTGCATGATAAGGCACTGCTGCGCGGATCAAGAAGTTTAAGCGCGGTGGATGGGTGTCGTCGTCGCCTTGAACTGGGACCTGGTTATCGGATTGCCCTTACCTTGCCTTGGCCGAGAACGGTGATTGCTTGCTTAGTGGAGTGAGGAGAGGGCTTCGAGAAGAAGGCGTTGCATGGCTCTAGAGCGACCGGCGTCACGACGGCGCGGGCGTGTTAAGAGTGTTGCTCCGCGATAGGAGCGGGGTCGGTAATTGTGGCTGCCCATGTCATGCTGGCTGGCTGTTCGCAGACGGATCAGCAATTGCAATGTCGGCCAAGGGGTACAGGCGGCAATTGCTTGTGTGCGGATCGATCGAACCTACTGTCGTGCGCCTGGGAGTTTCAAGAGAGTTTTCGCCTGGGGTTGATTGCCTACAGCATGCCTTCCCACTGTCTCGGTATCGTATCAATTGCAAAAGGGTCCTCGGGGAGAACGATGGTCGTCGGTTTGTGGAGGTCAGACGCTCTGCTTCGAGGGCTTCGAGAACGCCACACATGTCCGAAAAGAGAGAGTGAACCGACGCCCCGCTGAAATTCGCCGCCGCTTATCACGGGCTAAGCGTCTAGCCAGCACGTTCGCGTCTCCGATAGGTTCGAGTCGCTTGTCTATCAAGACTGGGGAAAGATAAGAACCTGGTCAGCATTGCAGGACCGCGGAAAGGCCGTTCATCTTTGGGTGAATTTGACACGAGCTTGCGGCGTATCCAACAACAAGTAAGAAGCCGGCAGTGTGTTTTGAAGCAGCGGAGCTGGCCGGTAGCCAATGAGCCTGTGTACCGCGACGCCTCGGACCATGTCGAAAGAGGCAGTTGCCAAGTTGTCGAGGGCCGGGGACTGGACGTTGTAGTCTGGGCCAACGACGGTGGTAGTCCCTCCACTTTTGCTGTAGCGCGGATTTGCGGCACGCAAATATAATTCCCGTCGTGGACCCGACCGACAAAGTGTCACCAGTTCCTCGTCCGTTTTCAACTCTTTTCAGGAATTGCCCTCGTGCCTTTCGTCAACATGGCCGACCACAATGGCTCCATGCAGGCTGGCGTTGCCCGCAACCCAGACCTCGCGCTAAACATCAGCCGAGAGCATGAGCACGAGCACGTGCACCACAGCGCGAATGCTGTTCACCACGACAACTCTCAGCCAGTGTACACCACTGGAACTACTGATGAGAAGGTCAGCAAGCTCCTGCAACCCAGCGCGCAGGATTCGCATGTTCACCATCGCCATGTTGAACATGATATCGAGAAGACTGGCGGAATCGCCAATTATGATGAGAAGGATACTCGTAGCTCCTCCAATGATCCCGAGGGCGAGTATGATTCGAAGAAGAAGAAGTGGTATTCTCCGTCGGTCTTATATCGCAAGTATCGTCTGCTATTCCACATCTTCGCTGGATGCTTGTTCACTGGGTAAGTCGTGTTGAGCGTTGCCTGCGTGCGTCGATCTGACAAACTTCAGATGGTGGGTCGCCAGTGTCGTCGTACATCGCAAAGACAAGAACTGGGTCATTCCGTTCTTGTTCTGGCTGGCCATCATGATCCGATTGATCACTCTCCACATCCCAATTACCATCGTCACCAAGCCCATGCACTGGGTATGGAATAACACCGGAGTCCGCTTTACAAGCCTTATCCCTGAGAAGATGCGAATCCCAGCCGGTGCTGCATTGGCTATCGCTGTTATTATCGTCGGTTCCTTTGCCAGTGAGGAGAGCGAGGACAACACCCGCGCCAACCGTGCCGTCTCCCTCGTTGGTTTGGGTCTCTTCATTGCCGGTTTCTGGGCCACTTCCCGCAACAGGTCCAAGATTAACTGGCACACGGTCATTGTTGGTATGCTGCTCCAGTTCATCATCGCGCTGTTCGTCCTGCGCACAGGAGTCGGTTTCGACATCTTCAACTTCATCTCTGAGCTCGCGCGCCTGCTCCTCGGTTTCGCGAACGACGGTGTGATTTTCCTGACAGACAAGACTGTTCCAGAGAAGAAATGGTTCTTGACTGGTGTTATTCCCGCCATCATCTTCTTCGTCTCGTTCGTCCAGCTCCTGTACTACTGGGGTATCCTCCAGTGGTTCATTGGCAAATTCGCCGTCTTCTTCTTCTGGGCCATGCGTGTCTCCGGTGCCGAGGCTGTCGTCGCTTCTGCCTCACCTTTCATCGGTCAGGGAGAATCTGCCATGTTGATCAGGCCCTTCGTAGCTCATCTTACCATGGCCGAGATGCACCAAGTCATGTGCTCTGGTTTTGCTACCATTGCCGGAAGTGTGCTGGTTGCCTATATTTCCATGGGTCTCAACCCCCAGGCTCTGATCTCCTCTTGCGTCATGAGTATCCCCGCCTCGCTCGCCTTCAGCAAGCTTCGTTACCCCGAAGAGGAAGAGACTCTTACAGCCGGCCGCGTTGTGATTCCAGACGACGAGGAGCACAAGGCTGCGAACGCGCTCCACGCATTTGCCAACGGTGCTTGGCTCGGTCTCAAGATCGCCGGTATGATCGTCTCGACGCTCTTGTGTATCATTGCGCTCTTGAACATGGTCGACGGACTGCTCACTTGGTGGGGACGCTACATCAACCTTGATGGCGAGTACGACCTCACTCTGGAGCTCATTCTTGGCTACATCTTCTACCCCGTCGCATTCTTCCTCGGTGTATCGCGCGAGGGCAAGGACATCCTCCTCGTCAGCCGTCTTATCGGTATCAAGGTCATCACCAACGAGTTCGTCGCTTTTGCCACGCTTGTCGCCGCCGACGACCCAACATCCGAGTACCACTCTTTGTCGCCCCGCTCCCGTGTCATTGCCACCTACGCTCTCTGCGGTTTCGGCAACATTGGTTCGCTCGGTACCCAGATTGGTGTGCTCAGTCAGATCAGCCCCGGACGAAGTGGCGACGTTTCACGTCTCGCTGTTTCTTCTCTGATTTCTGGTGTCTTCTCGACGCTGTCCAGTGCGACCGTTGCTGGTCTTGTCATTGTTGATCAGGGCAAGTTCTCGAGTGGCGCGTAGTCCAGTTTTCATATTCGATAGGATACGTGCACCGATGACGGAGTCTAAAATGTTATGTTAGATATGTGGTTTGCGATATACCCAGTAATGGACTTTATGCTCAGGACGTCGTTCCTGTACCTTCAAGCTGCTGTCCAGCGCCTTACCATCATGTGCATGTGAAGCGATGAAAGCCTCCAAATTTCCTTCCACTCGGGCTACTACTATATGTGTGTTGTGGCTGACGCCCTTGTACCAGATCGTATTATTGAATTGGCACCTCCGCCCTTTTCGCACAGGGTGCCTAAATGACTTCTAGTATTATGCATGCACGTACCGTATTTAGCACATCTCCATTGGCCAAATGCTCTGAAATACGCCACGTGACTGAGGGTCGCGTGGATAACCTTTGATGACAGTAGAATGCCTAGTTTCGACCTGAACTTTCTGCTAGAAGAGTTAGCGCATAGTACGCCTCATTGTTGTCCTCGGGTCATGCGCAGCCGAAGTCGTTGTGGATTGGAACCTGTGGCGAAACGTGACCGTAGTAACGGAGCATTTTGAAATTGTGGTAGCTGTTCATGGCAATGTTTGGGTTTTGTGCTCGAAGCTGGAGGTGTTCTTGCCATGCCAAGCCAGTCTAGGACAAAGGAGAGAGGAATCGCGTCTTGACACGAACACTGCATCATATGACGGATTCGAATAATTAAAAAATCATAGGATTTGGTGATAGAGAAGATGGAGCATTACGGAGCTAATGGTCCCAAGTCTGACCAAGATCAAACATTCATCTTACACGACGCCAACTACACACTTGCTATCTCGTGGAGTCACTACTTCACTACCAAACCAGGAACTAGCTTCAACTCCTCCTCCTCGAGCCCTGCGTCTTTATCTTTCATCTCCGACTTTCGCAATGCCAACCTAGTGTAGCTCGGCGTCATCGGATGACTCGTCAGCGCGATCCTCGTTCCCTCTTCCGGGATCCCAATAGGAATGACACCACTCTCACTCAACGCATTCGATCTCTTCGAACTAGACCTCGTGAGAACGCTTTGAGCACGCACGTTCTTGACAATAGAGACTTTCTCGGCAGACTCGATGCTCCATTCGGTATCCTCGCTTCCCTTAGGTTGTTTGAGTTTGAAAAACTTTGCAAAGCCTTTGTGGGGGTTTGGATCGAGGTGAATGTCGTTGCTGGCCTCGAGCTTGTTGAGTTTGTTCTTGCGACGACGCCAGAGGAAGAGACCTGCTATTCCTCCGAGCATCAGCATACCGATTATGAGGCCAACTCCCAACCCGATCAGGATTGTTGCGCGCTTGGACTGTGGTGTAGTCGATTGTGTGGCTTCTGCACCCGCACTGCTTGTAGTCGAGGGCAATGACACCTCGACTGGGCTTGTAGGAGTAGGTGCGATGAAAACCGTAGTCAAGATAGTGGTGATGGATGTAGCGGAAGGCGTAGCGATGGTGTTGTCCATAGTCATGGTACTAGCAAGATCTGTGATGGCTATCATCATGCCCAGACTCGATACAGGTGGCACGGTCAAACTGGTCAAGGCGGAATTTCCAGCTTGCGACATCGCAGAATCTGAAGTGCTCCCTTGTGGCCACATGGAATGAGGTAATCCTGATGGTATATGCGAACTGTAAATGTCGTCTTCAGGCCCTAGCAATGCTGCCGGCGGTGTGAAAGGATTCTCTTCGTCGCTGGGCATGTGCTTGAGGTGAACATTAGTGGGATTTCGTCGATGAGGGAACTAGCCGTCCTTACATTGATTAAACTCTCCACTGAGGCTTTCTGGGCGGCCATCGCGTGAGTAGTGGTTGGAGCCGAGAGAGAGATCGTAGCGTCTAAGCTCATATAATGAGCTTGTGCGCCAGACAGGACGCAAAGCACTAAGCACAGCTGAAGCGCAGGATGAATGAACATTGTAATTTGGTGTGCCAGCACCACGAGTAGTTGGATAGAGCTAAAAATTGTTAAGGGGCGTGATAAAGAGAAGCCTTTGATGGGTAGTTAGAGGACAAAGAGGTAACGATGGAAGTACTGAAAAATAGTCATCGATGGCCATAGCAGGTCCATAGCATACACCAACTCCTACGGGAGTCTCAAGCCCACGCACCGTAGACCGAACACTCGGATTGATAATTGCATGCTCACTCCTCATAATTTCTGCCGTCGTTGGCGTACGTTAGCTGCGCTGCCAATGCCCTAACAGATCTGCGCGCATTCATCATGTCGGTCCTGATCCGAAATTCGGTAGGACGAGGTGTAGAATAGCCTACACAGAACCATATAGCCAAACTTCGTGATTGGTGGCCTGGACAATGCCGCGCTGCATAAATGGCGTCGAATACAGTGATGTTCCAGAATATGGCCTCCCGAAATATGGGGTAAATGCAGGCCCAAGCGTGCTGAAACATGGAGGATAGCCTCAATTGCGCAGCCTTCTATGCACAAGCGACGTTTCACGATGAGCTTTTGCAGACGCGGAAATTTCCCCGTAAGCATGCAAGATGGTGTAGAGGTGTTGCAGCAGAGTCTGTCGTAGAATGACCGTAAGGATCCATGCACAGGCCATCATCTAGCTGGATCTGGCTGCCCTTTCCCCAGGCGTTCAGTGGCGCATTAACCGCCATCCTTCAAACAATAAATTCAAGTTCAGTCAAAGATGCATCGCGGGCCATGAAATCAGCAGTCTGACTATCTTTGACAATCCTTCTCCACTCATGAATCCCTCTTATTGCCACAGGATCACCGTCTGCCTTTCCTCGCTCAAGGAGAACAAAACTGTTGTTGAGAGGTTCGGTGGTCAACAAGCTGTGCATTTGCTTCTCGGCATTTAATCAGGTGCAAGTGTGTTCGTTGACCTAGTATTATCCATATGTGGAATACTGTCTTCTAGCTTACCACACAATACAACACGTGGCGAGTGCGATGGTTTCTAAGGCCTAGGAGTCAAGTTTCAGCGATCGTGTTACCACATATCCATACTCTGCTACTATCGGAGTAGAGTAAGCACCGGAATCCAGTCTATCTTGGATCGTGGAGCCCGCTGCGCGGAGTCTCAACGGCTCTGATCTGCAGCACTGATACTGGTACACTACTATAGGTACCTTCGGCTTCCAAACTTCAAGCCTTATCTGCTCAAAACCAATCGATTCTGTCCAATAGTGTGTGCTATACTCATACACGGGCAAACATGCTCAAGGCTGTTGGACTTTCGAGATAAGCTATCGTCATGCATATATGTGTTAACCTGGGTGAGATGTGCAGTACCATCCACTCTAGAAGTACACTCCAGCTTAAGTAAATGGCATACCCCAGAGCTCGTCGAGTTTCGCTTTTCGGCATATCATCAGTCACTCTTTTCGTTGCGCTCGTTGCAGAAAACATGAGCAACTCTATTTTCAGCAGATGGTCTCCCCACCAGAGACCACTCTCAGATTACAGACTATCGTTTCGAAACTCTAAGACATCGCCAGAATCAACAGAGTTATCAGTCCAAACCCAGTCACAGCAACCCGAACGCTCAGTCGAGACCACAAATCTCGAGACCACAGAAAGGTCCCTCAACCCCAGCACCCTACAAGCCTGGCTACAAGTCATCGTTAACTTCCTTGTAATGATGAACTCCTTCGGCCTCATCCAATCCTTCGGCATCTTCCAGCTCCCCTACGAAATCAGCCTCAAATCTGCCCCTTCAACGGTCGCATGGATCGGCAGCGTGCACATCTTCTTCGTCTACTTCCTCGGCACCTTCTCCGGCTGGGCCCTCGACCACGGCTGGTACAAACGCCTTCTCGTCCTCGGCAGCATCTTCCAGATCGTCGGCCTCATCGCCGCAGGCTACAGCGACTCGTTCGTCAAAGCTTTCTTCTTCCACGGCGTGTTCCAGGGCATCGGGCATGGCCTCATGTTTTGCCCGGCAGTGACCATGACAGCTGTTTTCTTCGAGGGGTCAAGGAGTAAAATGACGGCGCTGGGGATCGCGGGATGTGGCGCGTCGTTTGGTGGTATCATTTTTCCGCTCATCGCCAGATACACGATTATCACGAAGGGGATTAGCTTTACAATGTGGATCATGTGCTGCGTTGTGTCCTTCACTTCCATCCTCATTGTCCTCCTCGCTCGCACTGGTCCCAGTCGCAAATACTCTGCTGCCAGCGACGATAGCAGGACTAGCAAAAAGCGTATTGTCGACTGGCATGCGTTCAAAGAGCCCACATACGCGCTCTACGTCATCGCTATGTTCTTCGTCTTTGTAGGCCTGTGGATTCCTTTCTTCTACATCCGCGAATTCAGCGCAGATGCTCTGCACGTGTCCAAGTCCGAGTCGTTCATCATGCTGATCATCCTCAACGCCGCGGGAATTCCTGGTCGTATTGTCCCAGCCCTGTTCGCTGATTTGTTAATCGGCACGCTCAATATGTACATCATCACGCTCTTGCTTACCAGCGCGATATTGTTGTTCTGGCCCCTTGTCAGCACTGAGGTGGGAATGTTTGGCTGGACGGCTGCGTATGGATTCGGCGCTGCTGGCGTTTCTTCACTTCTGCAAGCTGGCCTTACATCGATCAATGATGAGCCTACGAAAACAGGGCAGAAGATTGGAATGGCATTTACGGTTGTAGGATTCGCGTCGCTAGTGGGCGGTCCGATCGGTGGCGAGCTGATTCGGATTGGTGAGGAGACAAGGGTTGCTGGACCTGAGGCGTATGTTTGGATGATAGTGTTTACTGGAGTGATTATGTTTGCAGGTGCGGTGACATTGTGCGTAGCGAGATTGAAGAGAACGGGGTACAGGTTTTTGATCAAGGTATGAGTGGTTGCGGTCATGTTGCTTGGAGCAGACATGCACTAGGGTGCTATTTTCCACGATACATCGGAACGGAGACACAGCTGGCTGAGCTGCGGTATGCCCGAGAAGGAGACCATTCTTACCTAACAATAACAGTGTATGAAGGTAAATTGGAGGCAGCGACACAGACAGCAGATAGCCTAGCATGGTTCGCTTTCGGAGCCCGTGAGCTTATACGACGTTGAAGCCTGACGTTATATCTGATATCAGTACGCAACGCTACAAGCCTCAACGTAGGACACGATATATTATAATGATAATCGAATTGATCGTGATAGGATGCAGTACTGACTTCAAAAAAACGCCGTGTGGTATCTGAAAGGTTCACCAACGCCATCCCCAAGAAGAATCATCCATCGTCCGCAGACTCGCAGTCCACGCCACGCATTTCTCCACTCCAACGCCTCACTTCTCGCCCTCGACTTTTGTACGCCACGCTCGTCAATGTTACTGTGCCCCATACACCGTCTCCACGCCTAGGCCTTTACTGCCTAGATTTTTCAAGGCCACCTCCCTTAACGCCGTGCCACACGCTCCGCCCCCATGATTTATTTATACTGCGGCACGCCCTGCGGCGGGGGTCCATAGCCCGGCGGCCCACCCGCCGGCGGCTGTCCAGCATGCATCATATGCGCCTCGCCACCTCCTGAAATCTGCTGCTGTACATCTGGCCTGTACTTGATGTCCTGGCCGAAATGGCAAATGTGGCATCCAACTTCCTTGTACGGCTTGAGCGAGAACGGGATAATGGGGACGAAGCAGAATGTAAACCATTCCCAGCGCTTCATGACCTAGAAGATGTGTTAGTGAGGTGAGGTGAGCGGTGGTAAGGGAGGACGTACGCGGCCGGAGAGGTTACCGCAGTTTTGGCATTGTACGGTGATGTGCTCTGCGCCGGAGAGGGCAGAGTTGAAGACTGCAGTTGTTAGTTTATGAGAGGTACGTGCATTCTGGATCCGACATACCGTGTGTTCCGCAAGTGAAGAAGAAGAACATGGCTGCGGAGGTCGGGGTGCGCTGCTTGGTCGCGAGCTAGAGATATTATGCGACGGTTGTTGCTGGGTCGAGTGCGATTATGGTGATGCTTGTCGAGGTTCAGGTAGAATGGCGGATATGTTGCGACTGCAATCTGGCAAGGACTGATATTCTAAAAGGTAGTTGCAGGTGACACGAAGGCAAGGTGTGTGGTGGTATGCGACGCGCAACAAGACATTGGCGCCCAGGAAATGCGTCACCACTCAGCCACAGTACGTGCCACATTCATCGATCGGCGCAGTTGGTCTGTGCTCATTGGCTCGTCTCTGCGATGTGTCGCAGCGTTGTGGGTGAGCCAAGGGCTAGATTGATTGAATCATTTTGAATTGAAGTATGTATCCATTGCCGGCTTTTGTGAAGAGGAAGCAAACCATGTCCTCACCGCGGTGACCTGACCCTGCCTCGAGGCACCATCTCACCGCCGAACGCCCTCAAGTCCGATCAAGAAAGCCTACAGGATCGCACCAAAGTGCATCAATTGCTGGCCTGGAGCCGTCGCATCTACGCAGAGTATTGAGCCTGTAGACTCCAGGCGTCTATTAAGTAACGACCATGGACGAGCCCTGACAACCGTGAGTCGTAGCCAGCTTACTGCGTCTTGAAGAGCAGAATAGCGCAATGTCCCAGGTAGAAGTATATGAAGTGCTTCGTCTCTGTTTGATATTAGTGGAAGCCGGCGCTGCCTCTCTGGGGTGATGACCGACCATGAGTAACAAAGCTACCAAAGTTCCTGCCTACGATGCAGTGCCATGTTGCGCCCTTGCGGCTATCGAACTGAACGGATATTAGTGAAGAAGATCAGGCGTGAATGGACAAATGTCGAACCTCCTTCTTGATGAACTGAGCAATATCCTGTGCAGAACATGTCAGCCACACGTTGATGTTACAATACTAGAAACTGGCGGGCTTGTCTCAGGCTCACCTTCTCGATAGTGAACTGCTCCATTGCCTGCTGTGCTACGAGATGTTAGTATTTCAGACGCCGTGTCCCGAGCCGGTTGCACTTGCCGACTTCGATGGCTTCATTCTGCATCTCCTCGCTCTGTGATACAAGGTTAGAGTTTGGTTATTGAAGAGTACCCTGGGCCAAGTACCATGTCCGCAGACTTGATCTGGGCTATAGTCATTGTCAGCTGCGCTCTAAGCGATACACGGGGTATAAACATGGGGCACTTGCCGTCCTGCTTATGCGTATCTGACTTCTCGCTTGCCATGGTGTTGATTAGAATGAATTATTCTGGGCTGGGTGTTGTGAGTAATAGGGATTAACAGTGGTCAAGTGCAGAGATCAAGACTGTGGCGGTATGGCTCGTTGTTTGCTGTCGCTGGGCGTTGGAAGTGCTCCTGTTGTTGCCGCAAGACGCACGGGGCAACCGCCGCCGAGCCATCAGGTGCGCTAGTGCCAACCGCTAGCGCGTGCAGGACCTGTAAATTTTTGGATGCTTGAAGACGACCACTTTTCTATCACCACGCGTGTTCCAATATGACCACAGCAATGGAGTCGTCGCGAATATTCGTGCGCGGTCTACCCCCACGATTCACCGAAGACGACGTCCGCAAGCATTTTGCCAAGTTTCCGGTTACCGATGTCAAGTTCTTTCCCCATCGCCGCATTGGCTATGTCGGCTACAAGTCGCCCGAGGACGCTGCAAAGGCAGTGAAGTACTTCAACAAGACCTTCATTAACCTCACAAAAATCTATGCGGAGATTGCGCGACCAGTAAGCAGTTACGATAGTAGGTCGCGCAGCAAAGACCTAACAGTGTGCAGATAGCCGACAAGGAACTGCCAAAGTCACGACGGCAACAGAGGCTAGAGAAGAGCGCACCACAGAACGATGAATACATAGCGCCACTACAGGAGAATGCTCTCAAGCGCAAACGCGAACAAGCCGAACTCGAGCAAGACCCCAAGCTCAAGGAGTTTCTACAGGTGTACCAGGCTCCTTCCAAGACAAACATCTGGACGAACGGGGATACACAGCCAGACGTGGCTGTTGCTTCAGGCGAGGAAATCGTACCCGCTGTTGTCGTACCAGAAGATGAAAGCGACGACGATTATCAAGTCATTGCGAAGAAGCCGAAGACAGCAGTCGACAATGCAACTTTTGTGGAAGCAAATGTCGCAAGCAAGCCCACAGTGGAGGCAAAGAGCGTAGATTCGACCAAAGACGTCTCTGCACAACTTGACGAAGACATGGAGGGTGTCGAGCCTAGTGGAGGCCCCGTTACCGATGACGACTGGTTACGATCGAGAACCAATCGCGTTCTGGACTTGGTCGAGGACGACGAGTTGCCTGCACCAACCGATCGATCGCAGGTGAGCGAAGCTCCGCAGAAGCGTCAACCAGAGGTGATCGAACAACCAGACGAGGCGGAAGCAGTTGAGGAACAAGCACCTGAGGCAGATCACACAAAAGTGCCGTCTTCGGATGAAGTGGAGAAGATCCGAGAGACTGGCAGACTATACCTTCGGAATTTGCACTTCGAGGTCACTGAAGATGAGCTTCGACAACATTTCGCCAAGTACGGCTCTTTGGAAGAGGTAAGCCAGCGGTCTATTTCTCTTTACGTTACTCGCGCAATGATGAACATACAGATAGGGACAACTGATGCAAAGCAAATGAGGTTGACTGTCGAGAGTATTTTAGTAGATGTCTCTCTTATCTGATACTGGCGCATGTCTTTGAACTTGAATATTTCATCTATTTCATCGAGCAGCCGCTAACTATCAAAGGTACACGTTCCGCTGAAGAAGAGCGATGGCAAAGGAAAGGGCTTTGCATTCATCCAGTTCAAAGAGCCAGAACAGGCCGTCGTGGCATATGACGATACCGATGGCACCATTTTCCAAGGCCGTCTACTGCACATCATTTCTGCGAAAGCCAAGAAAGACACAAGCCTCAACGAATTCGAGATCTCCAAATTACCGCTCAAGAAGCAAAAGGAGATTAGACGAAAGCAGGACGCCACACGAGCTACTTTCAATTGGAATTCGCTCTACCTCAATGTAAGATGATCACATGAAAGCTTCCCTACCTTCATTACTGACAGGTTGCCAGGCCGATGCTGTCATGTCTACAATCGCAAACCGAATGGGAATCAGCAAAGCGGAACTTCTTGATCCCACCTCTTCAGACGCAGCTGTGAAGCAGGCACATGCAGAGACACACATCATCCAGGAGACGAAATCCTACTTTGCCCAGCATGGTGTTGATCTTGAGGCTTTTCAAAGGAGCGCCAAAGGTGACCTAGCCATATTAGTGAAGAACGTCCCTCATGGTGTGACGCCTGACGAGTTGCGTAAGATGTTTGAAGAGCACGGCACAGTGACCAAGTTCCTGATGCCGCCAACTGGCATGACCGCCATTGTTGAGTTCTCCAACATTGCGCAAGCGAAGACAGCGTTCATGTCTTTGTCGTACAGGAAGATGAAGGACTCGATCCTTTACCTTGAGAAGGCCCCTAAGGACCTATTTAAGGAAGGTGCTGTCATAGATGTACCGCGTACATCTACTTCGGGTGGACCGGCTGCCAAGCTCTCTGCTACGGACTTGCTAGAGGAGGCTCCTGAACCCGAGGCCGCCAACACAGCGACTCTGTATGTACGGAATTTGAACTTCACCACAACCACGGAGCGACTTACCGAGGCGTTCAAGCCGCTGTCTGGTTTCCGGAGTGCCAAAGTCAAAACCAAGGTCGATCCGAAACGAGGAGTGTTATCTATGGGCTTTGGATTCGTCGAGTTCAACAGTGCCGAGACAGCTTCTGCAGCATTGCGGACGATGGATGGGCATGACCTAGAGGGCCATAAGTTGCAGATCAAAGCTTCTCACAAGGGCGCGGATGCTGCTGAGGAGCGTCGAAAGGAAGATGCTGCCAAGAAAGCAGCAAGTACAAAGATCATCATCAAGAACTTGCCTTTCGAAGCTGGCGTAAGTGCCCTTTATCGATCTCATTTTGCCGTAGCGCGTGCTAATTTCGACTGCAGAAAAAAGATGTTCGCGCGCTGTTCACCCCTTACGGCCAACTACGGTCCGTCAGAGTACCCAAGAAGTTCGACGCCTCTTCGCGTGGTTTCGGGTTTGCTGAATTTACCACTAAACGCGATGCTGTCAACGCCATGAACGCTTTGAAGAATACTCACTTGCTGGGTCGACGTTTGGTTCTCGCGTTCGCAGAGACCGAATCGGATGATCCTGAGGCAGAGCTTGAGAAGATGCAGCAGAAGGTGGGCGCACAGGCCAACAAGGTTGCGCTACAACGCCTCACAGAAGGCGGTCGTAAGAAGTTTAACGTTGCAGGCACAGACGATCTAGATGAATGAGCGCGAGCGCGCGTTTGTTCCGGTAGGCGATCCTTGAGATGGCGCGACACCACCAGGCTACGTCGTCCTTGATACCTCCCCTTGCTTCTCTAACCAAAGAAGCGAGGCCCGCCCTTGTCTGCGGCATCCCAAATGCAGTTAAACTTTAACGCCTCTGCCCTGGTACGCTATATCTAGGTCACCACCTGTAGGCGCGACAGGATATACCTACTGCGCTTTGGATCAATGGGCATGGCCACCACACCGCGTCTCAGACTACAGTAAAACACGCGGAGTAAGGCAGCCACAAACAAGACGTCTTGTCGATCATACAGGCTTTTGTTGTTGGCAACCACTGACATTCATTCTTGCTCAAAGCATTCCGTGCCAGTCCTCCCTCGCACAAGTCCAATCAGATGACGATTGATCAGTCGGCAATCGGCCGAAGCCCTTGCTCCTCTGCTAACTAGGCGATATTTACCATTCCAGTTGATGAAGGAATTACGATGGCAGTAATTACTTGGACAACAAGCGAAATGGCGACTATTTGGCGACTACGACGACAGTAGAAAGCGTGTAGTGCTAATCAAAGGATTATGGCCATGTCACCCTGTTGACTGACACTCGAGCCCCATGTAGCATAGTGGGTACTCCATCGTACCCATCTGTCGGTCGCCCTGGAGGCACGGCAAGTCCAATTCTGCTTGCCAAGCGGGTCTCCTGCCTGGTGGTCGTCTGGACCCTATCTTATACCATTGCAAATATCTGCATAACTTACTTTGCCACATACTCTTTCGATACATTCTCTTCTTCCTCTTTCACCACAATCCACAGTCATTCATTGCTCCAACTGCCTTACACTCGTTCCATTCTGCATCAAGCCATCATTCTTACCCTGACACTACATTTTTGGCCAGCCTTTTCTTCTTTTGCATACCGCCGCAGCCTACTATGGAACTCCAACAACAGCGGTCATGCGCCAGGCTTGGGGATGTTCCAGCCTTAGGAGAGAATACAATAGACACCACTACGCAGCAGCGTGCCGTCCTCCAGGAGCGTTCTGCTAATTGGCCCCATGAGTTCAGCAACCAAACCACGTCGTTACAGAAGCGGTCACGAAGTCCGAGTCCAACGAACAACACTTATACCAGACGAGCTCCACCTGCAGGCGTCTACTTTACCGGCAATGTACATGCACAGCATATTGGTCTGGCCGGCTTTGGCGCGGAGAGATCAGAGAAGCAAGTCGATTTCGAGCTCAAGCGGTTATATCGGATGCTTCAAAGATCCGACAAATACCAGAAGTACCGAGAGAAACAACCCAGCTTAACGCGTGCGGAAGTTCTTGCAATTGAAGCAAGACAACTCGCAGAGAAGAAAGCAAAAGAGGCGGCCGGAGGCTCAGTCGGAAAAGACGAGAAAGACAAGACTGTTTGGCCTGAATTTCTTGAACATGCCTTTTGGAGAGGTAAGTCACATTCACTACATGACATCAGTCACTTCTATTGCCTATACTTGCAAGGCAGCGAAGCTGCGCGCTCGTATCTGGCCCCGCGTTCTGCCCTTGTGACACGAACCATTACGTGATAACCTGGCTGACCACTGCGTCATAGCACTTGTTCGATGGCCACCAATGGGGCGAAAGAAATTTATGCTTGAAGGTGCATTGCGAGGTCGCAATGAATTAATACAAGACTCTATCCGAAGGGATACCGGCATCATCCGAGATCGCAAACAAGTCTCAAGCCATCTACAAGTTCTCAAACAGCATCTACACAACCAGCCTGGTGGTAAGTGGCATCGTTCTTTTTCTGCCAGCACTACTCGGGATCTTTTCTTAGCCCTATTCCGATCAAGGAAAAACTTGAAGTTGGTGGTGGTAGTGCTGCAGGCCACCATCATGCAGCTTCGCGCAAGGGTTACGGCAGGGATTGTTGAGCTCTAGCTGACGTGACACGCATTAGTGCTCGTGTACATGGCTACAGTAGACGATGATAAGAAGCGCCATCGAGGGCGTGAGTCCTCCCATGCATACCACATCCCTCAAGTCCGAAGCCGTCACCACTCGCATCGTGCAACCTCCGCAACAAATTACGAGTACGACACTCCCACATCTCATATGTGGGCTGGACCTGAAACATTACCTTCTTCATACACAATGACTACACGTCATGGCGGCCCTCATCAAACATCCTCGCCGTATGCAGTCACAGACTTCACCATGTTTGTCGGGATTGACGACCAGCCCGTGCACTACTTCACTCAACTTGCATCAGATGGCAGATTCGACGATCTCAACGTCACAGATACTGCATCGTGGCGAAAACAGTATCCCGAGTTCGACTTCTTGAGAGAACAGATGGACAACTGGTCGATGCAAGGCAGAAATGTCCTTGTTTGCAATGCATCCATCAAGGTGATGACGGAGTCCCGACCAAAGGCTAGCTTATCGATCACCTTCAACCTCGACACTCAGCGTGACCTTTCCGTCTTCGAATCTGTGCAGTGCACTACTCGGTTTTACGACAGTGGTAGCATGGCTGCAGATCCTCAATTTGACGGTCGGGACGCACACGATCTAAAGGAGCATCGCACACCATGCGATTACCGAGCAGGCCCTCATGGGCGTAACGGGTGCCTGAGGATTGCATTTGGCTCCAAGTTCTGGGTTAATCGTATGACCAAGTACCAGAACTTGAGATTGAGAGACGAGAGCTGCGTCAGCAAATCGCTACTGCGGCTCACGGCCACACAGGATGTGTATGGTATCAAGCCCGGCACCGGCGAGGCTGAACGAGTCCTTACAATATTGTGGCGCTTTACACAAACGAGGAGCTCTGCGGAAGTGGGCAGCATGAACTGGCGTGCGGTCAACTTTGATGCTCCTCAGCAACACCCTCTGGAGCAAAGGTGGAATGACATGAAGCACGACTCTGGCCTAAAACTCGAAAATCTTCAACGCGGACACGAGGAAATAATGGATTGCACATCTTCTGCAACACATGACGCATCACTCTACCAGCAAGTCCCTCACTTGCCTCTCGACTACATACACCAACACCAACCACATCACGGCTATGCAGTGCAGCCTACACAGGCGCAGCAACCCCCACAACTTCATCTAGACGTCTTCGCCTCGATGCAACCCGACTTTGACCATGGACACGCCTCGGCTGCCCCAAGCGCGTCGACAGACTACTCCCAGCAAAGTCTCCCCAGCCTATCCCACAGCCAAAGCACTGTGGGCATGTACGCCCAAGATCCCAACGACTTCAATTTCGACGGCGGCCACATCACCATATCTGGTGCCTTTCACCCCACCATCAACCTGCACGACTACGAAGGCTTGTCAAACCAAAGCACTAGCCTAGACAATCTACACGCCCTCGTCGGCCTGGACCAAGACGGCTACAATCTCGGCTTAGCATGTGCTGCAGGCACCGAGCTTGTCGACGCGTCCTTGCAAACCGACCATATGCCCTGCTACTCCACAAAGCCAATTTGGGCGAATTCGAACGTCATTCCTCACTTAGAGAATGCGGCAGAACAGTACCATACGTATTTGGATCATGGACAAGCAACACATGGACACGACGTACTGCCTCGACATCACTTGCAACAACCGCAGGATCTCGGCCTACATGATTCGATCAATGTGAACCATGGACTGTGGAACAGTCTACAGAGTCCGTTCCATGAAGACACGGGCGGTGGCGCTAGTGATGGTAATGACTGTAGGAAGGACAGCCACACCGGGGTACATGGCGTGGGCCTGGGGGTGCTGGAACTGATCGAGCGAGATCAGCGGGCGAGAGGTTATTAAAACATTCCTACTCCACATTCGCCAGAATATTTCTCTTATTTGTGTATTGATTGGCATGGATTTGCATCAAGATATGATTCCCCGAAAATCTGAAGAGATAGTTAGACTTAAGCTTAATGTTAATGTATTAGCGTTTGATGACCATTTCCTCAAGACTGAATCACAGGGTCTCGGGAATGGCGTAAGCCACCCGTTTTGATCCAGTGTCAAGAAGCCACACTCATATTAGATGGTTGGTGGCGTGAAGCGGCCATGTGGGAGAGCAGATGTGCCGAAAGGGCGGACTTTTCGCAAGCCTCGAGACAAACGCGATGAGACACAATTAGCCCAGACAATTTTGTGCTTGTAGCTGAGGCTCTGCGGCACTAGCAACTGTAAAGTGCAAGGGTTGCATTTGGCAAGCAAACCTGGAGCTTCAGGCACCGTTCCTGCTGTCTTCGACAAAGTTTGCAAAGAAAGCACTTTCGAAATTGCTTCATGTCTTTGCCTATTGCTAGTCATTATCTTTGAGCAACTACCGATGTCTCACCGTACAGATTCATTCGTGTTGCTGTCTCTCATTCTTCTTCGCGTGCCGCGCGCGCAAACGCGTCGTCGCGCAATCACCTGCAGCACTGGAGCCCCGCCAAACATCATACCAGACCCACCTTCGCGACAAACAATCACCAGCCTTACACATTGATATGTGCACTGCACAGACGACTATATTATCTGGTTTCATACACCTTCACTCTTGTCTCATCTCTTCTCACTTCAAGTCCGGCTGCTAAATCGAATCTTTATCATCAAACAAGTTCGCAAGGCTGATCAGATCAACATGGATGTTGCCGTTCAAGTCCCGAAACTCGAGGGCGTCTACAGCATTGACGATTTCATGGGAAAAGAGGCGGAAGCTCGCCATGCCGCTCTAAAAGCTGAGAAGTCCGCAGCCGCCAGCAAGAAGGCTGTTAATACTGGACCTGTTGCACTCGGATCTCGCTCGTCCAAACACACCATCGATCTCCATGCCAAGTATCAAGCTCTCGGAATTCCACAGCCCATGTTCAACTTCCATGGTGATAGCTCGCGTGGATGGAGTGGTGACGTCGGCTTTCCGGGCTTGGACGCGGACGAATTGCAGGATATCAAGGTCGATGCCATGTACCCCAGCAAGCAAGAGGCGAAGGAGGAACTCAGCAAGCTGGCCCTAGAGATCCTAACGCGCCTGGAGGAGCAGGGCAGAATCCAAAAGGTCACACCCGACGCTCGTGTGCGCACATCCAAGCACAGAGTCGCCCTCCACGACAAGTGCCAGAAAAGCGGTTACCCCCAACCAAGCTTCGAGTACGCCGGAAGCAACCAAAAGGGCTGGAGCGCAGAGATTGTTTTCCCTGGCCTCGAGCTCGACGAACTCAACATCAAAGATGAGACTCGATTTCTCAACAAGCAAGAAGCCAAGGAAGCCGTGAGCAAGCTGGCACTCGAGGCTCTCGAGATTGCCGAGCAAGAAGGGAAGTTGGAACGCTTCGGCCGCGCAAAAGGACCAGCGACACAAGCGCCGAAGGAGAAGGAAGAACCGGGTCCGAATTACGTCGGTCAACTTCTCGGTACGTCTTCACGCCTCTCACCCATTTCCTCCTCCCGTCTAACAAGAACTAGAATTCCTGCGCGCCCAATCCCTCGCACCAACCAACCTACACCGACTACAGCGTCGGCACAACCTTCGCATGCCGCCTGACCCTCGACTCGCAATCCTTCGGCTCGCTGACCGCCACGCGCTCGTCCAAGAAAGCCGCGCGCCAGGAAGCCGCCCGGTGTGCAGTCGAGCACTTCAAGGAGACAGGCGAGTGGCCCACCGACGCCGGCGGGATCAAGAAGAAGAAAAAATCCTCCACCGCGCAGTCTGACACTCCCGCAACTCATTGTGAAAGCAAAAGTTCCTTCCCTCCCCCCTCCCCTCCTCCCCATCATCATCATCATCATCATCATCTTCTTCTTCTTCTTCTTTCTCCTCCCAGGCCGCTTCCCATCAGCTTCCCCTCCTTCCTCACTCGGCCCCCCGGAATGGCGCTTCTCCCCGCCCTCCCCCGACGCGCCACAATTCCACACCGTGGCGTGTTACTTTGCCAATGGCGGCGCGCACGCGGGCCCGATTGGCGAGGTACGCAATGTGCTAGGCAAGAAGAAGGCGAAGGAGGAGTGTGCGAGACTGACGTTGGCGTATCTTGAGGAGGTGAGGAGGTATAGGGTTGAATGTGGGAGGAGGGTGTTGGAGGGGGTAGTTGGTGGGGAAGGGGTGTTGGATGGGGCGGTGGGGAGGGGGTGGGATGGTGAAGGAACAGGTGAGGAGGCAAAGATCAAGGGGAGTGAAGGAGGAGGGTGTGGATATCGATGTTGATAATGGACTTCGGGAGTTTGAGGGATGCCACACTGGAGGGAGTTTGGTCGTGAACTCCTCTCAATCTTCCCCTCGTCCTCACTTGGATGTAATGAATCAATGAATAAACATAAACACACAGACGCAACTAAAATTCTCTTCCCCACGCCTTCGGCGTGAAAAAACATGATATATAACAGCCTCAACACTGACACTACATCTCCTTCCATGCCATTCACCCTGAAAAAAAGACACGCCATAGAGATCCCGTGCTCTCTGGTTCCTCCCCATTCACCTCCTCATCTCAATCCCTCTCAATGCGCTTCTCAATCCTCTCGATCCGACTATTCGCATCCAGCTTCCCCAGCGGCACGGGAACGGGCGTTTGAAACGAAACACGCGCATGACCTAAGAACAATCGGACTCAGTTACACGTCGCGCTAAATGACAACTAACTCCCATGTCAACATGACACCTGCGAGAAAGAATAGGAAAGAAAGGAACAAGGGCATCTAAGTAGATGCAACCTCACTCTTCCTCTTACTCCGATCGCGCTTTTCCTTCTTCTTCTCGCCCGCACCCGCTGCTGCATTCTCCTTGTCGATCTCCGCTTCGGCGCCCCTAGTGCTGCGGCTGGATTTGGCCTTCTTGGCCGTCTTGCTGGTGTCGTCTGGGGTAGCTTCTTTCGTCGGAGCGGGGGCAATGGGCGCGGGAGCGGCTAGCTTGGCCTTCTTCTTGCTGTCCTTCTTCGCTGCGGCGGGGGCTTCGACACTCGAGGCGGGCACGGGGGCGGGGACTTGGGTGGTTGGGCGCGAGCTGCTGGGGATGGGGACGGGGGTGTCTTTTGCGGGGGCGGGTGTGGAGGGGACGGCGGCACCGTTGGTAGCGGCTGCTGCGACAGTCTTTTGGCGCTTGTTTGGACGGGGGGTCTTTGCGGGTGGAGAGGGGGCTTTGACGACGACGGGGGGCTCTTCTTCGTCTTCAGAGGAGGCGTCTGAGTCGACGGTGCCTACGTCGGCCATTTCGACGTCTTCGGCGTCGGACAGGTCTTCGTCAATGTGCACGTCCGCGACCTTGCCGCCGGCTTTGGCGAGGTATTCGGCGAGCTCGATCTTGTAGTCCTCCATGGAGCTGCGGTAGGACGCTTTCCACCTCTGACATAACAATTAGTTTAGGAAGAAGACCCAGTATTGTGGGAAAATCTCACCTCCTTCTCCTCGTCGGGAAGTTCGTTCCATCGCTTGGTCACTTCCAAGTTGACAGCGTTCTTCTCCAGAATCGCGCCAGGCTCGAGAGCAGCTTCCAGATCCGCCCTGACAATGGGACGCGCAGTCTGCGCATACAGGAAAGCAGCAGTGAGCGGCTTCTTGGGAGCGTTGGGGTCCTTTTCCTTCTTCTCGCGCTTGCGCTTCTTGTTCTTGCCATCGGCGGCTGCGCCCTCAGTGACCTGGTTGGAGGCACTGACAACCTGATTGATGCCACTGGCAGCAGTAGTTGCCGCCTCCATAGCCGCATTGGCCGTCGCCGTTATGTTAGCGGGCAGCTGGAACTTGTCCATGTCGCCATCTTCACCCGCGAGAATGGAAGTCGTGTGCTGCATGTACGCGCGGAACAAGTCATTGAGGTTGGTCTGGACATTGGTGAGGCCGGCTTGCAAGTTTGTAAGGGCCAGGATGACCTGGTGGCACAAAGGGTCGTTAGCAGCTGAATTGAAATTGACGTGTTGGAGCTGAACGTGGACGCGCGCAACTTTCGCGCGCGCCTTGGGAAGCAACGCAGGGAGGCGTTTCTTCGCAGGCGCCATGTCTGAGTCGCGTAGTCGAGGCGACCAAGACGGCACGCGTGCAGAGGGGAGACATGATGATGCGGGCCATGGTGCGCGCCGGCTTGTGCGAGCTGGTGTCGCGATGGCACGATAACATGAAGCATGCGCGTCGCAACATGGCAGAAGCAGGAATGAGAGCAGAGAAAATACGTACAGAGTCCCTGGTGCGCGAGTACTGCTCAAGCGAGACCATCAGCTCGCCCGTGTCCTCTTTTTTGTGTCTTGGTGCCATGGTTGCTGGTTGCGGTAGTGTCGTGGGCGTGTTGTTGGCGGAGTGTGGGCGGGAAAAAGGCAGCAGGGCGAATTTCGTTGGGGGGCTGGGGTGGGCGGTGCTTATGTGACAGCCGCCAAAATCTGGCGCGCATGCCCTGCTCCCAGGCGGTCCGGCGCCCGCCTCTGGGCTCTTCCGTGGGCAAGCACCCTAATCATTTTCGGCGAGCCCCAACACTTTCAGCGCCTGCACGCGCAGTGCACCCGCCATGCGCCTGTGATGAGCCTGCGCTGCATATCCCATCACCTGGCGCTGTGATGCGCCCATGGCAGCAGCTGCTCAGAGAGCTTCCCAAGTATTGTCTCGCACATCTTGCGAGCCTTCTGATATTGTCGTTCTTTACATCTTGCTTTTTCGCGCAGTAAGAGCAAGAGGCCCACCTGCTTCTGAAGGCAGTCGCGTCTCGCCAGCTGTGCCACGTCCCACAAGGTACATCAGGAGGCCCTTGGAGTTACCAGCACAAGAAGCCCATAAAGTCACTCCCACACTGCAGGTCATCAACTACGATGGAAAGTAAACAAGTGTATCCAGTAACCCAAGCTGTACACAGTATATCGCTAGACTTCAATTGCGACGACAAGTCCCCGTGTATAGCTTTGGTCGCTTTCCTTCGTAGGTGAATAACCTGCAGTACTCTCGAATTCTTGAATTCATACTTTACATCCTAACAATCCTACTCCTCAAACCTCCCGCCCTGACTAACATCGGGATAAACATCGAACCTCCTCTGCGTATACAGCGGAATCCCCTTCCTACACTCCTCCACTCTCCCCTCCCTCAACTCCTCCACCACAACCCCCTCCTCCTCCCCCAACTGTTGCAACACCTCCGCGTTCGGATCCACCACCATGCTATGCCCCCATGCATTATAATCTGCCTGCATGTCGCGCGCCGGACTGCACAGGCCCACGTACACCTGATTGTCCGTCGCGCGGGCGCGCGCCAGGAGTTCCCAATGCAGCGCGCCCGTCGTGAGGTTGAAGGCGCCGGGGTACAGCAGGAGGAAGGCGCCTTTGCGTGCAGCGATGGTGGCGAGTTCGGGGAAGCGGATGTCGTAGCATATGGCGATTGCAATCTTGCCGTACTCGGGCAGGTCGACGAGGGTGATCTTGTTGCCTGGGGACAGTACGTCGGATTCGCGGAACTTGATCTTGCCGGGTATGTCGATGTCGAAGAGGTGCACTTTGCGGTGTGTGGCGAGCAGTTCTCCGCTTGGACTGAAGGTCAGGCTGGTGTTGTAAAGTTCCTTTTTGCTGTCGTCGCGCTCTGGTATGCTGCCTCCCACTAGGTATATGTTGGCTTCTTTCGCGAGCTTGGAGAGCGCGTGGAACGTTGGCGATTGTGACTCGGTTGGTGGGGAGGGCAGGAGCGTCTCGGCGTACTTGTCAAAGTACTTGGTGCCGTAGGGCGAATTGAAGCATTCTGGGAGGACGACGAGCTTTGCGCCGCGTTTCGCGGCTTCGAGGACTTTGGTGCGCGCATTCGCAAGGTTGTGCGCTTTATCGGCGCCCGAGGCGAGTTGGACGAGCCCGAGCTTGAGAGACTGCTTAAGGAGTGAAGCCATGGTGTGGATGCGCAGGCGGTATATGCGATTGGAAGAGGGGCAGAAGGACAATTGAGGCGTGCGATGCCCGCGTCCAGGTGGGTTGGGATGTCGAATGTTTGGGCCAATAGCATGATGTCACATCCCGCTTGCACCTGCTCTCTGTGAACGTGGGGTGAACGTCGATTTCGGCTGGACTTGCTTGCATCGTACAAGAGCACTTTTCATATTCATCGATCATGACATGACATGTGCGCAGTACGTTTGATATGAGTGTCAACAAGGTATATAGCTGAAATGCTGCAACTGACTATACCGCTACTGGCGCATGCTGCACAAGGTCGTACTCATCTAGCCCGATAACTCTCCCACCATTTATGTTTCCCAAACAGCTGTCCGAGAACCAATACCAGTCCAACGTCCAGACGAGTGTACCTCCACCGTTGCAATCACTCCTCCCTCTTGCCTGGCATATCCACATCTGCCACCTCCTCAACATCAGGGTTGCCTCCCTTCTCCCTCTTGCTGACTGGACTTTCTGTTTCTTGGGTAACTTCTCGTTTCCGCTTCGCAGCATGCTCAAACCCACTAGTTCCAGTGTTCAAGCGGGGGCTTGTACCAAGCCCTTCAACCACAGTGCTTTCTCGTAGAGCATGAGCAAGCTCTGGTCCCATGTCGATATCAGAATGGGCATCAAGATAAACCCCGAGGGCATCGCGTGTTTCACGCTCGATACGCGTGGTGCTATCCATGGATGACATTCCAGGTTTGTGTTGTGTTTGGTAAGGCGAGAGCTTGGTGGCGTCTATTGGTGCTTCTGCGTTCAGGTCTGGATCGATGGCGTCGACATCGATGATCTCGACGATGTCTGGTATAGCTTTTGAACGCCTTCTGGGAGTATTTCGTGAGATGCTCAAGTGCTCCCTTCCCATAGGTCTCTCTACAGTGCTCTGGTTGCTGGTCGTTTGTGGGAGGAGGCTCTGGTCGTGTCGAGCCCCTTGCTCGGATAGGTGTGGTGAGTCACGTGTCAGACCTTCCTTCCTGCTCTTGATACCACCAAGGTTTGAGGGCGTGTGTGCTGGACTGTGTTTGTTATGTATCTCTGATAGGACAGGGATTCTACTTCCAGCTTGATTGTAGCCCGAGAAAAGTGAAGACGGATTCCTCATCGACACGTCAGAGTCCCACTGTGCCAGCGAGGGGGCGAAGATATCGGGTGTTGGAACGCGATTGGCCGCCGGAAAAGCTGTCGGCAATCTCGATTGCGATGGGGGAAAGTTCTCCTTGTTGCTTGACGCAGAAGGATGATACATCGCAGTCGCATGGGTTTTGCTATGGTGAGTAACAACAGGTTTGCCCGGTGATGGTCTATTCTGCGCATTCCGTAGAGCTGCATTAAGATTTGAGTATGACGACTTGCGGGCAAGTGCAGCAGCAGAGGGCGGACCAGTAAGTGAGAGACTTCCCATTTTGGGCGGACAATACATGTGAGGGGCAGGTGGGCGACCACTGTAGCCTCCACTCTGAGTTTCGGGGCCTTGCGCCAAGTCTTGATGTCTCTTCGGCGGACTGATGGCTTGGATAATTTGTCCTAGTTGGTCGTCACGGAGCGTTAGAACGACCTGCTTATCCCGGTCTTTCCTTGAACGTTGGCCAGCCCAGTTCGGCTTCGCACTCGCTTGAAATTTCAGTGGTGGATTTCTCCAGGCTGGAGGTCTGGATGCGTGTGACGGGCCGAAAATTCCGTCACCCAGGAGGGCATCGCCAGTTGAATTGGACGTGCTTCGATGCGTAGACCAGGAGTCTAGACTGATACTGTCATGATTATCACGAAACGAGCCGAAAGAGTCGTCCCATATGTCAGCGCGGCTGTGACCTCTAGCGCCAAGGGGTGGCTTCGGAAAGTGCGAGTGCGCTGGTGGTTGTGTCCTTGGTCTTTGGAACGGTTCACTGTTGCGAGACCGCATAAAGGAAGACATGGACATGGAAGCAGGCTTGTGTGGCGAGTTGATTTTGTCGGCGTTGGACATACCCTGCGTCCTTGCTAATTTTGGGGATGGCACTGTGCTGTTTGGAGACGCATGGTCACTGTGAACACCTGAGAGGTACAAGGGATTTCGTATCGGCCACGATATACCCGCTTGTTCTAGTACATCTAGTCTGCGTTAGAGTTCATGCAAGAAGCATCGTTCGCGTAGCTCACCTTTGGGCGCGTGCTGAAAAGAGAAGCAAACTATTTCATTGCTCGATTCCAGATCCGACTCGCCAAGACTGCCGCCTGTACTAATCAGCTGCTCTGAAAGCACGATGTTGATTCTGCCGCGCGGGTCTCGGGATTCCCATGTAGGTTGCATCAAGGTTTGTTGGGCAAAGGGTGGAAATCCAAGAGGGGTCTTGTGTTGGCTTGTGGGGTGGTCGGTAGAGGTATGAGCTCGCTTCTCGTGCGCTACTGTGGCTTTAGTACCACACACAGAACAGATGTAGCAGTGAGGGAAGTCTCACCGATCTCCTGGGGCCATTTGGACGGTATGTCGAAGCATCCGCGGCTGCACAGAGTCAGCACCAGATTGCATTGGTTCTGATAGACGGCGCGTAGCTCACAAGACTCTGGCACCATCTACGATGACCTGGATCATGTACATTATCTTCTGATGTGCTTTTCGTCGAGACTCGATAACTGCCGATGGCTTGGCCGCGGGAGCCCATGAGTGGATTGAGATACGAAAGGGCGTTGTTGGAGGGAGAGAGCTGATGTAGCATGCCAACGTCGGTGGCTGATGGAGTCCTGCAATTGCGTCAGCTTAGAAAAAGGCTATCTACTGGTTGGAGGAAGTGAGAGTGCTTACTAGTGTCTGAAGCATGGTAGCATGCAGTCTTGAACTCTTGAATCGGAACAGGTGAGTCCTTTGGGAACAGTATGACGTCCCAGAAGTCGTAACGCATTGTAGCGCGCCTATCGTTCGCCTTGGTCCAACGGTGCAAAAGCAAGCAGAAATGCCTGGCCTGGCTGTTGAAGAAAGGAAGAGAGTGTTCGAGGTCGAAAGATGGCAGGTAGAGAGAGGTAGTCGCCCAGCTTTCTTTACGAGGAAGCCACAACTGCAGCAACCGAGGCATCACACCGGCATGGATTTGCGAGTCGAATTCGAAAAACAGCTCCAAGTACTACATCAGTTGAGCACAAATTAGAACATGTCGTAGGACAATAAGCGGCTGCCTTCTTTAATCAGTCTGGTGCAGTGAGCGAGACCACTCGAGGTAACGCCAAGTCAAAGAACAAGCTCTTGAAGAATAAGACAAGACACCGTCGCCTCCATGTATTCAGAACTTTTACCTATCATATGCCATGTAACTATCTCCTAACTTATATGCCATTACCTATAGATGCGCATGAAGGATGCCATACTCGCCAGACGCCACGCTAAATGGCAATTCCCAATCTTCAAAGATCTTGCGCCGTAGTATAATGAGCATCCATAACCCACGCTATGCAGGAAGAAACCAGACATCAGTAGCTGCGATGGGCGGCAAGGAAGAGACGAGCATTTAGGAAGGGAGTTGGTTCGCAAAGGGGCCATTGTCGTAGGCGCCGGGCGCTCCGTTGCCGTTCGAGCGACCTGCTCCCGGGCTCATGGTGCCGCTGTACTGAGGAGAGCCGAGGCCGTTGAGGTTCGCGCCACCACCGTTCTGGAAGCCACCGGGGCTATTGGCGAGGAATGGAGAAGCAGATGGCTGCTGTTGGTATGGAAGGTTGCTGTAGGGATATCGTTAGCGTGTGATTCAGAAAAAGTGTTGTGTGACTGTGATGAAGTGACAGGCAAGAACAGACGCCCAACAGACAAGATGTGCGACCAGCAACATGAACTAGCAGCCAGCCAATAATACCAGCAAGTATGCAGACAAGCACGCACAAAAAAAAAGAACACGCAAAGTACGAAATTGCCATGTGATTGGAATGATAGCCAATCTCAGATCGTGGTAGCGCACATTCATCGATAAAGGAAAGGAAAGTAGCATCCGACCATGCAAGACTCACTAAGCTACATGTCCCATGCTCCCGAGAAGGAGAGTAGCCCAGTTACGAAAGAAAACCCACGGGCAGAAAGATGACCTGTTATACAAAGACTCCCTTGTAGGGCTCTCGAGCAGAAATGGTGTCGTGAGATGGTAGCGCGAGAGAACTTTTGAGAACCGCCCAGGTATAGAAAGAAACCAAATCGCTTGAGAGTCGTGATGGCGAGTCATGAAAGGGTGTCATTGCAGAAGCCAACGATATGAACCAGGGGGATGAGGCGCCGTGCAAGTAGGAGAGAGGAAAAGAATGCGCTTACTAGAAGACAGTTAGCTTTGGTCGAGGTAGAGAGGCATATTTCCTACCTTCATGGGAGCGTAGCCGCCGCCAAAGTGCTGCGGTGGCATGCCCATGCCAGGCCCGTAGACTGGCGGAGGGGGTGCAGGACGGTAAGGAGTACCGGCTGGGCCGGAGTTGTTCTGGGAACGTCCCCAGCTAAGACGAACGCGCGAGTTACCGATGGGGTAGCCTTGCATCTGGTTGATGGCCATCTCCGCTGCGTGACGCTGCACGAACTGGACGAAGCCGCATCCCTTGCCTGGTGGGATCTTGACATAGGTGATCTCACCGAAGCCCTGGAAGAAAGAGCGGAGCTCGTCCTCGGTGACGTAGCCGGACAGGCCACCGACGAAAACGGTCGTATTATTAGGGTCGGTGAACTGGTTCATGGGCTGGGGCGCGCCGTAGTAGCCCATCGGGGGAGCGCCCATGGAGTACATGCCCATGCCAGGGCCGCCGGGACCGCCTTGCTGCATGCCCATGCCACCGGGGCCGCCAGGACCGCCACTCTTGTTCTTGGGGGTTGCGGTGCTGATGCGCATGGGCCTGTTGCCGCAGTAGACGCCTTGCATGTCGGTGAGGGCCTTCTGCTGGTCCGCCTCGTCTGCGAAGCGGACAAAGCCATAGCCGCGCGACATTCCGGAGATGGGATCGGACATGATCTTGGCTGACTTGGTCGATCGGTACTTGTTCTGGAACAGCTGGACGAGCACGAATTCGGTGACCTCGGGGCCCAGGTCGCCCACGAAGATGCTGTACTCGGGACCACGCTCGTCGCGGCTGTTTCTGCGCATTAGCTGCCAGTCATGGGCATATCAAGTGTCGTGTAGCACTCACCTCCTGTCAGCTAGACCGCCACCACTAGCCCAGTTCAGCTTGAAGGGGCGGTTGGAGTTGGGAATGAGTTGGCCATTGAGAGAGAGCGCTTTGGCTGCAGCCTCGGGGGTAGAGAAATCAACGAAGCAATATCCCGCGTTACTGCTGTCTGGTAGTTAGCGAATTCCTTGCTGGCATGTGATTCGCCCGCTTACCCGGAGAACTTGTCGCGGATCATCTTAACGTTGACCGTCTCGCCCATGTTGTACCAAATGCTGCGCACGAAGTTCTCGTCGATCCAGGGCTCAAGCTCGCCCATCCTGCGCCAGTTAGCGTTGAAGTCCTTGCGCAGGCGCCAATCGTGTGGCATTGAATGTTTGCGCGCGTGCCGAAGCAGCGATGCGCAAACGAGGTGTGCGGACAGACTCACCAGAGAGTTGTCTTGCCGGCGCTGGGCTGGCCGTCGCCTCCAGCGCTGCCTGGCGGGCCCATGTTGCCCTGGGGTGGGAAGCCGTTGCCTGAGGGGTCCATCTGCTGGCCAAGGTCAGGCTGCGAGCCGCTCTGGTTGGGCTGCTCGCCAGCAGGCGGGCCCTGCATCTGGTCGTACTGAGAGAAGCTCATGGCTGTGGTGGCTCAAGATCACGCGGGGTAATGATCGGGTGGGCGGCTAGAGAGGGCGTGTAAAGGTGTCGCGGACTAAATATGATGGGCAATCGAAGTCGTGCTTATATCTGTGTGCGAGAATATGCTTGTCAGTGTCGTGAATAGCGCACAATAGCACAGGCAGTCGGGGTGATAGGCAGCGGGGAAGGCACCAAGCGTGATGTGTCGTTCACTAGGGCAGGCGCGACTTACCGTCGCAAAGCCGCAATCTCTCGTTCAAGGGAAAGCGTGATATACTCGGAAGCGCAAGACAGCTAGGGAACAGTCGAACTGCGACAGTGAAACACCTCGAAGCACCGAAGGACTGGAAGTGGGTTGAGGACGAGAACTGCGAAAGATTGACCTGGGGAAGTTAGCACTTGGCAGCTAAGTGAGGTTTCACGGATCAGTCATGCTGTTCCACGAGGCGCACCATGGCGAGCGTGCGTTTGCTTCGGTGAGAGGAGGTCTGTGCCGACGACGTCATCCCAGGCAGGAGCACCTCAACACCAGCGCGGTGCGTCGCGATGTATCGCGGTCGTGCATGGCGGCGACGGCAGCGCGGATGCGCACTCTGCACAGCTCCATGCACTGCCTTGCACGCAACGTGCGTCACCTGGCACACCACCCGCCAAGGACGGCGAGAAAAAAATTCGCACACATACCTGGACCAACAATCAACTCCGATATTCGAACAGAAGACGCGACCGAATGATAAAGACACAACCAGGCAAGAGACGGGTATGCGAAGTGCGCAAGATATAGATGGTGGTCTGCGGCGGGGTCAGTGAAAAGAAGCGAGTGATCGCTGGGAGACGTTCAGGCCTGGGATCCCACACTAATCAGTTTGGTATTGGTTCGGGGATAATGCTGCTAAACGGGCTCGGCTGACTCTTGTATGGAGATCTCGATACAGGTACAGATGCTGCACTCTTCCTCTAACCCTAACCTCGCGTCCACTTTCTCGACCAGGCTTTGCATTCGGGTCGCATCTGTGGTCCTCATGTCCGCCGGGTATTAATAGAGGCACACCCCCGGCCTTCGCAGATGTGACTTGCATATACCGTTCTGAGGTCTCTGTTTCGGGCCAACTACATGCCCCACTCGCACCAGTGTGCTAGATCTCATCATTGCGTACATTCCATTTCCCAGAATGTGTCGACGCCATCCGTTGACTGGTCCGACCATGCAATGGCCCAGTGTGAACTTAAAGCGACGGCGCAATATTCAAAACTTTCTCAACCAACAGCTAAGGTTCCGATCGCCCTTATTGGGTTGGGCTGCATGCGGCTAGGCGAAGCAACCGTTGGCCGTGCTGAGCCGGAGCCGGAAATCGTCACTCTCTGCTTGCAACAAAGAATGCATCAGTGTCCTCATTCTCTTCCCCTGCAAATGCGTTTCCAACTAAAGATTCTCATTGAAAAAATGTATCCGTGGTATACATGGTAAACTCTGCTCATTTCTCACGCCTCCGTCGGGATTCCGCTCGCCGCTTTAGCTTCGCCGAACGAGTCCCGTCCCTCCGCAAAGACCTTGTCGAAGTCGTACTCAAACCACCTGATATCTGGGTTCAGTCCCGCAAACTTCCACTCGCCATCGACCTTCTTGTACCAGTGCATGTTGAAGCTGTGAGCATGGCCCTTGACTAACACCTTGGACATGGTCTCGTCGGTGTATCTCTGGTGAGGCACACGCAGCTGGTGGTAGCCGATCATCTCGTCGTCTGAGACCTTTTCCCACCTCGTGCCGCCAATGAAGTGCTGGGTCTTGAGAAGGGGGTTGCCGAGCACTGCGGGGTCTGAAGCCATTGCGACGAACTCTTCCGCTGGCATAGCCTCCCAAATCTTGTTCAAGAACGATCGGTAATCAATCCTCAGTGTAGGTGCTATGCATTTGCGAAGACGGTCCCAGTCCTAGATAATGTGAGATGCTGGTTTGTGGTTGGTTGAGGCTAACGGACCTTGCTATCGTAGCTATCAGCCCACTCATAGCATGCTGACTGGCATCCCATAACATCTGTACTTGTTAGTCAGGCCCGAAAGGCTTGGTGGATGACCAACCATCAAATGTAGGCTTCATCTTCTGCGCAGACATGTCGGATTTGTTGTGTGATTATGTGGTAAAGGGTGTATTTTGAACCTCTGACAGACCATGCCGTCTTGCTGTGATCTTTATATCGAACCTACATGCAGGAGAACCCTTCGGTGTATCAACCATTCACTGCGAGGGTCTCGGGTCCCCGCCCCGCAGCGAACGGCCCCAAGGCTCGACACACTCGTCCGGCAGGCACAAACGGGGCCGATGCCATTCATAGATACATGTTTCGCATTTTCCGATTTGTTTGTACACTGAAGTTACGCGTCACGGATGGAAACGCTGGGGTAAATGTTCTTGTCAGGCAGGGACTATGCACAGGCCGCGAGGAGCTCGTTCCGGAGGCGAGCCGCAACAACAGATCCCCGCACCATCACCGTTCTGTTTTGGCCTCGAAACATCCACATCGATACTAATAATATAACCTTAGCGTTCGCCACAGGCTTGGAAATCATGGACTCCTATTCTAGTATTTGCGCTGAATATTTAGCACAAGTGATTACATGATGTCGACCGTGTCACGCGACTGTATTCATCACTTGCAATTCCTCTGACCGCCGAGTTGAAAGAGCTTGGAGATTGTGCAGCATGTTCGCTTTATCAATGCTTGCTTCAGCTGCTGTGTCACGATAGCATTCTCTGGCATGTCTTCATATCCATCCACATCAGGCAGCGTCAGAATTCATGCCTGCTCTGCACTTACACGATATGAGCTGATGGTCTAGAGGTATGCTTATTGTACCTTTTCATAGGAGCCTGAATGTATACACAGGTAAAAGATACTCTGCTCTATCCGATAGAAATCTTTGATTATACCCAGGCTACTTCTTTACTTCTTCCTGTGAGGAAATGACGGACGAGAATCACGCCGGCGCCTGGTATCCAGGTCTTTCTGAACCCACGCTGAAAATGTCCCGTATGCTGACCTCTGTGAGGTTCCATTTCTGCCACATCCTCCGACAACCACCAGACGGTGTAATAATTCGTACCTCTTCGCAAAAGTAGCTACCACTTGGCGTTATGGCGATTGCTGAGGCTGTGTATCTTCCAAGCTTTTTCCAGTGCTTTTGGATATTATAACAAGCCTAGGGATGCCTCTCGGCTGGAAAATTACACATCGCCGCGTATGCTACGTTTGCTACGTATGTGCCTTGACAGTCCCGGGCGCAGGAAGTCAAGAGCATGACCTTCCTTGGAGCGACTGTGACTAATGCCCAGATTCAACACTGCCATGCGCTTTCACTTCGTAGGCCCCGATTGCGCTAAAAGCTTGGCACAAACGAGCGCAATATTTTGATCATCTTGAGCCAATCTCTACAAAATGTTTACCTACCTTGCGACTAATTGCCAACTCCCGAGTTGAAGTGGTGACACCGAACATGACGTCCCAGGCCGCTACACCGTCGACATCGTCAACATCTCTGAGAGCCAAGAAGCCCTCCGAGTTTCTCATATCCACAAGTTCAGATCTTTCTCGATGCTCTGGACCCGCGTTACAAGCACCTAGGTAAAATTTCCACTCGAGCAATGCGCCATGTCAGGATACTAACGGCAACTCATAGCACTTGCTATGACATGAACGACATGGCAAAAATATACGTCTTTGAAGACACTTTAAAAGAATGACGTTCAAAATGCCCATGAGATTCCTCGCGGTCTACTCAGGTGGCACTCTTCGTACTTTGCCGCAGCGCTTGATCCGGACAGCGACATTGGCAGCAAGAACGGAGAGCTAAGACTAAATGAGGACCACGCCGTCTTCGGGGCATTTTTATGCTGGATCTGGACAGGAAGATTGAAGGATATACCAGAGAGCCTTGAAGATGCATCAGCGCCCGACTTCTATCTTTCATCCATGCTTCTATGCAAGATATGGGTCTTCGGCGACATGCGCGGAGTGCCTGGTCTTTGCAACGCCGCCATCGACATGTTGCATGAGAGAATTACAGCGAAGTGGAGCATAACAATACCAGTGATTTCATGGATATACGAGAACACCAGGCCCGGTGCTGCCTTGCGGGGATTCATGGTCGACACTTGTATGCTCCTCAAAGGCCCCTCATTCTGGCAACAACTGGGTGACGAGTCAAAGGCGATCCCTGTTCAGTTCGTACTAGATGCTCTCCCAGCCCTAATATCCAGAGGTCAGACTGCTGAGCCGATCAAGAGGGCAGCATGGACCGTACTGGATCGATGTCAATGGCACGACCACTCTGGTCCTGGTGGCAAGCTACGAATGGAATCGCGAGAGTAAGACCTGTTGAAAGAACACACCTACGACAAACACGCGTTCAGACCAAATGAACGAATCGGAAGAGTGGGGGAAAAGCACGGAATTTGGCGGAGTACAACATCAGCGATGATAGCATACAGCGATGATAGCATACGGGAATCGCTCAGTGCGAAAAAAAAAGTGTTCAGGCATAACGGCTTACAAGGAGAACATGCTAAATAAACTCACCACTCCTATGAAGGCGCAATATAATACGGCCCTTCACCCCTAACAATGTAAATCTGACCAATGAGCACCGTCAATCCAACCACCATCGTGATAGCAATAATGGGCAAATTGACACGCGCAAACTCCAGTCCACCAACGCGAATATGCTTACGTGCAAGAATATCGCGCCACAGCATACCCGCCAGCGACGCGCTGAACGCCAAGCTGAAAGCCCCGTAGTTAACACCGATGGCCATGCTGTACACCGTGCCCCAGAACGTGCGATCCGAGATTGGAATGCCGTTTTGTTTGTGGATTTCTTGCCATGCTTGGATAACGCGGGAGATCAGGATCGTGGTGCCGATGTTCGTACCGGCGAACTGTTTATATGTGTTAGCAAAAATTCCAGGGAAGGTAGCATGTGAGGGAACTTACGTTGCAAAGGATGACAGACACGAAGCCCATGCCTCCGACTGCGCCCACTGTTCCGGTCTTCTCGACCCAGTGATCCCAGCCGTAAGCGAAGACGGGAACCCAGCCTTTGGTGACGAGGGCTTGCACGAGGACGAACATGCAGAATGCGAACGGTACGAGAGGTAGTGGTAAGTGATGGAAGACGGTCATTGTGGTGGGGAAAGTCTCTTGCGCAGACATGTACGAATGACGAACGAGAGAGACAAGCGTGGTCCGTTGTTTTGCTTGAGGCGCCTTTCCTTCTTCAGGAGGAGAGACGCGGCTGTCGTCGAATGCCTGAGTCTTTTCTGGTGCTTGCGCGCTGGATGATGCTGCTCCAGAAGTAAAAGCTTTCTCATCAGAGGCGTAAGTAGAGTGCGGAGACTCGCTCATTTCGATGGCATCACCGTCGACTTGCGCGATGGATTTCCGTCTCACTTCAGCTCGCTCAGCCTGTGCCAGTTCAGCTCTTTGTCTACCCTCATGGGCGATTTGTCGCGTCTCTTTACGATTCAGCCATCCAAATGTCAAATCGACGCAGAACAGGACGACGGCTGCGGGCAAAGTGACCCAGAAGACCGGCCGAGGGTGGCCACTGCTGGACGTGGATGCGTTGAGGGCGAGAACAGTGATAAGCGTGACAGCCATGATGCACGCACCAATGATCGCGCCTTTCTTGTCGAGAAACGGATTTAAAATCTCTTCTAGTGACAATTTCTTGTCTTCCTCCTCGTCGGTATTGGGGTCCTTCTCGCGCTCTCGTTCATCGTTCTCACCCTTCGCATACGGAATATTGGGATTGACAGGCTTCTTGTTCTTCAGTTCCTCGGGTAGATCCTCCATTTTGATGGATGCTGGGATGAGCGACTCATCGTGGAAGATGATGTAAAGCAGGAATGGAAACAGGACAATTCCTGTGACGAGCACGGGAACGATTACGTTCGCTGTGTAGTTGATGAATCTGACGCCAAAAGCTCCAGCTAGGACCAGATTTGTGGGGTTCGAGGACACCAGGATAGTGGAGGCAATGTTTGCGACAGCGAACTGAGTGTAAATCCAAGCCCGAGGATGTTTGATGTTGCTGGACACGCGCGTCATGTACGACAGGAAGGCGGTACCGGATAGAATGATAGGATCATTGCCAATGAACGCGGTAAGACTGAAAAAGAAGGCGTATAGGTAGAAGTAAAGTCTGTGTCCGACCTTACCTCCTTTCTGCAGGACCTTGAATGCAAGCCATCTAATCAAGCCCGATGCATCGACTGAAATCGCAATATAAGCCAGTGAGAGGAAGAAAAGCATGATGTCGTAAGGTTCAATGCCTCTTGCACCGATGGTACCATCGTGGACTTCTTGTCTTCCGATGGCTGAGATGGCCAAAAGGAACAGATCAGCAATCAAAGGAGCTGTGATGAAGTCCATAGGGAATCTAAATTTCACAAAAGCGCCTGCTTTTCCATTTTGGGTTCGGGTGGGATGTTGCGGTGGTTCAATGATCCGGAGTGCACTGAAGGTATTGAGAATACCAGTCCAGATAAGGCGAGGTAAGAAGATGGGAATGTGAAAAGGAAAGAGCACATTAATGTCTGTTGTGGGTGGTCAGACACAGTTTCTGCTGATATGCTTATGGCTTACTGGTTAGGACAAAGACGATGAGAGTCACGATCGATCGCCATTCTCTAATCTTGCCGGTATCGAGGTCCTGCACTTCCGTATCGGCTTCAGCAGCACGCGAGAGCAGCGAGGGTATCATCTTTGCAAAAGCTGTGAATTGTAAGAAGCAGCGACGAACATGTCAGTAAAATACTTCACCTCCTTGGGTCGTGCACTGTGCGCCCGTTGGGCGATAGAATAGTTGCGCTTGAGGCACGTGCTGATGGTTGGGCAGGCGGTCTGCCAAGGTCGTTGCTTGGTTGATGCTTAAATGCACGTCACTCCCAAGCTACTCGGTCGAGCTTCGGATGCATTCGAAACGCCGCTTCGCCTGGTCATGCTCCCGTAGGCATGTGAGGCTCTTGTATAAGTTCTCGGTCGCTGAAAAGCTAGGCACGCCGCAGCCATGGCGGCCAAGGATGATATTGGCGCTCTCGGCTCACCCAACTAGGACACGCGGAGGTCATTCCCGCGACTCAGCCTCAATGTCCGTCAGACTAAGGACAGGCGGTTGATGAGATGTTTCCACCGGTGAACAGTTGTAGTCAGCGACGGTGCTCGCCTGGACGCCTCACTCGTCGCGACTTGCATACATCTCCTACGCGCGCCTCTCGTTACCACACCCAAACTACAGCGCAATGAGTTTCATTGTCGCTAAAGTGGCCGCGTCAGAAGCACCGAATAGTCATGCCGGCTATTGCACCGCTACTTGAGCTTTCTGCGCGTAGCGCAACAAATAGCACGTCACCAGCTCCTCTTCAAGTCGTATGCGCGTTCCCTGTTTCTGGTCAGTACGGGGCTGGAAGCCGAATCGTAAGTCCAAACCACGAAACGCACGATCCTAACACGCAAAGCTTACAAACGGCTACAGTTGTACTATGTTCTAGTCATCACGTGTATCTTTGCGCGTAAAGCAGAGTGGCTAAGAGGAGCGTTGTTGGCGGCTGCGCTCGTTCTGCCCAGTGTTGCTGCAATACACGCCATCGTGCTTGCCAGCACGCACGTGAATGGTTAGTTCCACCAACACCACCAAGAGATCCAAGAATCTCACCCAGGATCTAACCACCACAAATTCTAGGCGCGGTTGACATGGACATCTACGGAGCCTTTCAATTTTGCTCAATCGCAATCCTGGCGGCGCCACTTACCGTTCGCTTATCGAAAACCTATTTCTACGACCCTGGACGCAATGTCATCTTCCTATGGACTATACTTATACTCGCCGGACTCATCGCTCTTTGTGTCGAGTTTTATAGGGCGACACCAATTGATTGTACTTCTGCGCAAGCCGGCGTCCCGAATCTCAGTAAGAAGAATTTTCCATACGGAAATACAACATGCGACTTGAGATGCAGCGACAAAGACGGGCCGTTTTCTCCTTTGCGTGGGGGAGCTGCAAGTGAAATATATGTCGTACCTGCTCCGACTAGATTGAGCTTCAATACAGGAATGCTTCTAGCCGCAGGATTTTGTATACCGGTACGTACCCAGCCATGCCGCTATATAGTTTGCAGATTCGTTTCACGAATTGTATGTATCACGATCGCTGACCTGAACCTACTTGGGCAGGCAATTCTAAGTCTGATATTTACTTGGGACAAGATCCTCGAGATTAATTGGAAGAGGCGACGCGAAGCCGAGGAAAACCTGGATGAGCCTGTCGAAGGTGCCAATGTCACTGTACGTGAGCTTAAGGGGATTAACAGCGTCGTACGGATGTTCTTAAGCGTCGTCGAGATTCCGCTTTTTGGTGGAGCTGTCATTGCCATTTTGAGCTTCGGCGAAGCCAACTTCTTCAGTCAGCAGGTTGCATATCAGACTGAGCCCATGGCAGCAGTTGGTATGATCTATATCAAATCCACCACGTCTACCACGCTAACATTGGATAGGTCAGTGGGCACCTATTGCAGGTACAGTAATTGCGGCCTTGGGCTCACTGTATCTTCTATGGTACAAGGGAGAGAAGGATTTGCAAGAAGAGCACACAACTTTACCCCATACTTCTGATTATCTCCAGCATGGGTCAGGTAGTGACCGCGAAATGTCCCCGAGTCGATTTCCCGATGAGCCCCGTTCGCCTGGAGCGGTATCAGAGGGGCTTGGGCTCGGTATACGAACAACGACGTCCAATGATATCGGGCGGATTCCCACAATAACAGAACCTGCCGTTGAGCGAAGTGCGACAGCAGGTACACAACACCGGAATGGCGAAGACGATCCATCAGCTGGCAGGCCACGAGTACGCCAATGGTTCACATCCGCCGCGAACTATCTCGGCAATGCGGCTCACCACAAGCTCGATGTTTCGGATTACAAAGACCAAAAGGCACATGCATTCCCAGAGATACCAGGCGAGCCTTTGCGCAACGCCGCGATCGGACGTATCAGCGAACAGTATACTGTCTTACGTGCGGAAAGATCAAGAGCGGAAAGTACATATGCGCCTAGTATCGCTTCCAACTCTGGCCTCGAGGGCGGTTCGACACCACCAACTCATGCATCTCCGCGACCGGACATAAGTCCGTCCCGAAAACCAAAGAGAAAGAACACTCTCGAAGTTCCTACCCCGGTCCACATTCATCGCAGGACTGAGAGTCATTGAGCCGATATGTTGTATGAGGTAGAAACTATGTACGCAATACTTTGTACATGGCCCGGGCGACTTTGTGGGCGCTCTACATGCCGAACCAAGCCTCGGAAACTGTCAGATGCGACGGAACAGAATGCCCGACTCCTACGGCCCAGATCCCCTGGACATTTGGACCGAAGTCATCCGTCCTATAGTTCTTTTCTGGTGTGTCCTTTTGCGATTTTGTCGGGGTCGTAGATACGCCGAAAACATTGCTCCATTGCTTCAATGTTTCGTCGTAGTTCCTGGGTGATAGTGTTGAGTCAACACTCCCGTGCCAGAATTGCATCCGCGGTCTCGTCCCGTTATACCCGGCATCCATGCCTCGTACTACGTCTCCCCAGTGCTGCGCGGTCGAGATAGATTGTCCGCCTGAGCAGGTATTATTCCAGGCAGCTGATGCCCCAGAGGAAGACACAAAGCAGCCTGCCGGAACGCCGGAGTATAGCGACACAGCAGAGATGAGTTCCGGATACGTCGCTGCCAGGACATTCGACATCATGCCTAAGACATTAGAGCAGCTCTGCTACATGGCTTCGGAAATACTCACCGCCCGATGATCCACCTGTAACAAAGACCTTCTTTGAATCAATCTTGTACTTGTCGACTGCATACACAATCATGTTTGCAATCGCATTAGAGTCGCCACCACCATTGTGAGAGAGCGAAGACCTGCTAGATACATCCCAGCACTCCGTGGTCGAACTCGGCCACACTGTTACGTAGCCCTTTGCATCCGAACCTTGCTTCCATGGGATCTTGCTGTTCTGGAAGTACTTTTGCGCGGATGATTGGCATGAGTGTATTGCTACTACCAAAGCATCGCTCTTCACTTGATCGGGCACATACACCCACCTGCGATTACTGTCAGCATCGATCTCAAAACATGATATGTACCACGAACATCCCAGGTTTGGCCCGCGCACTGCCGCCATAATTTGTGACTTGCGTCAACTGGGCAGCGAATGAAGTTGAGACCAGGGCCAAAACGGGAAGAAAGACTTGAAGATGCATAGCGATAGAAGTCTATGGAGTAGATATAAAGGTCGTATCACACGCATAGCGTACTTATACATTCAACTTCTCCACATACGAGTAGTGGGGTCTCCGGTCATCCTCGTACCTCATGCACATATACCTGTACGGCCATTGGCAATCTATGTTCTGATGAATTACGCTTTGTCCGTATCCAAGGACGCGTTCGTTCCACGATCAAGCATCGTCATAAGCTTTTCACATATTTACCCGTATATGAAGTAACCCCTGCTTCCCCACGGTTTGATCGCCGACACAGCAACATCAACTGCCGGTTCATAGTGATGTGCTTGCGTTGAATGGCGGGCTCGTTTCACGGAAGCAAAGTGCTCATATCAGAGCGAAAAGAAGCTTCGCGTCAGGCGCGCGCAGTCTAGATGAAAAGCTTCGATGCCGCAACCTTAATAAGCGCATCATCAACCCAGCTACTTGCCAGTTGCGATTTGCTACATAGCGTAGTCTGCATATGTCATACTGATTCTCTTTGAGGGGAATTTTGTCAGGGCTCATCGTCCACATTGCTTCTATGTGTCCGGTGTCTGTTCCGGATCTTGCTCGCTTACAATAGCAGTGCGACTGATCTAGCAATCGCTTCACATATCCAAGACCTAGTCAGTAGAGAGCTCAGCTTCTTCGCACGGTAGGTACAGTTTAACTCACGATGTGGCAAACTGTTGTCACCATCATTGGCATTGCCGCGCACTGCGTCTCCGCCCACGGTGGCGCACTGAACTACACTGTCGGGGACACATGGTATCCAGGGTGCGAATTATCTCTAACTACCTCAATATACGTGGTCTGACCTATAACACCAGCTACGACCCCTTCGGCGACCAAACGACACAAGACTCCGCACCATGGATGGTCCAACGCAAGTGGATCACCAACAACCCCATCTTCGAGACCAACAACATCTCCCTCTCGTGCAACACGCCGGGCACACCTGCGCGCGCATACATCCCGATCACAGCAGGTCAGAATATCACCGCGGTCTACGGGTACTGGGTCCACACCGTCGGTCCCATGATCGTCTGGCTCGCGTACTGCGCCAACGAAGCCAATGACTGCCATGTGTTCGACAGCTCCATAGCCGACTGGTTCAAGATCGGCCAAAGAGGGCTGTTGGAAGGTACCATTGAGGAAGGAACGTGGTTTCAGAAGTCGTTTAGTATGTGGGATGGCAGTCCGAGTTTGTGGCCCGAGACTGTTCCGAAGAACTTGAGGCCGGGGAGGTATCTTGTCCGCCATGAGATCATTAGTTTGCATAGTTCGAATAAGCCGCAGTTTTATCCGGAGTGTGCGCATTTGGATATTAGTGGGAGTGGGCGGGAGTTTCCGGCGGAGGAGTATATGGCGAAGATTCCGGGGGTGTGGAGTATGGATCGTGAGTTTGTCGATGTCTACGGTGGGAGTTAGTAACTGATCAGAGATAGAACCAGAGATCAATATTGATGTATACTCGCCGGAGGTGGCGAATCGAACAGTGAGTAGACAAGGATTGCATGTAGACATGGACGCTGACAAGTGATAGACATACAACATACCTGGACCACCCGTGTGGACTGGCACGTCATAGACTACTGTAGCTACTGGCAAGCACGTCCGAAAAAGAAAAGGATGTATGAACCTTGGTTCGAGAATATCCAGTGACGAGACAGCGCTACCTAATGTCCTTGCTGCATCGGGATCTGCTCTGGTCAGAATGCTTGCCTCGCTGCCATCATGTGGTAACCTGTAATACAGATTTTCACAATGCATACGACCGAGGTCGTATCTACCATCAGGTCAAGTCGATAACCTCGGGTGTGTCCGACCTCTTTGGCGACTTTGAAGGCTTTGCTGGGCAAGCACCCGCTGTAGATCGCATTTCTAGACTCAGCCGTAGAGCTCGTTGTAAGTCCAACTCTTCCGACGCTGAAATATCACCTTGAGAGATCATTTCGCCCGACCGTTTATTGGACCTAGCTGGATAGTTTCGAATGAAGAGCGGGCCATTGTCGTCTATATTTCCTAGTTGAAAAGTGCCTCTAGCAGGTTGCGGAGCTGTCGATTGACGAGCAAGCGAGCGGGACATGCTCGGGCTATCGCTAGTTACTAATTCAGTTGGGCTTTGAGCCATACGCGATCTCTTTGCTGCGCTACTAAGCTGCTCAGCGTGCGCATCGACACTACCATCATGAATTCGTTTCGACGTTCGAGATTCGTTTGCCGAAATAGGCAGTGCGAACAATGCCGGTGGCAGAACTTTTCGAAGTAGATACGTGGGTACCTCGCACTCGACTCGGTGGGTTGATTGGTACAAGTTGTCTTCGGCGACCATCAAGAATTTCCACTCTGTCCCACCAGGTATTGGCCTCAGCAGCTTTGTCAAACCCATGGGAGAGAATCCAATCTTTGTTTCTAGTTGTCTGGCGGTTATATCCTGGTTCTTTGCTGGCCTTGATCGAAGCAACTCGACGCCGTGGACGTGATCATGTGCCAACGATGGATCCCTGTCGGCGAGATCACGAGTGAGCAAAGTCGGTACCACCCATTCCATGTATAGTCGAGCCCAGATGTTGACTTTGAGGATGAAAAGATTAGTAACCTATTGATACATACAATTAGTGCGGCGACGAATTACATCTTTGGACTGTCACGCGGAGAAGCGCAGCCTCGTCTACGGAACGTTTGTAGTCTGGAAAGAGTTGCTTGTTACGAGCATGGAATGATTCTGGATGTACCCTGGGTTTGTTGTACTTCAGGAGGGTGGTAAAGCTTGGAAAGTTGGCAGGCACTGCGATTTGGATGTTCTTTCTTTTGAAGAAAGGCTTCAGTACGTGCTCTCTCCACCTATGACAGTCATCTTGATTCGTCGTTTTGCACAAACTTATACCAAGGCCAGACTTTGCTGCTTCGAGCGATGTCATAGCGCCGCATCGTGCAAGGCCTACAGGGTCGTAGTCTCCCCCGGCGAGCATGGCGAACAGCACGCAGCCTTCACGCTTCAAACGGTGCTTTTCGGCCAGAGTCGCAGCACGAACCACCCGCACCGTCTTAGCAGCCTTCTTGGTATGTCCTTTGTTCCTATTATCGTACCCTTCTTCCTTGGGAGTCCGATGGTCGCGAAGCCAAAGGGTACAGCCAAACATTAGGCAGTCCGAATCTTGCGACCACACGGCGTCGACTATGCGGAGCTTCTGTAGATTGCAGCATTCGGCCTCGGCCTCTCCGGGCGCATCTATGTATGGGATACCAAAGTGCGTCAAGGTTTCTTTCAAAAGCTCTCGGTCTTTTGGGCTGACTTTGCGACCGTGCTGGGTACGACCGCGTTTAGCAGGGACATCGGGACCATCGAAGACGAACACGAGTTCAATGTTCAGCGTCAAAAGGTTGCAGATTCTGTAGAACATTGCCTTCTCGACAGGATTGGCAGCTGGTACTTCTATGCAGAGATCAGTTGCGTACTTGCACTGGTCAGGGTTCTACGTACTGCGACGGATTGCAGCGACCTTTTCTGGAGATACATTGTTGAATCGCCAATCTGATTCATCGACGGCAATTTTCAGAGGTCTTTTGTTGTGCAGAAAGTGCTCTTCGGCAAGCTGGGCAATTGGAACAATGTCCTCACAGGCCTCGATTGTTTCTCTTAAGCTGTTACAGTCAGGATATGAGCAACCCTTGATTGATCTGCATCAGCGACTCACTCAGGAATACCCATTGTCGTGTTCCAGGCCTGGGTTTGGGATGGCGTCACCTAGCTCGCGCCTGTCCAGGTATGTAGGTAACCTCTCGCTCCTTTCAGGCACTTTGAGTGGATGTGTCCACAAATGCCTTCGAAATAATGTAGGAAGAATGTAAAGCAGCAGCGAACATCTACTGTGCGTGGTAGAAATGTCAATCGATCCAGGGTATGGCCTAGTATCAGCCCGGAAGAATGACCTGCGCTACAGAGTGTCGTGTGAAGGCGCGTCGTCGCTTGTTTAACGTCCCAAGGCTTTCGAATCATCAGCAGATACAAATAATTAGGGACATCAGAATATTTTGCAAAGGAAGAGAATGAAAGACACGTCCCGGCGGACTCCGGGATCTAACGCGACCCCGCGCCGTACCGCGTTTGGTCCACGGTTCTCTCCACGCGAATTCACGTGATCAGACTAGCGCGATCCGCAGCTTACGAAGACCCCTGACGTTTATGCTTCAACCCTTTTCAACATCACTCCTGCAATTATCTGATCTGTATAGCTGTTAAATCTGCGACGATAATTGTTGTCAATTCAAGATCGCCCCAAGATTCAACGGCAGAGAAATGATTGTACCGTTGCAAGGGCAAGAAGACCATGTCTCTAGGTACGATTTCACCGCCTTTCATCTACGAGTCCGGTTCGCACCGTAACATTATTTTACACACAATTCACAGTCCTCATTTTCAAACGATGCTTTGTAGCTTTTCTAGGAAATTGACATTCTCATGTTACACCACGTGTTCTTCTACCCAATCTTACTGCTTGTAGCGCTGCGGCACAAATAGATGCTTTAGAGCTTAGGTAAATTGGCAGACACAGGCTTGCAAGGACATCGATGCTCATCTGAAGCTAGGTTCCTCAAGCTTACACTGGAACGCGAGCAAGTACAGAAAGAGATAGTGACACTACGAAAGCAACACAAGGAAGCTTTGCTGCTTGATGCACAGAGGCGCTGCCGCATCTTCGCAACGAGATTTACCAACACTCTTCCCCTCGAATTACGCGAGATGGTCTATACAGAACTATGGTCCGGACAGAAACACCGCCATGATTATCCATCCGAAGGCGAAGGCATAACTGCCGACCCGAATTACAAATCCGATCCTCTAAAGTCAGTGAAGAGAGACAAGCTGTGGCGCTTAAACTGCAAAGGCGACTCATGTCAGTGCTTCAACTGGTGGGACCTCTCGTTGTGGTTACAGCCGAAGTGGGTCGGCCGAAATGTCGCCCAGGAGGCTGCAAAGGCATATTACAGGAGTTTATCTAAGCACACAGGCGGAATACGGCATGCCAACGAGAGACTCGATGTTATCTAGCTTAGCGATTACCTACTGAAAGATCACTTTCATCTGGGTATTCGACCAGCGGATCACGTGCGCTGCCTTGACCTGTTCGTCAGAGCTACGTACGCCAATGATCTCGCCAACGAATATTATGACGACGATGGATATGGCCCCCCCGCCCCGACCGAATATAATCTTGAACAGGATAAATATCGCGTTATCGCCATGGAATCTTTATTGACCTTGACACACTGGCTACGGCCCTTGTTGGACATTCGCGTAAAGAAGGATTTCCATCTAAGAATCTTTTTCAAAGACGGACGTGAGCATCAAAAGTTGGAAGCATTTCGCCCCGTTGTGCGGACATTCGTGGATGCCGGTGCTCACTTTGCCCTCTTATCGCCTGTTCCCGGTATGGATGAGCATCAGAACGTACTCAATTATTTCGAAATGGGCCTGCAAGATTGGCAGAACGAATGGGCAGCAATTGCCGAAGCTAGACGACTCGAGCAGTTAGAAAGCATGCGGAAAAGCCGTATGCGGTACGCCAATGAGGCGTTGGGTGATGACACAGAGATAGATATACTCATCTTGATGCTGAGGAGCCGCGTGCAAAATGATCGTGATGTGAGACGCCTGGTGGAGCTCGTCGCACGTGGCGAGGCGAATGAACGGCAGCTGTACGAATTCGGACATCTTATGAATGACCTCGAGTGGGACGCTTTTGCATCACACCTGCCAGACGATTACAGCGAAGGCACCGCTACAAGCTGAAAGGGTGTTGGAAGGTCCGTCAGCAGAATGTACAATCCGACGGGATACAGTCGAAAATACAAATACTTCATTCATACATGATCATCCACAGCCCTCTTCCTCCGCTTTCCATTCCATCAGCAAACTATCATCACCAAAATCGACAACACACAACACACGTTCAATCGCCAGCATCAAGCCATGCACATTGATTAAAAAAGCCAAAGAGACACTATCAGACTATCATCCCTACAGAAACACAGCCTTGGTGCTACTTCCAAACAGCAAGGGTATATACAAAACTTCACTACAAAAAAAAGCAACCACACAACAACACCACCACCAACGAGATCATGAGTAGGAGTAGTGAAAATAGTAGTTAGTCGGTTCTTCTTCTTCTTATCCAACCCCCTTCCAGCTTCGCAGCCTTAAACCTTCGCGTACCCACCACCCATAGCGAACTTCCCGCCCTGCATCTGCTGCTTGTACGCCTGCAGTTCAGCGGCTTCCTTCTGCTCGTCCGCAAGGAGTGCAGCGTGTTCACGCTTGCCCGCGCGGCGCTGCTTGATGCAACAGAAGGCCATGACGCAGAGCAGCACGACGAAAAGGCCGAGCGAGCCGGCGATGATGCCGATTTTGGCGCCTGTGGGGAGCGCGGCCCAGCGGTTCTTGACGCCGGAGGGGGATTGGATTTCTTTCAGGGCGGGGGAGGGGTCGGATGGGCCGCCACTGTGGTCATATTAGCATGGATGTTGATTGGGATGGGGGAAGAGTGGGAGAGGGACTCACGCAATGACCTTTACTTTCTCCCACGAGCCTGAGGCGTCCATGCCTTCCCACGAGTACTCCTTGGCCTCCGTGTAGTCCTTGGCGTAGACTTGCTGGACCATCATGGTGAACGGGCCGTCTTCGAAGTTGGTCTCGCCGCCCGCCCACTTTACAACACCGGGGTCGTTATTCTTGGTGTCGCCGCCCGCCCACATGCCCAGACGAATGTTCATCGGTGTCTGCGGGTAGTTCTTCCCACCAAGGGCCTGGGCAGGGACAAGTTCACGCACCATCTTGTCATCAAGCCACCACTGGATGCGATCCTTGGTCCAGTCGATAGTGTAGTTGTGGAACTCGTCTTGCGGGGGCGCCATGGGAAATTCCTTGCCACGGTCGTATGCGGATGTGTTGCCTTTGCCGAAGTAGTTGGTGAGCACGTGGGTGTTGTTGCTGCCGAGGAATTCCCAGTCGATTTCGTCGAGGGCTTCGGACTGCAGAATCGCGCTGGACACGATTCCCACGCCCCGGGCGAGCGCGCATGATAACTTCGAAGCGGCCAAAGAGCATGTAGAACTTGGATTGCACCATGGGGGAGTCCCCGGAGCGTTCAATAGTAAATGTCGCGCCGCCTTTCTCGTCCCAGTCTTGGGTGCCCTGATTCTGCTTCTTCCAGACTTTGTCGTTGGACGGGATGCCGGTCTTGTTGAAGAAGAATGTGGCGTTGCTGCCGAGAGCCTGCATGCTGGGACATCCTGTGCTGTTGAGCGGGTTGCAGTCGGTGTGTGTTTGTGCAAAGGCTGTGGCAGCCAATGCCGCCATGGCGGAGAGCGTGAATGACTTCATAGTTGCTAGTAAGGAATTGGTGTCGCTGTCGTGTATATCTTGGCCGTGGAGTCTCAATCAAAGGAGTGTGAGGTGACTTGGATGCGCAATACCAGACGCGCAGTCGTTAATGTGCAGCAAAAAGGAGTGACTGGGTGAATGAGCGTGGAGACTCTCGCGGAGAGAGAGAAAGAGGGAGCGGACTGCGGGCGCAAGGGAGCGTATGAAGCGTGTTTTGAGTAACTCCAGGTGAAGTAGAAGAGGGCTTGACCCTGCAATTAAGGAGGTCTCGTTAGTGCGGGAATGCTAGAGGCTGTCCGTAATTGGTTGAGCCACATTAAACTACAAACCGACGCGCCGATCGCCTGCGAATGGAAATGCACAACTGCTTTTGTGTGCTGCTGGCGATCTGCATCAGATCACCCGCAGTCGAATTACGGTGCTTACCATCAACCTCTTTTTCCAACGTCAGGCCCGCCGTTCGGTCGCATAAACGCCTGTAGGACGTTCCTCATCGACTGTGCCTCGAGGCTGCTGATATGCAGGAACCCGGGTGGCGTGCAGCCAAGGTGTACGTGAAACGCAGCGGCCTCGCGCGCTAGAGACGCCTAAATGACGGCCCCTTATCGATCACCGGGCACGCTGGGCTATACCATGTTCCTGTATAGAGCCGTTTGAACCGAGAGTCCCACTACCAAAAAGAGTTTTATCCGGCCTTGACTTCCATCGTGGGGTTGCTTGGAGCGCTCGCAACTTGGCGAGTCGTTATCATGGCACGGCTGTTTGATGAGTCGCCACGGCTCATTCCGGTCAGAGCTTCCGATACCACACTCGCTGGGCGATTGCCGCCTGTGCGACGGGCTCCTCGTACAGCGACGAACTGGCCGTGTCGATGCTAGTGAGCGATGAACTGCCGCAGCTCATGCGTTTGTTGTAGTCTTCCATGTCCAGCTCCACGATCTCCGCCGAGTCTTCGTCAGATTCGTCGCTGCTCTCCTCCGCCACGATGCTCGGTATTCCCCCCTCTTTAACGTCAAGATAGCTCCCCCATCTGAACAGCCTGCCGTCGAACGGATTTGCAGTCCCGCGCCATCGCCCAATGTACACGTTCAATGCGACCAGTATTCTCCTAATTTCTTCCCACTTGAATCCGTAGTATTTCTCCACCTTCCCCAACTGCCCAATCGCATACCTCCTCGCAATCCCCCAAAGCTTCTCATAAACCTTCCCCTCACACCCCTGCTGCACCGTCTCTTCATACAACACCTCCAGCCCCCTCAGAACCTCATGACAACTCTCCATGACCTGCCTCGGCGTCCTCGAAAACACCACTGCAATAGACTCATACCGCATCCCCGTCTGCAGCAACTGCACACAATGCAACACCTTCTCAATCCGACTAATCGACCCGGACTGCCGCACAAAATCCCTCTCTACGAGCCACTGCTTCAGCGCTCGCACTTCCTCATGCCTGACGAAATGTAAATACGGTAAAACGAACCGATGATCCTGCACCCCGCCCATCACCAACTCGGCCACACAGAACCCATTCGCACTCCCCCTGCGCACGATATCCGGGCGCGCGAGATACAACGACCGCGAGGACTCTGAGAGTTTCAAGCGCCGCAGCACCTCCTGTCTCGGCTGTGGTAATTGCTCTGGATTCGTGAGTATGGGCGTGGACACACACGTCACTGAAGAACCCGCGCTGCCCTCCTCCTTCCCATCCTCAGCAGCTAGAATCCTCCTCTCCACCTCCACCAACCTGCGATATGCCCCCCAAACCCTCATATCCCCCTCCCCACCCTCCTCTTCCCCACTATCTAACCCCCCCAACGCCCCTCTAACCTGCGCATCCATCTCCGTCGCACCCACAATCGCACTGCCACTCATACCCCCCAGCACGCTCAACAACGCCAGCCGTGCGCGCGTAAGCTCCCCTACCTCTTCCACCCCCCCCTCCCCCTCCCCCTCCGGCGACAAAAACGTAAGACGATACGCCGCGCGTATCGCCGGCGAGTATTCCTCCTCCTCGACGTGGTCGGGCGAAGCGAAGCGCTCTGGGACTTCCGGCAACTTGTCGAGCAAGACCGGCGCGGCCTCTTCTGTCTTCTTGTGTGGAGAGAGTTTCGAGAGCGAGAGAGTGCGCTTGAAGCCTTTGATTAGGCGGGCCATTTTTGCAGGCTGGGTTGCGTCCGGGGAGGGAATGGAAAGGGGGAATGCGTGCGGACATGGTTTTGCTTTGCGCGTGGACAATGGGGCGCCCTTGAGCGTGAGCTTTTCCTTGTTCAACGTGGCCGAGTCTGTGGGATGCGGGTTTGTGTGACGGGTGGCGAGGAATCGATAGCGCTAGGGACTCCCTTGGTGGTTTGGTGTGCCTTGCTTCATGTCGAGGCGTTCGAAATGGGGATGCGCTATCTCCCTGTCTTAGCTGTGTCTTGGTTGTTGCGGAACGATGCTGCGTAAACAATAGCCGTGTGTCTGTCTTGGTTGGGATCAGCAAGGCAAGCACGTTGTAAATGTAGGACATCTAGAGCATTCCGCAAGCTCATCAGTCTTCACAGTCTGCGCATCAAGACACGATACATGACAATCACATGTCGATTTCTGATTAACTTGTTCCTATGCCACTCGGCACTGTACTACTCAAGGCACTCCAATCGTGGCCTCATCTCTCCCACCAAACCAAGCCTATTCACCTAAGCTGCTGCAAGAAAAGCCCGAGGCGCAATTTGGCGGGCATCAATAATCTATGAAAAGCCTGTCGCGAGGAAATAGGACATCGAACGCATAAGCTCACGGGCAAACTGCCCAACCCAATAACGCCACGCAAATGAGAAGAAAAGCACACCTAACTAGTTATTCTCCTCGTTCAAAAGCAGGAAAAAGGTAACTCCGTAACACCCCGCAGATGATTGTGTAGTATATGATGCAAAGATAATCCGACTCAGTCTCGAGCGCAGGAAGAGGTGACGAGTTTTTTGGGGGTTCGCTGATGCTTCGAGCACAGCTTTGTGTGTTATACATTTTCGTTTTCGAAAGGAAGACGGGAGACGGGAACATATTAAAGCACGAGAAGCGACAGTTCGGAGAGCAGGGCCGGCGGACGTGGCGTGGGCCTAATGAAAGGAACGCCGCATATATCGGACTACCGTACGATACTGGCCGTGAGGGTATGGCTGAAGCTGAGTTTTGGAGTGAGGCAGACTGAGGCGACTGCTGTGAACACCAAAAGTCAGCTATCCGCGAAGCGAAAGATAACTTTTGTACAAAGCAAGGCAAGAACCTTAGCTTACAATCCAAGTGTCAAAGACAGGCTTGCGGTATGCGCATGTCTTTTTATTGCTTTGGAGACCTGTGCACCCATTAGCTTCTGAAGTACGAAGGGACAGAGGTACAACTATGACCGGTGGGGACTTACGTAGGCGAGTACTTCGGGCTAGTTGGCGACCATCTCTGCTCTGTAGAGTATGGTGCTGAGCCCGGAGAGGTGGGAGAATAGCGCGGCGACGTAGGAGAGTATTGAGGGTTGCCAGCAGGGCTGGTTGGCGAGTACGTCGGGCTCGTGGGACTGAAGGTTGGAGATGTCGGTGACGCTGGGGAGCGCCTCTCGCTAGACGGATTGAATTGCGGGCTTGTCGGGCTATACTGGGGTGACGTAGGACTGAAACGTGGCGAGGTTGGACTGTAGTACGGCGAAGTAGCTCCCATATGTGCTGGTGAGGTAGGGCTGTATGTGGGCGAGGTTGGAGAGAACGACGGCGAAGTCGGTGAGTAACGCGGTGACGTAGGCGAGTAACTCGGAGACGTCGGTGAATTGTAACTTGGCGACGTTGGCGATAGACCAGGTGATGTCGGCGAGTACTGTGGGCTGGTCGCACCGTATGTCGGAGAAGTAGCGCCAAAGCGTGGGCTGCTGATGCCTGGAGAAGTTGGAGAGTACCCCGGCGAAGTTGGAGAGAAGCCTGGGGACATTGGGCTGGGACCAGAAAAGCCAGGCGACATCGGTGCGTAACCTGGGCTTCGTCCGCCAGAGTATGGACTGAAACCTCCGTCGCCATAGCTGCCTCCATACTGGGTGAAGCCACCTTCATCGTTTCCGCCGGCATGTGCAATAGGCGAGAAAGCGGCATCGAAGCCACCCATGCCAATGCCATCCTGGTAGGTCGGCGAGCCAAGATCGTATGGAGTTGCCGCACCTTGGTCAAGGTAGTTGCCGGCACCAGCAGCACCCATGCCCTTGGAGTTGTCCTCCACCATAGTGAGAAGCATGGAGCTATCCATGACAACGTCGAATTCACCGGTACCCATTGGTGCGAGCTGACCAAGCATGATGTTCTCGGACACACCACGGCAATCGTCAAGCTCACCAAAGCCTGCAGCCTCAAGCAGAATCTCGACAGTCTCTTCGAACGAACAGCGCATGAGCGCACCGGTATCGTTTCGGTTGATACCGTGACGTGTGATGGCCATGAGCATACCACGCTGTGTCATGATGTCGACAAGCAAAGCCATGTGTCGGTGGTTGACGTAAGAACCGTCGAAAGACAGAACCATGCCCAGCTCGTGAAGGAGACCAGCTCGAGCAGCCTCGATACCCAGAACACCGAGAATCTCAATGAAGGAATTGGAGTACGTCTTGGTACCATCCACTCCCTCCACGGCGAGTACCTCAGCCAAGGATGTACCCGTTGTGTCAAGAACCCATTCCTTGCAGCGAGGGTCGCTCTTGGACAGGACTAGCGACCTATCTTCGTTCATGACAACGACATTGTCTTCACGGATGAAGGCACGCTCGACACCTTTGAGACCTCGCAGAACAACACCGTCGAGAAGATGTGTCTCGAGCTTCCGCATCCATCGCTCGTCTCGCTCGTCCTCATCCTCATCGTCTTGCTTGAGGTTGCCGTCCCAAATGAAGCGTACACGCATGACTTGCTCGTCTGCGTTCTCGTCACTGAAGATGACAGCTAGATTGGGCGAGAACTCTCGCTTGATCGTGCCAGCTACTTCGCTGATACCAATGTTCTTGTCCAATAGCTTCTTGCGGTCGAGAATAACACGAAGGACCCACTTGGACTGTGATTCGATGACCTCATTCTCTTCAGGAACAATAAAGTAAGACTCCACCATGTCCTGGTCAGACTCCACAAGAGTAGCTTGAATTTCGGGGTCGTAGTAGAGTTCAACTGATTGGGTCAATGAACGAAGCGTGGTCAGCTCAATACGACTACGCAAAACCTTTGCCTCCTGCTGTCCAGCGTTCTTGTCTGTTTGACGGACAAGCATAGACGGGGTCTTGATGTTTGCCGCGATGTTGAGAATTTCCTTAAGACGTGGTACACCGAGGGTGACGTTCTTGGACGACACACCAGCAAAATGGAAGGTGTTTAGTGTCATCTGAGTAGCAGGCTCACCAATGGACTGAGCAGCAAGGACACCTACCATCTCGCCCGGGGCCACGGCAGCCTTCAAGAAACGATCCTGCAATTCTCCTAGGATGTAATCGAGCGCCTTCTTCGACAGAGACTCCTCGACAACGACGCGCTTGAAAGCTAGACGAGAACGGAGATGGCACTTAAAGAGGTAAGTAGCACTGGCTTGCGCCTCAACGGAGAGCGGGTCGTTTCCACGGATGACCACCAGGCTGTCGAGCAAGTCACGGACCTGACAGACAACCTCCGTAGGATGTAGGTCGCTGACATTTTGGCCCTTTTTGATTCCAAAGCGCATTTGTGCAGACTCGATCATGCGCGCGATGTTGAGAGGCAGCTGGAACTGTTGACTGTCGTCTTGGCCAATCACTGTTCGCAAATACTCGCGGTCGATCTTGATCTGATCGAACTCCTCATCGAGGTGACGTTGGATATCAACGTCACCTTGGAATTCGTTAGCGCCGGCGAGCTTGCTTGTCGGGATCTGTGGAGCATCCGTGCCCAGGACATCGACTTTGAAGACCTTCTCGAACTTGGCTTCCGACAAAGTGATCATGTCGATCTTCTGGTTCTCGATGAAGCCACCATCGAGACCATCTTCACCGTAGATGAATTCGATAATGTCACCTAACGAGTTTCGGACAGTGCCGTCATATTTTACCATGACGTCTTCAAGAGCCTTCACTAGACGACGCTGAATGTAACCGGTTTCAGCAGTCTTGACAGCGGTATCAATGAGACCTTCACGACCAGCCATGGCGTGAAAGAAGAACTCGGCAGGCGTCAAACCACGCAAGTAAGAGTTCTCAACGAAGCCGCGAGACTCTGGAGAATAGTCGTCCTTGGTGAAATGTGGCAGGGTACGGTACTTGAATCCGAAAGGAATACGCTGACCCTCCACAGCCTGTTGTCCGACAAGAGACACCATTTGAGAAATGTTGACCGTGGAGCCCTTGGATCCAGAGATAACTGTCTGGACGACATTGTTGAAGTCCTTCAAACTGTTCTGAGCCGCGGTACCACCACCCTCACGACCCTCGTTTAGGTACTTCTGGACCTTTGATTCGAAAGTTCCACGAATAGTCATACCAGGTAGGGGCTCAAGCTCATCCCTCGTGGCTTCCAAGACGATCTCTTCGACCTTTGCCTTTGCTTTGGCAACCTCTGAAGCAATCTTTGCGGCAGTTTCAGGATCTGGTACCGTGTCACCAATACCCAGACTGAAACCGTGATGCAGCAGCCACCAGTTCACAATGCGCTGGCAGGAATTGAAGAACTTGACAGCTTCTCCAGAGCTCAGCTCGTTGAAAATGATGTGAATTACACCACCAGCTGTGGCACCCACGATCTTCTTCGTGACGGAACCAAGAAGAAGTTCGCCACCCTTGATTAACAAGCTCTTATCTTGGAAGTCATTCCAAGGCGAAGGCTTCGAATCGCCATCGCTCCTCCAGATGTTGACTTCTTTCGGGAACGCCATGCTGATGATCTGCTTGCCAGTCCAGAGTGGGCGAGGCTTGAGGATAGCAGGCTCGGGAACAATGCCGTCCCAGTCAGGTACCCACATCATGATGCACATGACTTGTTCGATGGGCAAGAAGTTGTCTCTACGACTCATCTTGTAGACACCGAGCAGAGTGTCCTGAACGATACCCATCAAAGGCTGGTTCTTCTGGGGAGACACAATCTGCTTAGGAACCATGCAAAGATTCTGAATCTCGGCACGGGTCTCATCGCTCTGAGGTACGTGCAAGTTCATCTCGTCACCGTCGAAATCGGCGTTGTATGGAGATGTGACAGACAAGTTCATACGGAAAGTGGAGTAAGGCATGACCTTGACACGATGACCCATCATAGACTCCTTGTGCAGGGAAGGCTGACGGTTGAAGATGATTACATCGTCATCGTCAATGTGTCGCTCGACCTTCCATCCGTACTGCAGCCGCAGATCATCGAGGTTCTTGTTGTGCTTGAGATCGAGACGCACACCGTCCGACTTGATGACATAGTTGGCTCCAGGATGCTGGTTGGGACCGTTGCGAACAAGTGATGTCAATTTGCTGATGTTGAACTTGGTCACGACTTCCGGGTAGGTGAGCGTACGTGCGATGGAGCGGGGTACACCGACTTGGTCCAGGGACAAGTTGGGGTCACCAGTAATGACGGTACGTGCGGAGAAGTCGACACGCTTACCCATCAGGTTACCTCGGAGACGACCCTCCTTGCCCTTTAATCGGCCACGAATCGTCTTCAGTGGACGACCAGATTTCTGATTTGACGGCGGAATGCCGTTAGCATCGTTGTCCATGTAGGTGGCGACGTGGTACTGGACCAGAGCCTCAAACTCGTTAAGAATGTGCTGTGGCGCACCCTCTGAAATACACTCCTGCACACGTTGGTTGGCGCGAATGATGTCACCGAGCTTGTAGGTCAGATCATCCTCTCCGCGCATGCCCTGACCTGTACCGTCGACGGAGATACTAGGTCGGACTGGAGGCGGGGGCACGGGAAGGACCGTCATGATCATCCACTCGGGGCGGGCATAGTCGGCGTTGAGACCAAGCAGAGCCAGTGTGTTGTCTGACAGGAGCTTGAAGACGTTAAGGGCGTGCTGCGGGGTGAGGACTTCTTTGCGGTCGCCCTGGCCGTCAGAGTCTTCACCCTTCTTGGGCTTGTACGTCGCGGTGAGTTTGACACCTTCTTTGCGGATTGTGTCGGGATTCGTGTTGCCGCAGCCACCGTGGGGGATTTTGGGTGCCTTCTTTGGGTCCTCCTCGCCGGTGTCCTGCTCACAGTTCTTCTTCGTTCGCGACATACGCCAGATCTTGTCGAAACGTTTCTTCGCATCCTTTGTCCTGATTGCATTCGCCCAATCAGGGTGGTTCTAGATGTTGCAGTCAGCACATGGTGTTCCGCGCTGTGATGACTTCGTCTTCGCAAGGAAGACTTACGTAGTCGGCAGTAATCAGACCGCAGTTGTGGCAGACCGTCTCAAGAATTTTCTTGATTTTCACGACAAAACCTAGCGCTGTCAGAACCATGAAAACCTAATTGGTGAGTTTCAGAGGACTCACCGACGTGGAAAACGGGCGTGGCGAGCTCAATGTGACCAAAGTGACCGGGGCAGACCTGAATGTCTTCCTTGCACGTGGCGCACGAGTACATGCGGTCAATGGTACCGAGCCTGGGGTCATTGAGACCGTGTTCACGCGGCTTCGTGTTGGACTCGTCCATGGTCTCGGGGAACATGATCTGGCACACGCTCATGGCCTTGATCTCCTCGGGTGAGAGCAGGCCGAACTGGATCTCCTTGATCGTCCGGAGCGGACATTTCGACTGGACGGGCGCACCGGGCGGCATGTTGGCGGTGGTGGTGCGGTTTCGTGGGTGAGGCTGTCGATTGAGCGGAGGCTACTGTAGGCAGATGCCGTCACAGTCGGAGCAGCCGCGGTCGCCCCTCGGGCACCTCTCTCCAGGAATTAAAGTCGCGTAAAAGGGTGCCGTGGTAGCGATGTCGGCGGCGGATCGCGCGTGGTAATGGATTCGATGCGCGGCGCGCGCGGAAAGAGATGCTGGCGAAGAATAGCACCCGGGGGAAAAGGGCTGCACGGGGGCCTCGAGTCGTCGCGCCGGGCAGCGGAAGGCGAGCGCGCAGTATTAGAGCACTCGGGGGAGCGCAGACGGGGCCGTAGAGGTGGAAGACGCGCTCGCTGATATGCGGGCGGTCGATGGTGATGGGGGTGGGGAGGTGGAGGTGGAAGGCGTGACAGAGAAGGGTGTGGTTTCACTTCACAAAGGCGACAAAGGACGGCCGCAGTGCTTGGCACCACCGTCGCGCTAGTGCCAAAACAGCCTCACTCACGTCCCACACGCGACGGACGCAACGGGCAGTTTGATGATACTTTCTCTCTGCATCTGCCTGCGCGCATGGACTGCCGTCGTGTCTCTGAAGATGCTGCCGCTTGAGACTGACTGCTCACATCCCCCGCAGTCCACGGCGCATCACCATGAATTTGTCGCTCGTTGATCCCTTCATCCTTGCGCAGGATTGTCCTGAGGTTATCACCGGCCGCCTACGTGAGTGTCTCCCGTGCAGCCACCACAGCGCCCTTTGACATTGACTCACAGCATGCAGGCAGCGGCCACTCGACGTCTATCCGCTTCAGCCACCGCGGCGACCTGCTCGCGTCCGGACGTGTAGGCGCACTTTCACCCCAGCCTGCGACCGCAACTAACCGCGCCACAGCACGATGGCATTGTCGTCATCTTCGACATCGAGACGAACGGTGTTGCGCGCAAGCTCCGCGGGCACACCCGCCAGGTGCAGTCGCTGAGCTGGTCCATGAACGACCGCTATCTCCTCAGCGCCGGGCAGGACTGGAAGGTGGTGCTGTGGGACCTGAACGATGGCTCCAGAGTGCGCACCGTCCGCTTTGAGGCTGCCATCTTCATTGCCGAGCTGCACCCGAAGAACCAGTGAGTACCGCAATCGCCCATGTGAATGTCACCTGACAGCCATGTAGCATGTGCTTCGTGGCTGCCCTCTTCGAAGACCAGCCTGTCATCGTCGATGTCTCCAACGAGATCCCCGTCAAACACTCGATATCCTCCGCACCGCGCAGATCCCAACTGGAGCGCGACAATGCGACTGAGAAGCAGACCGCGCAGGATGCCAAGCAGACGACCACCATGACGCTCTTTACACCGTCGGGCGAGCACATAATAGCAGGCACGAACAAGGGCTGGCTCAACATTATAGAAACGAAGACGCGCGAGGTCCGCTACTCGTTCAGGGTCACCAATAACATCATCGTGTACATCCGACTGACACCCTCCGGGAGAGATGTTGTCATCAACTCCAGCGACAGGATCGTTCGCACGCTCCACATACCGGACCTGAGCGACCCCAAGTTCGACTTTGATACATTACAGCTGGAAGTAGAGCACAAGTTCCAGGATCTTGTCCAACGGCTCTCGTGGAACCATGTCTCCTTCAGTCCGACAGGCGAGTACGTCACAGCATCCACCTGGATGAACCACCACATTTACGTTTGGGAGCGCGGGCAAGGTAGTCTAGTGAAGATCTTGGAAGGCACAAAAGAAGAGCTATCGGTCGTGGAATGGCATCCCTTCCGCCCCTTTGTTGCAGCTGTCGGTGTTGACTCTGGCCGCGTCTGGCTGTGGTCCATTCTCCAGCCGCAGCGATGGTCCGCCCTTGCACCTGATTTCATGGAGGTAGAGGAGAACGTCGAGTACATTGAGCTTGAAGACGAATTCGACATCCAGCCCCTCGAAGAAATACACAAGCGTCGACTCAACCAAGAAGACGAGGAGGTTGACGTCCTCACCATCGAACCCATCAAAACATCTACACTCGAGTTTGGACCATCTGGCGAGCCGGAATTTCGCATGCCCGTGTTATTGGACATTGAGGCCAGCGATAGCGAGGACGAGGTCGTGGCTGTCGGTGCTGGCCAGTTTCGGAGGAGAAGTCCTGGTGCGAACAAGGAATGGATGAATGATGAAGAAGTCGTCGCTAGTGGTGACGAGGCACGAAGAGCCAACGGGACGGCAGCTACAAATGGTACCAAGAGGCGGCGTTGAGACAGAACAAAACTATCATTACTAGGTCCATGAATCTACGCAGCATAATCTCAACAAGCGCAAACCTGCACTGCTCACACGCAGCCTCACAATCCCAGCACATTCTTTAACCAAATTTAAACCTTTTTTGAACTGTGTCTCCTCTTTGCCGGAGTTCGGCGTTTACCATTCTTTGAGCAGCCTGATGAGTGCTCAGCAAACCAGATTTTCCACCCTCCGTGCCTTCCTCGTCTTTCACCTTTTACCAATAGCGCGAGTCCGACCAGGCCGCATCTTAATCAGCCGCTCGCCGCGCGGCACACACAGTGCCGTTCATGTCCAGGACAGTGATAAGGGCTTGGTGAGCCGCGTAGTAGGTAATATCAGCGTTGGTGAAATAACAGGCTTGCAAGTTTTGTCGCATGCGTATTCAATGGACCCCCCTCTGCACCCACTTGTCAACTCAGCCAATGATTCTTAACGTCTATTGGCCAAAGTTTCTGGGTTGAAAAATGCAAGGCCCAAGGTAAACTGTGGTAGCCCTTACTATAAAATTCCATCCAATTTATGAGCGTAGAAGCTTCGGATTAGGGGGCCGAAGATGCAAACCTGCTTCTCAGGGGGTGCCATTCAATACGCAACGCATGTATAAAAGACCTTTCGCCCATCTTCCCTCTACTCTCTCACGTCCCAAAACAATCCACTCGACCAACGAACCCAATCAACCCGATCTCGTCACCGATACCACCAACAAGCTCCTACCTACACCACGGAATTCTCCAACCTCCAACCCAAACCCACAGCAACCATGAAGTTCACAACCATCACCACCACCCTCATCGCGCTTCTCACCTCCACGACCCTCGCCAAGCTCGAGTCCGCAGAAGAACGCTGCCAGTTCTGTGCCTACCTCGACGCCCGCCAGTGCTACAAGCACTCGGTCGAGGAGTGCCGGGACTTTGGGCGATACCGTTGCTGGCAGAAGGTCGCGGAGTGCGGGCGGAAAGCCAAGTGCATTGAGGAGAAGGGGCATGCGGTTTGTGTTGCATAGATGGAATTGCTTCAGTTCTCTCACCGGCGCTTCTCCGTCTACAAGAAGAATGGGATAGATATGATGATGTGTAGGGAATACAAGACGTGGAGATATTCACTCTTCTCCTCTGTGAAGGCTGATAATGCTCTTGTTACTCGATGTGAAATGACACCCTCGGGATTTACATTTATATGCTACGCAAACACTGACTCGCCCAAGGCGTCTCTAGCGACCACTGCACCACCCGTCGCAAAAGGCGAGCTTCTTCCGCAAAGTCATCGATATATGCGTTGTAACAGGTAGCAGCAAGGTATATCAGCAGTTGGATTCGCAGTATCTGGTCTACTGTGGTTCTGCGAGTTATGTGATAGTGATGTGGAATAGAACCAGGGCTTCAGATTGAACATAAGTGTCTAAGCTGGATGCAGGTGGAGTGTCACAAGTGGCATGTGATGGGTCGAGCACGGAACGGCCTGGGAGCATGGTTTATGGAAGATAGGAGATGAGTACGACACATGGTGTCCCCAGCTAACTTGTCATTCTTGCATCATATTATATCACTCTTCCCAAGGAAATCACACGCAGCAAACATATTCGTCCCTATCACAGTTATATGTGTATTTCTCTGCGGTCCTGCTACCATGTGCGCACATACATCTCCCCTCCCCCTCAACAATCTCATTTCCACCTCCCACTCCTCCTCCACCACTGGCCACAATACTCATCCCCATCTCCATCCTCACTACCCTCTTCACCCTCCCCTCAGCCCTCGCCAACGACCTCGATTGGTGCGGCCCTTGCGATACACCAGGCCTCGAACAATGCGCCTGGGCCGGCGACTGGGACAAAGCGCCTACATATCTTCAAGAGTGCCACGTCGTTGGTAAACGTCGTTTTTGGGATAATATCGATCAGTGCGAGAATCCTTGTGCGCGTAATCATCCTTAGATGTTTTAGCATCGATGCTAATTGGGAACGTAGGTACGGGGGGATTGCGAGTTGGAGAGCCGGTTTGCAAGTAGGTAGAGAGAAGGACAAAGGAGGATATGCATGGAGAGAATGTAATGGAGGGATAGGGTGATAACTTTGTGAGGTTGAGCTAGACATATCTATGTAGCCACAACCCGAAATTGTGCATGAGAGCCTGTACATGGCTGAAGCTATCTCTAGTGTCAATTTTCAAGACTGCGAAGTGGTTCCCTTGGTAGGAGATGGTGCTGATGTCGTAGTAGATATGTAGACAAGATTGGAGAAGTGGGAGCACGTTGAAATCGAGCAATCCATTTTTAATGGAGGCGCTCTTTTCCCATTTCGTTTCGGCAGGGTGACAAGGCTTGTCCAATCTAAGACATCAGGCGCGATACAGAACTATTCAAAACTCGCATTTCGTAGTTCGGCAGGCAGCGTCACGAGTAAAAGGGCCGTGGCGTTGATCGGTACAAAATCACCTCGTTGGATAGATGAGGAGGTCATGGTGGACTTGAGAAGCTTCGAACGCACGACGTGAAAGCTAACATATGTCGTATGGTTCTTGCCCATAGCGAACTATTGCTTGCTTGAAAACTTTGTGCCGCTCAATTACTGTAAGTCGTTTGCGTAAACCTCAAGCGGCTTTTCGTACCATAGCTCGGTCGCAGCGCATGTGTTCCTCGTGGCCTTGTTTAGGTTTGAATAGAATTGTGCACCAGGATTTGTATAGAAACTACCGGCAATGTCTTTCCCGTTAATTAGCTAAACCAGTGCATAATCGGTTAATCGATTGTGATGTTCTGCCGTGGTAGGTCCAACTCGAGAGCTTCGCCGTGCATAACTCCATACACGAACGCTTCTCCAACAAGCCGGTATCGGCCATTTAACTGAGGCCGAAGGACGAAAGGAAGCCCTGCTCGATGCAGTATCCACACTTCATCGCCTTTGCGAAGCGATCGCGGTCCAGTGCCCAGATAGCCACCTCTTGTCCTGAACACCCGCCTCATCTTGCCGCCACTCTGATCGAGCTCGTGTTGTAGTTGTGCAAGACCGATAGGCGAGTAAGATCCGTTGAACATACTCTCTACCATGGATGTAAGGCGTCCTTTGTATTGAGCGAGGCAGTAGGGCGAATTTGGCGGCTCGAGACCAAGCAGTGTTTGCCACTCAGGGTATATAGAGTCCGAAAGTGGGGTGTGATGGGGCTGAAAGGAGTCTCTACTTGACCAAGGCATCAGGCGGTGTCGAATCTGGAGGTTGATAATGTAATCAATGAACAGCGAACCAATTGCTTGAGGAGCAGGGTATTTGTGCGCATAGATGTTCGTGGTCAGTGTTCTCCATAGTATCTCGACCCGCGACAGTTTTTTCTCATTAATCTTTGCGCTTGGATAGGGAAGACCGAGCGATAGGGTTAGGTTGACGATGCTAGCCCAGGAAGCTGACGGATCTGAAGATTCATCAAGGAGGAGCGCTGTTCTGTCGACATTATCGATCATATATCCATGCACGTCTAAGAGCCCTTCGGCCATGCGAGACCTTTCTGGTATCCAGTAGTGATCGCCCGATGCTCTCCAGACACTGGATCCACGGAAGCGCAGCGGATAAGGGTCAAGAGGTACACTGAGGTCGGGCACCCAGGACGGCAAGCCTTCGATACGCCTTGAAGAATGATCCTCTACGTGCGATAAGAGCGAAAGCTCCTTATGAGAGTTAAGCAAAACCCTCGCAGTCTCCGTGTAAACGTCCTGAACGCTTCGATTGTAATCCGGAATGAGGACACTGGGATGGTGTCGAAACGGTATTTTTGTTCGGTCCGCGAGTCCTAGAAAGGCATAGACTGCAGAGCAACGAGACACGAAGTCAGTGAAATTGTATATTAAGGTCGTGTGCCCATCTTACCTTTGTCTCGCGGATCCGAAGATTTTGAAAAACGGTGTTTGTCCAATAGCATCCGGAGTGATGGTGAGCGAACGACAGGCTTACTGCATGCTTGAGACGCAGCAGAAATATCCATGCGTGTCTCGTTGATATAGACTGGACCCATGTCCACTGACAATTTTGCTTGAAGAACGCGTCTGTAGATGCCAGGCTTTTTCCGCAAGGTAGCGACATGTCTAAGCTTCTCGGTACGAAGGTGATGATAGAACTTGGTCACCTTCACGAATGATAGGGCCTTTGAGAGAACCTCCCACGGGAAGACGTGTTTGCCGCATACCACCGTCGCCGATTTCGCTAGCGCTATCTCTTGCACAACCCACGCTCTTTTGAACCAGGGCCGGTTGACGAGAACTCTGGCAATGTGGGGTCAGCTCGCATCTCTCACGTTCTGTACACTGTCGACTCACATGAATCCAAGCCAGTTGTAGAAAGATAAGTTCAGATGTGGCGCTTTCTCCGGCTCATAAAATGACGTATAAGGTACCAGTGGCCAAGACTTGTCAGAGGTTGAGGCAATGGTACGAATTGTCTTCAGTGCATCGTGTACGAACTCATCATCCTTGCCTAGCCATACGACCACGCCGTCTGCCTTCTTGAAGACATCGCCCATTCGTTTGACTTGATTATTCCGCTCGGCGACATTACTTTGATCCACACACAGAGCGTCGATCCAGTAGAAACTGGGCGTCTTCGGTGTGTGTGCTATATTGATGGTGTTGGTGAGCATGCGGAGAGCGTCTCGCAGATTCGTAGTGACCTTGATGAGTTGGCCGTCACAGATGATCGAATGTTTGCGCGGTGGTCCTATTTCAACCTCTTCCACTGCACGTCTGGTACGTCTTTGACCACCAAAATGTGACGCATCTTTCAAAAGTTGCGGTATCTTGACTTGGCTCTCACCCCAAGTATAGCTGAGCGCTCTGAAGTTTGGCGAGTGCTGTAGCTCAAACGTTCTCAAAGAACAGCGGATGACGTTCTTCTCTGCAAATGGAGCGATTTCCAGGAGCCGGATGCATGTTGGTGTTGGTAGAGGTTCATACTTGTATTTGGTGATGAGGAACGGCAGATGTAGATTCTCCGTGTTGCGAACAGCGCTAATGCTGCGAAATCTCATGAGTGCGAGTGTCGTCGACTGCGACTCTCTTTAATGGTCACGTGACGGCACAAATGTCGCATCTTGGTGCATCCTGTGCCATTCAAATGCGATGGGAGTTGAATGTTGATCACCATTGCCTCGGGGCATTGTCCGATTCTCATCCCGGTAGCGCTAGCGGCAGAGATGCCGCCGGTCATTCAAGCGTCCGATCAGAAAGTGCTATGTCTGGTGATTGTGAATCAATGAACCTCGTGAAGCAGAGGCGATGTTGCAAGCGAAGACGATGTCTGCGAGGACAATGGTTCCACCGTAAGGTGATGCGTCAGCCACGTCAAGTAGGGAAGGCACTGTCTTCCGTTGTCGGAAGACAGGGAAGCTACGATCGCAAACTTCAGCAGGTGCTTGAGCTCCACAATGTCACGTCTGAAAATCCCAAGGTTGCTACAAAGAAAAACACACGAGCATTTCACGCGTCTAGTTGTGTATGACTGCCTCCATGTCCGCACAAGATGGGTTCGGAGAACGGCCGATCTTCCCCGCATTTGGCTAATTTGACGCGTGAAGCGCTTACCTAACACGAGTAGATCGAACTCAATCATCGCCGTCATCACCTCTTCACCCTTCACGCGCATTATGGTCGTTCCACCCTGGCCTCTCGAGATGCTTCCCGCGAGCATATATGTGCAGCTGCCTTACGACTGACCCGGACTGTCGTAATGCAACGACATCATGTACGCTCAACGCCTCAACCCCTGGGACGACATCGACGAGGATGCACACGACGAAGAGCTGCCAGACTACGAGGCTGACACCGCGCCCGCATACGATTTCATCTCGTTTGACGAGCCCATTGCCACCTTCCACTTGCGACAGTATGATCGCAAAATACAGTTGCTGAGACCGTATGGCGCATCTGAAGCGTCCTCATATCGCATAACAACGAACAGCTTCCGAGTCTTCTCCAAGAAGCCGGAGATGGAAGTGCTTTACACATCAAAGGAGATGCGGCAGCGGAACATTGCAACGATGGGGTTCGACAAAGACGGTCCCATCCCTTGGTGTCCGCGCGCGCACTTTGTCCACACCGATACTGACGGAACCGCTACGGTATACAAGATGGAAGCGAGGAACTTCGTCGATTGGGCTATCTTTTTTGGCGACAGGCGATACGAGTGGTCCATCTTGATACGGCCTGCAGCTCTTGTTCTGCGAGAAGTGAATTCGGACTTTGTCATTGCGCGCTTCACGTACTCGCAAAGCGGTACACAAGCCATGCGCGGTGCCGAAGTGGGCGAGTTGACGCTCTTCCGCGACCCTCTCACGATGGGGATTCATGGCACTGACAAGGTGGTGTGCAGCATGATGGTTGCGATCACCTCCCTGAAGAAGATGGGCAGGAACTACAGCAACAGTCCAGAGGAAGTGATGAGAAGTGGATCGGTGAATCGGTGAATCGGGAGCACATTCCCACGCACCGCGCTTCTTCCTCGGGCGTGTCTATGATCTGAGACTTCGATCTGAAGCGTCAACGGGGACCGCAGGTGGTGTTGGTTTGGCATGGATGCTCGTACCTTGCTGGAAGAGGCGGGGACTAGTGCAATGGCTCCCTTTATGGAGCTTGCTAGCGGAAAGACGCTCCCGTACGGTCGACCGGACTTACATAACTGGTAGTGCATCTGATTGCACAATCCAAGACATACGATTCACAGCTGTCAATCACGACCCATTCTCGAGTGACCCATCTGATACAACTCTTGGCAGTTTTGCAAACGGACAACGATAGTTGGGGTGATTGACATAGACATGGCGACGTGCATTTGGATTGAGGTGGTCTTCTCCGCGTATTAGTGCTGCTTGGCCGTCGCGAGGACAGACGCAGATCTCATGATCTCATGACAGTCAACTAGGACCAGCTACTGGCGATTGCGGGGCGGGCCGTTTGCACCAAGCACCGCTGTTTGGGGACGTCTAGCAAGTAGCAGCCGTTGAGCGACATATCATGTCGCGCGCAGGCCAATTCATTTTCACGAATTTTGGCAGTATAGTGTTGGCTGCAATGCGGAACGGTCTCGCCTTTGCTGAGAGATTGGCGCCAACTGTTCTCTTCTTCCGTGCAGGGGTGACTCAGCGGGCGAGCAAAGGTCTCGACTCTCGACGACTGCTGGGATCGAAGACGGGTGGAGCATCTGCCGATCGCTAACAGCTCGTGTGGAGACTGTCAAAGAACGAGACGCTTAACTTTAACCACGCGCACCCGCCAGGCCAAGTCTCCTGCGAACTGTGCGAGGCGAACAACAACAATCAACAAGAATGATCGACGAGGTGCACGAAAATCGCGGCGGAATCTGCGCCCATGTAGCCGTCTGTCGGTGCAGCAAACATGCGCATTAAATTGCCCATGATGAGGCCATCCCTTTTCGGCCCCTCCGAGATGCAAATGACTGTCAGCCTGTGGCGGGAACGGGCAGGGTGTATGGCAGTTGGAGGGACGTGTCTCGACTGCAAGCGAGCATGTCTAACCGCAACGGCGCACCCAATCTCGTCCTATTCCACTCTCCCGCGTCCGCGCTCTCGTGTTTCTTCTTCGGCTTCCACTGCAGCGGGCGTAGTGACCTACCGAGCTTCGAGTGCGCGCCGTCCTTCTTTTCACTCTTGCACTCGCGCAGCTTGCTCGCTTTCGTCTTCGACGTACCGCCCACGCCCAGGAGCTCGCCAGCTGCCCATTCTCTCTTTTCCTTCAGCCGCAATTAACAGAGAGAGCTCGCTGCATTCGGCTAGCGTCTTGTATTCACCCATCGCACCTGCCACACCACCACCCCAGGGTCGCACCCCAGAGTCTCCACACCTCGATCTACACTGACACGATTGGAATTACGCCGGGACAAACCACCGCGAGGAATGGGATACAGACGATACGCCACGCTTCCCAACTGCCTCGTCTCGCACGTCGCTCAGCTCCCACGACGCACAGCTGACTGATACCCGCTGTGTCCCGAGGCTCTGCGCCAGATTTCCTTCCAAGGTTCCCGCCCTCGAGACACCGATTCTGCCCTGTTCGCAGAGAAATGGTCAAGATGCGGATCCCTATTCGGGAGCAACTGGGCTGTCTGGTGCTGCTGGCTTCGACCGTTGGCCTTGCTGTCATCGCCATTGCAACATGGATCACCAACCACAGCTTCGTGCTTGGGATAAGGTAGGATTTTCGAGGCTGGAATTTCCATCGCTTTGCTGACACTGACGCAGAGCAACCCGCCTCACGTTGACTGCCTCGCTCAAAGCCGCCCAGCTATCGTCGAACCTCTCGCTCATGCAAATCCTAGTCGTACAGGCAGCCAATCGCCTCTCGCCGCAGACCGCATTGGACAGGTTCTACAAAGGGAATTACAGCCAATCAAATTGGGGTCGAACTATGGAAGACTACGATGCTGTATTTGCTGGTGATAGCAGTACTCAGGCCGCCATCCAGGCAGGAATATATCAGGCCAACTCCACTGCGTATCAGATCTTTAACCGCACAGCATACAACGTGGCCAACGTTGTTCTGCCCATCCTCAAGCCTGATGGAAATAATGCCACCTTGGGTGACCCCGTCTACGGTTTCATTCCCGAGCTCTACCCAAAGCTGGACATCGAGACGATTGTGGTTAACAACTCATTCAACTCATACAGAGGCAGATACGACGGTAGGATCGTCGACAATACCAGCTACCTGTTCTCTGGGCCATATCGCGTCAACGAAACATTCAGCCTTGTCTCCATCACGTTGCCGATCATCAACAACACCTCAAATATAGAAACTTTGGGGTGGCTGACGACGGTTCTAGATGCGAGTCTGATTACCAGCGTGGTCAACGCGATCGAAGGCCTAGACCAAACCGGCCTCACTCTGCTGATTGGACCTAACAACGTGACCAACAACTTCCCCCCTGGCTATCTGTACACGCAATCGGATCAGCATGCGCCTGAAAATGCCCAGGTTCGATATTTGATACCTCCCACCATCAGAAGCGACGTCAAGCGACATGGGCAGTACGATACTTCCCTTGACCCGCCTCCCTTCGATTGGACGAAATATCCTGCTATCCGCAAAGGCTATACCCAGGCCACTGGTGCCGCCGGGAATGCTGGTAGCATTATTGACACGCGAAACGAGGATGGAGACAGTGTCGCCGTAGGGTATGCCGTTGTCAACAGCCCCATGGTAGACTGGATGATCGTGGTCGAACAGGAACACAACGAAGTTTGGGGTCCCATCTACCATCTGCGAAAAGTCATTCTTGCCTGTGTGTTTGGTACCATGGGCGCAATGCTGATTGTTATCTTCCCGGTCGCCCACTTCTCAAGCCGCCCCATTCGCCGACTACGGGACGCCACCAGGAAGACTGTAGCGCCGCAGAGTTTCGACGACGAAAGTTTCGGCTCGCAGAACGACGGTGCCAATGATGACTCTCAGGAAGAAGTTGCGCGCAAAGAAGGTTTTTTTGGCTCGGTCATACATTACCGCCGGAATCAGAAACTCAGCCGCGCAGAAAAGAAAGAGGCAGAGCGGAGGAGACAATTCCGCATCCCGAGCAAAGTCAAGGATCGCAAACATTTCATACATGATGAGCTCACTGATCTCACCAAAACTTTCAACGAAATGACAGACGAGCTTATGATGCAGTACGAGAAACTCGAAGAAAGAGTAGCGCAAAGAACGGCGGAACTGGAACACAGCAAAAAGGCTGCAGAAGCAGCGAACGAGAGCAAGACTTTGTTCATTGCCAACATCTCGCACGAGCTCAAAACGCCTCTGAACGGAATCTTGGGCATGTGTGCGGTCTGTATGGGGGAAGATGACCCAGTGAAGCTGAGACGGTCACTGGGCATCATCTACAAGAGTGGCGACCTATTACTAAATCTGTTGACTGATCTGTTAACCTTTAGGTGAGTGGATATCGCGACGGACGTCTATATTTGAACTAATGAAATTGCAGCAAAAATCAAGTCGGCCAGCACCTCAGTCTTGACGAGAAGGAGTTTAGGTTAAGAGATATTTCCCAGCAAATCTTGGCAATATTTGACAAGCAGGCCAAAGAAGGCGAGATCAAACTGGCTGTCGAATTCGAAGGCATGTACGAGAACAATCTGGACGACAACGGGCGACCAAACGCATTCGGCGACTTGGGGCCGTTCGGTCTTGGCAGACTCAAGGACATGATACTGTACGGCGATCAGCACAGAATCCTCCAGGTCGTCATCAACCTGGTGTCGAACAGTTTGAAGTTCACTCCGCCAGGGGGTGCTGTGACCCTTGTTATTCGATGCGTAGGCGAGGCGCACATGTCCGACAGCCGAAAAGCTTCTTTGCAGTCGCGACAGAGCTCGACGCGGAATTCGAAGACCCGCTTCAGGACGTCAAGCTCGGAAGTGGGCTCAGTATCGATCGCACCAAGCAACTACGACACTGCGAACGTCATCAACGCTTTCGAGAAGCCCAGCTCATACGCCAACATGATGGCACAGGAACGAGCAGCGACTCCACCACCCGGCCGCTGGCTATCGTTTGAGTTCGAGGTCGAAGATACTGGCCCGGGTATTCCCGACAATTTGCATGCCAAGATTTTCGAGCCATTCGTCCAGGGCGACCTTGGCCTCAGCAAGAAGTACGGTGGCACTGGTCTTGGACTGAGCATCTGTTCTCAGCTTGCAGGCCTGATGAAAGGCACCATCGGATTGAAGAGCGAAGTCGGACAAGGCAGTGTTTTCACGATGCAAATCCCCTTGAAGCACCTACAAAGCCGTGCTGACAGCTCGGCAAGCTCAAGCAACAACGTACCCTTCGAAAGCACGACCCCACGTCGAAGTGTCGAAGACACACGGGACGCAATGTCGGGTCTCTCTATGCATTCAACAACCAGCGCTCACAATACCAACACAGCACCCGGCGGCCCTGTGGCATTTGATGTAGATACACAACCGCGTCTGGTTGGCCTCAGCCAACCTTTCTTTGCATCAAACGCTCCTCTCGAATCGCCAAACTCGCAGGCAGCAGCTGTACAGCGGATAGAAGCAGAGGCTACAAAGCGTGGCGGCAAGGTCAAGGTCCTCGTCGCCGAAGACAACAAAACGAATCAAGAGGTTGTTCTACGAATGTTGAAGCTCGAAGATGTGTACGACGTCACCGTCGCCAAAGACGGCCAAGAAGCTCTGGACAAGGTCAGGGAGAGTATGGAGCACAAGGCACCATACAACCTGATCTTCATGGACGTGCAAATGCCGAATCTCGATGGTCTGCAATCCACGCGACTCATCCGAGCATCTGGTTTCTCCTCACCCATCGTTGCCCTGACTGCCTACGCGGAAGAGAGCAATGTCAAAGTACGTACATCCCGCCTGAAACACCCAGGACATCTGCTAACACACAATCTAGGAATGTCTCGAATCCGGCATGGACTTCTTCCTCTCCAAACCCATCCGTCGCCCTGCCCTCAAACACGTTCTCAAAACCTACTGCCCACCCATCATCGAAGAAGAGGAAGAATCAACAACACCGCCCGGCTCGAGCACAGCCGCGCCAACACCAGCCAACGGCCACATATCGCAATCACAGCCACAACGACCCGGACTACTTCATCCGGGTTTCGCGCCGTTCAATACAGGCGCCACCAGTAACGCACGCGAATCTCCCGCTGTATCGCCTGGCACTCTACCCCCGTCGTAATTTCTAATCATTTGTTCCTTTTCTTTTCACACGTGTTTTGACTCGATACCCTCTTTTGTAATGACATGGTCCGGGAAAAGGCGCTCTCTGGTTCATATTCTTTCCTTCTTTTGCATGTGTACATATCAAAGCATGGCGCTGGTTTCGGGGATCTATGGGCAACAAAACGGCATGGGGGAATCTGCATGGAGTTTTCTTCTTCTTTGGGACCTGTATGGCTTGGGTGTTGACAGGACATGGTTTGGGAAGAGCATGGGCTTGCGGATCGAGATTCATATGCAAACGGGCAAGGATGCGGGTTATCATGTGCAATGTAAACACTGGGTTTTGACATTTCCAGTTATTACATTGCTAGGCATGCTGTGTGTGATGTGATGTGATGTGATGTGATGTGATGTAGTGTAGGTATACTGGCGTACTGCGAGTAGAGTGCTGTAATACAACAGCCGGGCAGTAAGGCGAGCGTCGTGTCGCATTGCGATGTTGGCGAGCGCAAGCGCGCGGACTGGACTTTGTGGCTACTTGACGATGGTAACTCTTGTACAACCCTTTCAATTCATGTTTTGTGGTAGGTAGACCACGCGCATTCGAAGCCGAGAAAGGACATTTGGACGGCCGGAGGGAGACAAGCTTATACAAGACCCCAACATAGTGAAGATCAAGGACTTGGGTGGGTAGCACCAGGTACTGCAACATTTCGTGTGCGCTCTGTTGGTGTTCTAACATCTATTATGGTCCAGCGGTGATGTCATACACGATCCTGGATAGACTCAAGAGGGTATTAGTTGGTATTGGCACTTTCTCTATAAGTTGTAGAAGATATATCCACCAGAAATTCTTCATGTGAAATTCACTCATGTCAGCGCACAATGTAGGAGGCTTACAAAGTCAGATAAGTTGACAAGCCTAAGACGGACTAACCACTTTCGCTCTAGCGCAAAGACCTCAGTCGACGACATGTCTTTGATCAGGCATGAGTCCATCACATCACAGCGTCCAACATCTTAGCACGCATATTATAATCATATCCTGGGTATTTTAGCTATGTCAATGTCCCTAAAGAGAGCGAAAGCTCTTGAAAACGAAAACATGCGAAGCGCAACTCGTCCTTGAATGTAACGGTGCCGGTACATTGCACTGTCCTCCGGTTGCATAATGTCGCATAACCTTTCTTGCTTTAATCTTCCGTGAAAATTATCTTCAGGTCTTGAAGATGCAGGTTGTATCTGTCAAAGCGCGACAACAAGACCTCTCGAGGAATGAGTCGTATACTTTGGAGGGTGGACGAAGTACAGTCTCTCGATTAAGCAGCATCTGACTTTTTGGCCTTGTTCTTCTTGTTCTTCTTGAATTCATTGATGTTCTCCTTGCCCTTTTGCTTGCTATTCGTCTTCGCAGTCATCATGCTCCGCCTAGCTTCAGCGGCTTTCGCAAGCCTAGCCACTTTCGCAACTTCAAAATCAACCTTTTTTTTGTCTGCGTAATGCGTGTTGTATGAGACGAAAGATCGCGGGTCGTCGAAAGCGCTATCGTCGGTTTGTTCGTGTTCGGTAATGGCTTGGACCTCGGCGGCCTTCTGGACGGGTGCTAGTACTACTGCAGCCTCTTCCTCGGTGGCGGCTGTTGAAATCTGGAAATTAATCTTTTCCAATTCCTTCTGAGGAACCTTGACTGCCAGGACCCGTGCAACGGTTTCTCCCCGTTTCGGATTTGCTTTCTTGCCGAAATAAAACAGCTCGTTATTCTGAACATCCATAGTGATTGTCAAGGGGCGATTCTTGATGTTAGTTGTCATCTTCCAACCAGGTTCCATATGCGGTAAGGGAGGAATTGTATAGGGCAAGCCTTTTCTCGCACATTGGAACATCCGGTTCTTGTCTTTATCACCCCAACGATGCACCGCACAACCGTTGGGCGATACTACGCCAATACGGATGCCACAGCACCGATATCCATCTTTCGTCGGGATCTTCACAGAGCAGAATGCTAGGTGCAGGTCCTCGAAGCAGCTCAATTGGATGTCCCCACAGTCCTTCTCGGGACAATGATGAGACTCTTGGTCCCGTTCTAATGTCCATATATTCTTCGCATGCTTGTCGACGAGGCCTGTAGAGATGCCTGGTCCGTATAGGAGAAGCTTCGGTAATGAATCAAGAGGCTTCATGTTACTTTGGTTTCTAGTAGATTGATTTTGATGAGTTGTTGTAGCAGTTGGTTGTAGCTGGGGTGGGACTGGTTTACTCTGCTTCGCTGTAGTAAAGGGGAAGGCTTATAGGGAAGGTAGGGGCAAGTTTTTGGCACTACATACATTCACGATGTGCACGCTAATGTGTACCTCCGACTCCAGCGTTAACCGATCTGGTAGCGGGCGGATCGATCCCCTTATCACAAGGCAACACTGTGAGCCCACTGAACGTATTCACGGAAAGCGTTTAGTGCTAAGCGCCTCCGCATATAAACCACTGCTCCCCTCTCCTACATTGATCAGCACAAAGCCCAACCAACTCGGCCTCACAACCAAAACTTCAATTACCAACAATTCACGGCCCACAATGAAGATTTTCAGCAGGGTCAAGGAGCTCTTCAGCCGCGAGCGCCGCCATCGAGAACCAGATTCGATGGCGACTTCCTCGAATACAACCTGTGCGCCCTATTCTCAAGGACCAGACCAGTCTAAGAAGCGAGGGAAGATCTCGAGTAAGCTACACTCTTTGCGACATAGTATAAAAGGGATCGGCGCCGAGCGTACAGTTATTTACAACGAGCCGCCCGCGTATACCAGCGCAACAACCACCAAGAGAGCAAACTGTTTGCTACATGTCGATATTGAACCTACATCAACCTGGAACTTTGGCGATTTCGTCTTAGGTTTCGACCGTGAGATCGATTATTCAATTCCGGATAGTCATAGCGTTACAACTCCGGTCTCACTACAACAATCCATACTGCCGGCCAGTTCGGTGACTCCGCCACGAGCCCTGGTCACTCCGCTTGCTACGTCACATGTTTCGATGCCCTCCACTCTCTCGAATACTTCACCTTCATCCAGTCGCTCTGTCGTCTCGAAGTCTTTATCGCTTGATACTTCCCAGAGTCAATCGACTATCTTGATTGACTCTGGAGAGTCTGGCAAGTCGTCGTTGACCCACATCGACGATGCCGAGGTTGTACCGCCCACTGTTATCGACATCCTTGTAGGTGAAGCCAGCGTACACAACAGCTCCAAGAAGCAAGACTCTGTGTCGGTAGTGCCCGAAGGAGTCTCGAGGTCGTGTGATCTGGAAATGACAGAACATGAAGATGGTGTTGGTCATATTTCTAGTGACACTACATCTGTCAAAGTCGAAGACTCGAATTCAGATGACGAGGAGGACCGGGAGCCGCTGCACCGTCATGACTGGGACACCATTCACAAGATCCCAGACCTTCACTTCAAACAACTCATCCTGTCGACGATTTCCCGAGCAGACTCCGGGGCGACTACTATCAACGATTGTAGTGTCAATGCACGAAACGATGGCGGCTTCAATCATATCGTATACATGACTATGCTGCATAATAATACGGTGCAGCGCCTTATTGTGCGAGTGCCGGCGATCGGGACGTTTGCTCGCTGGCAGAATGGGGATGCACACAATATGCGATGCGAGATGGCTCTTCTGGCACATCTTCGCAAGACCACCAGCATACCTGTACCTGAGGTTCTTGCCTTCTCTGACAACCTCGATACGCCCATTGGTGCACCGTTTTGTATTATGAAGCAGTTGCCAGGCAAGCCTGCTCATCGTATTTGGTTCCAAGATCCCGCCAACCGCAATCACGTCACTGCAAACGCTGTCACCGTGGCAAACGAGACCAAGCGCTGCAATACTCTTCGATCTCTTGCACACTTCATGGCACAGTTGGCGACGCTGACATTTGACAAGATTGGTACACCAGATCTCATAAACCCATCTTGTGGTGAAGAACCGCACAACGTCACGCATTCCTATCGCTGGAAGAATGCATATCAGGTGACAGCTAGCGATCTCGAAAATGAGGGCCAGATCTACCAATATGGTCCTTTTGAGAACAGCGAGGAGTACATGATCTCAACGCTCGAAGAATCGTGGCCTCTCACCCCCGATGCGGATTTCGACCCAGATGACAAGGATGACCAAGACACCTGGAACAGCTGTTACGGTATACGCCGGATCCTCGACCTCATCTATGTGCAACCAGCTATAGCTTTCTCGTTGCAAGACCCTGACGACATCTTTGAGCCAGAGTCGTTCGTCCTCCGGCATCCTGACCTTGACTTCCAAAACATCCTCGTTAATGACGATGGTTATGTCACAGGCATCATCGACTGGGAAGGCTGTATGGCCGTTCCTCGCTGCGTTGGATACGCTTCAGTTCCCGACTTCTTACGCCGCGATTGGTCTAAGGGCCATTCGCTGCGCGACTCTCCACATATGACATGGATGCTCCAACACTACCGCCAGGTCTATGCTGATGCGATGCGAGAGACCGGAGCGCCAGAGGCAAAGTACACGCTCAAGTCTGCCATGTATCGAGCTGCCGTTGAGGCGGTGAACGATGGCTCGCCCACGGATCTTATCAAGAAGATCTTTGTTCACATTCCTGGTCTATGCATGACAGACGTCGATGAGTTTCAGCAGTTTCTTGGAGAGGGATGGCCCGAGGCGCTGAACTATCTTGGCCAGGAGTTGAATACCTTGTTCAAGCCTGTGGCTTTTTAGCTTTAAGATTACGTCAATTTTGAAAAGCATGCGAATTTGGGGTTTTAGATACAACGTATAGCTACACTTTTAGATGCAACGCAGCGTTTAGACTTAAACCTATAATTGAGTAGAAAAGAAGAAAAAAATGCCTGAAGTTTTCTTCCTTCGTACCTTGTTCATTCAACATGTAATCGAGAAGACACTTAAATGCTCGATCCAACTACCTGACGTAGTCTTGCTCATCACACACAATTGTGATTGAGGAGGAACACAAAAACTTCGCGACTGTCCAACTTGAAAATTATTCACCATCAATAATATAATCAAAGATACACTCAAGTGATTGATTATTGTCCACTTCAAATTAAAGACACATTGTATCCATCCCCAACGAACCAATCTCCTTTCACTCACCACTAACAAACTTTTGAGCTCTTCTCATTACCACTTAACCAATTTCCCCCCACTCCCTGGCGGATCAATGTAAAACAACTCCCCATCCCTCAGATCCGCCTCCGCATGCACATGATACCTCCCGCAAATCGGATAATGCATCTCCCCCAACTGCTTCCTCACCCTCGGCCTCCTCCCGCTCCCCACGTCCTCGATCAGCTGCCACATCTTGCTACCCGGACAGTTATGCTTCACATAATCTGTCAAGTCGCCGCGCACAGAATTGTCCTCATCGATGGTCAACAGGAACTCATCTAGCGCGGCGTTCTGCAGCATCGGGGTGTCAGAGCGCAGCGCGAAGGCGTACAGCTGGCAGTAGAAGAGGCGCGAGGTGGGTAGCGAGGAGTCGTCGCGGGAGAGGCGGCCTTGGTACAGCCAGGTGGTGTAAGCGGCGAGGACGGCGAAGTTGTCGACGGGGAAGGTGATGACTGGACGGCTACGTCCGGTTTGGGTTTCGTCGAGGCTGGGGAGTGTAAGTGATTGTAGACGGCAGGAGGGTATTTGTAAACGCATACTGGGTGTGGAAGAAACCTGAGCGGTGGCGCAGGACGCTGACGTGCAGGTCGTCGTGTACCTGGATCGAGCTGCCTTTGTTGGCGTGGATGTCGACTGTGTCGGAGGACTTTTCGTAGTCGTATATTTTCCAGGGGAATTTACAGGGGACAGTTGAGTCTTGGGTAGACATTTTGGAAGTGATTGGTGGGGCGGTATAGTAGCTGGGTTGGTGAAAAGATTGGTATAGTCGGTTGAGTATAGAGGAGAGCAAGGTCAATAGTGGAGTCGATTTTGTTGAGTTGACTATTGAGGCAGAGGGTGGCTGAGAAAAGTCATATACGGAGCGAGATTGGTATTTATACAAGCGGGCGTGGGCTAGAACCTCCGTGCGCCGACAATCGGTGGTGACGGAGAGTCGAGGTGAAAGTGCGAGGCCGGGTCACCCACAATCAACGGCTTGTCAGGAGATGACCGGAATGGCTGGTACAGAAGATCTAGAAGATCGGAATATGGTGGATTCATATACGTCTGGCGATAAGTTTGCTGGCTATAGGAATAATCGCTTGTCACGGTCACTTGGCGTGGTCACTAGAGACGATGAGCAATAACATTGAGGCACATGATAATCAGTTTCTTGTTTTGAATTGAGTCCGAAAACTGATTGCCGTTTGCGCAATCCATGTCACGCGCTAATCGCATTGATGAAGTGCTGGATTTGACAAAGTAAGAAAACTCCCAATCACTGTTAACAGCCTAGCTCCTATTTGTGCCCGACTCCAATATCACGCTGTGACCATTGGTCTTGATGTATTCTGGTTCAGATGATATGAGGATCCTTGTGATCATGATACTTGCAGATTTCGGCGGCCTTATTCTCAAGGAACCCTTTCTTGCTCCCCACATTACCAGGCCAGGTCTTGAGCTCTCTCGACCGCAGTACAACGTCGATAAGGAACTCTTTAGGGTATGAAGACTCGTTTTCCTTCAGCTTATCGAAGCTGAAAGAACTCACAGCCAAGTCGACGAATAATGAACGTAGGCACGACCCCGCGACGGTGTTCGTGTAGATGTAGTTTAAACACCTGCAAGCATATGCCCACTCGTTCGCAAAGCGCTGGAAGAGCAGGTTGATCGCTGCATTGCATAGCTCTGGGATGCCACGACAGTCTCCGAAGACGAATATCTCGCACAGGTCAGGCTCGGAAACAGGAACTTGGCCGTTGGCTGCAGGGGTCGAGTACAGCTTGCCGGAATAGAACCAGTGAAAGACGATTTGGAACAAGGCTGGATCCTCCTGCTTGAGTTCGATTCTGTCGGTCGCATCTCGCGTCCATTCTGGCTTCATGGCTCTTCGGAAGTAGGAGGAGTAATGCTGGAGTAGGCCGCCGTGGATATGGAACTCTTTCTTGTCGCACTCGGAGCCGACCACAACGGTTACGATGGGACCATAGGTGTCGCTATTTCAGATTAGCAAGGTGGGTAGATCATTGAAAATGTTTGCTCTTACGGAGAGGGCCTTGTTGTGGCATGCTCGCACGCCGGGAGCTGGATGAGCGGCTCGCATGCTTTCAGCAGGCCTTTTTGCTCAGTATTCGTCATCTCGATTACTTAGTAGTGCAATCCGTAGTTTTTGAGAGGTTGTGTGAGTTAATGAGAGTCTTCAACGCGTTGTCTAGGTATCACCACGAGTAACTAGCGTATCTTGGCAATTTTGGTGAGGAGAGTGAGGGAGAAGATCACAAGTAGTGGTGAAGGTGATAAGCCATTTGCTGTTCTAAAGTGAAAGGCTTTGCATGATATGATAGAGAAGTGAGACAAAGTCTGCCCGAGTGACTGCCATACGGACAGAACGTGAGAAGGACACCAGTCCATCAAACATGGAGCAAAGTAGTTGTGAGGACGATCATTATGAGATGAGTGTAGCTATGAAAGTGCGATTACCTGGATCTCGATCCTCGTGCGTACCTGCGGCGTGGTCCGTATTAATAAGTCTCCTGCAGAGAAGCATTCGAGACGAAAATGTAGCGCGTGTATGCCGAGAGAGGTGGAAGCATGACGAAGCTATGGCAAGCCGACTCGAGGGCGTGAGTTTGGCGAGCCAGGATACCCCAGGAGGAGTCGGCCTTTGAGTGTTCATTAGCAAACGGTACAATATGCAACAGGCTGGAGACATGCATCTGGTTCTCTACATCCTCCTCCTCCTCCTTCTTCTTCTTCCTCCTCCTCCTCCTCCTCCTCGTCATCCTTGGGCTCAGACTTGATCTCGGGCTCAGAATGCACATGATAGCGCTGACAGAAGTTGGCTCGCGTGTCGCTAGCCCAGGCCTTGAACACGAAGCCTTTGCCAGAAGTTTTGTCCTTGATTGCGACAGCCTTGATGACCTCGAACAAGAGCGTTTCATCGCAGCCACAGAGCTGCTTCTTCTGAAAGAGGCTTGTCCCAGATATTTCGGCCGTCACGTCCACGAGGAACTTGCGAGAGTGGTCTCCTCGAAGTGGTTTGGCGTATAAGAGAATGCTGTCGTCGCCTCAGACAATATCTTAAAATCCATAGCTTGCAGCGACCATGCCTGGCTGATAGGCGCAGACACCAATGTTTGACGAGGAATGTGGTGTTTGACGAAGGTTTGCTTGACGAGGGAGTTGATTTTCGCGCGAAGTTCCCAAGCCAACCCAGGAAGGAGCTGTTGATGTGAGGAGCTCATACCGTGTTTTGTGGACGCGCATACTCGGATTTGCGAGTCGCCTTGAACAGTCGCCTTGTACCTGGTGTGGTCCGTCAACACATAGAATGCAAGGATTACAGCACAATGCATTGTTAGTAATGCAGATTAGAAGATGCGTCCAAAAGAGGCTTTTGACAACACAGGAAACAGAGCAACACAACAAAAGGGAATTCCATTCCGTGATATTTACATAATGCTCTTTCACGGTTCTCAAATCTCCCATCCCTCACCGGGCTTCCTGGCCTATGTCGAAGGTTAATTGACAGCTCCCGACTTGCATACGAAGGACTCACCAGCAGCGCGCGCTTGCCACCAAGCTCAACCTCCAAACCATCTGGGTATGTCTTTGGTGCACTCTTCTTGTCCGGGTAGTACATGGCAACGACTCCGCACAGTCCTAAGACACTAGCGACGAAGGTCCCCAACAAGATGCCTCCCCAGCCGGGCGTAAAGTGGTCATATTCGTGCAGCGATAGCACACCGAGGATGTCGTTGTCCTCGTGACAGGGCTCGCCGTAGTTGCGTCGCTCCTGCTTGTCCCAGTAGTCGCCATAGGGATCGCGCGTCGAGCGCTTCTCCGGAGGCGGGTTGATGTAGCCGCCATTCTGGTTGGGGTCTGTAAGCTCGGCGTACTCGGCTGCCGTGAGGGCGGTGCGCCTCTGGATGAATTGCGGTTGGAGTCGTGCTGTTGCGGGGACGAGGGATCGAGCCAGCGGGCGGGCCGCTACAATGCGCCTGGAGAGCATGCTATCACGGTATTAGAGCTGATCTGGGGAATATTTGGTCTGACGACATACGTTGCGGCACAGTTACGGGGGTTTGTGTCGTGGTTCGTTGACGTGAGGTTCACGATGAGCTTCCGCCCGTCATGGTGGCTTGGCACGCTAGGCCGGATTGAGACATTTGCTCATCTGTCACACCAGAGCATCGACGCGATGGCGAATTTTGCGTGTGACCATCTTAGGCCAGTCAAGTCTCGAGTGCCATTTCTGTCAATCCTTCATCAAATACATGCCAAGTCGTGTCGTCGTCGAGGTCGGTGCTGGCTTATTACCTGCTAGCGCGATTTGATGCATCCAACTGAACCCGACCCAACATTGAATTCTCGAATCAACATTGGCACACGGAAAAACATCAAATCAGCTGCACAGCCCGGAATAGTGCTGCAAATCAAGATCTGATCACATCACGGCTCCCACGAGACCTCCAGCCAGCGTGCGACACCGAGATTGAGACGATACATGTCGATTCGAGGGCGCGCGCGGTGGTCTCCAGGCTGCATCCTACCAAACTGAATGGAATCAGTCACGTCCGCCGATGCCGACATCGACCCAGTCCCGCAACACGACACGACCCCCGCTCTCGACGCGTCCGACGCCGCACACAATGGAGCTCCTGTTGAAGAGGACACTGCATCTGCAATAAAAGAGGAGGAGCAGGCTGCAGTCGAGACCGGAGAAGATGGTGGCGCCACCCAGCGCGCATTAAAGCGACGGAAGCTCGAGGACGGCACGCCCAGTCGCTCAGTGTCGCGTGCCGTGTCGCCGCCCTGGAAGCCCTTTGCAGTCGATGGCCCCACGACGGTATTCGAGAATGGCGTCCGCAAGTCGTCGCGCGTCAACAGGGAGGCCGCGCCACCGACACCAGAGCCCGTAAAGCGAGGCTCGCGCCAGACGACCAAGGCAACACAGACGCATGGCACAGCAAAGAATGGCGCGCGGCAGGGGTCGCGCACCGTATCCGGGCCAGTCTCGTCTGCCAAGGGCAAGACAGCGCCAGCGTCGACCAAGAAGACTGCTGCGGCCCCAATGAACCCGCCCGCGCGCAAGTCTGAACGCCAGAGGAGGTCTTCTGCGTTTGTACAGCCACCCTCGCCGACGACACCCGCCCTGCAAAATGGATCACCTGACAGTATGCGAAAGCGGTCAGGTCGCCCACGAAGGGGGACCCAGACGGAGACAGACGATGCGGGGGATGCTTGGTCAACGCCTGCCACGAACGGCCACGACCCCTACGCCGGTCTATATGCGTCGCCCGACGACCCCTCGATGCCCGCCCCTCGCCTCCGTCTGCGCTTCCGCAAGCCTGAACTCCTATCCCGCCACCCCAGACACGCCCCACCGCAGCCGAAATACGCTTCTCTGGCCGAATGGCTGGGACATGATGACCCATTGGAGGGCGAAGACGCACAGCGCATTGACGACGAGAAAGCGAGGAAGGAGGCCGCGCGGAGGTTGCAGATCGTCCATGCCGCCGAGCATGGCGTCTTGAGTGAGACAACATGCAGCGTCTTCGCCCCCGAGCCTGCCCAGGAACCGCCTCCTCAATATGCGCATTGGGACCACGTCGTGGCGCACGCCTTGCACTTTAGGAAGCTGCTCAAGGAGGAGAAAGACTATCATCGAAAAACGGCGAAGACCCTGGCTAGAGAAGCATACGACTTTTGGAAGAACAAGTTCAAGCGGAAGAGCGAAGAAGAGATCGAACAAGAAGAAAGGGATAGGCAGCTCCTTCGGTACAAGCAGCTAGTCATCAGACGTCAAGGGCGCGTGGGCCAACGTCAAGGTCGAGATCGATAAGGAACGCGTTGCAAAGTACGAGGCAGAACAGAAGGAGCTTGGGCACAAGGTCATGGATGACATGTTCAATCCAGGCGCAGGAGATTCTAGGCCGAAATGCTGCAGATAATGCGTCGTCTCTTGTCAGTGATGACCGCGACTTCGAAGAGGACTTTGGAAGTGGAGCCTCAGACGCTTCTGGTGACGCCAATCCTGACGATGTCATGTCCTCCAGCTCTGATAGCGAAGACGGCGAGGCTCAAGACGAAGACGCCAATCTCACGGCCGAACAGCTCCGCGCCAAATACGAGCAGCTGCCCGAATTACCGGAGAGCAGTTCTGAAGTTGACGCAGAGTCCGGGGAGGAAGAAGAAGGCACAGACACTGATTCGGAAGAGGGCACTCCAGAGCCAACACCTGACCCCAACCTCGAATCTGAAGACACAACCGATCTACCCGAGAACCCCTTCATCCACACCACGAACGGCTTCCATGAGGACGAGGACGCAACGGAAAAGAGGCCAGATAGCTTCGATCTTGCCAATGTCGAACTCGAACAAGTCGACGAAGCTCTCCTAGATTCAGATGAAGATAGCAAAGCTTCAGAATCAGGCAGCGAGGCGTGGTCGAGCGATGAAGACTCTGATGCAGATGGCAATGAGAATGAAGACGAAGACGAGGACGAGATGGAAGTAGAATCCGATGACGACGAGGAAGGCGATGGAGACGCTGGCATGATGGGTTTCTTGGCTCCCAGCGATATCAAGAAGCTGAAGGAAGCGGCTAAGAAGCGAATTGAAGAAGATCAAATGACATCAGATACACCAGCGCCGGAGGCGGCCTCAACAAATGGACACGCTGTAACGTCTACCGAGGAAAACGTTACCAAACCGTACACGAACGGCCACCACAAGACAGTCGAACAGAATGGTGTACATACCAACGGAGATGCAGCGGCGGCTGCCCCATCTGTGGAGGATGCTGAGCAAGTTCCCATGGAAGATGTGGTGCAAGACACAATCGTCTCTCAACCCAGATCACGTCGTCCATCATCTCCACCGCGCAGAGAGATACCACCGCTTCTTCGTGGCACCCTTCGAGAGTACCAGCATGATGGACTTGATTGGCTAGCGAATATGTACGACTCTGAGACCAACGGTATCTTGGCTGACGAGATGGGTCTTGGCAAGACCATCCAGACCATATCTTTGCTCGCCTACATTGCCGTGTACCGTGGCGTTTGGGGACCTCATCTTGTTGTCGTGCCCACCAGCGTCATGCTCAATTGGGAGATGGAATTCCGGAAGTTTTTGCCAGGCTTCAAGATCCTTACCTACTATGGCGACATCAATGAGCGAAAGCGCAAGCGAATGGGTTGGCGCAATACGGGCAAGGATATGTACAACGTTGTGATCACCTCATACCAGCTCATCCTTCAAGATGCAGCAGCTTTCAAGATGCGACCCTGGCATTATCTCGTCCTAGATGAAGCACACAACATCAAAAACTTCAAATCTCAGCGATGGCAGACAATGTTGACGCTTCGCACACAGCGACGGCTGTTGCTCACCGGTACACCCCTGCAAAACAACATTGACGAGCTGTGGTCTTTGCTATACTTCCTCATGCCTGCTGGCTTTGCGGGAGAAGGTCGTATAGCCAATCTCGAGCAGTTCACGCTGGCCCTGAAGGATCCCACAAAGCAGATCCTTGACCAAGGTCGGCAAAAGCTCGATGCTGAGGCACAGAAGGTGGTTTCGCGACTACATGAAGTTCTCAGACCGTATTTGCTCCGAAGATTAAAGGCCGAAGTCGAAAAGCAGATGCCTGGAAAGTATGAGCATGTCGTTTACTGTAAGCTCTCAAAGCGCCAACGCCAACTTTACGATGGGTTCATGGGTCGAGCATCCACCAAGGAAATCCTCTCTTCCGGTAATTACATGTCCATCATCAACTGCTTGATGTCGCTTCGTAAGGTCTGCAACCACCCTGATCTTTTTGAGACGCGAGCGATTGTCACGTCGATGGCTATGCCTCGATCCGTTGTTGCGCAGTACGAGATCAAGAACCTCCTCATTAGCAAGCGCCTACATGAGCGCAAGGACGATGACAAGGTGAATCTGGACGCGCTCAACCTCGTGTTTGCTCGGCGTGAGCAGACACAGATGGGACATGCCCGACGTATTCACCATATTCGAGCGACGCGACCTCTGGAGGATCTGGTGGAGCGTCAGACACGACGTCTGAATAAGCCGTCCGACCCGCCGTCGACATCTCTACAAGCTACAATGACAGCATTAGCTCGTAGGGAACAAGTAGCCGTTCGAGATCATCTGCAACACTGTCTAAACCTGACCAGGGCGCGGACACAGTTCATGCCAATCTACGGCAAAGACATTATCAATGCACTTACTTTGGACTGGCATGATCATACCTTTGGAGCTCGAAGAGAAGGCCGCATGGTTCCGAAACCAAGGCCACTGCAGCAACCGCATCCACTACAGCCACAACAATACATGTACCCAATGCAACCACACATTGCGCCTTTCCAACCTCCCCAAAGCTTCCCGCACGCCAATGTCATATCGCGGCATGACGAGATAGAAAAGGTCAGAATCAAGGACTACCGTGGCGAGCTCGGGTTCCGAGCCCCTCGCTCTATTGCTGCGTCGCTAGAGTGGAACAACGAGCAGGTGATCTCCTTTTTCGACATGGTACCGACCCTTGAGCAGCGTGCTGAGGCCTTTGAACCCTTAATCACTCGGTTCACGTGTGTAACGCCCGCAGTGGTGGCGGAAGAGATTGCTCCATTGGCGCTCTCGCAGCAGGGCGTGGCCATGATCAGACAGTCAGACTTGGCTCATAAGCCGGATCCTTTCCATGAGTCGCGTATAAGACAGTCTATCGCTTTCCCTGACAAACGCCTTTTACAATACGACTGTGGCAAGTTACAACGGCTTGCGACATTGCTACGTGATCTCCAAGCCGGAGGACACCGTGCCCTCATTTTCACCCAGATGACGAAAGTTCTCGATGTTCTCGAACAGTTTTTGAACATCCACGGCCATCGCTACTTGCGCCTTGATGGATCAACCAAGGTCGAACAGAGGCAAATTCTCACCGATCGCTTCAATAGTGACGATCGGATTCTGTGTTTCATTCTTTCCTCGCGCTCTGGTGGCTTGGGTATCAACCTTACAGGTGCCGACACTGTCATTTTCTACGATCTCGATTGGAACCCTGCCATGGACAAGCAATGTCAAGATCGTGCTCATCGTATCGGACAGACTCGAGATGTACACATCTACAAGTTCGTCAGCGAGTACACAATCGAGGCCAACATCTTGCGCAAGTCAAACCAGAAGCGACTCCTGGACGATGTGATCATCCAGAAGGGTGACTTCACAACCGACACATTCAATAAAGTCTCCTGGCGCGACGCGCTCGACGACGGTGTAGGTATCGACACAAGCGACGAAGCCGGCGCCGCCATGGAACGGGTTCTAGGCGAAAGAGCTGGCATCCTCGGCGATGCGCGCGTCATGAACACGGTCGAAGACACCGAAGACCTGCACGCCGCCTCCCTCGCGCAAAAGGAAATCGTGGATGAAATCCACGACGACCAAGTCGACTTCAACGAATCCTCCAACGCCACGCGCGCTACATCCGCTACCGCCGTCTCCCAAGACGAACTCCTCGACGCAGACGGCAACGAAATAGCACGCCGCCATGTTGATGAGTATATGCTGGGCTTGTATAGGGAGGAGTATGGCAAGGAGCCGTATAAGCCGCCGACGGATCGCCAGAAGAGGAATCGGAAGGGCCAGGATCCGCATGTGAGGCAGAGGAAGAAGAAGTATTAGTTATGAGAGATGAAGCTTCAGCCCGAAGCGATTTGTATTAGTATATTGTAATATGAGAAATAGCGTGCTGTGTGCATCGGGCAGGCGTTGATGAATCATGGTGAGATGGACACAATTCACATTTGTTAAAAAGAGCATTGTAAGCTGCGGAGGCTGTGAGGTTGGGCTGAGTTTACTAATCGTGGTGAATTTACTGGTGTAGAGGTATGCGCAGAAGAGCTACGATACGAATCGAGCATCCGTGCAGTGAGATATGTTTCAGTCGTTCCCAGCGAAGCCCCTCAAGATGCATTGCCGGCAACTTGCACTGAGTCCACACGCGAGTCTTTCAGAAGGAAACTGTTACATCACCATCGGCGTCGAGGCTTTCCTGGCGTTTGGCTGCCGGTAGCGTAGATCGTGGCGGCGATTGTTGCTTTGTAAGTGCGTGGCTTTGTGTGAAGAACTGGGGACGTGACTTCCTCGATGCTGTGTTGGTCTCACCTGGTAACATGCTATGATTACTGCACGGCTCACAAAACGCGGGCAGCGGCTGCTCAAAATGGCAACGTAAGCTTTGAGCTCGAGCCTGCTCAGGTATCTGCACTGGTTGTACTACACCGAGTCTGCGCTTACGCAGGCGTTATGGGAAGCTTTGAACATGAGGTTATCTGCGTTGACTGTACTACGTCGAGTCAGCGCCACGCAGGCGTTGTTGGAAGCTTTGAACATGAGGCTATTTGCGCTGATTGTACTACCGACACTGACATTCACAAGAGTGGAGCTGGCGAACAGGCGTCCACATGCTGGAGCTCATATAAGGGCAAGCCATAGCCCCAGCTATTCTGGTGTTCAATTGCCCATCGCTCCTCCCATATTATGCAGTAATCATGGCGACACTGCCTCAGCCACTCGACGATACTCAGGCGATACCTGCCACCTCGAGCAAATAGCCCCTACTTGCTCTGCCTGCCGAACTGCGCAACACGATTTACGAATACCTCCTGATCTTCAGTACGCCCATCCATATCTACTATCGAGCGTACTCCGAGGATGAGCCCCGGCGAGTTCAGTTCCAGCGGAAACACGATGCTGAGAATCCCGCCAAGTTATTTTTGTCCTGCAAGGCCATCAATAGAGACGCGGCCTCGATCTACTACTCGAACAACACGTTCCAATTTCATTCAAACAACAAATACTCAGTTCATCATATTCGCAGGGGTGAACGACGAAGCTTAGTAGAGATACTCGCCGAGTTCTGCAGCATAATTGGCTCGCAGACACCTTTGCTCCGAAAGATTGTTCTGGATATCAATGGTATCCAACACGATGATATTTATCTCCCCGAATATCCTTGTCACGAATGCCCGGTATTCAATGAGAGGTCTGACTTGTTCCACATCACTCCTTTGTTAAAGGTGGTTTGGGATCTTGAGCTCAATGTCCATGTTCGTATAACTGGAGATGATGGATATTATAGGGGGTGTTTTCATAATACTGAAGCGATGACCCGCGTCGTTCGTTCTATCCTCAGCGGCCAGTTGGGTCTCCGCCAGTATGGCCCTCAGATGACCGCAGTCGCCGTCAGATATGATGGGTCTGGAGGCGCGGTCAACTGGGCATCGTCCGAAGCCTACATCCGGGATCCAAAACTCCAGCTTCGTCCAGGACCGGATAGTGTTGACTTCACGGCGGCAAATGATGGACAACAGCTATGCTTAGAGAAGCCAAGCCGCCCAAGGACTCTTCTCAGTCTACCTGAGGAGGTGCTTAACACGATAGCTGAGCTTGTCATGAGAAACGATGATATGATACTGGACCTGAACAAAGACACCAGCCTCACACAAGGATTTGCACACGTCAACAAGAAACTGTACAGAAACTGGCGATATATGTTCTTTCGTGAACAGAAACATACGCTGCTCATCTCCACCAGTAATAGTCGTAGCACCTTCTCAAATTTCGACAAGCTCCGCCCTGTACTGCGGAAGGTGTTTCAACTGGACTGCTGTCCTTCAGGAGAAGTATCGGATTGCTATCTAGGCTACGACAACGAACTGGTCGAGATTGTAATTGAATTCAGGCTGGACCATAGCATCTCGTTAGCCGAACTCAAGTTTAGTTGCTTACCATTAGTCATGGAGACAGCTGGCTTTAATGATCAAGACAGCCTTATTGTTCGCCCGCGGGCTCTCGGTAGCGACAAAGTAGTTGAAGAGATTCGCATCCAGTTCCAAGATCTACGCTTGAAAGTCGTCAAAGCGTTGATGGATGTCATCTTCCTGGCTCAGAACAGGTGCGAACCTGAGATTTGGATCAACGGCCTCGGCGAGGTAGTCGAAGTAACCTCCAAATCCTACCAAGAGTATCCCCAAGACGATATACCGGACACAGCGACTGAATTAACGCTGGTTGAAGGAACGGAGAAAAGTAGCAACTATTACACTTTTCCTAAATTACATCGCAGGGATTCTGTCTATCGTCTATGCGCCGACCACAGCCAGTGTAAGATAACGGATCTAGACCAATTCTTCCCATTTTCCAGATCTCCTTCTGAGGCACTGCACTACTTGACCTGGATACTTCATCGCACTTCCCGGAACAGCAAATTTTACAGGTATCACCGAAACCGCTCACTCGGGTAAGTGAATGTTTCTCTATCACAATCATCATTGCAGGCGTTTTGCTAATAAATGCAGCCGAACACCAGGTCGAAGGTTGCATTGTAACTGTGTTAGGAACACTTGCGAATTCTCTAGGCACAGGAAACTATGGACGTGATGGTCTATCATAAGCCCACCCGCTGGTGATGCCGGTTTGGAGAACAGAGGAGCAGCTGGAATAAGCTGTTTGATGCAAGGTCTTTACAAAACATGAAAATACTAGAGAAATTAACTGAAAATCGCTCAAAAAACTATGAATCTTATTGAGACATCGGCAAAGCACACGCTTTCTCGTCTTGTTTGGAAAGCGATCATTTCTACAAGCACGGTACGAGAAAGCTCGCATGCAAATGATTCATTCTACTACCAATACACCTTCAATCACCCGAGCGTAAAGCCGTGCCATGAAGCTCAGCCATCCGAAGAACAACAACAGCCTCGTCGTCAGAATACGGCAGCGTGGCCCAGCCCTGGTTATCGAGCATAGCCTGATGCAACCCACCAAGAGCGGTCTCGACCTGATCCGCCATGACAAGGTACCGAAGTCCCCGCAAATGCACACGCGGCTGCAGTATCTTGGGAGCGACCGCATCCACACGATCCAAATACGTACAATGGACAGCAGTCTTCCAGCGATCATGCAAGCGCCGCAACTGGTCATCTGCGTCTTCAGCAATTTGCTCGAAGCGCTCGCCCGCATCTTCAGGGAGATACTTGCACTGAGCGAGGATCAAGTGGAGGTCCTTTTGAGCTTGGCGCATGTGACCGCGGTGATGCGCGTCGTGCCAGGCGCCGATGATATCTGCCAGGTCTTCCTGATTGTCGTGGTGCTGAATCAGGTTGGTGAGACGCCTATGAGCGGCTTCAGCTAGACCTTCACCTGCCTCAGATGAAGACATGCGCTCGAAGGCTTGACACAGCTCAGGAGAGTGTAGGACGGCGCTGGTGTCCCAGTATCGGGCGTTGTTCTTGCTCTGCTTCTTCAGGTACTTCTTGCACTCACGGAATATCCTAGTGCGTTTGGAAGGAGGCATGATGATGGTGATAGGTTGATGTTTCTATGTGGGGAGAGACCTGCGAGCTTTGTAAATAACGAAGCCTGGAGGGCCTAATTTGCGGACGCTTGATCACCTGTTATCTATACATGCATAATTTAAGGTTGGAAGTGCTATCGCATTACTATTTGTGTACAAAGTTAAGAAGTTCAACCTGAGGAAAGAAAGTTAATGCCTTCCTCTACCTACTTAGCACTGCACAACACGAGCTTCTGGTATGACAATGTTAAATGTGGTTTTGCAAGAGTCACTGTTATGGATTCTGTGTGACGAATTGGAAAAGCTATTTCAGCACTAGACGGTGCGATGATTCGTGTGCTCTAGTTGTGAGATACGAATGGGAATGTGTGGAAGCTCAGGCTTAATAACTTCTAGTTCTAACTTACAACAGTGTTCCAGCTTTTGCGAAGGGCGCACAAGTTGGTGCAGCGGCACACAGGATGGAACATGCATAATTAATTGTCAAGTAAGGTCATTCGATGATCATTTGTGAAGCTCAACTCTGGAGTCTAACTGTAGATTCTCTTCTGCTTCCTGAGAATTACTAGTGTCCAGCGATTGCTACACACCTATTTCCTCCGATTCTACGATCTCGAGGAAAGTTATCTTGCGCGCTCAGCCTTTTTTCATCGCGCGTTTCGACTGAAAAGCGCGAACACGAAATGTTGAATTGGTAGTTGGCGCTACGCCCCCGTCTTTGCTGCAATCAAAACTCTCTGCAAAAGCTACTCCTACCTTTTGGTCCTTCTTCGGCTTGAAGGTCTTCGACATTCCTTTACTTTTGCCCTTTGCAATACCGGTGCTTTCTTCAGGTGCAGATAGTGAAAGACTAGGCGAAGACACGTTGCATGTTTTGTGCTTAGCGGCTTTTCGAGCAAAATGCTTGCTGTGAAAGCTCGCAGATACATAGCCATGCTCTTCTAGATGTTTTTCCAACAGTTTGTCGGCGATCTCCATCTCGGCCTTCATGTCGATTTTACATATAGACTCTTCATCCAGTTCGAGGTCGTTCAGATCATCAAAATCGCAAAGCTTCACGTCCTCACCCTCCGCTGCTTTGTAGAAGGCTGCGTTGTATCCTTTTTGTCTAGGGTGCTTCCCGCATCCTTGACTGCGGAACGCGAAGCGCTCGCCACAGCGTTCACGCTTGCCGTTCCGTGTTGCCCATTCAGAGCAGAAGCCGTAGTGTAGATTCTCATAGCAAGCTGTCTTCATCTTTGCCTCGCATCGTTCGCAGTGATGGGTTTGTGACAAAAGTGCCCCGGTGGTCAGATTGCGAGTTAGCGCTTTGAACCTGCCAGAGTTGAAGAGATCATTCTCGCCATAAGATGCGTAAAGCGCTCTCAGCTTCTTCTTATCAAAATTCAGCTTCTGAACCATGTTACAAACAGGCCTGGAGGTTGTTGGGTAAACGACGTGCTAGGGAATAGGGGTCTGCTGGCGAAATTTGGTTGTTGCTTTTAAAACGGTGTGTTACATTCGTTCACTGGAAGCAAAGGGGAATGATATATGGCTATTTACTTTGCAACGTTGTTCATCGACATTGCCAGAAAGGCCGGGACCAATGTCGGGATAACTCTATGCATGGTCAGCACATAATGAGCACTTTGGCTCGCTCAAAATTGTAAAGTATCAGTCGAGCCTAGATTCTTTTAAGGACAATGTCCAAATATCGCAGTGTTTCGTTGTGGTTTGCTAGGTGATGCACATGGCATTGTGTGAACATGTCGCGTACACAATGTCTTTCATGTCCTCTGAGTACCCACAGTGCCGCCACAGGACCACCCTAAAACTACTACAAATACATTTCATTTCTACACATCTAAGTACGGCTATAATTTTCAGTACTTCCTTCCCAGTATCAGATCAACCAAAAGTTCAAAACTTACAACATGATCTTCAAGCGAACAACAGAGAGCTCTAAAGCGTCTTTGCGCCTTGCACCAAACCAACTTCAAAAGCAGCCGCCGCTAATTGAACGTTCCTCCAAGACCAAACCCAATATGAAGCCTCAGAAGTCGTGTCTGGCAAGCATTCGAAAGAAGACAAAGCAACTGTTTGAGCTATATCGTTCCGCAGATCAAGCGAACTTGTGGACGACTTTTGTGACTACGCAAGACAGTACAGACGCGTCGATGAAATCTAATCGGCATCAGTATGGTAGTCACTTCATGCGTAGGTTCTTCTGCATTCTCGGTTTCGAGCGCAATACCAACAAGCACTTGGACGATCGCGCCGAGCCAGGTCTAGTAAATCCAGGCAACAACGTAAGCGATTTCCCCGACTCAGGCACATTTGTTCCCGACGACGACGAAAGCGATTGCGTCGATTCAGGTTCAGTTGTGCCAGACGATGGTGAAAGCGATTACAGCGACGATGGAGAGCCTAATGAATGCAATAAGGATGACCGACGAAACTTCAAGGCAATTCGACAGATCTCTCAAGAAGCATTGGAGGATCTCGTTCTGGAAACCTTGTATCCTGTGAACAAAATTCGATCACACACGTGTCGCATCGCACACCGTAAGGAGGGTTCTTTTCATCACTGTGTCTTCTTTGACATTGACGATGGTCAAGAGTCTGAACAGGCATATGTACTGCGTATCCCAGCTCATGGGACGCAAGGGAAATGGCAAGAGGAGGACGCATTCATGTTACGCAACGAGGCTGTTATGATGCAACACATTCGACATCACACCAAGTGTCCAGTTCCGGAAGTCATATCGTTCGACCAGACGCTGAACAACTCCATTGGTGCACCTTATATCTTGATGAAGAAGGTCACAGGTATGTCGGCACTCGATGTGTGGCAGGGCAACCATTTGTACGAACCACCCGCACCTGGCGATGAATACCTGAACGCCGACCAGCCATCTGTATTACTGGAAGCGATTCGCATCAACTTCATCAGGTCGCTCGCAGTAGCTATGAGCCATCTACACAAGCTTGAGTTCAGCAACATCGGCGTGCCAGTCTTTGAGCATCCCGAAGATGAAGAGCCTTCTTCAATAGGTCCGGCTTATGTTTGGCATACCAAGTCAACTATGCAGCCCATCAAAGGTATTGGCCCGTTTCCCACCAGTCGTCAATTCTTCGAGGCAGGTGTACAACGCTGTTGGAGTCTGGATGTTACTGAGCTTGATGACATGCATTCAGATGACGAAGAGATGTTGGAACACAAGGGTATCAAAAAGATTTTGAACCTGGTTGTAGAATCTGAGCCTTTTGCTGCACCTTACGAATCACTTCCGTTCGATTGCTTAGATGAAGAAAGCGCAACGAATCCAGCTGCGCCGAAGCTATTTGTTCTGCGTCACGATGATCTTGATCTCCAGAATATCCTGGTTGACTACAAGGGTAATGTGACGGGCATCATTGACTGGGACGGCTGTATGGCAGTACCGCGCTGCGTTGGCTATACTTCACTGCCAACCTTCCTGCGTCGCGATTGGCTTCCGGGCCATATGGTGTCTGGCTGGCCGTATATCACTTGGTCCATTCAGCGCTATCGAGAGGCCTACAGTGCAGCTATAAAAAAGGCTTGCGGTAGCGATAATAATGATGCCAGGTTTACAAAGAAGTCGGCCATCTACCAAGCACTGTTTGCAGTTTTGTACGAAGACGAGGAGTGCCCTACTGTGTTGGGTAACATGTTGGGAGAGATTGATGGATTTAGACGCGTAGATCCGTGGGATCTGTGCGTTCAGTTGGGCAAGGGCTGGCCTGCTGCGGAGAAGGTACTGAAGGGGAAGATCACCCATTTGTTAGCACCGTAAGGTCTGCATATGGCGCCGTTTCTCATTACACCTCTACACTTCGCAATCACTTAGATACATGGAAGATATAGTCAGTAAAAGATATCCAGTACAATGATTCCGATATCCCATAAAATGAATGAACTATTTGTGATTTTCATGACAATTCACATGACAGTAAGGAAAGAAAGGGATCATGACATGTAACATGTTGTACTTGTTCGTATACAGTGCTGACAAGAATGAACTACACACTGAGCGCTACATCATCGAGAAAATGACTTCCGCCTGCACATCGATATCCGCCACTCTGCTTGATCCAGTGGAAACCCGCCGGACATGACCCCAGCTGCCTCAATCTCATCTGTCGTCGCTTCTCCATCTCGCGTGCTTCTTCTATTGCTGCCAAGATCGCCTCTTTGCGTCGGCGCTCTAGCTCTGCCGCAACTCTCTCTTGCTCACGCATGCGTCGTTCTTCTTCATTGGCAGCCTCCTTCTCAGCATGCTTCAGGGCTTCGATGCGCTTCTCTTCCCGTCGCTTTTCCTCTTGAAGACGTCTGTATTCGCGTTCTCGGGCTACCATCGCATGCTTGTCCAGCTCGAGTTGTTCCCAAATTGCATCCGAAACACCGGCATCGCGCTTTGCTTTGAAGATCGACTCAAGCGGGATCTCTGTTGTTTCAATAGTGTCGACTTTCTGGATGGCGACATGCTCTTCTCGCTGCTCGATTTTCGAGGCTACACTGACGGGTGTCGATATTTGAGCTGGCGGAGGTACGCTATGTACCGAGGATTTGGATGCACTGGGCGGCGGCTTACAATGTTGTTGAGGCGGGACGGGCTGCATGGTTCGTCTGTTTGTTCCAACAGCTTCATTGCGGCGCGAGCGCTCCTCCAAAACGCTCTCCATGGTATCAAGAATGATAACCTCTGTAAGTACAAGCTTGGACACAGGTTGAGATGCTTTGGAAATTAAAGCCCCAAACATCTTCTTCGCCAGGGACTTGACGTCGCGCGCATTTCCCCATGAATCAAGCCTCGAAAGCATGTCGAATAGCCCAATTACGCGATTTTGCAGTTGAACAGAAGGAAACTCTAGCACAGAAAGGTCCAATGGTGCCTTCTTGCGCTTCTGCAGGTTGCGGAGGTCCTTGGTAAGAAGTTCGAGGGATATCTCAGGGTCCAGATGTTTGAATATGACTGATTCCGGGAACCGACTAGTCAGGCCTGGATTGATTGTCATGAGTCGATCTATATCCTTGTCGTAGCCAGCAAGAATGGTGATAAGCTTGTGTGCAAATTTTGGCTTTGTGAGACAGTCCACAAGCTCATCCATCGCTTCGGTTGCGAAGCCCCCTTCCGCAAGACGGTAAGCTTCATCGATGAACAATACCTTTCCCATGGCCTTTTCGAGTAGCTTTTGCACTTTGGGTCCGGTATGCCCGACATACTGCCCTATTAGGTCCGTTGCTGAGCAGTCCACCACCTTTGCTTGGCTAAGCAGACCCATGTCATAAAAGACCTTACCCATTTTTTGAGCTGTGGTAGTTTTTCCAGTACCTGTGACCTGATTAGCCAGTCATAATGGCTTCAGAAAGATACATTTTTTTACCAGGCGGTCCTTTGAAGAGAAAATTGAAAGGCAGTTGTTCACGCGGGTCCATGCCTAAGGCCTTCATGTTCGCAGCTGTCGTCTGGTAACCTTGGAATTGTTTGATAAGATCCTCGCAACCGACAACATCTTGAAACAGGGCAGGGAGATTGGTTGCGGCGCGATCACCTCGATCGTAATCTGGGTCAAAATCGATGGCCTCGAATGTGTCGAAATCCTTAACCTTACCAGCAGTCATGTGTTTCTGGTGCATTGCTTTTGCTCCATCAAGGACTATGTCGACTTCGCCTGCGTTTCCGAAGTTGGGTCGATTCCTGGCTCGTCGAATGACATCCATGGCAACATTCTTAGCTTGATCTGTAGCGTTGAAACCCACATCTTTCAACTTCAAGTCTAGGATACGCCGTATTTCTTCATCGTCAAAGTCTTCGAACACAAACGCTGACCCAAGAGGGAAACGACGGGCAAGTCCAGGGTTGACGTCTCGGAACATCTCTTCCATCTGATCCTTGTAGCCCAGAAGAAGCACGCATCGATCCTCGCCCGGGGTACTCTGAACTTCAGCAACGATCGTGTCGATCACGGCAACTTTATAAGGGTCACCTGCAGCTCCGCTTGCAAGCATGTATGCCTCATCGATGATAAGAACTTTTCCGGCAGACGAGGCCAGGATGCCCTTGGTGTTCGCTTCGGACCCGCCCAATACACTACCAATGAAGTCGGCAGGGCTTTTCATAACGACTGAACAATGTCAGAATGTTACAGTTTGGCCAAAGTCCTGGAAGCTCACCCTCTCCGTTGGACAACAGCCCAATATCCGCCAAAATACGTCCATACAATTTTGCTACTGATGTCTTTCCCGTGCCGGGTGAGCCTATGAAGCACCTGTTTAGCGAATATTGCACCAGTGTCTTTTCCTGCAGTTCGCGCTGGTAGTTGAACTGCAACCCATCGAGAAGAGCCTGCACTGACTGTTTGACCGATGCCAGACCAATCAGTTTCTGCAGTCGCAACCATGAGGTATTGCTCTTGAGGATGGTGGATGGCTCTGGGCCTATTAAGTCCTCCTTTGTGAGTAAGTTATCATCGGGCATCAGTCCAGCTTTCCTTTCTTTTCGAAGACGCTTTGATTGCCGTTCCGTGATTTGTGAGACCTTGTTTTGAACGCTCCGGGCGTTGCCGAAGCCATCCCGACCACGGCCTCTACCGATGCGACGCGCAACGATCCGAACGTATAGACCCTTCATCCCACCTTCTACTTTCATATTACTCTTGTACTTCGCATTGATGTAATGTACCAGGATGTGCTCCAACTCTTTATCGTTGTAGTCTTGAAACTCCATTATGACCGGTATGCGACTAGGAATACCCGGATTATGGGAAAAGAACACTTCCATCTGCTTGTGATAACCTGCCAGGACGAATACAACTTTACCCGTTAGGTTCTCCATCTCTGCCAGTAGATAGTCTAGCACAGCTTTGCCGCCGAAGCTGTTTCCGGAAACCAGCTGGTACGCTTCATCGATGAAGAAGACACCACCGCCTGCTTCCAAAATCTTATCGATATGCGCTTTGCAGGTTGTGACCCCATCGTTTGCGAGCGAGGATCCAGAGCTCTCAAAAAAGCGATCTCCAGGAAGTGCACCAACTTTGACCAAGAATTTGGCATATAAGCGTGCAATAGTCGTTTTCCCTGAAGGGTGTTAGTTACACTCAGTAACTGTAAAGGATACGTACCAGTGCCAGGATTGCCTAGCAAAGCTGCCCCAAGCCGCTCTCCTTTCAAAGATACGTTCTGGCGGATAAGGGTATCGACCTTGCTTTTGGTGGCAAGGAACTGCTCTTTCACGGACTCGAGGCCTTATTGGAACATTAGCAAACGTAAACAGTCATCAGAAAAACTTGCCAATCATGGACATCAAGGAGTCTAGTGCCTCATTGTCTGCACCCCACAAAGTCTTCTGTTCTTCCCAGTCGTCCTTTGCCTCGCTCTTGTCCCGTTCAGGATAGTCACTATCCTGCTGCCGTGCCGTGCCATCTGAAGCTGATTGAGTTTGATCCAGAGATCCACTTGAGCTTTGATGGGATGCAGGCGAATCTCCAGACACATTTGAGGCGCGATCGGCCGCTGAATCCGGGGGCGTGGCAGGCTCCGGATGCTTCGAAACTTTCACCGGAGCTTTGATCTTCTTCTGCAAATTGGTGAGATCCTGTTTTTTCTGAGCCAATGCCTTTTGACGCTCTTCTTCAGCAGCGCGGTCACCCAGCAAACGCTTCTGGTGCTCAATCTCGTCCTCAATTTCAGCGAGTCGAGCTGCATACGCCTTCTGGTTTGCCTGCCGCTCTTGATCCAATTTGTGATCACGTTGCCGGCGCCGTTCTAGTGCGCGCGCTTCTGCCTCGCACTTTTGACATGTTGCGCCGGCTGTGTCGTGGCATTTCCTCGTGACTTTATGGTCCTGGGCACATTTTGATGTTACAATGGCTTTGCATTTCATCTTACTATGATCCGAAAGCTGATGACATCTCTGTGGACAAGGGTGGATGCCGCAGCCGAGCATTTTGCCACTGTGTTTATTAGAAGAGATTCACAACAGCGTTTGGAAGTACTTACCATGGTTCGGAACAGCCCCCATCAGGGCAGACTGAATCGAATTGCTCTTTCTCGGTGAGTAGTGCTGTTCGATCTGGATGCTGCTCACACTTCACCGGAAAGCCATCATATACATGGCCTCTACGCTTGAGCTCCTCCATTAGTGGAATCCACACGTCCTTTCCTTTGCGACTGTGCATGAATGTTTCGGCATTTCCGATTAAAATTAGGGCATTTCGGGCTCGAGACAGAAGAACATTAACTCGCTGAGGAGCACTCATGAATCCGATGTCACCGTCGCTATTGCTGCGGGTCAAGCATGCGATGACAATGTCACTTTCTTCACCTTGATAATTGTCTGGGAATTGTCAGATTACGATTCGGGGACTTGCAATGCGCTCCCGTTACTGGAGCGCCTTAAGCTTCACTGACCAATAGTTGAGATACGAAGCCGCCGCTTTTGTATACCTGCACCGGCTGGTGTCAGTAACCCAGCTCGAATCAGTTCGTGCGAGTCGAGATCATTGAGGATTGGATCGTTATCAGCTGAAAGTGTTTTCAACAGGAGCGAGAGTTGGCCGAGGTATGGCGTAAGGATAACAATGTCGTCAGTACCATACCCTTGTTGGCCTAGGTATCGAACGCATTTCAATACCATGTCAGCTTCGTAAGAATTTTCTTTGCTGGTTTTGGCACCCTCATCGCGCCGATCAGCTATTCGGGTGGCACTCAACTCCGGCTTCGAGTGCGTCACAAATAGGACATTATCCTGAAATCCACGAAGATCTGGTCTTCCTTGGGCACTGTCTGCGTCTTGCAGCTCAGGGTAGGTGAGTGCTCTAACAAGTGCAGATATCTCAGGCCGCATTCGGTGTTGCTTGCTGAGAGTGGTATGGGGCACTCCAGCAAGGACAAGCCTTTCGAACAAGGACACGTTGAGGTCGTATCCTTCGCCCTTCTCTACTGACAAGGCATAGTTGTTCACTTTCGGGCGAAGTTGTTTGTGGTCGCCTATCAGAATGAGCTGCTTTGTGGCGGGTGTCAATGCGGTGAGAATGTGGCTCTCCAAAATTTCTCCGGCTTCTTCGACAAGTATGATCCCCGGAGAAGCTTTCTGAATATCTTGCGTATATTTTGCAGCTGCAGTTGTTGTACAAGCGACGATACGCTTGTTACTGATGACGTGCGAGTCTTTCATGTGGAACAGCTGCTGTGTTCTGTTGCAGCAATCGTCGTACTTCGCTGCAAGTGTGCTAATACCTGCTACTTGCTCTTCAATCAATTCTCGAATCCACTTGTTCCTCATAGCCAGTCTTGTGTTGTGATCGGTAGTCCAAATCTCAGCAAAGCTCGAAAGTGCGCTTGCATTGAAGATCCCCGCATCATCACCCTTGAGCCATCGCTTGATCAGATACGATCGCTCGATCCGCTTGTTCTTCTTTCCTACAAGTTTCATCTCGCCCTTCTGCTCAGGTACAACCAAAGCGTCGAAGTATTCGGAGTCGTCGGAGAATTCCAGATGTTCAAGAAGCGTGTGTTCGTTCAGGCCCAATCTAGTATATCGTGATAACTTGTCGGAAAGAGCAGCATGATAGGCTTCAGCTTGCGCCTTCTGGTCCTGTATCATGGTGTACGTTTCGCGACTCATTTTGTAATCGTTGGGCTGAGCGGACATACTGAGAGCCTGTGTGCTACTGCTGAACTTTCCCCCCAGTCGCACGACAGAGTCTGATGGGATACCAGCAGCCTGGATGTCAATAATCATCTGGTCTAGCGCATGGTTTGTGAATGAAAGCACTAGTATCCTCTCATCAGTATGATCATGCAGTATCTTCGCGATCAAGGCACCAATAAAAGATTTGCCAGTTCCTGGGCAAGCAAGTCAATATAATCTAATTCATCGGTGTATAGTGCAGCAGAGAACGACTCACCTGGTGGCCCTTGGATCAAACTTAGTCGCTTGGCTAGGCCAGTAAGCAAAGCCTCTACTTGGGCAAGATCGAGCTTGACGGGTCCAGTGGTCCCGATGTGATCCCGAAGATCCGCCTCCCAGGCATCGCGAATTGTGTTGATGATGTTGTTAGGCTGTATGCCGGAGAGAACTTCGCCTGCTCCTGGTGTCAAGTTCAGCACCTGTTCCTTGAGGGGTAACTCGCTCATTGACCGAAGGCATTTCAAGATTGGTTCATATGCGAAGACGGCAGTATCGACCTGCACAAAATTTAGATCTTGTCCCGTCTTGCACGCCATCAGCACTTTGGCAAACGATGATGCATCTGCCGTTCGCAACACAACGACGGAAGGCTCTCGCGCGAGCAAATCTTCGTCCCGTTCTACGGTCGCGAAACCCACTATGCTGCTGTTGCTGATAAGACAACCAAGTGATTGGTGTTTGAGCATGTTCCTGTTCTCTGAAATGTACTTTTTACGAGCTATGGCGCCCTTGATGTTGCGTAGCTGAGGTATGTCACTCGCACATTCAAGTTTGAGCGAACAGGGCTTGCGCTTGTTATCCGGACCGCATTCAATACCAAGGAATCGCAGATCCTCGAGAACAGTTTTGCGGCGTCCTTTCTTTTGACCAGTTGCAATTTGGAAGTCGCTGCGGAGCTCTCCAAGTAGGTCTTCGCGGAGAAGGCGGAACTGGTTGTCAAGATGCACTAGCCCTCGACTCCCTGCTTCAACTGCCTGGACATCGTTTGAGCGCCTATAGAAAGGAGTCTCTCTAGATGCGAATTCATCTGGAGTAGGCAGGATTTTGACCTGCCGATAATCGGCAAAGTCATTGTCATGACGGCCGCCGGGACCATCTACGGCGTCTGTGGAGGTGCTCTGGAGGACATGCTTAATCTTGTGTCCTAGGTTCCTGACCTCCAGCGATTCCGAATTGATGAGTGATTCGTTGCTCGTGACACGATGCGCGATGTCGCGTACATCTGGTACGCTGTCGGAGCGGCCATGAAGGAGCTCGAGCAATAGCCATGCGAACGCGTGCGTACCGTCATGCGTAAGCACACGTGCGTTATGTGCCTCGACATAGGTGTTCCAGAATGTTGGGGGTTCTACAATCTGTTCGAGGACGCGATGCAGGAACTGGCCTGCGTAGAGCTGCTTCACTGATGGATGAGCCAGATGGTGCAGGGTAGAAGTGGCCGGTCCATTGAGAAAGGCGGTGTTGGCGCTAAACCGGAAAGCAGCTCCGACCGCACCAAGGGCCTTCGGGGCTGCTATCAACTGCTCGACACATTTCGACACATCCTCTTGAGCACAGAGCGCTTCCAAGAAGCGGTTGGCATTCGCCGCGCTCTTTAGATCGCGATGACCGAATATGACAGCGTTGAAGAGCTTCGTAAGCCCGATGGCTCGCTTCGCAGCGACCTCCTCATCCGCCATGCTTTCAAAGGTAGTTATTCTTATCGAAAATTGTGTTAACTAAGGGAAATTGGAAAATAGATTGAACTGTTGAGAGCAATTGTGGACTGCGCCTTTCATATCTCTTCTACTGACAGCAAGATGCACCAGGCTACTACTCCGCGGTGCCTTGCCTTTGCGATAAAGGGCAGTGCACACTGATTGGACGGGAGTCTCAGGTTTTTACGCGGCATTGCATGGTATACTATCTACCTGCATGCTCTGGGACGTTTGGACGAATTGAGGCCTACCAGATTGTGTGCTGTGTTACCTGGCCGCGGAACAAACCACGCCACATGCGCTCAGCCTGGCTCCGACGACAAGGAGTTTTCAGACCTGAATTATCACTTTCTACCTGATCTATACCACTTCTCTCATAAATCTCATCCGTTAATCTGTAATTGCGATATATTTCAACGCAATGTCTGCTATGCCGTCCTACAGAGGAGGCTATGCCCCACGAGGTAGTCGCGGGGGATGGAACGGGTCCTTCTCAAAATCAAAGAAGCCTTTTGTGAAACCTGACATCGAGAAGAACCCGCTTGGGCAGCTTTTGCAAACCATCAAGATCGCTGACTTGAAGGAGGGCAGCATTACTACGTTGCCAGGTGGTTCAATCACCGACCTATGCTACATCGCATCATACAATTGGCGCAGCGATACTTCTGTAGCGATACTCATACCAGGTAGGTTATTTTTCGACGTGTTTTGGTGCTGATCTTACTGATTTCTCTCAGGCAAGCCTCCGCAATGGACTCCTCTCCAAGATCTCCAACGCCTCCCTGAAGACAACGGACAGTACTTTCGCGATCCAAACGCTGCGAGGTGTCCACAATATCCAGTCGCGCCTGTGGTGCAGTCTGTTCTGCATCTCCACGCAGACTTTCCTACTCGAAGCATGGACATAGTGGCTTGTGGAAGTACGTTGGGCAACCTTCTGCGTTTCGTTCGTGGACAAGACAAAGCTTTTCGATTCCTTGCACAGGTGATTGGGAACACAGTATTCTTCCTTCGCAAAGAGAACGACCCAAGAGAGCTCATACCGAATGTCAGAGGATATGGGCACTCTTTCCCAGAGGCAAATACGACCTGGGAGAATGACGTGAAAGGCTCCGAGACACACCAGCGTATCGTTCAGTATGACCTCGGAGGTCTCAGATTCTTGGTCCGCTTCGAATGCGATGGCTACATCATGGACGAATCCTTCAAAACCAAAGATAGGGTCAAGAAAAAGCCCACTGCCACCACTCACATTGACGATCTTCTACCTGGCTTGGGCACTGCCTCAATAACTCCAGCACCCCTGTCACGGTCTCCTGGCTCTGATTATATACCAATCGAACATGGAGGGACAGAAATTCCCCAACACTCCATCTTCGACCTGAAGACCCGCTCAGGAAAATACAAGAGTGAGATCGACATGAGCGACATATATCCTCAGCTCTGGATCAAGCAAGTCCCGAATTTCATCGTCGCCTACCATGACGGCGCTGGTCTGTTCAAAGACGTTAGGGTCCAAGATGTGCAGAATGAGGTCCTAAAGTGGGAGGCAGACAACATCGAGGCCATTCACCGCCTCACGGTGTTGTTGAACAGGATAGTGGCCTTCGCAAGGAACGACCAGGGCCTGTTGGAGGTGTATTGTCCGCACGAAGATTGCTTGGAGCTACGAAGACAGCATGGACAGGGCACAAATGCGCTACCCGGCGAATTGAGGGATGCATGGGCGAATGAGGCATTTTCGGACTCTGATGATGGCGGTCTCGAACTGGATCAGGGCTATGAGTCAGCTGAAGACTACAAAGCTGACTCGGATGAGGATGAGCCAGATTATACTGCGTGCTCTGTGGAAGATTGTGGGTATTGCGGGAAGTGTACATACTAGCACACAACTCTGGATCAAATCACACTCAAGGTGGCTATTGTCACAGGAAGAAATCAACACATGAAATTGCTTTCTCTTGCAATGCATTCTATTGTACAATCAATGTTGTGACCCATGCATCGAATGTATAATTCATACTCCTACTGGATTGTATCATGTCCATCTCCTGAGAAATAAACGGCTCAGTGATGCTGCAACTTCTACCTAGCAGGCCCGCGTCTTCATTCTGCCATCGTTTACGGACAGTAATATCCAAAGCTGCGATACTGCTCGGACCCATTCCCATGTAAGAAGCATAACGCATTATCAGTAGGGATACCGAGACGGCTGCCATCATTCAGCGACTGGTTGTTGCCAGTATAAAGCGTGAGGTGATATCCAGCGGAGGTTTGCAAAACCTGGATGGCTCCTTGGGTTCCTTGCAATTGCTAAAATCAGGGATGGCTTCATGAGTGTCAGAGTTTACCTGGAAAGCTGACCTTCACCGTTGCAGGATTGAGGCTGTAGGTCTCCCCGAAACCTTGGCAATTTAAGTGGTCAAACGCGTTGAAGTTGAGTCGGCCGTTTGCGGCTACGAGAGAGACTGTGGGAAAAAGGACGTAGAGGGATTACATTGTGCTTGTTGGTGCTAGCCTGAAGCGTGCTCTAATGAGTTTAGTGGTTCAGAGAGGACAGAAGAGAAGCGAAGGAATCTGTAGAGCTCGATGCCAAGTATCTCGAAGAAAGAAAGATGAGGGTTTGTACTCGAATGCCATGTTCATGAGTAAGTTGCGATTATCAGTAGCTTATTCATAGTCTGGGGTATGTATTAGCAATACGACATCGCATAAGAATCACTTTTTTCGTGGACGTTGGAGGCTAACAGTGTTGGCCTTGTTCAAGAATCAATGGTAGGTCTTATGCTGGAGTCTCAGAAGACTGTCAAGCAGCCCGTATTGGGGTGCGTGCAACCCTCTGCTGTTAATTGAGATCATTGCATACCCGTTTGTATTACAGACCAGGTGCACATCTCATGTAGTACTATGAGGCATTATTAGGCATTAGTAGCTTGTGCCTTCATCTGATTCTGGTCTGAGAACCTTGACTTTTGTGCGACCCAACAAGTATGCCAGACGGCATCCAACCCAATTTTCCACCTCTTCAAATTCGTTTGTTTCGTGTTGCACATTGCATATATAGCAGTGGCTTAAGTAATAATGCACTAGTTGGGTTTAGCTCTATGTACTCAGTCGCAGGTCTTCGTGTTCAATTCTGATAATGTTGATTACTCGTTGCTGGATGCCCTCTTTGACTAAGACTAGATTTATAGATAACGATTAAGAATGCCTAAGAGATTCGCTTCTTGATCAGCTTTTTGACTCGCCATAGCAGGCTGACTGGTTAGGGGTTTTGTATGGAGACACCAATTACACGCGCATCGAATAGATTAAGCAAAGTCTTTACAAGTTTAAAATCCAGCTTGTCCGGAATCACTCCCTACAAGTTGGAAAGTATTGCTTCGAGAGATATCGCGCCCTTACAAGCTAGGTCGTCGGTGATAGTGCGTAGTAAGCGCACGTAGTGAGATATGAACGCGCGCGGTTCAACGTGGCTGCCGAGTTAAACAGGAGTGTCATAACTAGCGGACACGTGTTATAAACTCGAGCTCAGGGAAAGGAGAATGATTTCTTGTACAGCCATAGGTGTCTTACTCGTAGATCCTGTTTGAAAGGTCGCGAGCTGCAACAAACGTGCTGTGGGCGTTCGTGGCCTTGCGACAGCATTGCATGAGGCCTCAAGTGGAGTAACGCGGGTGCAAAACGCATCGAAAACCGGTGCACCGAAATGTTGAATGTGTGCGTTCCTCGTACATGCCGTCCAGAGTAAGAGCGGCACCCCAAATCGGCTGGGTGACGTCATGGCGACCGTGATTGCTTCTTTCCGCCCGTTCTGTTGTGACTAGAATATCCTGCACACGACAACACGATTGAGATTTCATCCCGACCCGTGCACACAACGCGAACCCGCGGCCTGTCGTGTAATGAAAACGCATATGACTTGCGATTCTCCTATACACATACTCCACAGATGGCGATGGAATGCCAAATGGGATTCCACACACTAAGGATATTGTAGAAGCCTATCACTGTCGTAAAGGCTGGGTGAAATGCCTTTAATCTACTTGCTTTTACGTTCATGCAAGCTTCCGCACCATCCAATCGCCACTGTTCCCTGCTGCAGGTCTCAGGTACAAACACTGTTGCTTCGGAGCATGCAATAAGCTGGTCAACCTGCCACGACGTATTCGTTTTCGCGATGATCCGATAAGTTGTCTAACATCCGATCCAGTATCCCTGGATGCTCCTGAAAACTTGTTGATCATGGAACACTGCTTTTGTGTATACATGGACAGGACTGAATGCATGTGGTGCCTTCTGGGATCCAGGGGTGTAATTAAACAATGTCCGACATTCTACAAGTACCACTAGTCCATCTCGAAAAGGCGTGTCCCTCTCTGAGCAAAGTCAGACAGTTCCGTCTCCAACTCCAAAATGCCTCTCATCATCCTGGCCACTAGGCTCGTCTTTCTTGTGGCATATCTCTTCCCGATTGTTGTCGCGCAAGGATCTTGGGGTCCAGTGATCGACTTCCCAATCATACCGGTGGCAGCGTTCATCGTGCCGGAATACCCAGAATCGCACCGCCTAATGGTCTTCTCAGCTTCCCGTCCAGATTCTTTTGGAGGCGCCAATGGCTTCACTCAATTTGCCGAGTACGATCATCGGAACGGAGCCCTATCGGCTCGACAAGTAGCTGATACACGACACGACATGTTTTGTCCCGGCATAAGCTCCTTGGCTGACGGCCGCCTCATCATCACCGGAGGTAGTAATGCCGAGAGAACGAGCATATACAACCCAAGTTCAAACACATTTACTCCAGGCTCCAACATGCAGACGGCCCGAGGGTATCAGAGTAGCACGATCTTAAGCAATGGGAAGGTCTTTACGATTGGTGGCTCGTGGAGTGGCGCAAAAGGAAACAAGACCGGAGAGGTTTATGATCCGACGACAGGCTATTGGACTCTCTTGCCGGGCACAGACGTTACGCCCATGTTGACATCTGACCATGAGGGCATCTTCCGGCAAGATAATCACGCATGGCTCTATGGCTGGCGCAACGGCTCTGTCTTTCAGGCTGGTCCTTCAAAGGCAATTAACTGGTATTACACAGACGGCGGAGGTAGAGTTAGCCCAGCTGGAACTCGAGATTCGGTCAACGATGCAATGTGTGGTGTCAACGTTATGTACGATATCGGCAAGATCTTCTCTGCTGGAGGAGCTCATTATTACGACAAGGCTCCGGGCCTCAGCATCGCGCATCTCATCTCCATAGACCAGGTGGGCGCACCGGCGGCAGTCGAGCGATTGCCGGACATGAAACACGCGCGAGCTTTCGCCAATGCGGTGTCACTTCCTGATGGCAAGATTCTGATTACAGGAGGCCAGGGATGGGCACAGGGCTTTACGGATATCGATCCTGTCTTCACGCCTGAGCTCTTCGATCCCTCGACTAAGACCTTCACTGAGCTCGCACCGGAGGCTTTACCTAGAAACTATCATTCTGTTTCGATACTTCTGGCAGATGGCACTGTACTTTCAGGTGGTGGCGGTCTTTGTCTGCAAGATGACTCGGGGGCTTCAGCAGAACGATGCCATAACACAGTCGACCATCCAAACGCTCAGATATTCACGCCACCCTACCTCACTACTGGAGCTCCGCGACCTGTCATTAGCAATCTTGTTAGTGCAACAACAAACCCTGGCGGCGAGTTGCGCCTTACAATGCAAGGCACTGCTGACGGGGTAACATTTTCACTTATCCGAATCGGCAGTGTCACTCATAGCATCAACACTGATCAAAGACGCGTACCGCTATCCCCTCAGTCAAACGGAACAGAGGTCGTTTTGAAGATACCACCGGACTCGGGTGTCGTCTTACCAGGAGCTTGGTATTTGTTCGCAGTGAGCATTCAGGGAGTGCCAAGTGTCGCAAAGACGGTATTCGTACAATTTTAAGAGGAATAGCAAGTTTGGATATGTAATCAAGTTAATTCAAGAGTTGTCGATGGACAGGTCTTTCTAGGAGTGACATTCGGAATGTGTTGTGTTGCGTACACTCAAGTTTCTAGTCGTAGATAGCACTGTCATGAAACCTGGAGCGATGAGCCATGGTCCATTGAATTATGTCAGCACAAGCTCGATACATACCAAATATACATATTTATCATTTTGAATCTTCCGCCTTTTGGCTTTTCTTGTCGTCGGTCTTCTTCTCCTCTTCCTTGTCGCCAGATCCACTACCACTCCCTTTGTATTGGCTGCCCTCCTTACCCGGCTCGAAGACAGTGTTGCCTATGTAGCAAGTCAGTTGTTGATGTACTTGGAGTTCCGACCACCCTACATGATGCGCAATGCGCGTACGCGCCGTCTTTGGTCAAGTCCGCACCAGCTCCGCACTCGGGGCATTCAACCATACTTGGAAAGATCGTGTGAGTACCGAAATGTCACAAGTCAGGTGCTTTGGTGGGATCGTCGTGTTAGCTGGTGGACAGGTATGGCGGTGTCCTTGCGCGTGGTTTGGAGATCCCCACGATGCGCTAACTTAAATGACTAAATGAGGGGCGTGATGTCATCAACCTCCAAAAGTACTCTTTCAATTCCGTCACTGCACTCAACGCTCATGAAAGCACCACTCTACCGAAACCAAGAGGCCTTTTGGCGATGATAACAGTGGTCCGGAAAAGTTATTTTGCAAACAGTTGACGACCAGTTATCGATGTCCAAGGCCTTACGGTTGAGCGGCCACCCGTTCAAGCGCCGCACAATATGCACATCTTCTGAAAGGTACGATGCTGTTGACACTCTTTAATGTTCGTAGTGACTGCAGCGCTCAGTGAGTTGCGCATGTTGCCAAGCCTACACCCTTCTCCATGAACAGATTGTTAACGCTTTTCTCGTGCAAGAGCCGATGCAAGGGTTTTCACTGCATCGGACTGGACAAAAATCCCGGCGTTGGCTTTTGCACGAGAAAAACGCGAACAATCCATTAAGGGGAGAGGGCTGCACGTGCTGCCATCCGCTACCGGGGAGATCGGGGACCAGGAAGCGACGGGCGCGGACCGAACAGATCGATACGGCTACTAACCCCGGAGCGGCTGAGTGTTGTTGGACTATTGTTATTATTTTAGTGTTAATTTGTTGAGCAGCCACGCGACGTCAAACCTCCCAAGTCTTGTGGTGCTACTGTGTGGTGAGGTGGCTGCCCGACCGTGATTGAGAGCACAAGCTCAACAGCGTGGTACCTTCCACTAAACGCGGAGGAACACATGTCAGCCCAAAGGGAGGATGATGTGCCTCCAAAGCATGAACGGGCTGGTTTCGCCATCAATTTGACTTCGCGTTCTGCGGAGTAAGGCGTGCACATCAGGGGCGCCTCACAGATACGTACAAGCATGCTGAATCGCGGTCACGCGTGGACCTTCGGCACCACCCAATGCGCGAACATGGCCGTCCCTTAAACGATCGCGAATATGGTCTAACTTCTCGGAGCGCGTGCAAATTACGCAGCCTTTACGTTGAGCTAAGATCCATGGTTCGAAAATCAAAAGCTTGCGGTGATGGTCTTGCACACACGATCGATCGCGGGCCGAGTTTTTTTGCCGCCTGGGCCTCCAGGCTTCATCACATTTTACCAAAAGGGTACGAAGACGGCCCGTATCCTGATGAGACAAAGGAAGCGGAAGGAAGCGCTTACCGATCCCGTAGGAAGCTAAGTTGCACTCCACAGCTCTAATCTCAAGTACTCATGAATTGTGGTCTTCACTACCTACTCGCACTTCTTCTTTGAGATTTGACCTTCGATGTCATGGCCGACGTCACGCCTAATTCACCGTACTCCAACAAGGCGGGAACGTATCTAATTCCAGTTTGCACGGTCGCAGCCATCGCGCTCGTGTTGGTCGTCATACGAGTGTACACCCGTCTTAGTAGGACAGGAAGACTACATCTAGATGATTGGCTCATTGTGGTCGCTGAGGTACGCTGACCAGGAGTCCTGAGGGTATTCACGCTGACCGACTTGACAGCCTTTATCGTTAGTTGGCCTCTCACTAGCCATTGCCGCAGTCATTCACGGATGGGGAAAGCCTATTTCCTACTTCTCACCGGAGAACCTCAAAGAGACACTCAGGTTGCAATTCGCACTCCAGACCGTGTGGATAGTCACATATTGTCTTGTTCGCCTCTCCGTAGCATGCTCTCTGCTGCGTTACGGTTTTGACAGATCATGGCGTTGGCCTCTATACTTCATAATAGGTCTGCAAGTTACGATATCCTCGTCATACATCGTTATCCAGTTCGCCCAATGCACGCCAATCAGCTCGAACTGGGAGAGGATACCGGGTGCCAAGTGTTGGAATATCCAGCCCATTATCAATTACGGATGGGCAATTGCTTGTATGTTCATGTACAGAATTTGGAGCGGTCTCTACTGATAATCTCAGCAATATACATCGCTACTGATCTTGCCCTCTCTCTAATGCCTGTCCGACTCATCCGAACGCTGAATCGAAGCACTTCCGAGAAGATACTCATTTTTGCGCTCATGGCCCTTGGTCTGCTCGCTACTGGTATCGCATGTGCTAAGATGACTACGTTCACTACGTTTGGGAAGGGCGATCCGATGCAAGGCACTATTCTACCTTCACTTTGGGCAAAGTTAGAAGAACAGGTCGGCATCATTGCCTCTTCGCTACCGTGTCTCAAGAACCCCATAGAGAGGCTGCTCAAGAGTACGGGTATACTGAAGGAGCATCAACTGAAACGGCCAAGCTTCGTAGCTGATCTCAGCTTACCAGCGGTGCCAAAAGATAGCGATGAGCAGGACAGTTCTGTTGGTTCGCTAATAAATGAAGACATCAGGGTGGACTCTGCAGCTGTGGCGTCGACATCGAATGTAAATATCAGCGCCCAAGGACACCGCAGCAAAACATTGCAAGCGGTGTGAGTTCGTCTGAATGTTCGCTCACGACCTATACAATGTCTTAGCGCGGCGCTGGAGGAGTTAATGTCGTTACGTTTCATACCCAATGAAAAAAATCATTCAAATTGGTGCTTTTGTTCATGCTCTGTGCCCCCAGAGCTGAAGGATGGATGCGATAGCATCTTCTCAGATCACAGGCGTGGACACCATGAGACTGACGCCGTACTATAGCATATAGAAGTCAACCGCGATACTTTTTCTCTTGAATGTGCCATGGGAATTCATACTGAAAATCATCTCAGGCGAAATATCGTAGTAGGCATTCCTGTGTACAAAAGATCAGATCGAACGGCAAAAACTCGGATTTGTCTCGCCCCTCGCTCCTAGTTCGGCCGATGTTCGCGAAACTAGGCTTTCCCACGAAAGTTTTCGTTACCTAATTAGCGTCATACTACTCCGCATTGCTCTCAAATTTCCAAATTGTTGCGCACCGTGTCTCGCGCATCTGAGAGCTTCGTTGACTGTATTCACTGATAATCCTTGCTCAGAGGACTGTCTAAACAACTGGTGGGCCTTGCTGGCATCTTGCTGATTTTGTAACAGCTGTGATGGCCTCGCATCTCTGTATTTGATCAACCCTACAACATCATTCAATTTCTTAGAACATGCGGATCCTCAAAGGTAGTGCACGCGCCTTTAGTCCGGGGTGCATGCCTAGTTCTCCAAGAGGCCGGTGACGTTCGGCATCGTTCTTTTCCTTCTTAGCACGGTCATGTTTACCTAGTGTCTCGCTCCAAGCCTCTCTTTCTCTGCTCCAAGCACGCTTTGTCTCTACACACTCATCAGCCGATTACCCACTGCAACTGAAGATATCTGAACTTTTCGTCCTTCCCATCTGCTTTTCCTTGCATTGTGTTACGAGGCTTAGACTTCGCGGATCACATCGCCTTCACGATGCCGCCATGGGACCCACTCGTTCCCGTTGAACGCCATATCCAAAGCGGCCTTGCCCATCTACCGCCATGGCTCAGCAGATGGCTTGGCTATCGCGGCGGAAAATCCATGGCACCTTCTCCATCATGGATGGTATGCTTCTATGGCTTCATTGGTGCCTTCGGAGGTCTGAGCATCATCATTGCCATCTTTGCTCATACCGAGTATTTCACGATACGCCTGGTACCGCCTATAGTGGCTTCATTCGTAAGCAAACGATAATGCCACCCATTGCGCAAATATTGACTTGAAAATAGGGTGCTTCTGCGATTCTCTGCTACGGTGCCATTGACGTTCCGCTTGCACAACCACGCTCCCTCATATTTGGGCATTTCTTCAGTGGCCTGGTGGGTGTAATAGTTGCGACTATCTTCCAATTTAATCTCCAGGATGACCCGTTTCCACGACTGCAGTGGCTTGCGGCCAGCCTAGCCACAGCTATTGCGCTTGTTGTCATGCACCTCACAAAAACCACTCATCCACCAGCTGGAGCGACTGCACTACTGCCCTGCATCGATCAGCATATATGGGCGCTGAGGTGGTACTTCCTCCCCGTACTTCTGCTCTCTTCTGCAATTGTACTCGTCACTGCGTTGATGGTCAATAACCTCCAGCGACAATATCCGAAATTCTGGGTCGCCCAGCTTCCACCACCCCCGGCGCCGAAGGACGACCAACATCAACACCGCAAACCGCCGATGGCGGAGGAGTCTTCAGTTGGTAGCCCGCAGCGCACTTTGAGCGACCTTGAAAGCGGTCTGCAATGAGCAAGAAAAGAGAAGGAGAGATGGTGTTGCTTTGTAGCACAAAGGCCCTTCCATTTATCCGGCCAATATGCAATTCTTCTGTATTAGCGATACTCAGCGCACTCTACGCAACAGCATAAGTTTACCGATACGATGTGTTTTGGTCTGAATTTTCGGTTCACAAAGGAGATCTTCAAAGTTTATGAATAGCAATGTTACAGGTTACAGGCATAAAAACGAGCTGGTGATTTGAACATAACGCTAATAGTAGGATGTTCAACTCATATATCGGCTGCGGGGGGCCAGCAGCCTTATTTTAACACATGCAATAGACTTACTGACAAGGCCGCCTAAAATGATAGCGAATGTATTGACCAATCATATGATGGCAGCACGCGTTAGCCACTGGCACATCCACATCCTTCGGCACGAACCCCTCAGACAGGCAACCCTCGGCCACTTACCCGGCCTACAAAATATGTCGGTGTTCAAAGATCTAGAAAGGCGAGACTTTTCGGCTTGGGTGCCAATTCTTGAAGCTGTGGCCAAACCGGCTCGACACCCTCAATTCCACGAGCTCACACCCGATGGAGAATGGAAGGCTTGGTCTTCCTCTCCAGAACTGCCAGATGAGGAGCCCATACTCGTGAAACAGCCCGACTCAACTCAGGTCTTCAGGCCTGTCGGCGACACTCGAACGTGTGAACTTGGTGAGTTTCAGCGCTCTCCATCATAAGTAGCTTTTGATAAACGTTGCAGAAATGTACCCGGGCCTTCACCATGAATCGCTCGAAGGTAATCATATTCGGCTGCTAGATATACAGAACGCTAGGTTTGAAGAGAGTTTGCTTCAGGGCTTTAGGCTTGTCACGGTGCCGTTGGCTGATGCACCATCCTTCGACGCACTTAGCTATTGCTGGGGCGACATGCGACTATGTACAGGAATTTTGCTTGATACTGGAACCGGCCCGGATTTTATCGAGCGTACGTTTCGCGTCACAGAAGACCTTGCGACCTGTCTAGTCAGCATACTGACGACACCGAATTTGGAGGATAGGCCACAATATCTTTGGATTGATCAGGTTAGACTCTCCTTTTACATGTTATGCGTTCATAACTCATCGCAGAGCTTCCAATCACTAGATTTGCATTAATCAGGAGGATATTCAAGAACGCAACGAGCAAGTCTCACGAATGAGCCACATTTACGAAACTGCTAAGCAGGTCATTGTGTGGCTGGGGCAAAAGTCCGATTTTGCTGTTGAGAGCGCAGAGTTGCCGGAAAGCCCAGCGGCAGATGTAGAAGCTGGTGGCCAAAGCCTTTTGAGCTGGATACTGGAGCATTCTTTGTTCGCCAGACCGTGGTTCTTCCGGCTCTGGACTGTACAAGAAGTCGTTCTTGCAGATCGCATCCAGGTTCTGATCGGGGAGGAGTGTCGACCATGGAGGAGCGTAGTGGAGCACTCTTCTGCCCTGGATCGCGTTGTGAGCGGTTCAATGATGCACGTGGAGATGAATGTCTTGACAAGAAACCTAAACTGGTTGATTGTGGGCACCATCTCCTTTTGCAGAGACTTGATGGCGAAGGCTGGAATGGTCGAGCTCCAAACGTTTTTACCGCTTATTGTCTCCTCCCAACAGTGCCGAGATCCGCGAGACAAGATCTACGGCTTGATTGGTTTGGAACACAAGCGCCCGCAACGGAAAGTCCGGCGAGACCCTTCTCCGTCAGAGCGTGGGAATTCGGAGGTATACGTCGAATTTCGCGATTTCGAAAACCGCACAGATCGTGGCTCTCGGCGGCTCGATGTTACCTTCGTCCAACTAAAACTGCCTCACGACTTTGTTGACTACGAAAGACCAGTTGAGAGCGTATTCAGAGACTTCGCAAGACTCATGGTGGAGTCGCGTCACAGCTTGAAGTACCTCACTCTCTACGAGGCGGACACTACAGCCTGGTTTCCACAGTTTCTTCCGAATAGCAGCATGAATGCCCCAGGACTGTCTGAGCATATTCCAAATAATGGGCAATTTGCTGCATCCGCTGAGCGAGAACACATACCCTCGATGCCTGCAGACCTCAGATATCTCGATGTGAGAGGTCGAACCGTGGCCACAGTTTCGAGGAACATCGCAGAGATGCCATCCTCTATGAAAAGGTTCTTTTGGAATCCGGCTGAGGAACTCGACCTCCCAGAGTTGTGCCGCCTTTGCTGGACACATGTCGCATCTTCCTATGGCATGTCTGCAGAAGATGAATGGGTATCGGCATTCACCAGAGACATGATCGATACGATCTTTTGTCATCAGCGAGAATTTGACGGTACGGCTCCAGTCTCCGTTGAAGGAAGATCCACCGCCGAGGTTTACACCATACTGCACGCTTTGTTCGGACTCGTCGATGAGACTGAGATTGCTGTTGAGGACTACGACAAGCATGCTCTTCGCGTTGCGCTTAGTAGAAAGTTCTTATATGGGTTGAGCAGACAATTAGTAGTTTTGGATACTGGGCATCTCGCCCTTACGCAAAATGGAGTAGAAGAAGGGGACAAGGTCGCCATCCTGCATGGCCTTAATGTACCGGCTGTCATTAGAGAAGTTGAGGATGGCGATGGGTGGCAATGGCTTGGAGATGCGTTCATACTGGGCTTCATGCGCGGCGAAGTGGTGGATTGGGAAGAAGATGATGCTGATACATTTACACTGGTGTAATGCATATGCTTCTGTTGGATAGTCGATTACGAAAATACCCGCTGCCTGGACATCGAGCTTTAGTGGATCCACAAAGTCTTCCTTTGCCTTTCCAAATCAACATCAGATTCCGTGAACCCGCCATGCTCGATCTCCATATTCTCGACATTGGATACATGAACGCCTCGCAGGAAGACATGGCGCTCACCATCTTTCCGTAGCAAAAAGAGCCGATTTGAACCACACAATTTCCACACCTCGTCCCCCTTCCTCGGCGGCCATGTTTCAACATGCGCATGCGGTAGCGACGACACATTTTGTGGGCTGCGCAGTGTATATATGCGCTCGATTCGCTTACCACACCAAACGTGTACCTCTACTTCGCCGACGAGACTATCCATGAGGACGCCTTTAGTCTCCAGAATCTTGCCGTCCCCCAGAAACATGATATGTGCCGTGGATTCTCCTATAGTATGGACTTCTTTATCATATCGATCGTAGTAATACTTCGCATCAGCCAGTGTTATTGGCCGCCGCCAGTCCGGTACCCACGAGGGAAGTGTCTCCGAATAGCCACTGAACGCTGTGCTGGCTCGCTCGATCAGGTTAATGTCTTTGGTGTTGAGAAGGAGAAGTCGCATGATATTAGTGAAGAGATCTTCGACAGAAACATCTTGTCCGTAGTATGGTCTTATGCCGTAAGTTTGTTCTGCTAGGCCCAAGCACGAATAGATGTGATCTCTTTTGTCGCTAGCAATCGCCATCCGGGAGTGGTCTAGTAGGTCTATCAACGGCCGCCTCTGCTGGGAGATGTACGATTTGGACTTGAGGGTGTTGTACACGTTCTGATCGGAGGAGAAGGAGGAGGGATTGGTGCCCTGATTGGGTCCGGCCCGTTGGCTATTCGTGGAGAGAGCATCAAGATCCCCATGTATCTGCACCATTTTCTGTTCTACGGCTGTGGACACTTTACCTCTCCACAAGTATGCCAACAGCACAGCAGCCAATTTTCTAGCAACGATATGCTGCCATGCGAATAGGAACACCACGTCCTGGTGAGATGCATATTCTTGGAGGACCTGTGGACAGTCAGGACCAGGTTCTATTTCGTTGCATGTCAAATTACCCATGCTCTGGAGAACCATGGCATTCTACGCATCCGCTGCACGTCAAGCCAGCCGAGCGCAAAATCCTCATCTTCCACTGCAGCCTGCAGATATGTATTGAGCTGCGAGCTCGTCTCTTCTTTCTCATTGCTGACAGATTTCCAAGTTTCTGAGCATGAATCTTGAGCTGAGGCGAGAAATCTGACTAGATGGGGTACATCCTTGTGTACTTGCTCGATGCATCGGATCGCCCGGTCGCTTTGACGAGTTGCAAGATCTTGCGCAAACTCATGCGTGGTCAGACAGACTGCCACGTTCAACGCAGATTGATAGATTTCATACATGAAGTTAACTTGCTCGGCTCTCTCCTGGGGATCGCTCTGATTGATACAGACTGGATGGCAAACCTGTCAGTGTGTGTGATGTTCGAGATTTTCTGACGAAGTCGTACTTTGATCGACCCAAACGGACACCTTCTCGTTTTTGTTTCTTCCAGAATCGAGCAAATTGAAGCACGTTTCCTCAATGGCTTGCAGAAGATTTGCGAATGCGTTGAAAGGTAGTCCGTTAACGACTAATACGCGCGTGTGTTTAGGATCGCCGGCGCAGTACGATATGGCAGTGTACATGCCAGCGACATCTCGTAGTGGCATTCCTTCAGTCAGCTCGCAACTGAAGGCGTTGTTTTGCAGATCTTTCTCGATGTTTAGCAGGCGGATGTGACATGGGAGCGAGGGAAGCCACCGATAAGGATGGCTTTCATAGAAGTCAAAGTTAGCGGGTGAGTAGAAGTTGTCTGTCTCAGCTCTTTGGGTTCTTGAATTGGAACAAGACGACATGCCAATGCCTTATGACAGCGTGAGTATACTTGATGGCAAATGGCGATAAATAGTTCTGATGATGAAGCGATGCAGTTCTTGCGGCGTTCGCTTTTATCCTGTCAACATGCAGGGGCAAATTGCTCGCGTATTTCCAGGTAATCACATTGTTGCAGTCACCAGCCTACATGGGTACGGCCATTTGGTCGGAACACCATATAGCCTATTAAGACTGACTATGCGAGCCTGTATATCGGCTCAGCAGATCTGGATCAAGTAGTTCATAATCATCATATTTCCAGTCGTTGAGACGGAGCGTCATAACTAATCCTTACATCTCTCGACCCTCTCGGTCTTTGAATCGCTTGTTGAATCATGCGAACAAAACATCCTCTACGCTTTCATCCCCTTGAGAAACGCCATTTCAATATGCATCATCGCAACGCCTCTCACACCTCACAGCAATCCATCGTTTATTGGCTCAAGTCCTCTCCCCACAGCTCCTTCGCGATCTCAACCTCTAGCCTGACCTTCGCCCATTGCTCTTCCTCGCTCAACTCGTTGCCCTCTGCCGTACTTGAGAATCCGCACTGGTGGCTGACGCAGAGCTGATCCAGACCCTTGGGCGTTATGCTCGCGGCCTCTTTGAGTCTCCTGATGATCTCCTCCTTGTCGTCGAGGGTGTTCTTCTTGCTGCTCATAACGCCAAGCACGACGACCTTGTGCTCGGGGAGATGGCGCAGCGGGCTGAAGTCTCCCGATCGCGCGTCATCGTACTCCAGGAAGTATGCGTCGACGTTGAGTTCCTTGAACAGGACTTCCGCGACGGGCTCGTAGCCGCCTGATGCGAACCACTTGGAGCGGTAGTTTCCACGGCACAGGTGGATGCCGATCTTCATGTCTGCGGGGCGCTTGGAGATGGCTTTGTTGATGAGCTCCGCGTACTTGCGGGGAAGAGTTGAGAGGTCTTCGTTGCGCTCTTGCTCGGCTGCTTTGCGCATGTCTGGATCGCAGAGGTATGCGAGGTTCGTGTCGTCGAGTTGCACGAAGCGGCAGCCGGCTTTGTAGAGAGAGTCCAGTTCTTCTTGGTAGACACGTGCGAGGTCTTCGAAGAAGACGTCTAAGTCTGGGTAACTAGAAACGTCGATAGATGCCCTTCCTCCACGGAAATGTACCATAGTGGGCGAAGGAATGCAGACTTTAGGTGTCGCCTTGGCGTCATTGTTCTTGATAGCTTGCTCAAGGAACTGGAAGTCCTCAACCTGGATAGCTTCGGGGTGACCAAGCTTTCCCTGAACAACAAGAGTTGGTGGGGAGAATCCGTCCTTGTGCCTAATGTTGCCGACTTGTCCCTTCTCTTCGATACCAGCGAGGTGCTTCAGGAAGTCGAGATGGAAGTATGCGCGACGGAACTCGCCGTCAGTGACAGAGCGAAGGCCGTTGTCAAGTTGCTTCTTTGCGACATCGCTGACCCATTCGTCTTCGACCTTGCGGAGTTGCTCGCTGGTGATCTTGCCGTTGGCAGCGTCGGAGCGGGCGTCGAGGACGGCTTTCGGGCGGAGGAAAGATCCGACATGGTCGGCGCGGTAGACGCCTGGTGGGAGAGGCATTGTGTGAAGCTTGAAACTGTGAGTAGAGGCCACGAGACTATATCAAGACTGTACTCACGACCGAAGCTCGTCGTTTGTACTTTTCTGGTATAGGTTTGTTTGTAAATCAATATGTAGAATCTAATCAAAAGACCACGACTGAAGAGTGCAAGGAAGACGATACAGTCGGAGACCAAGACCAGAGTATAAGAACCGAAAATTTTGTCCCTCAATTGCTGGTTCGTGTCGTCTCATCCTGAACTTGGAGCTACCCCACTTCACAACTGCCGCGCTGCACTAAATCCATCGAGGCTGGAAGCGCCTCGGAAGGGTCTGACCGAGGACCAGTAGCCGTGAGCATGACAAGCATTTACGCGTTCAGGGGAAATTGGTGACGCATCATGGCCGCTGTATGCGCCGGGCGAGGTTGTGTTTCTCACCGAGTGTGCTAAGAGGAAAGTAGATCCGATGGTTGCTGGTCTCGGATAGAGGGGCAAGGGTCGCAAGGTAGTGGTGAGATTTGGTGGGGTGCGACAGGGCTGGATCGGAAGCGCGATCGGGCCTGTTTCGAGGGTGCAGCGAGCAGCAGCTCATCCACGGCATCGCTAGCTTCTATTACGAAGGTGTGATCTTATGTATAGCCGCAGGCTAATAGATGTCCCTGTTCAATTTATGTCGAAATCGATGACCCGCAGTACCATGTCATCCGTGAAAGCGAAAAGCTGAACTGAATCGTTGCAAAGGGTATCTATGGCTACCACGATTGAATAGCAGAAAGTACTGCATGTCCTGAAAACTTGGACCTACTCTTCTGGAATCACGCAGCTTGCAGCAGTTTTGCTTCCAGCAGCTCACCGAACTGGCCCTCCCATAGACCTTCGTCCTCTTCCTCCTCGTCTTCCACGAAGAACTGGTCTGCACCATCGTATATGCGGTTGCCCCTGCTATCAAACTTCTTGTCTCGTTTGGGCAGATCACGTTGTGCAATCTTGAGGCGTATCGTGCCAGCACCAGGCCCTGAGTCACCTTCTTGATGAACTATGGCTGTCTTGAAGCCGCTGATCTCTGGGGTGATAGTGATAGGGTTAACCGTAAAGAACTTGCACACAATGATGGCGCCTTCCTTCATGTCGCCTGCGCTCAGATTGGCGAGCGTGGTTAAGTCCTCAGGCAGTTGAGGTAGATCTGCTTGAGCGGCTGTCGCAACGTCCTGTCGAAGTTGGTCCTCGATAGCTGCCTGAGTGCTCATTATAGTATCTGGATCCTCGGTAGCGCCAGTATCATCATAGTCCAAGAAAATTTTCTCCTCCTCTTCTTCTTCTTGCTCTTCGACGGGCATTGAAACACGCTTCTTCTTTCCGTGCTTCTTTTGCTTTTGAACAACCTTCTCACGCATGGCCTTGCTTGCTGGATCCCAATGCTGCTTGAATGGGAAGGGTGGTGCGCTGAGCTCATAGTCTTCTTCCCAGCACTCGAACGCAGACACGTTGATTTTCGATTTCCAAAAGTCTGGATCGGAAGCACCCTCAGGCTCTGGAGTCTCTTGGGGTACGGGCTTGGCCTTGCTGGGCTTCTTACGGGCAGGCTGGAGGGGTTAGCTTTGAATACATCAATGCAATTGAGCACTCACCATTGCTTGACGAGCAAGAATCCTGCTGATGGCTGATGTGTCGGGTCGAAGTCGCTTCTTCGGTGTCTCTTTTTCCACAGCAGGCTGTTCCTTTTGGGCTTTAGGGGATGACGCCGGCTCTTGTGGGATTGTGGGTTCTACGGGTGTTGGGTCCGGCTGGACCTGGATAGAGTCCACATCTTCACCAAACTTTGCCATCAATTCCTTTTTACGTTGTTCAAGCTCCGTGACGTCTTCAGGGACATGCTCGACAACATCCTCGTGATCCACTCGCTTCCTTTTGCCTGAATATGTACTGAACGGCTTTGAAGCTTCTGGCTTTGATTCTATCTCTGATGGCCGGACTGTTTCGTATGCGTCGAGAGCCTTCAGATCAGCGTCTGCAGGCAAAATGCCAGCTTCTTTCAGATAGCGAAGACGGTTGGTTCTCGTACGTCTTGCGTTTCTCGAGCGCGTTGTTGCACGGCCCTCTCCAGGTACAACGTGGTTGGGCGAGCTGGGTAGCCCCTTTCTCGTTATCATCGCTCCCTTGGAAGATCGGACCTCTGGTGGTGAGCTGGCGTCACTGTCGCTGTCGCTGTCGCTGGATATATCGTCCGAGTCTGATCCAGAAGAAGAGCTAGCTGAAGCATCCGACGAATCAGAATCAGAATCTGAGCCCGAGTCGGAATCGTCCTCGTCGCCAGAAGTATCTTTGTCCATGAGAGTGTCATCGCCTTCGTCCCCTCCCGGCGCAAAGTCGTCGTCGTCTTCATCGCTATCCTCATCCTCGTCTCCATCTTCCTCAACCTGTGGGCCCTTGAAGCGCACCCTCTTCGAAGCTCTCCTCGGCTGCGCAGGCCTGTCGAACCCAGCACCTGTGTCGCCATTGGTCAACAGAGCGGTTCCTCCTGGAAGTGATATGTCTCCACCATCAGGGAAAAGTCCCGCCACCTCGTTTTCCTCGTCCACGTTGTCTATGCGCCGTCGCTTGCGAGGCGGTATCCGTACAGCGGGTCGGCTCGGGTTGCGCAGGTAGGGGCGGCCAAATGGGATGCCATCGACAAGGCGCCGTCCATCGTCGGAGATCTGGTGACGGCCAGTGAGGGTGCGCGCACGCTCCTCGGCGGTCATGAGTGGTCGAATGCTGGGCGTATGTTAGCAGGCGGAAGAATTAGCTGATGACCAGACGTACGAGACATGATCATCATCCTTGAGCGACTGAGCGACTGGTGAGAAGTGCAGACATTCGAAGCCTCCCACTTCGACGACATAGTGCTCAAGACCCCAATGTTCTGATTCGAGCGGCAGCACGTGGTTGACATCTTCGAGCAGGCGTGTGATGGTGTAGGCTTGGGTGCTGTTGGTGTCTGGTACGTTCCAAAGAATGTTCGCGGGGGGCAGGCTATTGCGCTGCACCGTTAGTCGAAGGCGCATATTGGACGCGTTGATTCGCGTAACGTCGCGCGCTGTCGTCAACTTCTGCCGCAGGTGAACTTTTGGGAAGCCGATAGCACGGGCCAATGAGATCACCCGCTAGCTGCTTCTTAACGTCGCGGAGCAGCTTCCGCCGATGACGAAACCCCCTGACAGGAAAACCGTGTATTACTCACACAGAAGAAATCAAGATGCGATTCTTCACTCTGATTCCTTTACTAAACTAACATCTTTTCCACTGACCACAGCCACGATGCCACCAAAAGGTTTGAGAATGCCCATCAACACGCTCAAGGGCACCTGGACGCGTGTGCTTGATACCGACCGACTTCGACGCTCATCGCAAGTCGTGTCAGTTATTGACAACAGAGTATGCATCTTTGGTGGCGAAGTACTGCCTCGTCAACCGGTAGACGACAAGATTGACGTCTTGTCGCTGAAGCCTGGTACAACCACCAATGCACCTGCCTAACATGGTCCATGGGCTAAACCCAATACAGACGCACCAGATCTTCAGACTCATTCGCTTTCAGCACCAAGTCCACGCGTAGGGAGCGCCTCTGCAGTTGCCGATGGCAAGATGTACCTCTTTTCGGGGCGCGGAGGCACTGACATGGCCCCCATTGAAGAGGAGGGTGATTTGTGGGCATTCGACCCGAGAGGCTCATCATGGTCAAAGGTGAAGCCGGCAGACACTTCCAAGCCACACCCGCCAGCAAGAAGCTATCACTGCTCGACTACTGACGGCAAGTCGGCTATCTACATTCATGCCGGCTGCCCTGAGAAAGGTCGTTTGTCAGATCTCTGGAGATTCGATCTCTCTGAGCGCACTTGGACGCAACTTTCCGACGCCCCGGGACCGCCACGAGGAGGCGCTTCAGTAGCATATAGCAACGGCAAGCTCTACAGGATGAATGGCTTCGACGGCGAAACCGAGCAGGGTGGTAGCGTCGACGTTTACGACATTGTAGCCAACTCCTGGTCTAGCGAGCCATTCAAGGCTGATGGAAACGACGGACCCGAAGCGCGGAGTGTATGTGTCCTGCTACCAGTACGGCTAGCGGCGAAGGACAAGATCTTGACGCTTTTTGGCGAGCACGATCCGTCATCTCTAGGCCATGCTGGCGCAGGCAAGATGCTCAGCGATGTTTGGATCTACGACATCAGCGAAAGGTGGTGGACACAACTACATCCTGAAGGTCCAGATGGTGTTCCTGATCCGCGTGGCTGGTTCGATGCAGACGTTGTGAAGAGTCCGGAAGGCAACGACAGGATCGTCGTGCACGGTGGGTTAGGAGAGAACAATGGGCGCCTCTCGGATGTTTGGCTTCTATCGTTCTAGTAGTGTACACCTTTGGGAGATCCATCAGTCTCACCAATATAAGTGGGGACCTATATTTGCAGTAAACCGCTAGAATACGAATCTTAGAACACAAGAGTACGTAGCTGATGCATCCAAAACCCACGACCCTAGAGCCAGGACTGATATTATTCCGCCCATCAGGTGTCACTGTTGTGCTCATTTGCTTCTCATTTTGTTTTCCCGAAGCGGTCAAGGCTGGGATTAGGCAGACAGCACGCCCGTGCGTGCAACCTTCTCACGTCTCACCTCACCCCACGTCTTTCTCTCTCTCTTCCCTTTGAGGCGTCATTGTCTAGATCAATGTCCTAGCATATAAGTAATTGGCGTCACTTCACAATATCCCGTCACCGCGAATAAGCTCTAGCACACGATCATGATGACTGTTCCCGAGTCGCAACGCGCTGGACCTCCCCCATTGCCTCTGCGAAAGCCCTCGAGCTTGCAGCAGAATCAGAAGCCGCTTGTTCATGGCGGTCGCGTAAGCTGATCTCACCAGCCATGTGCTAGGCTTGAGCTAACATCAAGCAGCAAGCGAAGTATAACTGCAGCTGTGGCACCAACCAAGAGAAAGTTATTTGCAGCTGTGCCACATGCCAGACCGCCCTCCGCGGTCCCGACTCACCATGCAGCTACTATGGTAACTGCGTCGAGCCACTTGCCTGGAACATTGAAAACGAACTCGTCAGGACGCAGGATCAATGTCCATTGTTCACCAAACTCCCCATGGAAATCAGGACTCTCATCTTCGAATTTGCTCTCACGGACACAGGCGCCAAACAGAAATCTATCGCAAGCCTATTGAAGCGCTTGGCTCCCCGAGGCTCACCTGAGAGTAAGGTCATGACCTGCGACATGGCCACGACCCTATTGCAAACATGTCGAGCAGTCTACCTGGAAACATGGAACCTCCCACTTTCGCTAAACCCCTACATCAAGATTGAACCTACCGGACGAGGACCCACAGGCGTGAACTTGAAAGCCCTGCTTCCCTGGCAACTAAGCCTCATCCAACGCCTCGACATCTCCGTAAAACAAGTCGACCTCGAAGGCGAGTACCTGCATTCCTCCATCCACGCCAACTCCCACTGGCAGCCCGGCGCGCGCCACAATGGCGTCTACGTAGCTCCGCGTGCCTACCAAGACATCTTCGGTACCTGCACCCTGGAGTATCCCCAGTCCTTCAACTGCGCCCTGATCTCCGCGGAGGAGGAGTGCGAGCGCCATTTCCTCTCGCACATCCTCGGCGACCAGGACATTTTTGATCGAGACGCGCCGCCGCCGTGGAGCTCGGCTATGCGCGTCGCGACTGCGAAACCGATCACGCATTTGACGCTTCGCATGCGCCATGCGGATTGGTGGACGTGGACCGACGACCCCAACAGCTCCGATGAACTCCATCATCTTGCGCTTGACCCGAGCGTCGGAGATGGAAGTGCTGACCATCCTCGACGCCCGACGGCGTCGCGCATGCGCGCACTTGCTGAGGAGCGTCGTGCTGGTAGGCATCCAGAGGTAAAGCCGGACGTGGGCTGGGCAGAGACAATTGCGCAAATGCCAGATCTTCGGAGCTTCGAGATGGTGCTAGAGACGTATGCGAGCAAGAAGGGGCAGTTGGATGCTGTGGTGGAGGCGGCGAAGACGTGGAGGTTTGGGTTGGATGGGGGGGTTTGGGAGTTGGTGTGGGATGGAAAGGTGGGTGTGAGTAGTTGGAGTCGGAGCGGGAAGAAGGTGACAGATAATGCTGAGTGGTATCTTCGGGAGAATGCGTTTGAGGTGCGGGATGTGAGGTTCACGAGGAAAAGGGTGGCATGAGTCACTTCAGAGCAAGTATATGACAATGTATGTTTTGCTAATATAACACCGATATGCATCGATATGCTTCATTAAAATTCCCTTGCTATCATGCATGAGCCATGTCTATGCCGTAGCCATCTGGCATGCCTACCATTTTTTGACACGTACGTTATTCAGAGTCACCGTACAATGGGGATGATTCAGAGTGGACTCGGGGGCGCCTGGCGTGATGATCACTCCAGTGGCATCGCTGGAGATCCCTCCACAGCGCCCACAGGGGATAGCGGTCTTTTGTCCGTTTGAAGGACCGCGGAATGTATCCACACGTATTCCACACTGCGGCCCCCATTCGATAGCCTCTCGTATCGACTTCTTCCTGGCTCAGTCGAGCATGACGATTTGCAACCGAGAATTTGGCAGTTGAACGAGTCTCAGGATAGGACGCATCCAGAAGGGTTCCCTTTCCATTGATCCAGATTGAGGGGGAATCTATTGTGGCCTCGTCGTTGAGGTCGAAGGCGGCCAAGACGTCAAAGAGAAGTAGGAACGCTCTCTTTTGTAAGTCCTGGAGAGACAACATGACGACCTCCTCGTGCATACCGCCGTCTCTCGGGCATGATAGGGCTATTTCGATGGATATCTTTCGTCCTAGGCGTTCGTGACGAATGAGGCATAACAGACCTTTGATATCGATACGCACTTGATCCAGGGTAGTCCTTGTGGTAGTATTGACTCTGAGCGTGATCTTTATGTGGGCAGATGTTGAGCTTTGGGAAAGAATTTCAGGGAAGAGCTTGGGAAACTTGGAGTTTCGGGTATCGTCCGGTACCAGATCCTTGATAGCGACGAATTGGTTGAAGTTCGTGGTGATTTCGTCTGTAGATATTTGGAGATGCATCGGGTGGGCTACAAGTCTGTAGTCTGGTAAAAGAAATGTTTGTCTGTAGTTCTCTGTTCACCTCGAAGATGTTGAAGGGGATGCCGCAGGCCGTACGATTGTCCACGTCGAGCACTAGATGGCCAAGAGAAGACTGCGCGTAGCGGATGATGGTATGTAGTATGTTCTGAGGTAACTGCAAGAGTACGCTCTGGTTCTGCGTCCTTTCCTGGAATATCAAAGTGCGACCTTCGTCCGATATCAATATCTCGTCCACGCGACTGTAATAGCCATCTCGGGCACGATATGTAAGCGCACCCTTGCGCTTTCGAACTGAAACTTCCATATCTACCAGGTAGTGCTTTGACAAGCTGTACTTCTTTATTCCCAACGTATCGCGTGTGACCAGAGCTGATAGCATGTTGTTGAAAGTATTTGCTGATGCCTCGTGGTCTCGGGCGGTCTCACCATCGTGCATGGGCAACATGCGACCAGTATGTGCGAACTCCAAGGTGCAATCTCTATTGGCATGGTACCATAGAAACCTCGCCAGTGGTAGCATATCGACATCATCCATCGCACCCTCGCACCCCGTTGGGCATAGGGCGTCCACATCGATGACGACTTTCCTTAGGAGTGAACATTGAGACCCAAGTTGTTCCAGCCATTTTGGCGCATACTCGAGCTGCGAATACAGCCATCCATTTGGGTGTAACTCGTCAAAGTCGAGGTCATGGCGATTGAGCGCGCGGGATACAACGAACTCGTTGCACCCATAAAGCACCCCGGCACATTCATGATAGATTTGACGGCATGAATGTAGGAGCGGGAGTGACTCATGAAGATCATGGTGGAATTCAGCGTCAGCACCTATCTCAGCTTCGAATATCTGATCGAAAAGTGTTACTTCAGTCATGTAGACCTCCATATCGGTCTGATCATCTCGATAAGGCTCGTGGGCGTGATACTGATGAGCATTGTGTACCAGCACCGGCTCTTCGCGCTTGAACAAAACCTCGTAGATTGCATTCCTCATCTCTGGCGGCAAAGAAGTGAGGAAGGAAGGCGCGTTCGGATCTGCGGGGCTCGAAGCCGTCTTCATGATCTGTATGTATGTCTCCATCGCGCAGCTAGGCGCGTGGCCTTCGAGTTGACGCGAGGCCGAGGAGGGTTGTGTGGGTGGAGATGCGAGCTGGAATCGGGTTGCAGTGTTTTCTTGAGTGAGAGAAGATGCGCGGATGCCGACAAGGGCCCACTCAGCGCGCTTGCGGGTGAAGGTGAGGCCCCGGGGAAGGAGCACCCACGACTTTCTGGTGCATATGGACGAATGAGGGGCTTTCACACATAGTATTTGGTTTGGGCTTCTTGAAAATGTTGCCCAAGTGTGTCAATGCCTATCTCGTGATAAATAGGCCCGAGGCGTCAGTAGAAGCCTGTATATCGCAGGTGATCAACTGCGACGGAAAGAAACCAAGGGCACTTGGCAGCCTGTAGCTATACACAGTATGGGTAAATTCATATTACGATGGCAGAGCTCTGCGTATAGCTCCAGGCACCCTCGTTGCTTTTCGTCGGAAGTGACACGATGTGGTATACTCAGTAGGGGGTCAGGCAGGAGCACGTGAGTGGCACGATCGACTACATAGCTGTAGTAGGCGCCCAATGTTGATGCGAAAAGCACAGTGTTCAAGAGATAGCCCTCCCGGGTGTCGTGTTGCCGTCATGCAGCCGAGTTGGTGTGGTTGATCGTGTGTGGTGTTGGGCGACCGTGATGGTGACGCGGCTCAATACGCAACAGTGCGGCACGTTGAGAGACGTCAACTTCTTGGTGGCTGCTGGGAATGGCCGATGTGATTCCAGACGGCTCTTGATCGACATGACAGAGGCGCGTTGGTGAGCATGTGAGAGGGCGAGACGGAGTGGGTGAGTGTGGCGCAGCTGTGGCTCAGTCGCGACTTCGTCATTCGCAGAGGGAAGGCGCGTGGGACATGGGGTACTGACGTAACGTTAAGCGCGCAGCAGCAGGCAGGTTGTTACAGAATGGGCATCTTGGCTCGCTCTCAGTCGCAGGCCATAAAAAGACGTCGACTACCACGTCCGCTGCGTAAAAATAGACGATACCCCTCTTTCTCAGTACAACCTCCTGATAGACACCTGCGCTCTCTCCTGACGCCCGCTTCCTCGACCTCACTCGATCCCGATACCCCGCGACGGCGAAGTCTGCCAGTATGAGCGGCCATGGCGATCCCCGACTGCTCTACACAATTGGCGGCATCAAGGCCTACCACATCCAGCAGGGCGAAGAGTCCTCGCTCACACCCTCGGGCCCGCAGACGCTGTCGCTGTTGATGGTCCCCACCAACTCACCATTCGCAGACCTCAGCAACACGCGCGGCCAGAACGAGGCGCCCGAAGAGGACTTCTACCTGCACCTCAATCTGCCCCCAGAGCTCGACCTGCCTCTCCCCGCCACGACCCAGATCTACCACCAGCCGCCGCGGAGCTACCTCATTCCGCGATGGGACTTGGGCCCAGAGAGCGGCGCCTTCACGAGGATAGAGTTCCCCTCGCTTGGCAAGGGTCCAGACTCGGTGACGCAGGAAGACATTGACACTTTTGATGACCATCTTGGCGCAATGCACAGCCTTCCTCGAGCGCGCCCAGGCACCGCAACACGACAAGAGCAAAGGCGGCTTGAAGTCGTACAACCCCCAGGACTACGCGCCGGGCGAGGCCTATGCGGGCTCGAGCAAGGTCAAGCATGGCGAGGTGGTGCTGGTCGACGAGGAGAACGGCAGCGTGGTGGGCGAGCTGGCCGAGGGTGCACAGATTATCGAGGACCCCAGGTTGCAGCAAGGCTCCAAGAGTAAGTATTGCCTGTCCAGTCAATTTTTGCGCGTCCGGTCACTCATACTAACGCAGGATCAGACCCCGTCGAGATTGTTGTCTCTGCCGACGGTAAGAGAATCAACATCCGACCGCTCGAAGACGACTACCTCGACATGGCCCGCCATCCCGCATACAAAGACTCTGGTCTCGTACAGAACTCAGCAGCAGCCTCGCGGCTCATCGTCACCGGCTCCAGCTATATCAGCAACATGATGGTCAAGGGTGCCGAGAACTTCATGGCCAAGACTAGGCCAAACGATCAGCCCATGGTCTTCCAGCCTGCGACCCACGAGCGCGTCCGCAAGATCAACACACTCACAACTGGCGTGGCTGGCTACTCTGCAAAGACTGTCGGTCAGCTCACAAAGTACGCGCAGAACGCTGCAGCCGGTCTGGCAGGGCACAAGAAGACCCATGCGAAGAGCGTCAACCCAGACGGTACACCAAACGACAAGTACAAACCAGGCCTGCTCAACAAGTCGTTGATCGCGTTCTCGACCATCGCAGACGGTATCTCCTACTCTGGCAAGAACATTCTTACCCATGGAGGTGCAGCAGCCAGTGCAGCTGTCGGACACAAGTACGGCGCCGAGGCAGGCAGCATCACCAGCGATCTTGCAGGCGGTGTGAAGAACGTCGGTCTCGTCTATATCGACGTTACCGGAGTCAGCCGAAGAGCTATCATCAAGTCAGTTGCTAAGGGCATGGTCGTCGGCAAGGTCAAGGATAAGAAGGGCAACGAGCAAACTGTCATGGTAGGTGGAGGCGATGGAGGCGCCGTGGATCCGACGGACCTCAACCCGAAGCTCGGTGCAAAGCAACGCAAACTATGCCCCGAGTGCTGCAGGTACTGCACCTGGTGGAGAGGTCGCTTTTGGCAACGTAGCGCCGCCCACCTATCGCACTGGTGTCGGAAGAGTCGCTCGAGGGTCAACCGGCCTACTACCCTACGGAGAAGAGATAGACCGAGCATGTCGATGACGAGGTACGAGGTTACGATACTATACCGCTTGCATGATATGGGGAATATTGAAGCAGATCCACACATGATTTTTATAGCCACTGTGGTCTTTCCTTTTGCATACCATGACTGCGTTTCCAATGACAGGTAGCTAGGTTCTTCCGGAAACAATGACCAAATGAAGAACTGTTCACAGGTGTTATTATTTTGTTACATCCAGTGGATGTAACCATCCGGCGGCCCTTCTTGCTTGCCAAGCGGCGGCTGTATCCTCAGTTTTGAGTTGCTCAAGCCTTGCTGGCGCATGTACCCGCATGCATGTCGCTCATCACCGCCCCTTGACACTGTCCATCATGTTATACCGCACTGTATAGAACCCACTTGCATACCCGACGCTTGCCGTGATAGCAACACCCACCTATACCCATGATCACCAACACCCCCCCTTGTCCCAGTAAACCTCCGGCCGTTGGGAGGTGAAACGGTGCGCCGAACCCCCAAGGCATTGCGTAGCGTAGGCCCGAGCAGGGGGGGGGGGGGGGGAGGGGTTCGCATCGTATGTTTACAGGCGTAACTTGCCCTTTGATATTGACATACGCAGACATATCGATATCAGATGAACTGATATGATGCACGTAGGTAATAGCTCGGGTCGAGCCGATCGCTTACAACCATTTCCCGAGTCGTCACGTCACATCGCGGCGACGAGGTGGACGAGTTATGCCGGCCGGTATATTGGGCCAAGCGCTGCAGTCAGTGCCAATGCGAGCGCTTCGAGATGTCCCGAACGAAAGAAGTGTTCTCGACGCGAGGCGGTATCCGGAATACGAACACATTCCCCGATGCAAGATCGTCCAACATGCTCGGGGAGGAGTTGGAAGTCGTCGCACCCCTGGCCCCCGTGAGTGCTGCGGATAACGGGGCCGCATCCGCTGGCGCGCGTGTTTTGCAGGCACGGCGGTTTGGGCGGTGAGTTGATGGGGGTGCGATGTGCTGGGAGTAGGGCGATATCGGAAGGGTGTTGGAATTAATGGTATAGGGAGCAGGTTACCTAGGGATTGTGTAGTGTAGATCGTTGGGCATGCTTCGCGTAGTAAGCGAATCTGCAACTATAGCTTCAGGACATATCACTTCGGAAACCCTTGGTAGCGATCGCTGCTGTGTCACCCGGCTTTTTTCGATCTTGCAGTCCCTAAACCCCTGGTTCCCTGTCCTGTCAAAGTGTCAACAGCTGACGTGTGGAGATCACGACATGCTGTAACGGCGCATGCACGTACGGAGGTACGCAGTGGACCCGCGGCTTTCGCCACGGAAAGTTCCCTCATCCTTCAGGTGGGTACGATATCCACACGTTCGCTCTTTTCGCTGTCAGTGATCAGTCAGCTTCGACTCTGTTTCAGGTCGTGGGCGTGTGCGGAGAGATTCCCTTTTCATGCAGGTGCGGCGGAGCTTGTGGGACTTTTTACACTGATTTGTGGGCTCTTGCTTGATGCGGATGTAGGAGGGGCTTAAGAGAAAGATCTACGCACTGCTGTGTAGTCAGCTATCAGTCAGCGTACACGGGGATGGAGAGCACGGGGCACTTACTTGAGGTGACTTGCGGTGAAGGACCTCGAGTATCACGTGGACGACCTAGGAACTCACGTGAACGCTGTCAACTCTCACGCGTACGCCTTCCCGCGTTCCAGCCTCACAAGATCGCAAGTGAGGCTGTCACCAGATCGCCATGTACGTAGTCGTGTGGAGCATTGTGTGGGGATAAACCCGGAGAAGCCACAAGTGAGGCGGAGAACAGCAGGTTTACGGTGTGCATGCCCGCGAGTACAAGAGACCAGCCGCCATCTGCAGTGCTTGAAGTTTCAAACTTTGTTCAAAACGTCCCTCCTCTTACAGACAGATCCAACTCGAAACAGAACCGATAAAGTATGTTGTTCCTTCTGGGGACGCTTTCCGTGGTCCTCATTGCAGGGTTGAAGCTCACGGCCGTCGGGCTGGCGTTCAAGTGGTTGGCAAGATATTGAATCGGACTTTCGGGAGAAATGTCGCAGAGTGAGGCGTGGCATGGGGAAATCAGCTCGCTTGCATCGAGAACCTGTACAATCCATCCCGAGCGACATCAGATGTAAGCGTAGGGAAAGCTGTCATTGCGCAAACTGCCCCGCTGTATTGCGCAATACCCGAACCCAAACCCCGCATCGACAGCTTGAAAACCGATATCAAACAACAACGACTGCCGATAAACGTGTTGGTGCCCAAACTTGCCTTCGCCAGGCAGCAACCTCTTCGAAAAGATTAGTGAGCATCGCATGCAATGGCGGAAACTCAAACCTTCGATACGATACCCATCCTCCCGCTCTCCCATGCTCTAGATCCGGCGACCAAGCCAAAGTTCCTTGAAGACTTGCGACATGCACTGTTGAACGTGGGGTTCTTGTATCTATCTGAAACGGGCCTGCCGGATCAGTTGATCAAGGATGTCATCAGAGAATGTCAGGGCTTCTTCAAGGAATTGCCGCAGGATGAGAAGGAGCGGATTGAAATGAAGAACGAGAAGAGCTTTCTTGGCTGGAGTCGGGTGAGTGACCATTTTCAAACCATTATGATCGCGGATGGAGCCATGTTTGTGAGTGAGAATGTAAAGGCGCAATGTAATCGATCTATGGCTATGCTGAAAAGAAGAAACATCATGGGTGGTCTATCGCTAAGCTGGAGAAGGACAAGATTGCTGGACGATGCAGATATAACGTGAAAATGCAGCCGGGTATACCCCAATGTACGAAAACAATCATGTTGCCTGCGCCTGCCACCATGACTTCCTCCTTGCTTATCCATCCTATTTCATCATGGATCAGTGAGCTGACCACAACCTCAAGCTCGACAACGAGACGACAGCGCTGAATCCCGACCATCGCGAACAACTGGATCTATCGACACCCCACCCTGTGCCAGGACCAGAGGCACCTCTCTACCACAACCTCTTAGCACCAAATCAATGGCCATCGCCACAATACCTCCCGGACTTTCGACCTGTATACGAAGACTATATGCGACGCATGGCGCACATCTCGACTTTGTTCACCTCTTTGATCGCTGAAGCAATTGGGCTTCAACCCAATGCATTCGACAAGTTCTTTGACTCAGATCAACAACACAAGCTGAAGATTGTTCAGTACCCTGAAGTAGACGTGGCTGATCTGCCATCGAATGCAAGTATCATGGACCGCAAGAAGTGGGAGATCAAGCGCCAAGGTGTCGGGCCACACAAGGACAGCATGCTCACCAGCTACCTTCTGCAAGCAAGCAACCAGAAGGGGCTTCAAGCGCAGAATGCCAAGGGTGAATGGATAGACTGCAAGCCCATTGATGGCACGCTCGTCGTAGCGATCGGGCAAGGCATGGAGGCTTTAACCGACGGGGTGTGCGCGTCCACAACACATCGCGTACTGAGTCCGCGCAAAGGCGAAGGAGCCCGATTCTCAATCCCATTTTTTCAAGGCGTCAGCTACGACGCGCAATTTGAAGCAATGGACGTGCCTGCCGATGTGCTAAGGCTGCGAGATCAGGCCCGCAAGGCCCGCAAGGACGATGTCGAGTTTACATTCGTCAAAGGGCGGTGGGGACATCTCGGCGAAGCTACGCTGATGAACCGCGTCAAGAGCCATCCCGATGTTGGCGAGCGCTGGTATCCAGAGTTGCTGAAGCAGATACAGGCTCAGCAAGCTGCGGCCGTAGCAGCAGCGACCTAGTAGAATAGTGTGTAACAGCTTAGCAATGGAATCGTAATATACCAAATTTTAGCCTGCCCAACGGCTTTGTCTTCCACATGGCCAATGCCGCGTCGCCAAAGTGCTCGGCTCGGTTGCATCAGCGATTCGCTCCCGGCTACAGAGCCCGCATCACGATTGCGAGTGGGCCAACGACGATGATGATGCGGTGAGCAGGGAAACGCCCACCGAATGCGGCAGGATTACTAGTTTTGATGTTGGGCTGGCAGTCAAGCCGGTTCAGCTTCCGCAAGCGATTGGCCACCTAGCCACGAAATGCCAGGAACCATGTTCTCGGAAGAGGCGGGACGAGCGCACGCGCACACGCAATGCACGCACTCTTCTTCCAAGAAGAGGATTTTCTGCTGGCCTCGGCTTTTCGGCGGTCGGATTCTGCGAATTGCGCGCTTGCTTGTTGCCGCTGTGGCAGTTCGGTCAATTTTCTCCTCATCCTCGTCCGGTGTACCATGAATTCATATGTAGTTGTATCCGTATCCACTTTTTGGCAGCAACGAGGATCTTGGTTTGGGAGAACTGTTTAGTCGTGTGATTTGACATCGCGTTGTTTCAGCACCTGCTAAGGCGCTTCCGAGCCATGTGCTGAAATTGAGCTCGTGCTCACGCTTGCAATCGTAGCCAACGGGTCGGCAAATATGGGCACGATCTCGGGCGGTTTGGAAAGAGATTTGGATGAGGCCCGTATAGGGTCGGAGCCGCACCCTTGTTACATTCAGTTTAGCTTGCCTCGTGGAAGATGACGGATCCACAGAATATTCCATGACCGAGCCTGCAATGCTTCGATTTGGCCCTTCTTCTGAGCAACGGTCGGTCTCGGGTACGAATTGGCTTTGCGCAGCGCATTGCTGGCGTCCAAGACATTGTTCTACTCGGCATGTACTAGATGGGCATGCCATGGTGGGGCTGCGCAAGGCTGTTTCATTTCCGCTCATGCAATCGTGGGGTCAATGGGAAACGTTCGAGGAACAGAGGCTCGGAGGTGTGAGAAATTCAAATATCCATTATCGTTTTAAGCGTTGAGTCGTCGTGTGTATGAGGGCAAGTATAGCGTCAAAACAATCTCTCCATCGGATGTAGATGCATCCAAGCGATCGTGGGGCCGCCCTGCTGCTGAATCCCCTGGGTATCCTAGTCTTCCAAACTCCACCACCGTGGCCCCGACGCCGCATCTGAGATCCGTGGTGTCGCCGATATCGACCCTGCAGACATCCAAGCGTCAGGCGGCTCGGACTTCTTTCTCAAGTAACGTTGGTAGCGTCATGTATGCAATTGGTGCTGTCTCTGCGCCATCATCCCTGCGGGTTGGGGGTTGATTGCAACGTGTCGAGCGGGTGCAAATGCTGCATTTCAATGCTCCACCTTCATGTTTGGCTGCATGTGATACACCATGTGTTGTCCCTGTTCACTCATCATTTGATTTTGAGGGTGCGGCGCATGCGCCATCATGGACATGTCTCCAGGGTGGCTGACTTGAGGGGCGTAGCCCTGATGTGGGGCATTCGAGTAGGATGCATAAGGCGTTGACGTATGCTGTTGCGCTTGAGGATGAGAGGACTGTCCAGACATGGCTTGGTGATTCATGGGCGCACTCATGTGTCGCTGATAATCGGAAGGGTGAGGTGATGAGTGAGAGGTCGGCGTGCCGTATCCAGACATAGCCATCGGTTGTGAAGTGACTAGCGGCGGGTTTTCCAAAGGATAGGACATGGCTCGTGTGTTACCCTCCATACCATACGGGCTGGGGTACGACATGCCAGAAGATTCGACTGGATGGATGGAAGGGTCTTGCACTGGCATCGAGACAGGATGATGCTGTGGGTGAGCAGAGGGATGAGGACTCCATCTCACGGACTCTTGGTGTGGCGCTTGCACCTCACCCATACTTGGTTGCTCGCCGTGTGGTGAATGATGAGGGTAGGAATGCTGCTGCTGCTGCTGCTGCTGCGTCTGCCAGTGCCCAGGTTGCGAAATGGGAGTAGACATTTCAGGAACTGAATGTACGCTACGGGCAGTTCCTGTGGAGGATCTGCGGGCGTGACTGAGCATTTGCACTCGATCGCTTGGTGATGGTGCACCTATGAGGGTTGTCGTCAGCTTCTGAGTAACCCAATATTATTCTTTGTTTTCTCGATAAGCATCGCTTCCCGTTTCGCTTGGAGGAAGCGGGTGGCGGACGTTCCAGCTGCTGCACGTCGTCCAAAGTGGAAGCGGGAGGCGCGCATATGGAACGCAACACGGTGCTGGTTTTACCAAAACTGTCGCCTGCACCTGAAAGGGTGTGACTCCGGGGCAAAAGAACTTTGCCGCAAGGTGAAAACAGTTGATCTGTGCTGTACGACAAAAGAGAGTTGGTACATACCTGTGCCGTGTTCGGGGACTGCTAACGCTGATACTGCATGTCCTAACCGTGCGCGGAGGACTGCATTTTCCTGTTCCAACTCCTCGTTCCTCCGCATGAGGTCCATCATCCTCGATGAAGAGCCCGTCTCTAGCTGGGCAGTAAGGTCGCGTACTTGGCGTTCAAGAGTGTCAATGTGGTCCTTGGTCCTCTGGCGGATGGCTCGCTGTGCTTCTCGATCATTTGCTCGTTTCCGCTCCAGCTGGGCTGCTGTGAGTGTGGTGACGCTCCGTGTGCCGGCTCGCGATGGGCGCTTCTTGGAGCCGGGAGTGGTCCTCGCCTCGGAGCCGGAGGAGTGACCCTCGTAAGGTGGTGACTTCTTGAGAGTGTCCATGTGAGGCGAATGGTAGCTTGAGGTAGACATGTAGTCGCTCCGATAGGCGATGGGGTCTCGGTAGTGGAGTACTGAAGTCATGGAGGATCCGCGAGGGGCGGTGAGGGTACTGGCGTTGTCCAAGTTGCTATGTCAGCGGGGCTCAAAACACGGGTCCCAAGCGTCTGGCAATATCAAGTGTCTGGAGGAGGATGACGAGGCTCAAAGTCCCTGAAGATCAGAATGTTGGTAGGGATTAATGTAGGTATATGTGCGGCTGGGAGCACAGATGTCTTGACGAGCGGGTGAAAGCGCAGGTAGGGGCAAGTGAAAACAGCGGAGATTAGAAGAGATAATGGTGTAAAGCGGGAAAGGGAAGCAAAGCGGTGGACTTGCGAAGAGGTACGTGCAATGCAAGACATGGCTGGCAGCGACCTATAACCTGCTATCATGCCTGAGGAGTAGCGTCTTTGGCAGCCCATGCCTCGACCCTGGGCTAGTGGCATCCTGATCCTGGATTCTGAAGTAGCCACATGCACACGTGGGTACTGGGGATATCGTTTCATGTTAGCTCCCCCAGTGGGCACCATGCGGCTTAGTGCAAGAGCATGGTGCTGGGCTAGCTCGCCTGTGGTAGTCGGGTGGGAAACATTTGCTGCGGAAAAAATGATGGGCTGCCAACGGCGGTGGCAGACGCGTGGCGGAGCCTCACCCTGCATCTGGATAGCTGCCAGTCTGTTCTGGAAAAGCACTACAGGCTCTAGCTTAGGAGGCCAGTCCCCACCAGCGCACTGCAAGCGGCGGATGGCAGGTGGCCTGCACAACACCACTCTCGGCCCACCTTACCTCGAGGGCGTGGACGGCAGGCGGTGAAATGCTGCAGATGCACACCGGACGAGAGGTGCAGCTCCCGTCGACCGCCAGGAGCGGCCAAAGGTGATACCTGGGTAGCTGCACCTCGAGTCGACGTCGACGGCCCAGCAAAGGACATGCGAAAGTGCGGCCCGTAGCGGGCCTGAGGGAGGGATGCTGAGCAACGACAACGACGTCGGACGCTCGTTCGGATGGGCGTGACGTTTGAGGAGTGTATGGCGGCGCAGAATGCATGTGAAGCGACACCGGGATCCCTCCGGTCCAGCACGTCCAGCACGTCCAGCACCAGTCTTCGAGCCCTGGAGCCCTGGAGAGGCCCCACAAGCGCCAAGAGGTCAGCACGTGGGCTCCCTGTCCGTCGTGCAGGGGCCCAGAGTCAATGCGTCTGCAATTCACTCCCTGGCCACTCGCATCCGAGCAGCTTCCACCGCGTCTCCTGGCTTCCCAGGGCCTGTTGTCGCCCAAGCCTAGACTAGACGTCGATCATGCCGTCGTCTGGTCTGGGATGCTGGACGCTCGAAGCTGGAAATATCGTTCCTTCTGGCGAGGTCGGCGAGCCTGCTGCAGAGGTAATGCCAAAAGGGTTGCTCCGGCCGGCCTGCTACGGGAGCCTGTGTGTCCGACTGACTTTCCAGAGCCCGGCTCGCAGTAACGCAGAGCTGGCCAGGTTGCCCTGCTGGCCGGCCAGGCAATGCCGCGTGACAATGGTTCTCTACAGAGATCTGCGGCTGGGAACTCTAACAACGGTGGAGTGTTTCAACGCGCGCGCCGCCCATGCATGCTCGCTGCACCTGCGCTGCCGCATACTGTGTACAACCATTTGCTTTGGTGGAGACGCAACAGGTACGTGGAGCCATGATACAGCCGTGCCGTCATTCGCACGCTTGCTGCGCCCGTTTGCTCTCCATGGCATGGCCAAATGAGCAAATGAGCAAATGGGCAAATGAGCTGGGGCATGGGCCACGAGTCCGTGATGCGCTCCTTCAGGCCGCATAATGGTCCAATTCAGCATTGTGGCGCCCGTCGAGTGCGGCGTTTTGAACATGCTTTGGCCGTGTTCGCCGTCGCCGCCGGATCATGATGGATGCTCCCAGGAGAACATGCAACATCGAACGACGCTCGACGTCTGCCAGTGTCAAGTGGTGCCCAGTCAATTGCGATGCGCAGGCGTCGCTACTGCATGGAGGCGATCTGCCCCAGGCTGCAACCGCAAATCTCCTCCCACTGAACAAAGCGAAATTGAGTCTTCTTCACCGCTTCCGAACCAGTGCCCTTGGCGAGGCTACGCAGTTAGCGGACGAAGCCAAGATCAATATTTGCTAGTGGCGCCCTGTTTCGAACTCCTGGTCGCTTCGCTGACGTCTCTCCAGCCATTGCGCGCCTATCTTGGCGCCTACATTGGATGAGAGCATTTATCGTCAGGTACTGGCAAAGAAAAGGTAAAGGTCGGCAGCGCTAGGTTGAGGGCCCGCTGCCGCGCGCCGCAATGAGCTGCGCATGCATGAAAGGGAGGGTTTTCCAATCAAGCACGCAGCATGGGTGCCTACTCGAAGATATTGGTCCCGAGGATTGATATGGAGGCTGCGACGCGAAGAAGCAAAGAACCGCCGCGGCTTGACCGAAGGCAATCAACTGCTCAGTGGGGTTAGCAGCAACGTTATTTGACGTGCGGGAAGAAGCATCGCGATATACCTGAGACCACTATAGCTGTATGTCGTCGAAACAGGACGACGCACTCCGACGTCGTCGCTACATTTTCGGTCAACAGTGCCGACGGACTCGCATTTGCACTTTACAGTCCTTGCGGAGCGGAGGTGCAAGATTCCCTTCTAGCGCCGCTGCGTGCAAACTCTATTAAGTTCCTACACACATGCGGCATGCGGTCCTGCCTGGCTCGCTAATCTGAGAAGAGGCAAGCTTCCACACCACACCACACCACACCATACCACACCACACCAGAGGACGTCGCTTCATCCGCCAGACTTTACTATGGCCAATAGTCGCCGCCTCCCCCGGCGTCCGCTGCACAGGGCCTCCTCAACGCTTATCGTATTTTGCTACTTCATCGCTGAGGCCGAACCACTGCCATCTCCAAGCACGTGCATTGAAACTCTCCAAGCGCAGCCCCATGCGCGCGATCCCCAGATGTCCACGGGCGCACATCAGCGCTCCCAATCCTGATTCCTCGCGCATGTCCGCCCTGGCCATCACATCACACTTCCGTACAGCCGCGCGAGCCCCACGTTCAGGCAGATCAAGCTGTTGTGTAACCAGAACCCGCACGGCAAGCCTCGTTTCCTGCGTCTCCTAGACCGGCTCGCCTGCCTCAGCTCGTGCGAAACCCACGGCTGCATGCAAGCAGACTTTCCCAGGGTCTCCTCCGGTGTGCATGGGTTCCATGTCCGCACCGGCGCAAGTCTAACGTCCGTTCGCGATTGCGCAAGACGTCGAATTCTAATTTAGTGCATCGCTCAGACCAGTTGCACCTTTTCAGCCCGAACCGATGCACACCATCCACGACGGCTCCATGGATGATGCGCTCGGCCATCTTTGCCTCCGCAGCCAGCGTCTTCGAGAACACTGGAATATCTGGTAGCGAGCCCCACGACTCATAAGACGCCACAGGCACCCGAGCCATGGTGGAAAACTCTGGACCGCTTTCCCCTACTCCCGATAATGTCCTGTCAACCCAAAACTCTGCCAGTTGGGCTTCAAAAAAAGTCGCCTAATGTCCTGGTAGCGCTACGAATGTCGGCCACGAGGTCGTAGCCTGAAACGCATTGTACAATTTAGAGTTTGCGGGAGCCGCCAGCTCAGTCCCATCCACTGAACACGTTGAAATGACGCGACATCTGTTGAACCATCATGGCGACATGTCCGTCTTGTGCTTCGTCGCCTCTTCCATCATGTTTCTAGCCCTGAGCTAGAAGCCCTGTCATCGGCAAAGTAAGGGTTTCCGTAGGTCCAGTGCCTGAGCGACACAGTTTCATCATTCGGACACGAGCTTCGGCATCAGCCGTGAGCGCATCAGGTTCGTAACACACGGCCTGCGTTGCCATGTGGCTACCGGTGCAAATTTCTCTTTCAGATATGCGGCACGCCGCATGGCGCAGAGTTGAGGTCCGCGTAGTCGCTCACAAGCAGATGCGGCTGTTGGACTCGAACCAGGCGGGCAGAGGCCGACATCTCGGGACAGCTCCCGATCTAATCAAGTAACTTTCAGGTCCGTCCTCTCCACTCAGACGATCGACACCGAGGGGGAGGCCTTGGGTGTCAATGCACGTTCACTTCAGCCATGAGGCGTTCTCGCGTACTTTCTCGGATTCATTGCAGCGACATCTCTACGATACAACCCACTAAGAGCGCGGCACATGCTCCGAGTCTATCGAGATCAGACTCGTCGTTCACACATGCTTACTCGCCGCCCAAAGGCCTGACAAGCGCGCAGACCCACTACAGATACGAACGCTAGAATGCTACTAGAACACCGCAGTGAGCCATCGCTACACCTCATCTCCGTGTTTTGGAATCGGCACACGCCGGCAGCTGCAAGTGGTCATTACCTCTACTCCTTTTTGATGTACTTTTCGAAGATTTTCGAAATCTCGTAGGCGCTCTTCTTCGGGTATCGCTTCTGACCGCCTTTGTAATCGACATAGGTCACGCCGAACCGTGTTGTGTAGCCTTCAGCCCACTCAAAGTTACTGCATATTGTCAGCTGTATGTCCTCCGAGAAATTGTGTTTGGGGCTAAGATGGAACGGCAGAGCACCCTCAAGCTAAAACGACTGACGCCATAGATGTGGTGCAGGAACAGTCGCGCTTGGCCTCAGCCACCCGAGGACATTATAATGCACCAGAAGCCATGATTTGGCATGGGAAAGGAAATGACCTTGACGTACTCCATAAGACTCCATGCCGAATAGCCCCGAACGTCGACGCCGTCATGTGTATGGGCATCAGCCAATGCACCCACATACCCCCTGAAATACTCGCAGCGGAACTCGTCGTCCAGGAGTTGTTCGAGTGGGAGCTCGTTCTCTCCCTTTAGACTAGTTCCGTTCTCCGTGACGTAGAAGGTTGGACCACCGTAGCGATCACTAAGCCACTTGATCAGCTTCCTGAATCCAAGAGGCATTGGCCGCAACCAGAAGGATTCTGTCTCTGGGCCAATCCATTCTCCCTGTTTGTTCTGATGCAGCGTCTCCAGGTTGCCGAGGTGGTCGTCAAGCTCTGGCTCGGTCTCCTTGTGCCTGACATAGTGTGCGCAATAATGGTTCATGCCATAAAAGTCATTGCTACCCTTGACCAAGGCTGACTCTTCGGCAGTGAACTCTGGCAACCGGTCCCCGAGCTGTTTTCGCATTGAGTCTGGATATTTGCCGAAGTACACTGGGTCCCCGAACCAGCAAATGGCAAACTCAAGCTTGCGGTCGCACGCTTCGCGATCTTGAGGATCTTCGGCGTCCCATGGCTCAGTCCAGTCTCCTAATCAATATCAGCATCGGTCCGCTTGCTCGCATCCGAGGTCAATTTTGGGTTGCCCCTGCATAGCCTGAGGCAGGATACGCAACGTTTCACAGGGGGCGATTAACATGTGGAGTTCGCTTACCATTCAGTGTAATCCCAATCTGGCCTCCATCCTTAGCTTTGAAGTCTTCACGATATGCCTTGACCGCCGCTCCGTGGGCAATCAAAAGCGCGTGCCCCACTGCCCATGGCTCTCTGCTACTGTCGCCTTCGGCGCTCTTGCTCCTGTCGCTGCAACGACCGGGGGCGAACAATCCAGTGCCGTATCCGAGTATGGAACTGCACCACGGCTCATTGAAGGTGATCCAGTATTTCACTTTTGAGCCGAATGCCTTGAAACACACCCTGGAGTAGTACTCGAAGTCCTTGACAAACTCATCCTTATTAAGCATGCCCATATATCGCTTGTGTAAATTGTCGGGCAAATCCCAATGGAACAGTGTGATCATCGGCTCGATGCCTGCCTCGCGAAGGTCGTCCACGAACTTGACGTAGTGCTGAAGACCTTTCTCGTTGACTGGGTCATTGCGGCCACCAAGTGGAATAATGCGGGACCCACGAGAGGGAGAAAACGGTACGATTTTGCGCCCAACTTCTTCAAAAAGATCAATGTCCTCGGCCGTGCGGTGGTAGGAGTCGCACGCCACCTCTCCTGACTCTCCTCCAGCAATCTTTCCCGGAATGCGGCAGAAACTGTCCCAGATGGAGTCCGCGCGACCATCTTCATGCGGAGCACCTTCTATTTGGTAACTAAAACCTCACGCTCAGTACAGGACGGTGGAGATCACCACGGGATATGCCATGGTGGGGCATCTGGTGAAAGACGGTGAGTGACGGACCTTGCTGTTGCGAAACCCCATAGGAAATCTTTGGGAAGATATGATTGTGACATGATAGATTGATCTTTGTCACAGAGTGACAGGCTGACGACAGTAATCTGAGGATGCGGCGTGCAGCAGCGGGCGTCTATTCTTCATATACCCGGTTTGCTATGCAGGCTGCGGGGAGCGTCCCGCCATAACCGTCTCTACGCGTCGACAAGACTTTAACAGACGCGCAGTAAGCTACGTGAGGCAATTTCGGTGGCTCTTTGGCTCACACGCAGACCCAGACATGCTGGTGCCGTCGTACTAGTCTCCTAAGTGGCTCATTTGACGTCAACCCCGCTCACATGCCCAGTAACCTCACGATATACACTGATCGCACATGACGATACTGTGTCTTTGCTTCTGTTCTGCCTGCCAGGATTCACGATGATCAAGGCGGTCAGTGGAACCTCGGCCCGTCGATTCAGCCTACCCTTTATCCTACAACGGCGTGGCGCAGAGCCCATTCGGCGGTGTTGGTCATCGGCCAGTTTCAAGTGGGATGAGATGGCGGGGTACGACCAGGCAAGTCGAGGCGAGCTCTCCCAATTCGACTTTACTCTACATTCTAGGAAAAGTCGCGAGGACGAACCTACTGCTCTATATTCACGTGTGTCGGAAACTGGTATGAACAGCATACCGTCACAGGCGGAATTACTGCTTTGAGCTGGCTGGCGATGGTGGGGCAGCAGCATGGAGAAGCTGACAAGATCCGCCAAACCTCATCAAGCTAGGCTTCCGCAGTGACGCTATCACTTTCACTGTGAGACTTCAATCCTGTGTCGGAACCATCAAATACCATGGAAACTTTTGCGGACGATCTTGAATATATAATGAGTTGGGTGTTTGGAGTAACAACGGTATTCTCGAGGTGAAAGCCAGACATTCACTTCGCCCGTCAATATCTACCACGATGCTTTCCGCACTTCGAACCATCCGATGTTCCACCAGACGCGCCGGACCACAGCTTCGTACGGCAGCAACTCAGGCCCAGAGGCGCGCTGGCGACATATCTGATGCTTTCGCATCTCTATCCGGGCAGAAATTCAAGCCTCTCACAGCTGAATATGCCGACCTCAAGGGTCGCCTGATCAAGGGCTATGAGAGCGAAGTACGAGAGTCTTGGGAGCGCTTGTTGGAGCATCTGCGGGAGGAGATCCCGCTTATTGTCGAACTGGGCTCCAAGGTCATCCCAGAGATCAACTTCAAAGATTTAGATAATGCACCAGAGACTTTCAGCAAAGAGTTGAGGAAGAGAGGCGTCGCTGTGGTCAGGAATGTGGTGTCAGAACAAGAGGCTTTACAGTGGAAAGAAGATCTACGAGAGTATATTCGGCAAAACCCCCAGACCAAAGGTGAGTACCTGCATCTATACATTTTTTATATAGTGATTGACTATCCGAAAAGCTTTCCCTGCGGATAACCCACAGGTTTTCGAACTGTACTGGTCGAACGTCCAGCTTCTGGCTCGTGGCAATCCACATCTTCTAAAGACGCATCGTTTCCTCATGTCTTACTGGCACAGCTTGAACCCAAATATACCGTTATCGATGCAGCATCCGATCAGCTATGCCGACCGCTTGCGCATGCGTCTTCCCGGTGACGCGAAGTTTGCATTGGGCCCGCACGTTGATGGAGGTAGTGTTGAGCGTTGGAGCGAGGAAGGATATGGCCTTGGCAAAGTATATGATTCTGTATGGAAAGGAAGGTGGGAGGATTTCGACCCGTGGGAGGCCGGCTGCCGCTTACCTGTGGTGCCAGACCTTCATCAGGGCGTCGGGGCATGCACCGCATTTCGCATGTTCCAAGGCTGGCTATCGCTCAGCAACACAAAACCGTTCGAAGGCACTCTGCTCGTCAATCCACTTCTCGCCAAGGCAACTGCATACTACCTCCTCCGGCCTTTCTTCTCTCCTAAGCGCGGTGTCGAGCCTGGCGCACAAACAGCCTCGGAGGCCATCACGAACTCAGACGACTTCCTTGCCTCGGACAACTGGGAAATGGACTCTACGCAATCACCCTGGGTTCATGGCGCCACACCAGGTCACGGTCAGGAGCTCTCACATCTCCTGCACCCTCATCTGAATCTCCAGAAGTCCATGATCCACGTGCCAGAAGTGCGACCTGGCGATTACGTGGCCTGGCACTGCGACACTATCCATGCCGTAGACAAGACGCATGCTGGGAAGTCAGACTCTAGCGTCTTGTACATTCCAGCGTGTCCAATGACCGAGGACAATGCGAACTATCTTGTTCATCAACGCGAGAATTTTGTCGCTGGCACTCCTAGTCCCGACTTCGGAGGAGGGATTGGAGAGAGCGAACATATTGGCCGTATCAAGGCTGAGGAGCTATCGCAGCTTGTTGGTGAGGAAGGATGTAGAGCAATGGGGCTGATGGAGTGGGACAGTGGCGCTCCGAATTTGACTCCTGGTCAGAAGGTAATACTGGATCGGGCGAACAAGATTCTGGGCTTCTATGATTGAGTTTCAAAGTACCATTGCCCTTCTCTTACTTCTATTTTCAGACCCAAGCTTTCGCTGCAGCCATAAATCAACTTCAACACAAATGAGCCTATCGCGCTTTTGTAGACCGCTTTCATTGTATAGTCATCAATATCTAATACTAGCGTCAATGTTTCAATTTTCAATTTTCACGTGAACTTCAATGATCGCGTTTGCGCGAGTGCGGCCTGGCGCTCTTGGCAGTCACGTTACACGTGTGCTGCCTGCCTACTCCAGGGCTTTCGCAGTCGTTGCATCCTACACAGCGACCGACAAACCACGATTCTTGACCGCAATAATGACTTTGATCTTCTTTGAAGTATCGAAACCAGCAGACCCAACAGCCCCTTCCTTTCTTGACCTTCCAGCTGAGCTCAGGAACCGGGTGTATCAGCTTTACTTCAAGAGCACAAGCACGCTACGCCTTGCAAGCGCTCAAAATGGACAAGTCAAAATGATCCATGGGTTGGCAAGTCATCGCTTTCCTCAAACTAATTGCTATAGTACAACATCGCAGGATCTGAACTTGAAGTTGCTCGATCCAGTGGGCCCATTCGAACTGCAATTGCTACGCGTATGTCGACAGTTACACCAAGAAAACCGGCTTCAATGCTCTATTCAAACCAGTTCTGCATTGAAAAGAAGCTAGGTGCGCACTTGACGACCCACGATGCAACGGGACACTACGTCAATCATATATCTACTGAATGGCTTCGTCAAATCGGACAGCACAGAGTCTTCATCAGTAAACTTGTCATCGATCTCGAGAGCGTATGTCCAGGTCGTTGCGACACAAAGCAGTCTCTGCTCCAGACCTTCCAGCCTGAAGACGGATATATCCAGTTTGGAAAGCTTCTTCAGGCGATTTGGGCAAACGACTTGAAGATAGTGATAAGCTTTGTCTATCAATGCAGGTATTCCGAGCCGGTATTGGGAAGACTTCCCTGGACCGAGGCACACACCGAATACCAAGGCCCTATCAGCGCAGAGAACATCACCGTGCTGTTTCAAGCACTTGCTAGAGACGACTTGGGTATGAAGAAGTTCCGAAATGCCATTGGTGACGTCGGTATCGAGAAACATGGAGAGTTCGGCATCATAGTCTTCTGGACGCCAGAGTGGCGACATGGCGAGAGCCATGGTCACATAATCAGCCATGACGGGTACAACTCTCTGTTCGTCCATTCTCGTCGCTTCTCTCTTAGTGAAGATGGCCGTGTCACAGTCGACAAATTGACCGTACCGAAACTTCTCGGCCTACCTCAGGCGATTATAACGAAGATCGTCGCGCACACTCTGGATTCTTCCACCCCGCAGGAACTTGATCTCGACTCCTTTACCGACTTGCGAGACCTGTACGGAATTCTCTACACTACCAAGGATCTACATGACCGCTATTTGACCTACTACTTGCGCAAACACACATTTAAATTGTCTCTAATGACTTCAAATGCCCGGGCAAGCTTTGAGTTTAGCAAACTTGACCGTCTCCTTCGGACTGAGTTGTTACACAGGGTGGGAAGCTTAACTCGGGGGCCCCGATTCGGCGATGGGGCGAAGTTTTCTATCGACTTGCACGTTCACTTCGGCACATCGGACTTGGTGTCGTCCATGATGAATATACGCATCAATATCATGCCGCTGGTCGCATCCACGTTTGCAGCAAATAGACACCAAAGCTGGTGTATCTTTCTACACAACGGCACCTCGATTCTTCAAGGCCGCGTTTCCACGATCCGCAAGCTGCGCTACGAAGTCATAGCAATCCTATCAAAGTTCGTTAAGAAAGATCATGTCGACGACCCACAAGTCAGATGTCCTGAGGTCTGGATTGATGGGCATGGCAAGGTGGTCGATATCGTTCCGACTGGGTCTGTCGAGGGCGAAAGTTTACAGAACCCAGCGAAGCTGAATAGCGTGTTGTGGAGCGCGGAAAAGACTGGGTCGTTTGTTGGAGCGAAGACGCCGGCGGTACCGAGAGTGGGCGGACTTGCTAGAGACATGTATTTGTATTTGAAGTGGATTGATAGGTAAAATGGAAAAGATGGCGTGGAGATAGTCTGAGGCATGGGGATCAAGGACATCTTTCATCGTACGCGAGCTACGTAAACAATGATGTAAGCCCGAGCAAAGAGTCCGTGAGTTATAGCTTCGCTGCTGGACTGATTGCTTTCTCCACAAGTTCCAAAACACGTTCAGCCGTGCCCCTAGTGCGGTTAGTGATAACTTCTCAACACACATGTAGAAAAGCAAGCTTACCAAGAACTCTGATACCCGAACCCAGAATGTCCATAGCAATGTACAACCGGAATATCCCACCTTCCCTTCTCCACCTCAATCCTCGGTCCTCCTTTCCTCGAAGCTACGCCTCCCATTAGCTACACAATCTCAAATCTACTCTAGGCTACTCACGTCTCAACCCAATGTTCCTACTAATCACCTGCAAATCCTCCGGCTTCCCCAACTCAGGACAAAGCTCGCAACACCGCTTCATGATATCTTTCCCGAGCTCTTCATCCCACTCGTCGCTCCAGTTGTTCTCCTGCCGCGACCCGCCCAGAATCACGCCGCCGCCGAGGGGGCGCGGGAATACGTATGCGGTGGTGGGATCGATGCGTTTCGGTGAACGGACGTACCTACCAATCACACTTTCGTCAGTATCAATCATTAAAGGAAGGCGAGTGGATAGGGCACGAAAGACGTGTGCACCATACTTTCGCTCGTATTCGTACATTCTTTCGATCGGGGCCTTGGGCTCAGCGACGAGGAGGGTCTGGCCGCGCGTGGGGTAGAGGTTTGTGTCGCGGACGTCAGATAGTTTGAGGGAGCCTAGGCCGGTCGCGTTGATGAGGAGGGATGTTGAGGGGAGGTCGGATAGCAGGGAGGAGATGGAGGGGTAGTGGCGGCGGATGAATTTGATGCTTTTTGCGAGGGCTTGGGTTTGGAGCCTGGGGGGGATGTTAGTAGAGTAATCATGTGAGGAGGAGGTTCCTACCATTGAAGGTATACGGCGGTGTTGATGCGGAATGAAGTTGGGAACTCGATACCGAAGACTGCATCGTGTGGTAGTTCCCCTTTGCTCAGTTGACGCAGGCCGCCGACTAATTGGTCGTACCAGACTTTTCCGGTGCCGGCGCTCAGTATGCCTGCTTCTGAGATTGGGGTGTCGAAAATCCCCCACATGCCTTCTCTGGTCAGACTCTTCGCCTGTGAATCGAGATCGAAATACTCACCCATTCGTCCCAGACCAACGTCGTTACCTTCGCCCGGTCTTACTGCTTTACATCCGTACACGCTCTCGCCATCGATCAACTTTCCAAACTTCTTGAACGTGACTTCGTCGTACTTCTCTAGTGGACCATTGTCGTTTGCCATTGACGACCAATTAGCTCCGGCCCATGGTGAGGTGTATTCGATCGAGCGGTCTCCTGGCAGATGTTTCGCTACTATTGTGATGGTCGCAGAAGGGTAGGTGTATGCCAGAACTATGGCAGAAGTCAATCCTACCACACCAGCGCCGAGGACGGTGATGTTATGTGGGTTTTGGGAGGACATGGTTGGAGGTGTGTGAATTGGCAGATGCGAATGAACGAGAAGAATCCAGAGCTTCTGGCCCAAGATCAGAAATTGACTTGAATATGCCTTGATAGTTACTCGTCAGAAAGGAACGAAATGCACCCCCCTTATGAATCTTCGTTGTGGAACATGTGCGCCCTTCGACTCTCCAACGGCCTTACCCGTCGGACAAGGCCCGATGAGCAGCGCCGGTAAATCACTAGTGGAGCTGCAGACTTACCGCAATCTGTGTGTGGCTTATGATGTGATTTCAAGAGCGACGAACAAAATAGGGTCAGATTAGTCCAAGTGGAGTTATCGTAGGATCGGACTGAAGCGTTATCGGGATGAAACCAGGTGGGATGATCATGTCGGCATTCCGAATTCGGCATCGCGTAACCTGCGCGTCAATCATGTCGCCAGGCTTGAAAGCCCATGTTCGCGAGGTGCGCCATCCGCTGCAATGAAGATGAGTCAAAATAGCCTGCCGTGTCAACCATAAGGCAATTCACAAGATGGCGTTGACGATGAACGAGGTACAATTGGAGTTAATAGTTGCATACGAAGAACGATAGGTAGTGATAAGAGTAAGGGTATCCAATGAAGATATACAGCCTAGAAGCTGTGCCAAGTCAATCAAGAAACATCGTCGCTCCAAGTCTCCAAAATTTCTCATATCATACAGGGTAGAAATGATTAAAAATACCAAACGAAGCCCTTTTTACGACGACGCTTGCTTCATAAACCAGTCTGAGCTAGCGTCGACCATGTAGTTTGTGATATTCGACTCGTTCTCGTACGCGCCTTCGGGAATCTGCATGCCTTCTCCAGCAGTATAACTCATAGTAGCGTCCATAGAGACTGGTAATCGAGGCATGTTAAAGAAGTCAAACACGTCCAGATACTCCAACTCGTTCGGAGCAGGAGTGCGAGCAGGGGTCACGGACGGCAATCTTGCATTACTGTTTAGTTTGGGTTGCCGCGAGATCAGAAAGTCGAGATCGAAAGCGCATCTTCTCATGTCGGCGAGAATCTTGACTGTCGAAGGTGTCACGCGTTCGCCATTGATGCCGGTGAGCGCTTGCTGCGATTCCTGGTACTCAGAGAGGACGCGTGAGAGAAGATTGGCATATCGGGTTCCGACCTCCCAGTATTGACCCAACTCCTGGAGAGTGTTGACTAGGGAGATTGATGGAGGTATCGACGCGATGATCGATGGTGGAGCCATGAACCAGTAACACACGTGCTGCTACCCACAGCGAGAAGGCAAATGGAGGACCAAGTTTGCTAAGTAGCCCATTATCACGGACGCATGCACAAATTGTTGTCAAGTTCTCGACCGCACTGAGGCACTTCTGGCTTGCACTAAAAGACGGGGTGAAGATTGGCGAACGGTGAGTCGGATAGGCCGCAGAGGAGTGGAGACGTATCACGGTGCTGCAGAGGTCAGCTATGAGAACAATAGTGTGGAGAGGTGGGCTCACGTGTGATAGGCGGCATGAAGCATGACAAGACCGCTGTTGAGGCCTTGATTCAAGCCAGCTTTGGCAAACATTCTCGCTGAGTTGCCGAACTCTTGCGGGAGATTGTACTTCCACTCCTCAATCGCGTTGTCGAGCTCTCGATATTCTCTCTGCCATTGCTCTACATCCTGAAGTGAGGTAATGTCGACTGGCTTTTTCAAGAACTTGTGGACTTTGGTAAGTATGCCTAGAACCTCGACGTAGTAGGAGAAGGTGCCCAGGTTTTCCGGTCGGTTCATACTGTAGTCTGATCGCGTCTTGGTATGGAACCATCGCGTCTCGACAGGCACATTGCGGGCGTAAAGATCGTCACGGCACGGTAAACGACGGTCGATTTCGTTCTCGTCCAATGCAAACTCGAAAGCTGTCGCAACTGTCGCATATCGGTCAAGTACGTATATCATCCAGAACAATCGACGTCGCGACTCTTCCTCTATCCAGTCCTTTGGCTCCGGCAGCACAATGGCGCGAAGGGTGTATATGGAGGCGTACTGCGGTGCAACAGCCGGCGAGTAGATTTCCATGGAGAGGCCGAGTTGAACGACGCTGCGAGTGATCAAAGCCAATAGGTTCCAGCCGGGTGGCCCGTTGGAACAGCCGACAACGTCTAAAGCTAGGATGACAAGCGCTTGCAGTGATTTGACAGAGCTGTTTTCGATACCATAGAGCAGGACCTTGGATTTGGAGCTGGAATGGTACCGCGATCGCTTTTCTGCCGTCAGTCGCGGGTCGGTGGAGAACTTGACGGTAGTGGCAACGACTGCATGGAGGATGATGCGGTCCTCTTCGTCCAAGGCTTGGTCGCCAAAGAGAGAGTTCAAGGTGGTCTGGCGGTGCAGGATAGGACACCAGGGGTAGATGTGCTTGAAGAACAAATCTACCAGTGCATAGAGCAGGTCGTATGGGGGGAAGTCGGCATCCGTCTGTCCCAGTGATCGCGACATGGAAGGCGTGAACTGCTCGCTGTACGACGAGAACGAGTCTCTGTGCAGCCCAGTCATGGGCTGTTGCATCTCTTCGGCTTGCCCTTGGTACGCATTCCCTGTGACGGATGGCGCCGGTCGCCCGTCTGTGACACGGGCACTGAACTGAGTTTGCAGGGCATTTTGCGAAGGAAATGTCGACGCAGGCTTCTGCAGGAACAGAGCTGTCTCGGGTCGTGGGACGTGAGGCGTGTGCGGCAGAATCGGTGGGCTGGGCCGATAGGAGGAGGCTTCTTGAGGCGAGTGGTTGGCTGCAATCTGGTTGGTGGAGAGATGGTGGATCTGGTTCTGTTGCTGGACGATGAGGTTCTCCAGTTTGTCTGGTGAGGCCAGTCAGCGGGGTGCCCGCGGGCGGAAGCGTGGCCCGGTGTGGTGTGGTGACATACCCAGACGCGCCTCAAGCTCTCTGCCATAGCCCGCGCGCAACCCGGGCTTCTTTCGGGGCTACAGTCACAGTCAGTCTGGCTGGCGTTTCACATGTGCATCTTTACGGTGCGACGGGTGCCATACCAGATAAACGCATGCGCTGCTGTTCTTCATGCACCATCCTGTCGCGTGTCAGTGCGTGCCCAGCAGTCTCGCGTAACTTGTCGTGCCGAGGTTCATCTGTCCTACTTACCACAAGCTGGATGACCTCTGTCGCATTTCACCTTGCGCGTCTTGCAGCTGCACCACAGTCAATTGTTGTTCAGCACCATGTACCATGCACCAGCTCGTGGATACTTGCGTTTCGCAGCTCACAGACAGAGGGCGCTTCCTTTTGCCCGCGGTGCCGCTCTGACTGCGGTCGACACCGTCTTCACCACTCGAACCCTCATCGCTCCAGGAATGCGCGTCCGGCGAGGGCTGCGATAGCTTTGATGTGCCGTTGGGGCTGGCGACGTGTTGTTGCGCTGGAGCGCCCGTCGCAGCAGACGTCGCACTCATGGCGAAGTCTCGATTCGCTCGTCACTGTTAAAGCGTGCAGGTGTCTTCGGTGAAGCAGAGACCGAGATCTGGAGGCGTCGGTGGGGTTATGGGAGCTTAGCATCCTTCCCCAGCTTTCGTAACTTACATCAGACGACCTTGTCCGACGCTTCTGATAGGCCCCCAACCCTACCCGGGGCTTACACTGCCCAACCAAGACCACTTAGCCCCTCTATTAGCCGGCGTGTTCGCTTGCGCCGGATACGCTCAAAGGCCGCTTTCCCACGCCTCTGTGGTCCACTCTGGGCCTCTGGCGTCGTAAAGGCAACCTTTCGGGGTGCCGGCCGCAGCGAGATGGACCGAAGCATGCCTCAGCGCTCTTTCTCGTCCAAATATCTACCGCCGGCTTCTGTGACCAGGCCATGTAGCGTATATAACAATCTACGCCTATGCTGCCCTGCCCCTCTCCTTCCTGTGACATCTTTCTCTGTTTTTTTTGGGGGACATACTGGTAGCCCAAAATGCCATCTACCGAAAAGCCAAACGCCGCGCGCGCATTCCCTACCATCAAGAGCATCAAGACCTTCATAACACAAGGACCTGGCTCGGGAGGAGTACGTCAAGACCAGAATAACAACTCGGAACTTCGGGATTCTGCTAACCTCCGTGACAGGATTACCACAATGTTCACGGCGGTCATTGGCTGATCGACAGCAAGATCAGCACTCCCATGAGCCAGTATGAGCAGTATCGCAAATCAAGAACCTCGTGGGGTATCAACGTGCTCGGCAGCTTCTGCGTGGAGCTGGAAGCGACGGATGGGACCAAAGGGTTTGCCACAGGCTTCGGTGGTCCTCCAGCATGCTGGCTGGTGGCAGAGCACTTTGAGCGATTCTTGATCGGCCAAGGTGATTTCAGACGTATCCTTGATTTCGCATACAGTTTCGCTGATGTTCGCAAAAGATCCGCGGGATACCAACCACATGTTCGAGCAAATGTACCGCGCCTCCATGTTCTACGGCCGCAAAGGACTGCCAGTTGCAGTTATATCTGTTATCGACCTCGCGATATGGGATCTTCTCGGCAAGATTCGCAACGAGCCAGTATACAAAATGATTGGCGGAGCCACACGGGAGAGACTTGATTTCTACTGCACTGGTCCGGAACCCGCGGCAGCCAAGGAGATGGGCTTCTTCGGAGCCAAGGTCCCGCTGCCATATGGCCCAGGCGAGGGTGTCGAAGGCCTGAAGAAGAATGTGGAGTTTTTGACCAAGCACCGTGAGAGTGTTGGACCGGACTTCCCTCTCATGGTTGACTGCTACATGAGCTTGAACGTACCGTATACCATCGAGGTGGTCAAGGCGACAGAACACTTGAATCTCAACTGGTGGGAGGAATGCTTATCGCCAGATGACAGTGATGGTTTCGAGCAGATCAAGCGCGCACACCCCAGGATGAAGTTCACCACTGGAGAGCACGAATACTCGAGATACGGCTTCCGCAAGCTTATCGAAGGGCGCAACTTGGATATCCTCCAACCTGATGTCATGTGGGTTGGCGGTATGACTGAGCTGCTCAAGGTCGCAGCCATGGCATCTGCATACGACATTCCTGTCGTGCCTCATGCAAGTGGCCCGTACAGCTACCACTTCGTCGTCAGCCAGGCCAATTCTCCTTTCCAAGAGTACCTCGCAAACTCTCCTGATGGCAAGTCGGTGTTGCCAGTGTTTGGAAACCTCTTCTTGAACGAGCCTATTCCCACCAAGGGCTACCTAGACGTCAAGACACTCGACTTGCCAGGATTTGGCCTCGAACTGAACCCTAACGCCGGCCTCATTGATGCTGCGAGGATCTTGAACCCAGCGCCAATGAAGTCGCTGAAGCCCGCTGAGGATGAGCAAGTAGCCGCGACAAACGGCACGAACGGTCGGGCGTAAGAGTGGAATTGGGTAGTTGTGGCGTTGGAGGATACCACCTGGCGGCATGGAAGTAAACATGGTCACGGCCGCACTTACTACTTTTGTATAGATTGTTGGCGTTCAAGCTCCATTACGGCGCATTTCTTTCCAAGGGAGCAACGTTTTCTTGACAACTCAATGCTGCGCCACCGCGATTGCACCACATTTAGTTCTCTGTGTCGTGAACGTAAAAAAACCTGTCGTGTATAAAGCGCGACACGGTTTCACGACAGTCTTCTATATTTAGGGATGATTTTCGATGGCCGCCATGGCAGGATTTGCCTCGTGCGGGAGGGGTACGGTGAGAGCCCGCCCTGGATAGTGGGGCAACGAGGTAGGCGCCACTGCGACCTGAGCTCCGCGTGTCGTCGTGTCGTGCATAAACTTAGCAGCAGACCTCAACAGCTCGAGCACTTTCTCTTTCTTTCTATCTTTGTAAACACACTTGACCGTCATCTCAATTGCACTTCTGCACAGCCACCTGAAACCTCAACCGTACTTTGACCCACCATGGAAGCTGTCAAGGGCACCATCAACAATGCCCTCGAGGCTCTCCACATCACAAGTGCCAGCCAGGGTGCACCTGCAAAGGAGCCCACCGAAGAGCAGCTGAACGAGCTGAAGTCAAAATACTCAAAGGCTGGACAAGACCAAGTTTTTGCCTTTTATGACAAGCTGTCGACAGCTGAGAAGGCCGGCCTCTACGAGCAGCTGAGCAACTTCAACCCCGACTACATCAACGAGATCACCGACCGAGCGCTTAAGCCCGCCAAGTCCGAGTCAGAAGAGTCCAAGATCGAGCCTCTCCCCGTAAATGCCACCTCGTCGGTCCTCGACTCGAAGCAGGAGGATTTGGACAAGTGGTACAACAGCGGTCTGGAGCTGATTGCCGAGAACAAGGTCGCTGTCGTCCTGATGGCTGGTGGCCAGGGCACACGACTGGGTAGCTCCGCACCAAAGGGCTGCTTTGACATTGGCCTGCCAAGCAAGAAGTCTCTCTTCCAGCTTCAGGGTGAGCGGATCAAGAAGGCCGAGTTGCTCGCAGCAAAGAAGCATGGCAAGGAGAGCGTCACAATTCCATGGTACGTCATGACCAGTGGTCCTACACGAGGCCCTACCGCCAAGTTCTTCGAGGAGAACAACTTCTTCGGCCTCAAGAAGGAGAACGTCGTCATCTTCGAGCAAGGAGTCTTGCCTTGCATCTCAAATGAGGGCAAGATCTTGCTCGAGAGCAAGTCCAAGGTTGCCGTAGCCCCTGATGGCAACGGAGGACTGTACCAAGCACTCATCCAGTCAGGTGTGGTCGGAGATATGGGCAAGCGGGGCATCGAGCACATCCACGCATACTGCGTCGACAACTGCCTAGTCAAGGTTGCAGACCCGGTTTTCATTGGTTTCTCTGCCTCAAAGAGCGTCGACATCGCGACAAAGGTCGTGCGTAAGCGAAACGCAAAGGAGTCGGTTGGTCTCATCTTGCAGAAGAACGGCAAGCCAGATGTCGTTGAGTACTCCGAAATCTCGACCGAGGATGCAGAGGCCAAGGACTCGAAGGACCAGGAGCTCCTCAAGTTCCGTGCTGCGAACATTGTCAACCACTACTACTCGTACAAGTTCCTCGAGTCCATTCCCGAATGGGCCAAGAAGCTGCCGCACCACGTTGCACGCAAGAAGATTCCATTCGTCAACACCGAGACTGGAGAGACCGTCAAGCCAGAGAAGCCCAACGGCATCAAGCTTGAGCAGTTCGTCTTTGACTGCTTTCCCTTCCTTACTCTTGAGAAGTTCGCTTGCATGGAGGTCAAGCGTGAGGACGAGTTCAGCCCTCTGAAGAACGCACGCGGCACGGGCGAGGACGACCCAGACACGAGCAAGCAGGACATTATGGCCCAGGGCAAGAAGTGGGTGCAAGCTGCTGGCGCAACCGTTGTCAGCGAGGACCCGAAGGCCGGCATTGAGGTTTCGCCGTTGATCTCATATGTAAGTTTGCTTCTGCACTGGCTCTACCGCTTCTCTCTTACTAATTCTGTAACAGGGTGGTGAAGGCCTCGACTTCCTCAAGAGCAGGACTATCAAGGCTCCTGCGGTGATAGAATCCGAGGACTAGGAGGCCTTGCAACTTCGAACCGATCTTACTGCCAATACTAGGTGCACAACGTGGGTTGAGCTGCCGCGGCTCAATATGATCACTGTTTGGCTTGTTGCACCTCGTTGCCAGATTGATCAAACCATCATTCCCTGAGAGATTTTGGCTCAACCTGCCGGTGCTGTAGACATTACATAGAAGAACGAGCAATGAACATAACGCTTCACAAACAGTGTTCAAATAACCCCTACTATTTGTGGGATCATTTGCATTTTTAGGTCATACATGCAGGGGCCCATGTTTTGTTGTGGATGCCAACTCCTGCCCGCCAAGATGTGTGATGGTGAATATGGAGGGGTTAGCGAGTGCAGCGGCAACGGCGGGGTCCGAAAAACAGCGCAGTATCAGCGGCTGGCCATTACGGAGTCGAACACAAATAGGGAGAAGAGCGGTTGCGGTGCATAACAGGAGTCCAGACGGCGCTGCAGCAAACGTGGCGTTCATGCGGACAGGCCGAGTCTGGATGCATGTCATTTCCAGACCTCGGAATCCCGCCCCCAAGTACGCTAGGGGGGGCGCACAGACCCTCCACCGCTGCAATCACAACGTCCTTTTTGCTCAGCGCATTCCCGCCGTTGACAGCCTGTAAATTCACTTGCACCAAACTTTACTACACGTTTCTTGGAGGAAGGCTGTAGCTGTGAGGGAACGGTTTGGAAGATTGACAGTACGTCACACCCCCTAGGCGCATACACGCGCCCGGAACGGCAGCTCCGCACTGCCGCGTGCCCCTCGAAGCAAACGTGGTTGGAAATTTCTGTTTGAGCGCAGGGCTGACGAGCAAACACCAGGTTGAAGGAATTGAAGAAGTAAAAGAAGAATAGGTACGCGCAACCACCCGCGCTTAGCCTCGCACCAACGGAGCAATCAAGCGTTGCGACAAACGAAGCCCTTCAAAACACCCCACGTTCGCTTGCGCGCCTCCTTCACGACACAACCACCACGACGAATTGTGTACTCACAAATGGCGCAGATATATACGGAAGAAATCAGCAACATGTCGTCCCTGTCCCGCCGTGCCTGCTTCAAGTGCGGAAACATCGGCCACTATGCCGAGGTCTGCTCGAGCTCCGAGAGGCTCTGCTACAACTGTGCGTCGTGTGACCACGATATACTGGGCGAGAAGCTGATAAGCAGCAGGCAAGCAGCCAGGTCACGAGTCCAACGGATGCCCTCATCCTCGCACCACGGAGACCAAGCAGTGCTACCACTGCCAGGGTCTCGGACACGTCCAGGCTGACTGTCCCACGTTGAGGCTCTCGGGCGCTGGAACAAGCGGACGCTGCTACTCGTGCGGCTTGGCTGGCCATCTGGCGCGCAACTGCCCCAACCCTGGCATGCAGGGAGCTGGACGTGGCGCTGGCGGTCCTCCCGCTCGTGGCGGGTTTGGAGGCTTCCGTGGAGGCTTCCAGGGCCAGGGCGGTGCGCGTGCGGCCACTTGCTACAAGTGTGGCGGGCCTAACCATTTCGCCCGCGATTGCCAGGCGCAAGCAATGAAATGCTACGTACGTATTATCAAGGCACCATCTGCGTCTGAAACATGTACTGACCTGGTTGGTTAACAGGCATGCGGCAAGCTCGGCCACATCAGCAGAGACTGCACCGCGGCTTCTGGAGGTCCCAACGGACTTGAAGCCGGCAAGACTTGCTACAGATGTGGTGAGACTGGTAAGTCTTTAAAATGACGACAACAATTCAAAGCTTACCACTCATAGGCCACATTTCTCGCAACTGTGCTCAGGCTGAGGTCAACGGCGACTCTTCTGCTGTTCCCGCTGCTGCTCCTTTGTCTGCAGCTGCCCCTACCGCAGCTGTTGCTTAAACGACTAGCATGAACTCATTCTCAGCTCTGCTCTGCTGCGAGTAAAATCACACCAGAGCAGCAACATCATCATCTTTCTGCACACCATTTATTTGTTTTACCATGCGACTCTCACAATCGTTTCCTAGCCTCTCAGCATCTATCCCGGCAAACTTCACGCATATCACGATCGAGCAAAGAGAAAAGTTTTCACGATTCCAACGCTGATACCCACAACACGTTTATTCATCTCATTGACTTTACCATTCTACCATTTATTCCGATACAGACGACGGCTTGGCGATGTGCGACGGCGGCTCTATTCTTACTCTGCGTAGTTGACGTGGACGCTGTTTGAATGGACGAGCGACCCGGAAAGGCGGCTGTGGTGGTTTGGTTGGTGAAGAGTGGATTGAGGGGGAGGAGGAGTGAAAGAAGGATAGTTTGTCGGAGCTGGGTGGGCATCTTTCTGCCCGGGTGATTTCTTACTTGTTCCCATCTACCCAAATGTTCGGCATGTGATAGATGCATGTACTGTGCCAACTATCGTTCAATATATGCTGTTACATTTGGAATTTGCGCCATCGATTGCGTTGCTGACATGAACAGCCGGGCCAATATGCGGGACTCTATTTCGTTATGACCTGATAGATACGCCCGCATGTCAACCTCAACAATATCACTGCCTCTTTGTTGCGCCTGATCTACCGCAGCCCAATCAGCGAGCTAGGCCACAAACCTTCTGACGATTCCTGTATCTAGGCAAAAAGACACCGACCAAAAAGACACCGACCAATACAACCATCCCTCGCACCTACTCCCAACTCACGCTTCTGATGACGCAATCCAAACCATCGATAGATGCAAAAAGAACAGCCTGCCCTGCCTTGGGTAGAATCTTTGACTAGAGGATTGCATACCGTAGATGTGACGCCAGCTGCCGAAAACCATTCGGAAACAGTTTTATCACGGACTCGAACTCGCAACCTTCGCGGCGGATAGATTGGTCATGGTGGAAGACCGACCTCCGAGTATTCCAACCCGGAGGAATTTTGATGAGATGGTGGAGATTTGTCTGGAGTATATAGACGAGAGACATGGGGAGCGCGTTCTAAGAGGAGTGGTTGCGGCTGTTGTTTTGGTTGTTGTTGTGCGTACGCGTTGCGCGGGTTGCTGGGTGAAGGTAGGTGAATGCGCGGTTTGCGCGATATTGGATGCAAGCTACGCACCGCATTGGACTATACACATAAGAGGAAGATAATCCAGTGCGATCTGGGAAACTTGTTGTCTGATTCGGACGGCTTTGACGCTTATTCTATCACAGTGAAGGAAACATGCATTTGTGAGCCGCAGCTATCGAAGACTATGAACTAAATGATTGAAGTAACTGCTCTTAAGACGCTTTCAGCTGTACCGTGGGCTTTGCCTTCGTCGTGGCCTTTGACCAGTGTTGCGAGCATCCAAATCTCGATAAGCCTACTCGTAAACGTAACAGAATGGCCCCGATGTAGTAGAGAACATCTCCCTAGCTGCCAATTCTTCCATACCCGCTGGTGCGACAACGTTCAACCATTGCGGATCCTCAGGCTTACCTTTGGCGCTGTTTGGGTCAATCCAGTTTGTCCCACCTGTCACTATGATTCAGCCAAGGTCTATCAGCATAGCAAGGGGATGTCACCTTCGTATTGAACTGTCCTCTTCGCAATCTCTTTGTCCTGATAATTTGCCCATATCCACCAGTGCCTGTCAAGCTGCCCGTGATGCAGCCAGAATGTAGGCTCATTTGGGCTCACGAAGACATCGCCGCCAGGGTCGCCCCAAATGCTAAAGTGGCCTCCTATGTGGAGTGCAGCCATCGGCTCGTTGCTGTTCTGGAGAGTGTTCTGGAACGTTAGAATGTCAGGGCTGGATGTAATCTGCTTGAGAAGGTCATCCGGCTTCAAGAACTTCGAAGTGAAGTAGTTGTTCACGTCGCGGCGATGACAGCGCGGATTGTCCCCATAGCCATCAGCCGGGCGTGGGTTCGGCTTGATTCCGAGCTCTGGGTCCATTGTGGAAGCGAGTGGACCAAGGTGTATTGTCAGGCTGATCACACCATAAGCCTTTGATGTGGACAGGACTTTTGTAGCACTTACTTTGCGAGCGGTCCAGTCGTGACGCATCCACCGCCAGGCCCAGCAGGCACAAGTTCAGCAGTGCCGGGGCCAAATTGCATCCCTTTATGTGGTACATGATCGCCGTTACCTCCCATGCTCCAGTCATCGCCGTTGAATATCGGGGAGTTGACAAGGTCAGGGTACTTCGACCAATCCCAGTAAGGCTGATAGCCTTTATAGTCGCATTCTTGTCTGAGTGCTGTTTCGTACGCGAAGATGTAGACGCGATGCCAGTGCATGACTAAAATTTGGGATCGAAAGTCAGTGTACGTCTCAAACGCAGTTCGTGCATGGCTTTTACATACAATTTGCAGTGGCATGGACCATCGGTGTCATGTTCATGTGCACCCTACGAATGGTCAGTAGTGCTCAGACCAGATCCTATACGTGACAGATATGTTGCATCACACCACCCGATCGAAGGCACCCATCCACCCATCATGAACAACTGGTTTGCTTTCACCTCGGGGATTCTTACACAGTAAAGTCATCGTATCGGCTTTTTGCTCCTGGATACATGCCAGCAGGAAGTCGAGACGGAGCTTTCAAAATACACTTTACAGCTCTGATATACTCGAGGCGCTCATCCTTGGAAAGGTTGCCATATTCCTTGCGTACTGCAACTTTGTCTTTGTTGCAAGTGGAAGGCCGGTTAGTCAGGCCGTCGGAAAGGGTCCCTTCAAGTATCTTGTACGCATTTTGGAGAGCTTGCTTCTGTACATCTTCTAGAGTGACAGTCTGTCTTGTCGAGAAAGGCCAGGCCGATACACCAGTGAGACATAAAGCCAAAAGAAAAGTCTTAGCGAGCGTCGGTCCTGACATGATGATTGAAGCTACATTTTCAATGACAAGCTGGCCCGCTTATAACTTGCTCTCAAGTCTGTGTTGCGATACGGTGCTTGCAACGTCTTTCTGCACCCCATAATGCACTGTATGTACATAGAGACGCTGGACAGGCTTCTGGATCCTGCCTATGAGTTACATAGAGTGTTGTAGTATGTGAAATATACGAACATCCCGACCATGAGAAATGAGAGCCAATCGTCACGGGGCGTCTCCGAGATCAGCGAATCACCTGGGTGAACGACATGGATTCCTGTCCCGGATTGAGAGGCCGCGAATAACGTATATGCATCTCGGTAGTATAGTCGGTGCCTGCGCCGTAGATCACCCAAGACTTCGGTAGTGCACACCTCGATCTTTGCTGCAGATGTTGTACAGTGCTTTACAGCGACTGACCACAACTCTGGTTCGGAAAATGTCGACCTTCCACTTGCGAACACATCAGATGCGCGGTAGCATTTGTCAATAGACAGTAAAGCCCTTTTAAAATTACTTGTTGGCCAAGCGCATCTTGTAGAAGTGACAGATTGCAGCAAATGTATATGGCTCACAAGCAAGATACGCCTTATTGATAGACGACACAGGCAATGCGAAGCAGGATGTCAAGATGTCGAGTGCGCAAACGAGGCCCGAGCGACATTGCGTTCGGCATATGTTTCGCTTGGATGCAGCGGGGGAGCTCATATGGATGATGCCGCAAGGCTGGCATGGTTGCGAGGGGACAGTCCGACTGGGCCGTCGGCACCTGGTGACTCTGTAAATTTGCGATGTGCATTTGCGAGACATTTCAACAGATGAGCAGGACATGTACATCGTGGCGGCATTTAACGCTTCATTGTTCGTATTCACGACAATGTGATTTCGTCAGTGTATCAAAAATGTACAAATACCCGCTGTAACTCATCGCAACAAAAGGTCTCCTCAATTGAGAAAGTAACGGGGAGTTGCATCATTTGCATTCCCTGCGCACTGATGCTAACATAATGTAGTGAAACTTTGATCGTTGCTGAAGGCTTGCCGCTTGCCCGGATCGAGCGTAAAGTGGTCCCGTGATTACGCGATGAGGAGGCGATGAGGGGGCGACCTCGGCGTGTGTGCCTGACGCGGCGCGCACTACCAAGATAGCTCTCACGAACCGTTCCAGATCAGCGAAACAATTTGGCCGCGTACATGCCGTTCCACATCGCTCATAAGGTTCCTTGACAATGCCGAATCATATCGCTAGCGGAAGCGGAAGAGCCAGAATTGCCTGCGAGCGGCCTCGTATGAGGCTTTCGCTTTCCATCAGGGGCAGCAGGTCCTTCGTGGATTTGTGCCACCGGCTGGGCGTCCTTATTCGAGAACCGGCTGAGAGCTGCTAACAGCCCTGCTGCGCTGTGTCCAACTTCCCTTATGCTGGCCAAAGCGCCACGGCTTGCAAGCAAGGGCCGATGAGGTGGAGTCATGCGTGATCCGTGAGCCCTTCAGTTTTTGAACAGCAAATAATTTCGAAGCGAAAAAAGGAATGCTATCATATTCTGTGAATCCTGCGTCGTTCGCCGTTGGCTAAAGCACATCTCGTTCCTTTGGGTTCACTTCAGGCAGCCGTCATGAAGCTAAGTGGCACTATGCAACCAGTCCTTTGGGTTTCATAAGTGCAGCAAGGTCTCGGACCAGGTCAAGGCCTCGAGCTTTGTCCCTCCAACTTGCCAATTAAACCCACATGCGGATTAGGCAACATGTGATATCGCGTTACATGCGTGTCCGGCCGTTGACGCGTCCAATCGCGTTCTACTTCACCGGCACCCTTGTTACCATCCAGTCAGGAGGCTGCCAGGGGAGTCATGTATATAAACTGCGATGGCTTCCCTCCATTTTTGCCCCCCATTCAGCCTCGTAACGCGTCTGCCTCAGGACTCCACTCTCATAGTCGCTTGCGGCCATCTTCTGGAGCCTATCTCACCCGACTACGTGTAAAGCCCACCTCTACGTAATCGGCAGAACGCGAATTCACACCCAAATCCATTCCATCGGCTTCCAAGAATATCATACATATCAAGATGTTCTCAACATCGAACAGGAAGCACGCAGAGGGCAGTTTCAGCAAGCATCGCGCTTCCAAATCCAAATCGCACAAGAAGAACCCATCGTTCCGGGACTCTCCAAGAAAAATGGAGCGTCTGGCTGCACAGGCTCAGGCTTCATCACCACAGTCGAACCAGACATCGCCAACACTTGGATCGTAAGTCTGCGATCGATCGAGGACTTCGTGGCTTTGCTGACAGGTATCTACAGTGCTATCATCACTATCGCAGTAGGTCGCGAGCAACGTCTGTTCGCTGCTCACGAGGATGTCTTGTCGCACAGTCCCTTCTTCTCGGACTTTCTTCGTGGCCAATTCTTCCAGTCCACCAACAAGCGCCTCGACCTACCTGACGAAGAGCCCGAAGTGTTTTCATCGATCCTTGAATACTTGTATAAGGGCGACTATTATCCTCGAATGGAGTACAACAAGAAGCGGAACAGCTGGGCCCTTGAGGACGGTGGCGGCAGCAATGGTGTCAGCGAAGCTGTTATCAACACTGCTGCAGGAGCCATTTTGAAAGATACTATCGTGTATTGTCAGGCTGACCGATATGGGCTTGAGGAGCTCAAGAAACTAGCTCTGAAGAAGCAGGGCCTTCAGTCAGGCGTTCAATGCTCAACCATTCTTACATCTGCCCGCTACGCATACCAGAACACATCCGCCAACGACTCAAAACTTAGAGGGCATTACCTGGCACTCATCATTAGAGCAAGGAACACGTTCAAAAGAAGCGGCACAATGCAAAGGGAGATGGAAAGAGGGCGGTCAGCTCTTCTTCGACTTGTTCGTTGCTATGTCAAACCATCTGGACGATCTGTCGCAAAAGTCGCCTCATTAGGTTGCCATCAAGACTGGCCCAGGGGTCCGCTTCTGGCCAACCCACCGCCTCATCTCATCTCACGTCTACCTATTTTTTCCAAGCTCCTGTACTGGTTATTTTCCGAGCGTCGCCGCCTACTTGTGATCATCATGAGTCATGGCCTCCGCTGCGCCCACTCTTAACCTCATCCGATGTCTACCGCATCGAACTAATGACCTCCCTCGCGGCAGACTGCGTCTCGTCGTTGCAACATTCTTATTCTTGTACATATACTTACCTCGACAAGCCTCACGGCTACGACCAAACAAGACCGGGGCTCCTTTTCTCCGATGGAATTGTTTTGGCGTTTGGCATTTCGTATTCCTTTCTGGCACTCGCTCAGCCACACGTTGTACTATATCTTTTGTCTCTCTGGATTACTTTTGGCGCACATGTAACTGCTCGGCCACAAAATTGCCTGGAAGAACTTGGTCTGCATGTCATCGCGTTAGGCTTTCAATGCCCATTTTCCATTATCAGTAACAAAAACAGATGTGCCCATGGCAAGACAGTATCTTGTCTGTGTTTCGTTTTCCTTTTTCTTTCGGCACGAACGACTTTGCGGGAATGCTTCTTGCGTGGGATCAGGCCGGACTGTTGTTGGACGCTTCCAAATTGTAACTCTCCAAATTATTGAATGGCATTGTTTGTGGTTTTGCTACATGTATTAGAAACATCTGATAATCTTTAAAAGTGGAGCTGAATTGTACTACGCCGTCGCTGCACTTTGGAGACTGGAAGTTGACTTCACCTCGAACCTGAATAATTGAACATGACACTTCATAGAACAGTTCTCCTTGAAAAGACTAACTCGGCAATGTGGGAGAGTGGCTGTGTCTTCGACATGAAGTTGTTCTGTCTCCAAGCCCCAAACACCAAGTCTTCGCGAGCCTTGGCTGATATCACTGGTCGGCAACTCGGCATCCACTACACAGCCAGCTTACTTCAAATATGACATATGTATAACATCAATTCCAGGTGAACCAAATGATGTCCACAGATTTTCGTGATTTGCTTCAAGAATAACAATCCCAACCAACCACAAATACGTCAAGCATGGAGCGACCACCACCACATTCAGCAGACGCTATCCGCGCGAAACGTGTCGGCGGAAAGAAAGTTCCAAAGCAATATCGGAAATACCACCAAAACGGAGGCAAGAACAAAGACCAGGAGTACCACTGCATGATGCGGGGTTTCATGTGGTTCACAAAAGGACTGCGAGGGGCGTTTGAAGCGTTGCGATAAGGAGCCACGACCTACATGTTAGCTTCAGCCCAAATGCAATGAGCCAGCGATCGCCAGAACAAGGATTCATCGTTGACCGGACTCGCGGATTTGCTTGCCTGTCTCACTTCTAAGCGGGTGGACGGCCTAGGCGGCCAGGAAAGGAAGGACGACATCGGAAGTGTGCAGGAAGACTGGGTACAGACAGAAGGACTCATTGTTGCTTGACTCACGCACAGAGGCCGCCCACAAGCACAATCGACGGTACTGTTGCTGCACACGTCTCAACAGTCACACATATGAAATCGATCGACAGGGCAACCCTCCCAGCCGAGGCTAGGCAAGACGGAATGGATGATGAATTGACAGATTGGCGTAGCGTAGCGTCGCGTCGCGTCGGGCTGCGCGAGTGGGGTAATAGGGGTGCGGGCCAAAACCAAACGCGATATCAGCTGATAGGGCGACAACGCGTCTGTGCTTTGACGCGGCGTGCTTCAGGAGCACGGATTGGCCACGGAGAGCACGCAAAGGGCCACGGCAGGATGCAAGGGGATCAACGGAAAGTCTTGGGTATAATTTCGCTCTTTGTTAAAGTTTCATAGTTGCATGGAGCCGTATTGGGGGCTGAAGGTTCTCCGCACACAGACGAGGTACGTTCCGATCGCACAGCTGTGCAGCTGCACACTTTCGCATATGTGGTAGTCGACGAATCCGGCGAGTGACGTTTGTCGCAGTGCGCAGCCGATGGCTTCGTTTCTTGTGGTACCACCATAGATAGGCGGTCGTAGGTAGTACGTAGGCAGTTCAAATTAGGCATCAGACCCCTGTTCCGGGAAACGCGCCCTTCTTGTTCATGACTACCATGGCGTGCTCTCGCGAAATATAGCCCTTCATGAGCCCCTGTAGGAAATGTCAACAGTCTATCATGGTGGTGGGGGTTGTTGTGCCGGTCTGCAATCGGGACAGCCTAGGTGACTTGGCCCCGATGCAGACTATCCTTTCCACGGCATGTAAGACATGCAGAAGCGAGGGTAGAGTGCGGAAGCGTTTTTGAGGATCGATAATACGCACCTTGAAAATCTGATTTGCCAATAAGCATTCGACCTCATCGTCCTCCACAGCCTGGCCGCTGCCTTCGCCAGCGATGCCCATCCTCAATGCCGTTGCAAAGTGTAACAGGGGTATTCTTGACTTCCTTATTCGATCCTTCTCCGTCTGACCCTCTTTCAAATCGTCGTACCCAGCAGCAAGGTAGGCTTTGCGCAGGAGATTGCGCAAGGCGATATCGCGGCTTCGCTCCAGAGTAAGGAAAATGCGCCTTCGAACAAATTCTGGCTCGCCGTCTGCCAACGCTCTATCGAATCCTGTCAGGTCACCTTTCTTGATGCACGCTACGAGCGGTCCAATCAGGCGTGCTAGGCCTGGAGCTTCGGCTAGAAGTTTAGCTGAGGGTATGGCGTGCTGTGTGATAAGGCGGCATGGAATGAGATAGGTCAGAATTAGGCTGAAGTGGTCAGCCTCTGGAGCATTAACATCTGGTGTTACGTTTGCTTACGACTTGTTCTTCTGTGACCGGGCATAGCAGGAATCCCATGCATCTTGAAGGTTCTTCTCAGCCTGCTGTACGTCAGTGCCAGGTCGGTCCATTGCAATGACGTGTATCCCACCTTTGCATAGTCCTCTTGCAGAAACGCCAAAACACCCGTATAGTATTTGTAGGTCACTCGATGCGCTCGCGGGTACAGGTTGAATGGGGGTAGGTCGGACTGGGCTTCAATGGACTTGACGACGTTCTTGGATAGGCTGATTGCTTTCAACTGTTGTCACTAGAATTAGCGCACGCGATGTGTGTATTTTGGTGAGAAGCAGTACCTTGAAGTACGTCTTGAATTGAAGATTGGCTATACAGTAGACGCCCCACTTGCGAGACTCGGACAGGTCTGGGTTTCTGATCTTGCGTCAGACTAGCTATAAGAGAACATGGAAAGGTGGTGGCGCACCTGTCGCCCAGACACAGCGCAAAGACGCGATTGAACACCCGGGCAGCTTCTTCAAGTTTCTCACAACGCGCAGCCTGAGGCACAATGTCGTCCGAGAAACTAGTGACTGCCGTGGCCGGTCTAGCTTGTGCCAAATGCTCGTCCTGCCTTGATCGCAATCTTCCGGAGGTGGTTCGCCGTGAAGTATAGTGTGAAAATAGCCCAGGCTGGCAGCGCCCCGTTTGAGATGTGCTTGATGAAGCTGCTGGTCAAGTCTTTCCAGGCATCATACACGGCAAGAAATTGACGATCTGTGAGCCTGCCCTGGTTTGTTGCTTCATCGGTGAGAATGATTTGCTTGACTCCGCGCCAGTAGGCGGCGATGATATCTATCCATGCATCACCCTCTTTCTGTCCCATGCGAGTCTTCTTGTTGTACTTGAGCGCATAGCGTATGTCGCCAACGATCTTATCGTCGTTCGATGCGCGGTAGAACTCGTACAGCCGTCCTGGATCGTTTGGGGGTGGCACTGGACTGAGGAATTCAGCGACAGGTTGCGCCAGGCCCGTCGCATAGGCGTCCTCGAACTGCACCAGTGCGGCTTGCATGGCTGCTGTCCAGCTCTACACAGGATGGCAAGTATATGGGACCGGGAAGTCGCAATAGGTGAATGATGCGTAGTGACTATGTCGACTGATTGCAATCCATGTACGTCTTTGCTATTTCACGTTCAACAGCATAAAGACGTTGAGTGTTATGGTGTTGAAGCTCGGATTGCGTCGGTGTTTGGGCGGTTTGCACGCCGATGTGGGTCGCGGCGCCCGCCAAGCGCTGATTTGCTGCTGGCGTTAGCGCGAGCACAAGCGAGAAGCCCACGAAGGTGTCGTTGGACTTTCGACTTTTGACCATCACGACAACACGGGTACTAACCGACAGCACAAATAAGGTCAGTCAATATTTTTACAACATCTGTGAACACTGCTAACATTGTCTAGATGGGTAAGCATCCTCTCTTCTCCGCACTCTCTCTCCGTCCAGCAATTGCAGCCAAGTGAAATGCCGTAAACGCACCGCATGCGCCGCAAAAATACGACATCGACCTTCCGGCACACACGCAAGTTACGAAGGAGCAGGCCACAATGATTGGGAATGGGTTGATTTCGCGGCATCCGGTCTCGACTGTGTGCCTGCTGTGGGGAGATGGTGGATGAGCAACCGGACAACTTTTGCACGACAGACATATCACGACCCGGACTATTATCACGCCCAACCTTGAACGAAAACGAACAAGCCGGAATTAGCTGCTGCAATTGCTGGGCTGAATGTCATATACGAAGGGCAGCCGTACTGACGTCTGTTAGCTCGCTTCTCCGAATACCAGATCATCGGGCGCCATCTGCCCTCAGAGGCCAACCCCACCCCCAAGATCTACCGTATGCGCATTTTTGCGCCCAACGAGGTCGTCGCTAAGTCACGGTTCTGGTACTTCCTCGGCAAGCTCCGAAAGATTAAGAAGGCGAACGGCGAGATCGTCTCCGTCAACCCAGGTGCGTGCCACACACGGCGCACGATACAGATGTGTCTGCACCGATGGCAAGAGGAGCGGGAATACTAACGTTTGCTAGATCCACGAGAAGCGCCCCCAGAAGGTCAAGAACTTCGGTATCTGGATCCGCTACGACTCCCGCTCCGGCACTCACAACATGTACAAGGAGTACCGTGAGATGTCCCGTGTTGCCGCCGTCGATGCTCTTTACCAAGATATGGCCGCCCGTCACCGATCTCGCTTCAGGCAGGTTCAGGTATGTTGCATGCACCATCCAGTGACGCGCAACCATCTAATCCTATGTAGATCCTCAAGGTTGTTGAGATCGAGAAGAGCGACGACGTCCGCCGCCCATACATCAAGCAGCTCCTCGTCAAGGGCCTCAAGTTCCCTCTGCCCCACCGCATCAACAAGAAGGCCGGCAAGAAGGTCTTCGCTGCCAAGCGCCCATCAACTTTCTTCTAAGCGTCTTTCTCTTTCCGGAGTGCGGTCTGGATGGGCAGGGATCATATGGGTTTCCCTCGGTTATGCATGCTTCACGAAAAGAAGTACATTAGGAACGAATGAAAATCCATGATACCTCCAAATGACCTAACGCATTGCGCACGTCATTGCTCTCGGTGAACACTCGTGGGCTCAAGACGAAGAATGAAAGCAACATGCTTCCAGTACATTGTATCCTGATATGACCACTAATATATCTAGATTTTAGCTCTCCTG